ACCGCCGTCCAAACAGAAGGCAGGCTTCGCGGACAAAGCATTCCCTTGCGGCCTTCTGGAAGGCGCAATATCGGCTGCGGCATGATTTGGCTGCGTCCGCGGTTACCGCGCCGCAATTTGGTCTTTTCGCGCGTCATTAATGTCATTATTGTCGAATCTCCCTCCAGCGATCATCGGTCGCCTCAAAGCCCCAACGTTTGCCTAGGTTGGCTTTCACGCGTTCACGCTAGAAGCACGTTTTCAGTGGCTTGGCGTCACTCGCGTCTACTCAGGCACAAGAATATATGGGGATGGGGATGGGGATGGCCTCGGATTTTATAATTGCTATTTGTCCTAAACCCGGGCCCTCGGCGGCCCGGCTTCATAAGCTCGCTCACAACTCTTCACGCATTCAGATGACAATGCGCCGCTGCACAATACCAGTGTTACGTTTTACTGCTCTTGCTTGCACTGACGATCGGTGGTGAGGTGGGAGAAGTTTTGGTTGGATCACCAGGGGGAGGTCTGGTGATACAACACATCAGAGAGTACCTTATACAACTACACAGCGTGGGATGCTGAGCGATCGTCATCGAATAATGAAAAAGTAACCACGGCGATGACATTGCATCGATCCAATCCCCCACTTCTTGCGATTGGAGCTTGCAGCCTCTCACAACAGCTATCGGGCGAGCGAAACGCCGATATTCGGTTGCGTACTCGTATGTGCTCTCCCGGAGATGACCATATTCATAAGGCTGTGGACTTCTCACGATGTGCTCTTATAATATACCTAGCTACGATGCAGTAAGGCTGACCTAGCATATGTTGCCCACCGAGGGCTGAACTAGTCAGCCAATTCCTTTCAATTTACTGGAGAGTAGGCGTATGGCTTTTAGTTGCCTTGGTCTTAGGTGCCCGAAAGGCAAATGTCTAGTTGCCTACAACTCATACATTTTTGAGATTCTGTGGGCAAGGCAATACGAATTATATGCGCGCATGATATCTATTTTACGCCGAGACCTTCCGAATAGGTGGGATGTGCAGCCGTCTAGAGTCATCTGCGTTTCCATCGTCTGGGTAATGGATGGAGTCGTTTTTGGTGTGGGTGCGGATAAGATGTTGAGGCAGAAGAATGTACGGCTATCTACGGGCGTAAGTTGATTAATTTGTGATCCGGAGCCTCATTTCCAAAGGGTTGTGTCGGTCACTTATTCTTCCCTTACATCATCCAAATTTGAAATGGTAAGAGGGGTATCCTCACTTAATACCAAGACATCACGTCGGTCAGTTGACCCTCCCCAATGCAATTGCAAATGATATGCATATCTCACTTCACATGTTTTTGAAGCACGTGTTTCCGAGTTATGAATGCTCTGTTTATTATTTTCAATGCAATCAATGCAAATTCAATCTCCAATAGTTGATGATCTTTCGGCCGATAACTAGCGTTGGAATTGTTGAGAATAAGAACATGCATTTGAACTATATATACTGAAATACAAGGCTCTAGGCCGTCGATATACTTGGGAGACCGTCATGATTGGAAAAAAGCGATGCATCAAGTTTGTTGCTCCCACTTCAAGAGAGTGGATCATAAATCCTATCATTTATCAACGCTCTATGATATAAGTTGGTGCAGCAAAAGATATCGAGTGGCCTTTCAATGATTGGTTCCGCGGCTTATGTTGAGCTGCACAATAGTAGCCCGTTGGTGGTATTGGACCGCAGAAAATATCTTAATGGTTATGAGCCTTATAATCATATAATGCTGGGAGTAAGCCATCGTACAAGTCCTGAGCATATGCGTTGGTATACTACTATTATGCTCTAATCATTGCCCTGATCTAAGCTGTTGCAAATTATCTTGCTTGAGATATATTGATAAATCTTGAGTTGGTCTTCGGTTTTAATAACACAGTTGAGGAATGTGGTTGCAAAAACAAGAGTGCTATGCGCACCTGACTGAACAGCAGAATGTCGAGATGGATAGTGGAGGGTCTAGATATTCAGAACCCAAGTACCCCTCCTTGATGGATAGATTGGGGATTTCAGACAGTGATCTCGAGGTGATTTCCCAATCTACTTACGTGGACTCAAAACCGTTCGTTTGCTCAATAGAGTTTTGCCATTTATTTTTCCTATTTCCACAAGATAGTAGCACCAAAGTACCAACAAGTTGCAACCTTTATCTCGCCCTTTATCTCGCTACGTAGGGCTATTATACTTATTGATATTATACTGCTACGAGGTGAAGAAGAGGAAGAGTTGTTCTGAAGTTTACCATGTTTGTTGCCCTTGCAAATCGATATGGTAGTGCATCTTTCACCTTTAAAGGCAACTAAAGCTACCTTGCGAGAGATCTTGATTTTGACTTGTTCACATAGTTGAGTGGGTTCCTCCGGGCCCATGCGGGTCTGTTTTCATAATCAAATATTCTTAATTGCAAGGGCGTTTTGAGTGTTGATACTCTTAGGGTATTTAGTTTGTTAGATTCATATGTTAATTTATTGAGCTGCTACTAAAACGTAGCGCCCCCGATATAATATCATGGATTTGAATAGCCCCAAGCGCTTAGACTTTATGCCCTGTTACTTCTTTTGAGTATAATACCGTTTACTTCCCTCTCCATAAATCCAGAGATAGCTAATCAATTCAAGTCTAAGTGTCTACTATCAAGCACTTCCATACTAATTGTTTCTGGGTGGTGACTAGTTATCTGGAACTTGTGGGGGAAGCCCAATTTTGTTGTTGGGGCTTGGGATATTGTTAATGGGTCGCATTCAGTTGCACTGATGAGGTTGAACCTATAAAAGCCTTGCAAGGTTTGTTATTCGAATGTTGGATTTCAGGCAATGTCCATGTAGCCGATGTGATTTGGCTCTAAAAAGTCTACCCAGGCCAACGGCGGTACCAGCATGTATTCATGCCTCCGTACTTCAGAGGTTAAACTCCTTAAAATTGAGGGACAGGAGTATCAATCAGATGGCACTGGGTAGTGGTAGAGGAGGAAAAGTAGAACTGCTGGGTGCTCGTTGAGTCTCTTGCCAAAAAGTGGCCTATACGTAATAGAAGGAATCATCCCATCGAGGGAATGGAGCTGGTTTTGTCTCCGTTAATACGCTTCGAATTACCCTGGCTGTCAAGTATTGCTTACCTGGGGGATTCGTCTACGGCTGCGAACATGAAGGAAAGAGTTATCACTGGCAGCAAGAAAGCCACGTTTCGGCCCAACGGAGGCTAATCAATTTCAAGAAGGCAACACTAATATCAGCGGAAATTCTTAATTCATATAGTAGCAAAGAGAGGCTAGAGGCTGTAGGTTGATTCATGGAGGCGCAGGCCAACAACTTTTGGCCATGCGCCTTCATTTTGGGGGTCAACGGCACCCCGCAACGAAGACTTCGGTATAAGAGAGGACTCTGGGGCATCTAGTCCATAGGCGATTCCACAGTTTCGCTGCAATATTTGCATCCCAGCCAGCCCTTATCACCACTACTAGGGAAATCACATATATAGAACCACTCGGCCCAAACTAAGAATATTTTGTTATCCGCTATTGGAGTCCAATGCTTAGGATTAAAGCCACCAGCAAATTTGGTTCATGGCAATGGCGAGATGAGTATCGACGAGGAGCCGAAAGTGGAAGGGTCTCGACTATAGCAACTGGCAAATTGCCTTACATGCGCTACTTTAGCTCTTTCATCCATTGTATCATGCGGGAGGCGTTTGCTGTGGTTTGTTTTGGCGGTTACAGATTCCTACGCGGTGTCAAAACGTGCCATGAAAACGAGGGAAATCATATTTAACAGGTTAACAAAACACCTTGATACTGTCACTGATGCAGCTAGCAACCAACAACAAAAAGGCTCGGAAGTTTTCGCTTCTTTTCTTGGAGTATCGGTGGTCCACTCAGACTGGCAGCGGGTATATCCGCAGCATTCAAGGGATAGGCACGCCACAGCGATAACCACTCAATATCCACCATGTTTGGGCGTCCAACAGGAATCGTGCAGCCCGTTGACACTTCGCTTACCTGCCATTTTAAGGGTCTAAAGAAGCGGTGGGTAGTAGAGCATGTTTACGACACGGGAGAAGTTTGCATGTTGATGGGATTGATTGCATGAGAACAGGGGCAAGGAAACTCAGAGCGGAGCCTTCCAGTCACGTGGATGGCTTGCAATTGGTCCCGAGTCTTCAAGCGATGGATTTCACAACGACGTTTCTCAATGACAAACCCGGAGCAATACCAGATAGATACATACTGGTATGTGGCGTTTACCCAATCATGAAAGTCAACCCACGGTCAAGTTCTTGGAACAATGCAATGCACCTTGTCCGCCGGGCCGTGCCGGCATACAATTGTATCATCGCAACATTGCTAAGTACCTAAGTACCTGTGCAATTTGAGCTCAACCGGCCAGTGATGTGCGAAGGAACCGCTATAGTCTCCAGAACGTGAATAAGAGACTACAATCTGGAATCAGCACTGTTCGGGAGATGTGTCTTTTTCGAGGGTCATGCCCCGCCGGCTGTGACCTTACCATGGTTACACCGCAAGCCTGGGGTTTCTTCAACGGCGCACCTTGTGTATATGATTCGTTCAAAACGAACTTCCTCAATGGTACTAAGGGGGTATACGTAAAATGCATTTCCTATAACGTGGGCCAGTTTCCTAGTGGAACGGTTTTCTTGAAATTCCCGTTGGGTAGAGATGCTTGGATTCGAATGCTGTGGTTCTCGCCGCTCTTCCTTCAGCCGTTCGGAGGATTTCTCTGATTTATAGCATTGGGCTGCGTTATACAACTACGATTAGTGAATTAGATAGAGTGGGAGAAGCATGCACTAACCCGAATGACAATCACGAGCCCCAACTAATCGAACTGCCCTTCCGCCCATTGGATCAACTTAAGAGAGTGCTATCCACACATTCACCTTACCATTATCGTATATCTCCGCCTAAACTGCCGGGTCAAGTTTAAGCTACCATCCAACTTCATACGACCCGTCTCTACGCTAGAATGTCTTTCGTTTTTGTCCTACAGCAAAGTTGGCTTACTACGGCGGTGGTAGCTGCTCTGCTGTACGTTGCCGCCGCTTCCGTATATCGAGTATATTTCAGCCCACTGGCCAAATTCCCGGGACCGAAGCTCGCCGCTGCAACACTTTGGTATGAAGCATATTACGATGTTGTCAAACGGGGCCAGTATGCATTCAGGATCAAGGAATTGCATCGGATGTATGGTCGGTAAAACTGATTTCTCGTACACCTAGTCTCGCTCACACTTTAGCTAGGTCCAATTGTCCGTATCAATCCGCATGAGCTTCATATCGATGACCCGGATTACTATGAAGAACTGTACTCTCGGACCTCCCCAAGAGACAAATATAAATACTATACGGATCAATTTGGCATCCCGAATTCCTCGTTTAGCACCATAAACCATCGTTTGCATAGACTGCGACGTCAACCTCTGAATCCATTCTTCTCAAAACAGAGTATCCAACACTTAGAACCCATCATCTCTGGAATGGTTGAGAAGCTTTGCAGTCGAATTCAAGATTTGAAGAAGTCGGGTCAGCCAGTGTTGATACGGCCGGTTTACCAGTGCTTGACCACGGATGTGGTGACTCTTTATGCACTTAACGAATGCTGGAACTATCCTGACAGGCCGGCCTTCTCGTCTGAATGGTGCGCTACTGTTAAAGCAACGGGAGACATGGGCAATTTCATGAAGCAGGCTCCTTGGCTTTATCCGATATTATTAGCATTACCAGATGCTGTAATCTCAACCATATTCCTTGGCATGTTGTTGCTGCTAAACTGGCGGAGGGTAAGTTATTGATCCCATCCTATAATACTTACTAAACGTATCAGAGTATGATGCGCCACATCCAAAACATCATCGACTAGATTGACAAGCCTTCTGAGATCAATGAAGATGGATTGGCCCGCACGATCTTCCATTCGCTTTTGAAAAGCGATATACCGCCTGAGGAGAAGAACTTGGATAGATTGACGCAAGAGGGACAGCTCATCGTTGGAGCAGGGGCAGATACGACCGCCAATGTTTTGACCGTTACAACCTTCCATCTGCTTAATAACCCCGACATTCCATTGAAGCTGCGCGAAGAGCTTGAAAATGCAACACCCGATCCGTATGAGCCCTTAAAATTAGCAACTGCTGAGCCACTACCATACCTGGTAAATATATACCGTCCCTATGGAAGATGAAGCAGCAGCTAACTTTGCCAAGTCAGCAGTAATAAATGAAGGCTTAAGGTAGATAGATATGCCCCTTCTACGTCCGCTCATAAGGTTACGAGGAGTATATACCTAACATTTCTGCAGACTTTCCTATGGCCTCTCCACACGCTTGCAACGTGTAGCTCCTTCTGAGGAATTGCACTATGGTCAATGGACCATTCCTGCTGGCGTAGGTCCCTCCCCTCCTTTGAATCTTCCCTCCAATAATCTATGAATCCTTGATTAACTCAGGCAACAGACACCTGTTGGCATGACCTCGGTCTTGATGCACCACAACGAGACCATCTTTCCCAACTCCTATGCGTTCGCCCCCGAGCGTTGGTTAGATCAAGCCAACGGCGGGCATGCACTTGAACGCTATCTTGTCTCCTCGAAGGGAAGTAGGCAGTGCATTGGCATCAAGTAAGAATATCCTTCCTAAATTGCTTCAGCTAGTGTACTTGTCTCTTGGTCCCGATCTTACTTTGCATATCACCTATTCGGCTGTACTAATAATATCCGCCTTGTAGTCTCGCCAAATCAGAGTTGTACCTCACACTCGCGTCTGTCTTCTGCCGATACAGCCTCGAGCTCTTCGACACCGACCGGGACAGGGATGTGGACTTGAAGCACGGCAACTTCTTGCCACAGCCTAGCTGTGGGAGTAAAGGTGTAAGAGTTATTTTTAAGTAACTTGCAGCGCAAGGTGTACATTAAGTTTCGAAGGGGGTGGCTTATCCTATTAGTGCCTCAATGGGCAACGTGGAAGAAGGCACCAAGGGAGCAACCACCACTGATCGGTTGCATGGTTGCTTTCAACAGAATAACGTATCTTCTTGGGTCTTATTAGATGATGCAAAGGAAGACATGATCGTTGAGTAGTTAGCTATATATCCGTGGAATAAATTGCCTGCCAAACGGGGGCTGAGTATGCAGAGCTGATATGGAATGCGCGACGGTAACATAACAAAGTGAGATACCAAAGACTGATGGGAGGCTGATAAACATGCGAATCTAACTTGTATAGGCCGTATAAGGCTAGTCACATGCCTGTCACCTTCCCTCCTCCCTATCCTATATATATCAAAATAGGCGATTTTGGTATTAAGGAAGACAACAGGCGGCCACTTGGCTAAGTGGTTCAGGTCAAATTGTCTTCTGGAGAGGATCGGTCGGGAAAACAAAACGATAAAATACAAAAAACAACAAAATTCGCCAAGAGATGTAGGCATTCAACACCGGGCCGAACTCTTTTGCTTCCGGGATATAAAGAAAATTTATTTAAATTTTTTACCTCTTTTTCTTGTCGCGTTTTTGCGACGGATGCTGAGATGCTTGTTGGATCTCGGGTATCGCGATGTGGGGATTTGGGGAGTTGGCGAGGGAGTCTACGAAGTACTCTTTCTGCCTTTCTTGCTCCCCTTTTTACTTTGCTCCCCGCCGTTACATAGCCCTTGATATCCACCTGATCAAGAGGAGGAGAGGGCATGGGCAAATAGCTACTCTCTTGAATAGGGGCGGATCTGAAATATGGACGCTCTCAAAATATGGATATGCATGCTCGAGTCAAGAGGGCCAGAGGATACTAAGTAGTTGAATTACAAATATTACAAATCGTGATTATATAAAACGAATTTGCAGTATAACACAAGGAAGTCGGGGGTTGAAAAGGTGCCACAATAGGGGGAGCATTAGGGTGTGCGATCATCCCATCTGTTTTTGTTAAAGGACTTCTGCTTGCTTCAACATTGCAGCATGTACAGTACATACACTACCTAGGTATAGAAAGAAGAGCGATATGGAAGGGCGTAAAACATTTGGCGTTGCAACGTTGAGTAGGTACATAGATGTCGCGGTGATAGGTAGAGCGGCAGCACAGAGGACGAGATGACAAAAGTCACAAACTTGGGGGACGAGCACAGCAAAAGTGATAAAATAATCTTGTATTTGGTATTAGAACAGAGCAGGCATCAGCCAGAGATCTGCAACTGCAGAAAATAAGGAAAAATCGCGTGTTTGCACTTGGCATATCATCTATAATTACAGTGCCTTCAATCAGCACGCTGTTTCTTCCTTCCACGACATTAAATACACAGGATCCTTGTCCCGTTTCCCATTTCCCGTTCATGCAAGTCATGTATTGTGATGGCCGACTATTGACCGTACGAGTCCCAACCCCCGGGAGTCAAAAAGATGGAGTTTTTGTCCTTCCATAAAAATAGTGTTATTTCGCTAATGATGGTATCGAAGTAGAACGCCCCCCCAATGCATACATATCCCTTTTTCAAAATGCTGGCTGAGGCATTTTGAAGGTTTCGCTACTGTTTCCTTAACTTACAAGGCGAGGACAGCTAACAAGACAGCTGCGAACGCCGAGCCGAAGGCAACGCCAGTCTGGGATCCGCTGTTGGCGGTAAGCAGAGTGGGCGAGGCAGTGGGGCGGGTTCCGTTGGTTGGTGCTGCGACAGTAGCAATGGTTGTCTTTGGTGCTACTGGGGCATTGGTGGCAGCAGCTGCAACAGCGGCTGGGGTACCAGCAACAAGCTCTGGGACAGGTGTAGTCTGACCCTCGGTGGAGACGGTGGAGAATACAACTTGAGGGATAGTAAGGGTAGTGGAGAGAACGCTCTCAACTGAAGATGAGGGGACGATAGATCCAGATGATTCACCCTCGGTGATGGTGTAAGGAACCTGGATGGTGGTGACGACAGTCATGGTGGTCTGGGGGATGGCTGGGGGTGCGGTTGGGGCCTCTCCGGCAGCGGTGCCAGCGGTGGTTGGAACAGCTGGGCCAGTTGGGGCACCGGTGACAATAGCAGGGTTGGATGGGATATAAGGAGCGCAGATACCCTGGAAGAACGACTTGGCTTGGGCGACCTCAGAGTCACTGGCACCATAAGAGGAGAGACATCCGAAGACGTTGTTGACGAATTCGGCGCTTGGGCAGTAGCAGGCGTGATCGGTGTTGTCAGCGCAGCCGACAAGGAAGTTCCATGTGTTCATGCACGAAGGGAGAACCTCTGGGCAGGGAGCGGGGTTGACGGGTCCGCTGGGTCCAGCAGTGGTGACTGGTGCCTTGGTTGGCTTTGGCTTGCCAGTGCACTTGTTGCAGACGGTGGATGTCACGGTGACCTGGATTGTTGAAGTGGTGATGCCAGTCTCAATGCTAGTAGTTCCGGCAGTGGTGTGGGTGGAGGTGAACGGGCAGACGGTGGTGGTGTCAACAACAACAACGGTGGTGGTAACATCCTCTGGAGCTGGGGAGGTAGTTGGGGATCCGCCAGATGGGACTTCTGAGGACCCAGCAGCTGGGGGTGCGGTGGTTCCAGCAGACGGGGCAGCGGAAGACTCAGCAGCAGGAGGTGCGGTGGTGCCAGCAGATGGGGCAGCGGAAGACTCGCCGGCTGGGGGTGCGGAAGTTCCAGCAGAGGGAGCAGCGGAAGACTGGCCGGCTGGGGGTGCGGAAGATCCAGCAGATGGGGCAGCGGAAGACTCGCCGGCTGGGGGTGCGGAAGTTCCAGCAGAGGGAGCAGCGGAAGTTCCAGCAGCTGGTGGGGAAGATGAGCCAACAGCTGGAGGGGAGGTCTCGCTGGAAACAGGGCAGACAGTGGTGGAGACAGGGATGGTCACCGTGGTGAGGACAGTGGAGTGAGCCGGGCAGTTGGTAACAGTTGGCGCACAGCTGGTGATGGTCGAAACCGAGGTGGTGAAGATGGTAGAGGTAGTCATCTGAACAGGTGTGGTTGTTGGTGCAGCAGGGCTGGTCTCCTTAGCTGGGCTGGTCTCAACAACAGGCTTGGAGGAGGAGGCTGCGGCAGTGGTGGTTGGCTTTGCGACTGACGTGGTCGACGCACCAGGAGTCTTAGATGGCTTGCCTGGCTTGGTTGTTGGGCGAACAACAGGAGTAGTAGATGAGCCGCAGTGGAAGCTAACGGTGTGGATGCCGATGCTGCAGCTCTTCTTTGGGGGAGGTGACTTGGCTGTCTGGGTAGGATAGACAACAGTTACGGCGGTTGCACCACCACATTGGGAGTTCTTGACCACGGATCCGCCCTTCTTGCAAGGTGAGATGTGCTTGCAGCTGGATCCACCGGGCATTCCATAGTGGAACTCAAGGTCGCAGTCGAATTCAACAGATACATGGAATTGGTCGACAGAGAACGGCTTGCTGCCCTTGGAAGAAGAGCCGCAGGAGAACGAAGGTGCCTTCGACTTATCCGAGTGGGCGGTACCGGTGATGCACTTGGAGTTGGCGAAGGTGCGCTTGGTCAAGTCACGCTTGCTGTTGCTGCCGAAAGAGTTGGCGCAGTTCCAGCCAGAGAACTGGATGCCTCCGTATGAGTCGATAGGACCAACTGGGACTGGGTTCCAGTTGAAACCACCCTTTTGCTCAGGATTACAATCATTGTCGCTGTTGGTTGGGCAGGTGAAGGACTTTCCTCCTCCAAATCCTCCAAACTAAGAAAGCCGTCAGCACGAGGCACGTGTGGAGGGAGTACATATGTATGCTTGGTACTTACAGTGGCAGTTGCGGTTTGCAGGCTAGAAGCCAACGCAAGAAGGGTTGAAAGACTCTGAGTCTTCATGGTGAAAATATATAGCAGTGCTAATCAACGAAGGGTTTGAGAATGTATTGTACTGTACTATGCAGATAGTGAGCGTCGAGCGAGTGTACGATATGAGTTTTGATATTTGGAAAAGAGAAAGAGAGCAAAGAAGCGAATGACTTTGACTCTCGGACAGGGTGATTTGAACTGAGAAATAGGAAGAAAAGAGCAAGATTGGATACGGAGAAAAGCAAGAACTGAGTAGAGAGGATTTCAGGATTTATTATATCTTTGGAAGTCGTTGGCTCTGAGCCGGCCACCGCCATAGCCTCTCTCCTGCTTCTCCTGCCCCTCTGGCCCCATGCCGCCCAGGGGCCTTGTCCAGCGGGCCCATGTGCTATTTAGAGGCTTTGCGATCATGATCCATGCTTTGCGCGCGCGTTGGGCAAGACCATGCGACGGCAGAGTGCCTTTTACGTTTACCCCTTTGCAAGGGTTCAGCGAGTTCGGTTTCTGCGGCGAGGGGTGGAGATCCAAACGGTGGGCGCTGGGCAAATCAGCGGCCCCCGAGGCCCCGAACCCATGGCCGTGAAACAGCTTCGACCCCTTTCCGCCAATACATAGAGAGTCCTAGAGAGTCCTAGAGAGCCCTAGAGAGTCCTTTTCAAGCCTTAGACTCTGAGAGGCCGAGGAAGAGTCGAGCTACTGCAGGTACGGTGGTCGCCGCCAGGGTCTTGAGGTCTTGATTCTCGAAGGAGCCAGGAGCGAAGGCACTGAAGAGCCCGCAACGCCAATGGATGCCTGTCGATTCGACCGATTTGGGCCTCCTTAGGCGTGAGTACCGCCCCTGGTGCAACTGAGCAAGACTGCAAGTGCGGTTTTCCCCACTCAAGCCTCCCCCAGTTTGGCGGCCATAGGAGACTTTGCACAGATCGGCAGCGAACAGGCCGGGAAAGGGCGAAGGTCTCAGTCCGGGTGCAAACAGTTGCCTCCGGGCACATCTTTTTGTTGGCCTGGGAGTCTCGGACTCAGCGACGGGCGATTCGCGGCTACTGTGTCTTGGTTTGTAACCTTTGTTGGGCATAGGCGCTATGAGCCTATGAGCCTGTTGGACCCCGAAGCGTTCTCGGAATCCGAAGAGAAGCACTGGACGGGAAGCCGCTGGACTTCCATCGCCCTCCAGCGCGCGTCTAGGGTCGGCCTCCAAACAAAAACTTCTCGAATTCGCGAACCCGGTAGCTCCTTCAGGAGTAAGGAGGAGTCAGGTCAGGAATAAAGAGCGGTCGTCCAACCGAAGCCCAAGTGGTTTTTTTTTAGCAACGCGGGCCCGCGGTTAAGGGCGAATGCCGTACCTGCGATGGCTGGCGCTGACCTCCACCAGTAGTCCAGGTTGCGCTTCGCTGTTCGGCGCCGCTGCAATTGGATCGAATCAATCGGATGGCGCGTTTCACGGTCCGGCCATCAGATCGAGGAACTCCAACCACCAGAACTACCGTTGTCTTTGGATGACCAACACAGTTACACCATCTCCACCAGCTCGAAACGCCCATCCAAAAGCAACGGCCAACTGGCAGCTCCTGAGGAGGAATCTCGTACCTCGTGCCTCGCCCATTGTCAGATGGCAGTACAGACTGCACAGTCAGTGCTGCACGACACCCTCCACTACTGGCTGCGGATTCTGCACACATGCAGCGCTGGAGGATGCGATGGCAGCGATGCTGCTGCACGGCAATAAACCCCCAAATTACCCATCCATCTGTACAACCGTCGTACTACAGTACGTAGGCCGGCCGTAATGATGCCGCAGTGACGGACTTGGGGGCTCTGGCAAATAGCAAGTAGCAACTGAGCACTCGTACTCTGAGCACCTAGGTATTCGTGAAAAGCAACCACAGTACTTCGTACGTACTCTGTACTCCGTAGACCCTGTGGAGGTGGTCCGGAGAACGGCCCCGTCGCTCGGTGACTAGGGCATGACTTGGTAAAATGAAGCTATACTTTGTACAACTCTTTGGGCAAAGCCACTGCGTGGAATTGCCAGATAGAGGACATACCCCGAGGGCACCGGCTCTAGTCGTGGGGCCTGAGCAGAACCTCATGACTAAAGGCAGCTAGCATTGACTAATTGTCACTAGAACACTAGAACACCAGAGTCAAGACTCCAAGTCTGCGCACGTACTCCTGATCAGACTGGCTAATTCCCAAATAGCAGCGCTGTCAAATGAGCACTTCCACAACCGGAAATCGCCTACTCCATGAGTGCAGTCCAAGAGCCCAATAATAATCCGGATGTTGTGCATAGCGTTTTGACCTCAGGATAAATCCAGCATGCAGAACGTGCCGGCCATCCTTTGCACAAGTCGACGCTCTCCTGATCTGGGTGTGACCCTGGGATGAGCAGATATATCCTGGAGTCCTGGACCTGATTCCTCCGGCTGTTCCTGCGTCGTGCAGCTGCATCTGCATCCCCCGGGACTAGACATGACCTTTTGGTCCATTTGCCACCGATACTACGACGCAGTACGTAAGTACGAAAGTACGAAAGTACGAAAGTACGAAAGTACGAAAGTACCTACTGCCCAGCACCCACGTCGTCGCATTGTCCACTTCAGCGTTGCACTAATGGTCGTTCGACTTGTCGACTTTCGACTTTCTTCTTCTGGCCGGAGAAAGCGAGTGCCGTTAGTGCCGCTAATAATACGATACGTAATGTACAAGTAGTAATGTAAATGCCTTGCTTCCTTCGACAACACCGAGTTGTGAAATGAGTTGCTGCAACCTCGTGACTGAATTCAGATTAAGTCTGTGGAGATGAGTCGAGTTATTCTCCGTAGGCAATATATATACCATACCATCCTCTCGCACTATCGACTGCTTCCACAGTAGTGCTTGGAATTGTAATTGTGCTCTGTACAAGAACGGAAGTCCTGTAGACGAGGTTCGTACTAGATGCCATATCAGCCGGTATCATCCTCCAGCCTCCAGGCGGCCAGTCAACGTTGCGCTCGGTGGCTCTCTGCAATTGTGGCGCCCCTTTCCACAGGCTTCCCCCCCTCCATCGTCCACAAGCGAATACCACCACACGAAACGGATCAGGCGGCTCGCGTGGCTTTGGGCTTCTGCACGCTTGGTGCTTTGCACTTTGGGGTTCGAGCTTTGTGTGACCATGAGCAGAACACGCAGACGGTTTCTTGCCTCCCGTGATTCTCATCATGAAACACGATGGCGAGAACGGCTTTTCTAGGTGGGTTTGGATCGAGGCTGTGCAAGACAGAAAAAGCCGTATGAAGCCATATGCAATGTGCATGTGGGCTTCGGGACACCAGATGCGAAACTGTTGGCGGATTTATCTTGATTGACTTTCCCACCGTGGTGGTCCGAGTTCTATGCTTGTTGCGGTTCCCGATGCTGGTCTCGTTTTGCATTGTTTAACTTTGTCGACAGAAATAAACTCAGCTGTCCGTGGTGGGTTCATTCTCCTGAGCTAGAATCCGGATAGGAGAAACGTCCGAGTGGGAAACATCTAGTTCGTTCGATCTCTTCGTTCGACCTCTCCGATACGGTCGAATGTTGAAACGAGGCTGAGTTGTGTCAAGATCGACCGACAGCATCTTTATGCTTTGATGCTGCCCATGTTGTATATCCCGCCGGTTATGCAAATCATCGACAGCAGAGAGCTATGCAAGGAGGCTAAGCCTGGGCCCGAGTGCGAGGCTATCATGCCCGTCAGCCTTCTATAGCGATGGTAATCTAACAGCTGTAAGCTCGCAGAGATACTACGTCGTCAGCTCACAGAGGTGCTACGTCCATAAATATATGCGTACATTGAGCCTGAAATCTGACAGCGCATCGTACAGGTAGGTGGTGTTGTCAACGGAAGGGAAGATGCTCAGTACCCTCTCTCAGGTTCTCATTTGAAGGCTATTCAACCGCTGAACGTAGTAGCAAATATTCCCTATCATTTCATCCCAACCTCGCCCATCCCCACCAGCCTTCAAGCTGCTCTCTCCACACCTCAAGTATCAAGTTTAAATCTGACCGGACAAGTCACTACCACAGCTCCACAGCTCCACCCCACCATCCACTCCTCCTCCGTCCAGCATCAGCAAAGGATTTCCTCTGTCTGACCAACTGTACCGTCAACCCTCAGAACGTTCCATGGATCTGCCGCTCCCACAAACATGAAAAGTTCATATAACTTTATTAGAAGCTAAAGGAAGGCGCAGCTGAAGCAGCGGCCTGGAAGTGGGAGTGCTAGGCCATGGTGCGAGGTTGCGAGGGTGGGGGCTGGATGACAACCTCCCACTCCCATATTGATCAGGATGCGAATGGGTTGGAGGGGGGGGGCTGTCTCTTATACACATCTAGATGTGTATAAGAGACAGGGGGGGGGCAGGTTGCCAGGGAGGTACGAAGACTGAGTATCATGGCACGCCAGACCCTCGGTTGGGTAAGTATACTTAATTAATTTAATTCCTAGATGCTATTTACACTTTTAGACTATCCAGAATGGAAAGAAGCTGACTATTTAATCGATTGAACTACTTTATAACGGAAATTTTTTGTACCAGATGGGCAATGGAACGTACGGCCGTTCTTGTGAGCCGTAAAGTCGCGGTAGGAGATTGAAGAATAAGATTAACGTCTCGAACATTAACTGCGAGCCTTGAGCAATGACTAACAAAGTGGAAAATTTTGAAATAGCAAAGAAGGGTAATAATGTAATGCACATATAGAGAATATCAGAGAATAGCGGCACAGAAATTTTGATATTACTATACCTGCCGAGTTGTGCCAGTCACAGTTGACTGTTTCTTTTTGTTCTACCACTTCCGAGGTTTATTTGTTCTTCGATTCATAGGAGACCGTAGAAATGGGAGGAAATATCAAAATGAATCCGAGTAAGAACTAAGAGATAGTTCACCGTAAATTTACTACTATAGAGTGGCATTAATTTGCTTAAAAGAATTCTATGGTATTTTGCGTTTACTGGTACGCCTTATCATCTTATCATATCGAGAACAAATACTTAGGGATTCTCAGAATTTATAAAACCATATCAAAATCTTAAAACATTTCAAATTCGCCATACAATATAGCAGAAAACTAAATATACACAATTACTACCCTATAGCCTGTACCAACCTTATTTTTAAGTGCCTACTACCTTAAAAGTTTTCTCGTTGAAGGCTATTTCAAAATAAATACTGTATTAGATAACACATCTTTTCCATCCCAAGAAGGTTAATTTTGCAATCGGTATCAGACGAAGAGCGGTGAATGGTTTGGGAGGTAATGCTATTTCGAAGAGAGCTCCGTTCGCATAGGGATTATTGATCAAGTGGACAACAAATTTGAGGGTCAATATATTTCCAATGCCCAGTATAGGTCTTACGTGTTCGCTATTATTCATTGCACGATTTGTATTATTTGACTTGAAGATATTGGGAGGTATTTAGACGATGGTTAGGCGTTAGGCAAGAACCTTACCGCCAGTATACCTAAAAGTATGAATTTGATCCACGATAAACGAGCTTGGCCTTCGCTTGTTTGAGAACAGCAAGCGAGCTAATCCAACAGCAACAAAAAGAAGAAGAAAATAGCAAAAGAAATACCCAATTATCAGTTCCAAATGGGATACCGAGAAACTTCCCTCTGTTATCTCTGGCGGAGCATCCAGGGTCCTCCTAGGTTGTCTGTTGATCAGTGGTTCAACCTCGGAAAGGCGTTAATATCCCCACTGCACCAACCGGCCTAGTCGCCTGTCTCCAGTTGTTAAGGGAATTCTGCTTATTTTGATATATATAGTCTTGGATTGAATGCTGGAGGGGTAGTGGGGTAATACATATATCTGCATCAGATGTTTCTCTGGTCTGCCGTAGCCCGAATGCGCCTCGCAACGTCACAGGCCAAATCCAGGTTCGCGACAACCACAAGGCTAGAACCGCTGCCTGTTGCCAACCTTATTATTACCCAAACCTACAAGTTCCAGTATCATCAATACACTACACCTCGCACCACAAGACGCCTTTCAATACTGCCATCTTCACAAACTATCGCCGTCATGTCGGGACTCGAGAAGGCACTCTTCAACCTTAAGGTAGGCCCGCGCATATCTGCGACCCCCAACTTGCGGCGATCACGGAGGGGGAACGTCAGTGGGCAACTAGTCATATGCTAATGGAGGATTCATAACAGTTCACAGCAAAGCAACTCAACCGACAAGCAGCGAAAGCAGGCAAGGACGAGAAGACCGAGAAAGATAAGCTTAAGAAGGTATGGCGTTACCCCGCCTTCCTGGGAATCAATCCCTAACCTCATTGGCAGGCAATCCAACAAGGCCACGGCGACATCGCGAAGATCTATGCTCAAAATGCCATCCGCAAACAGAATGAGAGACTCAATCTACTGAGACTCGGGAGTAGGATTGATGCGGTGGCTAGCAGGGTGCAGACTGCGGTTACGATGCGCCAGGTTACCGGGAGTATGACGAATGTTGTGAGGGGTATGGATCAGGCTATGAAAGCTATGGATTTAGAAAGGGTATGTTTACCCCATATTGGCTTTGTTCCACCCTAGCCTTATAACTAATGTGGGGGATACCCAGATCTCAGCAGTAATGGACCGCTTTGAAACGCAGTTCGAGGATCTCGATGTCGCAACTGGCTACTACGAGAACGCAACGACTTCAGCAACAGCGGTGGGCACACCGCAGGAAGATGTGGATAGGCTCATGAATCAAGTGGCGGATGAGGCGGGCGTAGAGCTTAATCAGGAGATGGAGGGCGCGAAACCTGTGGCTGCCGCGCCCGTGAAGTCCGGGCCGACGGAAGTAGAGGAAGATGGGTTGGGTGAACGTTTGAGGGCTTTGAGATCGTGAAGAAGAGGCCTGTTGGGGGTATATATGTGGACTCATGATAGATGTTTGGTTGAGGCATGGCGTTAGGCTTTCAGGGGTTTAATCTATTTTTTATGCTCAAGGTGTGCAATAGGAATGGCGAACTAGGTATGTCTCCATATTCTCCATTTTTGACACTCTTTGCTCGTATTAAGAAATCAAGACGTGAATTATAAAATTCTGTACTGAATATGCCTAACTACCAGACCCTGCTACTTTCATTTATGACATTATGCAGCAAGCTGGACGGTGAGATGAACTCGTGTTCGGAATCCTAAAATATCATCTCATCTTTTCTCCTCGCGTCAGGATATTTTCCAATCCTCAGCAGCCTTTGCACTCGTATCTAGCGCAAATGCTACAAACCCTACCCTAGCACCTGGTGTAATCGCGTGTGTATGGATACCATTCGCTAACTTTTGTTCTGACCCGTTAAAATTATATTCAGACGCCTAAGCTTCAGTTTTCCAAGTGAAACTCTATATCCCTTAATAAAACGAACAAAAACAAAGAATAAAAATGCAAAAATCCAGAAAGCCCCCGAAGGGGCCCGCCACTGGATAAAACCAGACGCACTGAGTTTTACTTTTTTTTGGCTAAGCCTTTTTTGAGGTTTCTCTAAGATAAAGACAGTAACTCTCTCCGACCTCGCACACACAATTTGATCCGTACCACTTCGCCAAGTGGCCAGCCCTTGTGTCGAGTAATAGCCTTCTACTTATTTGAGTTTATAAAGTACAGAGGGTGGGTGTGGGCAATTCGGGCGGTGAAAGGAGTAGCCGAGGCGGTGGCTATTGCTGCGTCTATCCTCTTCCTTTTCAGCTTTCTGTCTACAGGTAGGTACCTAGGTATACTAGGCTTAAAAAAACATTTTTGTTTTAGAATGTGGGACTTCTATCTATTATAGGAAAACGCGGTAGCGTTTTAATTTTATTATATGGCCCCTATCCAAAAGCTAAGAGAAACTGGACCGATTATCTATATGTTGTAATGGTTCCTATTTCATTCCATCCCCCTGGAGGTTTTGTGTTGATGGGATATTCACGCTTCTGGTTTACTGCGGATCTTGAATTTCGATAGACAATACCGATCTTGTGGACTGGGGAAGTTAGCAATTATCTGTCATATATCCCACATAAGCAAACTAGCCGACTTAGCAAAAGGAAAAGCGAGCTATTAAAGAAAAAAATAGCAAAAGAAATATCTCCACGGAGCGTTGGATACCGAGAAACTCGAGCTGTACTACTCCCTAGCCTCTTGTTATCTCTAGCAGAGCACCACGCCTGCCTAGTCGCCTGTCTCCAGTTAAAGGAATTCTGCTTCTTTTAATATATATATTTAAAAACCAAAGGTGACCAGATATTATCTAGGTACTGGACATGGCGTCGAATACCCAGACTGGCTTTTGGAGCACTCTCCTGTTCTAACTTGCCGTTCAGTTTAATTACTTCATTTGCATGCTCTGGAAGTACTAATATATAAAATAGGTGGTATAGAGAAAAATGCAATTATTGTATACTACACACAGAATTGTTGTAACGATTCTAGAAAGGGAAGTTCGATTTTAGCTCTGTTAAGGCCTTCCTTTAGAAGTAACTTGGATATATAAATTATTCCAAGAGAAACTCGCAAATATCCCGACCTTTCTACTTCCCATCACTTTTGAATAGAGGAATTGCCGTAAGTGAAATTTGAGGAAATGAAATTCGGGGGAGACTATATAACGAGCACGGCAGTCACCCCATTTTCAACGCGGTTGTAATATGCCTCTCTGTCTTGCACCAAGGACTATTAAGTATTGTGCGGTATGGCTTTCAACAAGGAGCTTAGAATCTCAACGCCTAAAGCTTGTTTTTTTTCATTATTGCGCTGTTAAGCATCGTGTCTGGTATAAAAATACGATACTCTCGTAGCTATCTCCAGTTTTAAGTTTCCACCGTGACCTGAGATCTGAACATCGATACCCAGTTTTCGCAACAGTCCATTAACGCCATCTCATCATGAGAGAGATATATATTTTCCATTCCTTATCGTTCAATCATCACTCATTCTGAGGTAATTTTGCACACCGCGTCCCTTAATACCCCTAAACAATCTTACAGTAATTGGCTGGGAAGCTGCCTTTTACGCCCCGAAGTTCACCCTCCCACCAGTCGTCAGTGCTGTCCGTTTTCTTGACCACCTTGATCTGATCCCCTTCTCGGAAGCTTAGGTCACCTTGATTCTGCCCCTCGAAAGAGTATAGTGCTGTGGCATACAGGCCAGAATTTTGGGATCCAATGCGTTTAGGTGGTGGCGGCGGTGCCTTCTTCTTCGCCGCGGCAGAGGCACCCATGTTGGAAGACCGTTGGAAGTAATCCATAGTGGGCCCCGCCGGTGAGTGGCTTGCATATGAGGAGACGGGTGTGAGGTGGGTGGAGTAATCTGGACTCGCATATGTTGGCGTTGGTTCAGGTGACGGAGATGGCTCAGGTGCAGGCGGTGCGACTGCAGGAATGGAAGCTGAAGAGGGTATTCGCATACGGGCGTCACGGGTCTCACTGGCATCACGAGCTTCCATGTTGGGGGAGGCTGGTGCAGAAACCTTGCCTTGCGATGACGCCCGTCGGGAGAATCCATTGCGAACGTTCAAGCCCGTTATAGACTTGCCCGGGGTGGGGGCGCTTCCAAGACTCATGGATTGATGGACCACTTTTCCTCGAGCGATGCAGGTAATCCTCTCTACCTGCTGTTGGATCGGCTTGAAATCTTGACCCCATACGGACATGACGTCTTCCATCGAGGGAGGGGGCGATTGAAACCCGTTCTCCTCGCAGTAATTGTGGAGGATTGTGTAATATTGGGCTAGGAGCGTGTTCTGAATCATAATTTGGACAGCTAGCAGATGAGGAATGATTGAAAAAGCGGCCGCTATCAAAGGAGGGAGTTTTTCTCGCAAGCTATCGTCCGCAACTTTGAACGCCTGAATAGACAATTAGCACGGTGAAATATCAGTCACCAAGGGAGATTGTACTTCGGAAGCTCGTGCCATCTCCTCCTCCGCTTTTGCTAATGCGACATTTTCACGATCAGTTCGCTTTAACTTTTTCGCCTGTAGACTGTTGACTTTGTCCATATGACGCTCCCAATCGACTCTCTTATTCTCCCGCTTCTTGATGGTTTTCCGTAACGGTTGCAGGAACTCCTTCGCGTCTCCAGCGGGCTTGATTATACGGGCATCCACCATTATGACTTCCTCCAGGAGATCGGTCTTTAGCTCCCCGTACGCCTCTTTCAATTTGGTAGTCCGGTCGATCTGGGATTGGGGTGTGAGGGCTGGCTCGTGGCCATGGCCATCGCTGGCACCAACGATCGGGTCATATAGTTCTTCGAAGAGGGACACGGTCCCTAACTGGATAGTGAGGATGGATACCCAGGCATCTCTCCAAGCTTTTGATGCCTCAATTATCTATGCAACAAATTAGCAGTGCTCTACAATACCGCGCGCGTGAATCCTGGGCGCATGATAGACTGAGGAGGGTTTGCACTGCACCACCAACCTTCGTGAGCATTTGATCGGCATCCTCGAAATCATTGAGGAATACGGAAACTTTCGCGGTGTTCGTGCCTCCCTTGCCTCTCGCCTTAGCAAACTGGCGCTGCATAGAATTCATCGTGGAAGCAATGGGCAATCCGCAATCCGCAAGCTCAAGACGATATATGTATATGTATATGTATACGTCTATGTCTATGTATCTGTTGGTAGATAGCTGCACTGAGTCCAGATGGCGCCTGATGAAGGTGGGGAAGCTGACCACTCCGTACTCGATTCCAGTTCAAGATATATTGGAGGTGGAAGAACACACACAGGAAGACGAGCTGCAGTTGGATGCAGGATTTCACGGTCTAGCCAGTCGGTGCACAGCCTCGAAGGTGCGAGCAAAGGATGTACGGAGGCGTAGTAGGAATGTTATGTTGGAGTCATGTTGGGGGCTGGCGCTCGGCGGGTTTTCGTTACCTTCCTTGCCTTGCTCTGGAACCTGAAACGGGTTTGGAGATGCGCCGTAGTCAGTGTCCACAGGCGGGGCGGAAAATGACAAGCTCCCGTGGTGTTCTAATTCTGGGGATAACTAGTGTTAGTGTACTTCGTAGATACTGGAATAATACTCCGTATGGCGTGGAGCCTGTCCATCAACAAGCGGATCTACAGTAGAGTTCAAGCAAGATACCCAAGGTACCTGATTATTAGCTGAACTAGGTGTAGAGCCAAAAACAAGCAATTGCTGGACACCTGCCTACGGACTCGCGGGGCAGCGGCAACGGTCTCGAGTCGTCGGCAATCCAACATCAGGCAGCGAACAACAAACCATAAGGGGAGGCATCATCCCAGTCTCCCAGTCTCGCACCGAGGATTTTCCCTGATTTGGCTGCGGCGCCTTATCGCACGTGACCACGCGCCCCGCCATGCCAATTGGAAGCGTAAAAGGGTAAAAGGGCAAAAGAAGTCGCGTCGCGAACATCAAACATCTTCATCTTCTCGCCATCTCAATTACAGCACTGGTAACTCTGAGCCCCCAATGCTCGAACCGCCACCATCTTGACAGCGGCTGCAATGCATTCTTCTATGCAGCTGAGTGATCATGGCACTTCTTGCCAATACCCCAACCACAACTGCGTCAAGAATAACTGCTCCCTTGGATGTGCCTCAAACACAAAATACCGCCCCGGTGCTCGAATTTCGATGCCTCTACACACAGGATCTGCGGCGCAAGCAGAAGCGGTGGCAGGATGGGCGACTCAAGTTTCACACCTTCAACAAACGAGTGATGATCTACGATGAGCAGTCGAATTTCGTGGGCGATACGCATTGGCGCGACGATGACGAATTCACGGAAGGGGAGGAGCTTCAATTGGACCGAAGAGGCATATTGGTTGAAGTTGGAGAATGTCTCGGCAAGAGAGATCAAGACCTAACTGAGTTGTTGAGTAAGAGGGCCCAAGAAAAAGAGGGGAGGGCTGCCGCGAGGATTGCAAATCCATCCCCGACGACATCGGTTGGGCGGTTCCAGAATGTCAGGGCCGCGGTGACCACCTTGACGCCTAAGCCTCTCAGCGCCCTGTTGACGCCATCTCGGCACTATGGCAGGGCTATGGTGTCAAATGCCTCTCCATTTGAGGAGAGACAACGCTTGGAAAATGGAAACCACAACGAGGAGGCCAATCGGCCGGCGAAGAGAAGGAAGCCGGACGACGTGACCCAGAGCAAGAGCGGGTATGCTCAGAACCTCATGGGGGCCACATTGAACTTGGCATCATCGAGACCACCAAGCACGGCGACAGTGCGGTATGATTTGCCTGAGCCAAATATAACTCGGCCATCAGAAGTCGCCATTGATCTCACGCTAGACGACGATGATGGTGGAAATGTCATAAATCCAAAATCTTCCAATGTTGACCAAGCTATAACCGCGGCCAAGCAAGCTGTGGTAAAAAGGGCGAATTCTCGGCGAACACCTCCGCCAAAGAGTGGTTATGCTAGTAACCTCACAGGAGCAGCATTAACATTGACTGGTCCAAGCGCTATGTCTGCAAGACCCTCTTTCAAGGCATTGGCAATGGAAAAGACATCCCGGAAACGGCATTATGAAACTGAAAGTTCCTCTGCAGCAGAAGATGATGGAATACTCATCGATATTAATCCATCCTTGGATCGGCCTGCTACGATAACAAAACCACGAGGATCTGCGACCGTCTGTACTAAGCCCTTGGTGCAAAAAAGTACATCTAACGTTGACAACTGCCAACAAGTGGTTCACCCACAACCATCCCTAAATTCTACTAGATCCTTTTTAGAGACGGCTACCATTAGGGACATAGGCGAGTCCACATCCGACCAACCGATGTCCTCTCTTCGGATTAGGGCTAGACCACCAAGAAAGATGATGATGCTTATGGATCGTCCTAATTCTCGACCTCGCAAAGAATCTTCTGGCAAAATTGGGCTAGCATCTAAAAATGTGACAAAGTCATTTCAATCCACAAATGAGCCGATACTTTCCCAGGACACAAGGCACTTGAACTCTTTCTACCAGAACCAAGAAGAAAAACTACAAGCATTCTTAAAAGGGAAACGAAATTCCATCAACCTGGACCTGGAGGAGGACGAGGAAGATTCCTCCCCTACCCTTGATAAGGTTACAGACCGTCGGACGATTGACCCACCGTTATCACGCAAGGGGCGCGATACTGAGGTGATGACACTACATTCGTCAGATCGCCCTCCAGGGCCAATGCTAAGTGGATCTCCACGGGCCACGGCACCCCCAGAACTCCTTGCCAGACAGCCTCACAAGGCTAAAGGGGACATCGCTTTGAATAACTGCACCGTCAATCTTCCGAGGAAAGATGGATGGCTCTTGAGTGGCGTTGAATCGGAAGACAACCCGGCTTCCAATGGCAACCGTGCTGCAGAACCCGCACGCCTCAAAAACGTGGAAGGAAAACTAGGCGTTGCAGCTGCCCCCCCGATATCCTGGAAACCAAAAACAGATCGTATGGACGGAACAAACCGATCATCGATCAGCAGCCTCCGAAATGCTAGTACGGCGCTGGTGGCGGGTACCCAGACTGCTTACGGATCAGACCAACAGGACACTCACAGAGATTTGGCCGCAAGGGGCAACTCTACCAACCCAATGAGTGAGGAGAAGCTCAAGGGCTCGCCCGATCAAGGGCCTAGCCATGTCAGCAAAGCTGTCCAATATACAAGCGAGCGTTTCCGAGCTATGATAAAGCCTTCCACTACTGCTGCAGACCCGGGGGTTGGGACCCGTTCCCCGGCTGTAGTAAGCCCAGTAGGGCTGACTGATCAATCAGTTTTGGATTACTCTTCCAGTTCACAGGAGCTTGAGCAAGCTTCAAGTGGACAGGTTGTGAAGGCGCCGCCCGAATTGGCCGTAAAGCAGTGGATTCCGGCAGACAGCAAACCCTCGAACGACTCGGGATTTCGACCCGCTAACCTGATTAATACAACATCTGGACTACGCCACAACCCAGTATTGGCACCGAACAATACGGGCCCGAGCCAGATCAAAGCCAAGCTGGTTAACCCTGCGACGCGTGGGAAATCGGTGCAAGCAGCTGCAACCATAACCGATGCAGTGGATCAAGCTTCGACTGTTTCGGCCCCGCCAGTAGAACACATATCGTCCCGGCCCGCGCCCGGATCTATCTTGGCTAGGAATATGGCGCAGAACGAGGGCTTACTAGTAGATTCAGCGCCCGTGACAGGGCCGTGGAGTCGAGAGGCGTTCGACTTATTCGGGTCATGGCTGCCTCCTGGGAGAGAAAGACCTGGCGAAGACCCTACTTAGCTGTGGATATAGTTGATTACAGCAGATTGCATGGGCGCTGACAGAAGGCTTTTGTGCCTATTGCTGAATCAGAGCGGCGGTGTGGGCTTGCATGTCGTTTATTCATATCGTTTATCTGTGTACATACCTCCCTTGATGAACTAGGAATGTGGCTGGGAAAAGCAAAGAGATCTAGATGGTGTTGCTTACGTGCCGATGATTCCAACGACTCTAATGATTCCAATAAGCCTCTCCCGATCCTGCCCGAGCCAAGGGTGAATAATCAAGGCTGACGAGTGAAAGTGCCCTTTGGAGTCTTGGACTGTCGGAGACTCGAGACTCGACGCCCTTGTTTGTTGGACTGTCAGGTCCTGCACTTTTTGCCCAGCCACATGTGGCGCATGTCAGGACTCGGACTCGATCGTCGCTTCGCCGTTCGACCAGGGAAACAAACCCCTCTGGATCTTGAATCTACGTCACCTTCACCGACTCTCCAACTCTCCATCAATTCGGAACAAGACAGCAGTGCGGGGGGATTGGGATTGCGTATCCCATCCCAAGATGCCACTGACGCGGTGCGGTTTGCGTCGTAACGAGTCTATGAGTATTCATCCTCAGTCCTCACCGAGCATTGGGCTCGTCGTTGGCTCGGCTGAGGTCGGGCACACGCTGTTACCACAGTCAAGTGCGCCTTAATGGAGAGCCTCGTTCGAACTTTATAAGGCTTCAATCGCCCTCTTTCTTACAGCAAGGTGGAGACCTACAGCTAGGTGAAGCCCTCTCATCTCCGTCCTCCCCTCTCCCATACCCATCTACCCTTCGTTATCTTCCTTATAAGCCTGAGGAGCGCCTGCGTCCAACACGCTGTCTGTGTTGGTGCCTCAACCTCAGGACTGCTACCTACTCCCACCCAGCCTTGTATGTGAACCTGCCTGCCTGCCTGCCTGTTCATGATGGACCGTCACCAGGCCGAACAGGTCTTGCCACCGCCATCGTCGAGCATGTCAGGACAAGCTCCCCCAAACCTGACCATCAGAACCTCGACGCAGCCACCGGCTCTGTCGACAGCAGCCCAACATGCATCCTCCTCGTCGCCGCCAGACCCGTCGCAGTCCGGTTATCCCAAACGGATACCCATCGAAAAGCAAGAGAAAGCATTGAGACTCTACATAGATTATCAATCTGCCACGCTGGAGGAGGAATTAGCGCGGCGAGAGCCTCAGTCTGCCACAACGTTCCGCGACGGTTATTATCTCACCGTACCGGTCGCCTCTGCCCCCCATTCCGTCACATCGCGTACATCTTCAAGGCGCCGTAGGGCGATCTCGGTGTCTACTTCTGCCTGTGGTGCGGTGACTGACATGTCGTCGGTCATGTCTTTTGACGGCAAGGAGAGCCCATCCTCGGCGAAGCCCCGGGCCCAACCCGAATTCACAACTTTTGACGGAAAAAAGTTGAAGCAGCGAGTTCGAAGTCGGCTATCACCGAAAGCCAAGGCAAAAGCTGCTCTGGTGCGCTGGCTTGGGTCGTGTCCGTCTTGTCATAAACGAAGGGTGCCTGTAAGTGTAGCCAGTGCCGTATATAGCGCGGTTCGTCCCGACTAACCGCAATACTCTAGTGTCCACTTCAACATCACGATATAGATACGCTTAAAAAGCTGCATCAGGCCATGCCACCAGAACGTCCGCCATATTCCCCTTCAAACCATCAATCATGTTCTTCGGTTTCGGGTATCTCGCAGAGAAGTGGTACATCTAGCTTTGCTGGCCAGCGTGTCGTCGGGGTATCACAGACCGACGCCCTGATGGGTTTGGGTCAAAATGAACAGCTTCTCAAGACCTCGGCGGACTGTGACATCATGGACATCCAATCCCCTGGTGGCGGCTTGACTGACCCCTTGGCTGAGATCTCAGCTTCAGGCACCCCCTATCAGACCTTTCCAGACCTCTCGAGTCCGTATTCCCAATACCAAGATGGTGACATGTTTCCGCTTGGTGTTCGGCGTGGATTCTTCTACTGTCAACATCTTGATGGGTCCTGTTTTGCGCGTTTTGAGGACCCTGAATCATTACAATTCCATTTCGAGATTGCGCATTTTTCCTTTACTCGGATCAAGCCCGCGCATCGTTTCGTGTGTTCCAACTGTCAACGCCTGAACAATATGGATTCGGCTCCATGTTACAACTGCGGGGCCCAGGGGTTAATTGAGCTCTGGATATATGGCAATTTCATTCGTACTCCTCCATACCACCGCTCCCCACCAGATGATCAGGATTTGCGAATGAAAGCTTCTATTTCTGGTTTTCTACCACCTTACGGTGCCCCAACCGTAAATCCTCAAATGGATCCAGACCTGAATAATGGCCACTTTAATGGCGATATCGACCCAAGCAGTTACGACTTTGACACAAACAATATGTATGGCGGTTCAGATTTTGGCAGCCAGAACTTCGACTTTGATTCGCAGGATAGGTCACCCTCAAGTAACAATCACTTCCAGGGGGCGTTTTTTAGGACCGCTAAGCAGGTCGCAGAGCACATCACCCATGTGTCTCAAACTTCACGGATAACGACTGCTATTGGGAAGATTTATGACCAGAAAGCATCTATATCTTTTGCGTTGCTCCTTGTAATGGCAATTGCATTCGGATTCACGTACGAGTCAGCTATGGTCTGTGTCCAACGAGCGCTAGCACTCGCAGCGGCAACGTTTCACACACACTCGCCCGCTATTGGCTTCATGAGCATTCTATTTTCTTTCGCCATGTATTCTTCGATGAAGCATTTTAGCATCCGGCGCGGTCAGCGAGCACCTTGCGTACGTATTCCTCCACGGTTGCGACTATTTGACCGCTGTGCTAATAATGGACTCGTTAGCGACTCCCTCGACATTCCTCTCTCTACCGCAAGACTCGGTTCTCGTTTAAGTGCAGGCAGACAGCGCCTGGCACTTATATCCACAGCGGGCATGCGCCATTATGAATATGAAAGATCTGGTAACGACTACGTATGAGAGATGATGATCTCGATGATATGATTTACGGACACACATGATAAACATTTATTTTTATAATCTCGCCTCAGTTGAGCGGTTTATAAGATATGTGCTGGATTTAAAATGGTACCGGCGGGAACGGTGTTTGTTTTGGGTTGTCGGGTTGTTGGTTTACAGCGGCGTTCAGTGTATCAGTACCAGTACCGCACCATACCCTTCAGCAAAAATGGTCGAGGGAGTTGCGGGTGCGGCACTGGCGCAGATACCGCACGATAAATATACGATACACGTGTACGAAGAAGTATTATTACAATAGTAAAGTTCTGAGCACTCGTTGATTTTGTCTTTACCCACGTTTGAAGAGGCACTAACCCCGCCGCCCTCCCTCTCATATGGCTAGCTTGATTTCAGATCCCTAGAAGATGCATGCGTGGATAACATCATCCTGCGTATATGCTGGCAAATCTGATATCGTTGCTCACGTTGGAGCCCGTCCTGTCCGTCTAAATCTAATCCGTTTGTCACAGCCAGACTCATCCACAAAAACATAATAATACGAACAGAATTCTAATGTATCCTGCAGGTACCTACATACAAGTCTCATAGATCGACATTCCGTCAGTTTGCTAGACGCCGAATTGCCGTTTTTACTCCAACCGATGGAAGCTAGCGCTCTCCTTATGCTAGAACTTGTTGTGTGCGTACTAAACTCGTCCAACATTATTCGAAGGGCCTCTAGTAGAGCCGAAATATCGAAAGTTCGGTTTTATAGCAAAGACAAAACGTTTACAACCTACAACATTAGCCAACTTAGCAGGAGGATAAATACTAAGAATCATATCAGAATCTGCGCGTGTTGCAACCTTGAAAGATTCGGTGCCATTCTGGGGAGTGGTTTACCTTCGAGCAAGATTTCGTCGATGCTGCTTGCTACCGGGAAGTAGCATGTTCCTGATGCATGCAAGAGCATGTTGAAACTAAGCTTCAGAAGTGGAGGCTTTACATAGTCCAGTGAGTTTCCTTCTATCACATTCCTATAGTATTAACGCATTATACCTAGACAATCCTCCTGTTGAGTACGTTGAACAGGTTCCTAAGGGCCACAATTCCGGGGGTGAACGGGGAGAGGGGAGGGCGAGGGCAACTGCTGAAACCCAGGAGCCCTAGTGTGACGTGTCTTCCAACTCTTCCGTTTGTCGACAGGATCCGTTTGTGAACAGGATACGTTTGCTCGCAGGATCCGTTAGTCGACAGGATATGTCTGTCGACAGTGTACGTTTGTTTGTCGACTGAGATAATAAAACGTGAGGTCACTGCCACTCGAAAATGGAATTGAACTGAAGGAAGAACACGCGAAAATGTCTAGCTCAGCAACTGACCTAATGTACGCCTTCAGGAGGTCCCTGGGAGAGGCAAAGGTCTTGTCGCCACACGAAAGATCCCTATGGGCACTCGCATCCTCTCTGAGGAGCCTATCGTCAGAGTGCCCGAAGCTGTGCTTGACATCCAGACCCTGTTGCCATCTATTCGCAGGCAAGTCGATGCGCTCACGCCAGACCAACGACGAGCCTTCCTCTCTATGTATAACATGCATACCGACGATGCTACCTTGCGCTACCTTGGAATCGTCCGAACGAACTCTCTCCCCCTTGGGGACTATGTGGGGGAAGTGGGTATTTTCCTCAATGCATGTCGTATTAATCATGCTTGCGACAACAACGCCCAGAAAGGTTGGAACGAGAACATCCAACGGCACACCGTCCATGCCATTCGGGATATCGAGAAAGACACAGAGATCGCAATTTACTACCTCGACGTCGTCAACAACCGCAAAACCCGCCAAGAAACTCTTCGAAAGAAATTCGGGTTTACCTGCTCTTGTAGTCTTTGCTCCTTGCCACCAGATAAGAGCCAAGAAAGCGATAGAAGGCTGGATGAGATCCTCAGGCTAGATAGTCTGATCAGCACAGATGGCTCCGTAGGGATCATGTCAGCCCCACTACGAATACTTCGATACGTTGATGAACAGATCCGTCTTTACCATGAACAAGGTCCAAATGACCCCGGTTTGCCAAGGGCATTCTCTGACGCTGCGCAAATCGCTATTGCCAATGGAGACTAGCCAGGGGACGAGTTTTCACTGATCGTGCGGTGCTTGGATGGACCGTCTTGAATGGCGGCGACTGCTCCAAAGTTCTTCAATACCGAGCTCTATCCCAGGACCCCTCGAAACACGAGCTATACGGGATTTCTATGAACTGGAAGACTGCCGTGGATGAAATCCCTCAGGGACTTGACTCGAAAGAGTTCGACGACTGGTTATGGAGGAGGGACAAGCCAAGACGACCCGGATAGCCAGCAGACTTTCGCAACCGGGCAACGTTTCCGGGTTTCATTGACTTACCAACAAAGATACGCTTTGATTCCCAGTTCTACGAAGACAGAGACAGTGACGAGTTTACCTACCAACCACGACGGCACTGGCTGTTCCTGGCAGAGATTGTCGACTTTGGCACCTTGCTTCGCCTACAGATGGACATCCAGGATGTTGACGGCAAGACGGTTCCGCTCTTCTTCTATACAGAGGGGCGCGGCAGAGAACTGGCGCCTTCACTGGTCCAAAAAGGGTACACCGTTGCGATTCTCTATGCACAGCACCACGCATTCTTGTTTTCTAACCCGGGAATCCGTCATGAGAAGCCCTCGAATATCAAGGTACCGTTACAACTGCCATCGAGACCATAAACGTAGTCTACGTTTCTAACACAGTGTGTCCCCACAGATATTTCCACTATCGCTCAACAAGCTGCTATCGTTGAGCGATGGGGTCCAAAAATTCTCGGTCGAATTCAACGGTACAAGAACATGTCACGGCTGCGATAAGAAGGCGGCCTCCTTGGATAAGTGTGGCAGGTGCTCGCTTTTCTGGTACTGCAATAAAGTAAGCCCGGTCATCGATGCCCTATCCTATTTGATTAAAATGCTAACCTTGTTACAATAAGGACTGTCAGAGCGTTGGCTGGAATGAGAAAGGTCACAAGGCAGACTGCAAGCATCTCAAGGATGCGGATTTGAAGGGATTGTTTTCTCTCGACTGGGATAAATTTGAAGGCCATGTTGGATTTCCTTTGAATACTACAAGGGCCTGGAAAAGGCCTGGCTATGTCGGAGCGACCAATCCGCTGTAATGATGTAGTTGATTAAAGTTTATTTCGAAGTGCAGCCGTGTTTTAGAGTAAGAGGGAAGCTCTAGTATTGCTGAGCCGTTGTGCCCTTCGCCATCATGTTTTAACAACCTGTAGAATATTCGTATAATAAGGAGATATTTTCATTGTTAAAATAGAAATGCTTATAAAATTACAAAATGATTATATAAACAAGACTCTTGTAAGATGGTTGTGAGACGCTTGTCACGGCGAGACGCTTGTAAGATGCTTATCGTTTGTTAGCCTTAGGCCCGCCAAGTAGTCCATATCCCTTACTCTGTGCCAAGTACTACCTTCCTAGGTACCTAGTCTCGGGGAGAGAATCCTACGATAATCCCGTACAGCAACCTGAACTAAATAGAGCTATCTCGACCGAAAATAAAACCTAACTTTAATCACGATAACGAGATATATCCTTTTTAACACATTCTCAGGGCTATCTGCCGGCAGAGTCTTGTAGGCGGGGATATTAATTAAGCCTACCTAGGTACTGTCGGTACCTAGGATAATGTTACAACTTGGACTGTTTACTGTTTACTTCCAAACCACCAATGTCCCGCCCACCGAGGCTGTGTTTGCAAACTGCGACTTCCCAATGCGAAGTGTCAACTCGTGGCTGTCGAAGGGGAGTCATCACTTTGCACGCTAAACCCCTTCGGTCTCGCCGGTCTGCACGGTTCAAGGGTGGAATCATGGAAGCGTGTGTCGGTCGCTGGCCGCTGGAAAAGCGGCGGGACCCTCTTCGCAATGAACCCTATGACACTTGGAAACCTGAGCTCTAATGCCTTGCAAAGTCGCAATGGCGGGGGAGACCGGCGCAGCGCTGCTTTTTGGGCCCTGGTCCACAATCCACGGATATCCCTCTCGGCCTAGGCCCAAAAGAGCTCGCCGTGCTGCGCATCTGCGCATCTGCGATCAGCCTGGGGGAATTGGCGTGTCGCCGGAGCTGGGTTGGGCTTGCTGACGGGGCCCTTGAGGTTCATATTAAGGATGTCTGCTTTCTCCTCGAGGCATCAAGTTTTGCTCTCTCTTCTTGCTTCTCTTTCAGCATAGTATATGTACTCGAGTAGCTACTCAGAGACATTCCAGCCATTGTTCTTGCCCAGCAGCTTCATCGTTGCCCACGGCGTTGGCTGAGAGATTCGGTATACTCCTACTCCTACCGTACACACCATCCACTCTCAATTGGATATCAATCCATTCGTCCTTGATTTATTATCACCACCACGCATTACCTTTTTATACATCAACGGCCCTACCGTCAGTCCCACGCAATGGCCTACGCATCCTTCACCATCACCCAGCCATTCCTCGGCGCTCCGCTGCAATTCTCTCCAGCGCTCGGCTCGCAGGAACTCGAGCAGCTAATCGATGCCTATGTCGTTGGTCCAGCGGCCAAGTCAGACAAGCTCTCTGAGGTCACCATTGAATTCTACAACCATGCCACCGTGGATCTAGCCACCGGTGCTCTGGTCCGCAGATACGACGTCTTCCCCTCGTCCCCATCTTCTAGCTTCAGCCCAACAGCCTACACCCCCAGCCCATCCTCCTGCTCAGCTACCCCCGGAGACTCCGGCTATGGCTCCATCATTGAGATGGCCACGCCTCCAACTGGCTCCGTAAAAGGTGCACGGGTTTCCAAGAAGCAACCCCCCCTGTCAAAGTCAAAGAAGGAGACCAAGAAGACCGCTGAGATCAAACTCCCCGGCTTCACCATCATGACGAAGGACGGTGTAGACGTGACGAACTCCGCTGCAAAGGGTACCAAGACCCGGGAGCAGAGGGAGCATGCGCATTTGATGAGGATCATGAAGGCATGTGACGCGTGCAAGAAGAAGAAGGTTCGATGTGATCCAAGCCACCGTCAGGGAAAGCATCATGCCGCCTCAGTATCAGGCTCTGCGACGAAGAAGTCCAAAAGTGCTTCAGCGAGTAGTAGCTGGAGAGCTCCTAGCCCAAAAGTCTCAATACCACCACTGTCGCAGGAGACAACGCTCGATTCTTCACAGGACAGCATCATGCCCTCCTTCGATTCCGCCCTCGACGATTTCATCCTCTTCCCCGCAGATGCTATGTCCTGGGACGCAGCAGACATGTCTTTCGCCTCAGATGACATCTCAGCAGCCGACGACTTGAACCAGTTCAATTTCGACATCTCCGACTTCCCAGTCTCGAGCGTTGTCGATCAGCCATTTGAGGATTTCTCCTTCTCCCAAAACCAGATCCAAAGTCCTTGGTATTTCGAAGATGTTGGACATCTCGATGCGCCCGAGTATGGCCTAAGGGCCGAGGCGGCGAAAAATCACAACCCGCTACAACAACCTTTCTCCACCGTTCCTGGTGGTGACCTAAGCCACTTCGACCTAGACATTAATGTCGACTTCCGACTTCCAACACTAAATGATGGGGGCGTGGATTATCAATCCTTGGATAATTCCCTCTCTAGACCAACCCAACACCAACATCACAGTCCCGATTCGTTCACCAACTTGCAACTAGTAGGTGGTTACGATTCGCGGATGATGGAGGGAGACGTAGGGGTGGATGGAGGGATGGACGGCCACGATGGGTTGGAGCAAATTGCAAAGGACCACAGGGCCATTGCGAGATCGCGGGAATCACATGCACCTCAAAATTCGTCACCGATTTCCCTGGATATCACTCGCTTCAAGACCCAACAACCAAGCCTGACATCAAGCTCAAGCTTGCTGTCGTCGAAATCGCCGGCGGCGAACACGCCAGCACCAAGCTTATCATCACTTTCACCAAGCTCGACATCTACCTCAGATTCCGGTCTAATGGCCTTGCAATCTATGAGTGTGAGACATCGGCAGAGTTTGAGTTCAGGGACATTATATGATTCAGCACTGGATTCTGCTATTGTTGCCCGTGCGACACGTCTGTACAGTCACGCAATCCGCCTTCAAACACCCAGAGTTGAATTCACACAGAATTCGGCCCTGGATCATGCTATCGAAAGAATGGCTTCTCCGACTCATAGGAGGAGCCCATGCTCATGGGGACTGGAATCAGGCCTACATGAATGGTTGGACGGTGTTCAGACAAGCGCCCTTGATACTTCCCTGAGTGAGACCCGCACGACTTGTGTGGAACCCCAACACACAAGGCCTCATGCATCGAACGCTGCTCGAGGTTCTTCGACCTCGGCCGCGACATCTTTACCTCGTGTGGAGGCCCAGCAGGCAAGGTTGAGCCGACTGACTGTACAAAGATATGCCGCTCAGGCAACCCGGTCAACAAGTCGGGGGCTTCAGACAGGTTCACCGTCGCAGGCCTTGGCTCCAAGTGCACAATCAACGTCGGATCCGGCCCAAATGAGCATCAGCACAACATGTCTACAGCCAAGCTCGCGCTCGGAAAGCACCGCCATGGAACAGAACCAATTGATTTCCAATTCTCTATCCTACACCAGACGAATAGCCTCCGACGTTGGTAAACGTTTCTACACATGTTCCTCGGGTACTACAGTCTTTGTATCAAAGATATCATTCCTCCACCTATTCTCTGCATTATCATCAACCACCTCCCCGGCCCTCCTAGCCTCCTCCTCCCAAAGTCTCACGACGCTACCAGGCGCATACCTACCCGCAAACACGTTACCAGGCTTCGCCACACCACCCGTAACGCCCACACTGGCATATACATCGGGATCCTCCTGCGGTGTCAATCTCGTCACAACCGCTCTCACAAACGTCATGATATCCCTTGGCTCACTAATCCTCGTTGCTCTCAGTCTCTCCCTTGCAAACAACAGCTCCCTATTCGCCGCATGGAAGAAATCCGCAATCGCGTTCGCGATCTGTCTCTCTAGCACATGTCGGATCAATGGGCGTAACACAGGCTTGAATAGCCATGCTAAGCATGCTAGTTTACTGCGTCTGAGTGTGTAATTTAGATGATGGATCTTAACGCGCACTGCGCGAAGTGACAAGATTTTCTCGACGCGTTCCCGTCCGATCTCCACATCGAGCTCGATGTCGATGCCTCGCTCGTCGAGGTGGAATGATGCTATTCCTTCATCTGTGAGCCTGAATAGTCCCTTGTGAGAGCGCATCCAGAAGCCGACTTCGTCGGCGCGGACGGACAGGCCTTGGATTTTTATGGTCACGAGAGAGGCGACGGTGGATACGGTGCGGAAGCGGCGTTTGTGGATCGTGAGGTCGTTGTATGTTTCTACTTTGAGACGGAAGGGGAGGAATGATGTGTTGTTTACCGTGCGTCCTGGTTCGAGGATGAGGTTTTCGAGGAGCAGGTCCAGCTCTGGAACGGCGATTTCGAGACGTGGGATCGGGATGTATTGGATTGCTTGGATTAGCATTGGGATGAAGATGGTGTAGCTGTCAATGACGAGCTCGGCGTTGGATGTTTTGTTTGTGGGCGTCACTATGCTCCATAGACGCATTGTTGTAGATATTAACTTTGAGACATCCGTGTCGTTTATCACAGAATGCAATGTCTTGCGCGCTTGTTGCAGCAGTGCATCGACGTCCTTCCGAAGCTGTGATTCCGTAGAGCCTACCTCTTTCCCCTTCCCCTTTAATTCGTCTAACACATTACCTACCCCTTTCCCGCCCCCTTTCTCGAAAAACTCTGGATCCGTAAGCATATCCTGAACCGAATTCGCCAGTTCCTCTATAACTTTCTCGAATTCAGGATCGGTTCCCCGTGCATGTTCCATCACTTTATCAAACCGCTTCCTCAAATCATCCCATTCCTTCTTCTCTCCAAAAGTACTTAATAATGCCCACCCACTCTGCACCGCACGGTCTAACTCAGCGTTTGTATCAACGTCCTCTTGCACAGTGTGAAGCGTGTCCTCTGCGGCGCGCGAGTAAGCTTTCGCGCACTGCTGTAGGACCCGCGTCAGCGTGGTGACAGAATCTGTGTACGAGGGTCGTTGACGAAGAGAGGTGACGGCAGCTTTGAGATGTTGGATAAGTTCTTCCTTTTCCGAGCGCGAAGATAGGTTCTCCTGAGCACTAGAGACGGCTTCTTTTCCCGTTTCTTTTAACCCGTCTACCACGACTTCTGCTACCTCGGTTGCCGACGCCTCGAGGTCATTAGTTGTGGGTACTACTTCTTTCTTCGAGGTATTCTTGACTGCCTCGGAGTAGGACTGCCTGTGAAGGGTGGAGGATGATGGCTCAATTTGTTTTGCGGCATCTTCAGCGACGTTGGAAAGCGTAGTTGCTGTGTCGGTGAAGACTTGCCGTCCTATTCTATTAAGATCTGATAGTAGGAGGCGGAAGGAGGAGTTGCTTATGAGCAGGCTGGAGATAGTTTTGGCACTTTGGTATGCTATTTGGGATAGGATATATCAGCTTAAATTACTCAAACATAAGAGAGGTGAATTAGCATGAATGATACGAGGATTGGAATACTTACCAGCGGATACATCCGCCTTCCCCCGCGCCCTTTGCGCCGAGCGCACCAAATCCACCGTATCAACCTCCAACCTCGCATGAACCAAAAACCAAATAAAATCTTGGATCTGATCCTCATTATTCTTCTTCCTCAACAGTTCAATAAATTCCCTCAGCCACTGCTTCGTATACTTCGTCAACAACCGTCCACTATCTGTTAACCCTGGCGTATTAGGATTCAAGACGTCTGAAGCGAGGAAGGTCCTCAAATTCGCGATAGTTTGGTCAGTGCTGGGCATATAACCTTTGGATAAGGCACGGAATTGCTGGTAGGAATGTAACTTTTGGTGAGTAGCGCGTTGGAGGGAGGTTTCGTCGTTGTAGACTGGGAGGAGGGGTTCCGTCTCGCTATTTTGCGCTGAGCGCTTCTTTCTGAAGCCGAAACAATCAGACATTTTGGGATATGTAGATTACACTATCCCGTCAATTGGGAAGAGGTAAATGTAATTGTAGATGATCGGGTGTCAACGGGATTGAAAACGGGAGTTTAAGTTTGTGAGATGGTGTTTTGGGAATTCGATGACGGAAGCTGCATGCTTGCTCTTGAGCTTGAGCTTAGTCTAGAAGTCGATACCACCCAGGTAACTCAGGGAATTGGTATAGAAGGACCACTAGATTTTGTACTTTATCTGTTGCTCGAGATTGATTCACATGTGAAAATCGAATTCAAGTACTTCTACTTCAATTTCTTCAATACTTGATTCTCTGTTTATTGTTTACATTCCGTCCCGCTCCTAAACAGCAAACCAAGCTACGTCAGGGCGGCCTTGGCAGCTGGATCTTATCTGCACGTGACTATAGATAAGCGTCGCAAACATGTTTATCGTTTGTGAGCAAACACCAACCCACGCAGCGGCGTCGACGGCGTAGACTCATCCAGGTTCCAGCTGGGCGGGTTTGAATAAATACAAACACACCGGCATCGCGGTGGCTCCGATCGTGCATATTATTTTGCTTGATATAATAACTCGGGACTTATCGCATAGACAACCGTTTATCAATCGCGAAACCTAAAATCAACCCCTCCAATTGTCATTTCACCCCGCCAGAAATGGAGCAGCGAAAGGAAGAGCTTACTCGGAGGCCAATATATGGTAACTACACCTCTGCACCCGCATTTTCCACTGTATACTTTTGCTAACCTTAACACAGTCTATAACCTCCCTCCAGACATTTTAACGAATCTAGCTCTGAAGAAAGACGATGGGCTTGTACCCGAAGCAAGCAAACCAGAACCAGCGAATAACACAGTCTCCACACCAGAATCAAGAGCAGAAGCTGGTGATGGATCAAAATCTTGTTCCCTATGCGGAGTTACATTTTATACCGTGGAGGACCAGAGGGGTCATGTTCGCTCCGATTTGCACGGGTACAATTTAAAGCAACGAATACGAGGGGTGAAACCTGTGACGGAGGGGGAATTCGAAAAGCTGGTAGGAGGTATTATTAGCGTCGCTCAGACGTTGTTGAATACGGGCTGATGAGTGCTAGATCTGAACGAAAGTCTCTCAGGCTCCGATTCGTCTGATTCCGAAGATGCTGAGGTGGGACATCCACGCAAAGAAACGGCATTGAGCGCGTTGCTGAAAAGGCAAGCAGCTCTCTCGTCGCCAAACGATGACGAGATGGGCGATCTTGCGTCGAATAAGCAGAAAAAGGGACCAGGAAAGGCACCGCTGTGGTGGTTCGCAGCTCCGGTTTTGCCTAAGAACACATATCTGGGTATATATCGAGCAATATTTACCGACGAGGAGCAGAAGAATGAGTCGGCGATACTGGAAATCATTAAGCAGAAACAACTTTCTCCGAAACCACAGCTCAAAATCCCTACCGACCCGAATAATGGGGTCCCCTTACCCGAGGCGTACAAGGGCCCTCATATCTTCCTTTGCATGATAGGAGGGGGGCACTTTGCAGCCATGGTAGTGTCCCTTGCGCCGAAGCAGACAAGATCCTTAGCGCCAGGCCCATTAATGCGCGAAGCAACAGTGTTGGCACATAAAACTTTCCACCGGTATACAACACGTCGAAAGCAAGGTGGTGCACAATCGGCGAATGATTCTGCTAAAGGAGCGGCCCATTCCGCTGGATCAAGCCTTAGGCGGTATAATGAGCAAGCACTCACTGAGGAAGTACGATTGCTCTTACAGGATTGGAAGGGCATGATCGATACGTCTGAGTTGCTGTTTATACGCGCTACAGGCAATACCAATAGGAGAACCCTCTTCGGCCCATATGAGGGACAAGTAATTCGTCAGAATGATCCGAGGATTCGAACCTTCCCATTTAATACCCGCCGCGCAACGCAAAACGAACTGATGCGCTCTTTTGTCGAATTAACCCGGGTCAAAATCCACGAAGTCGACGAAGCCGCTCTGGAAGCAGCAAGACTCGCAGCTTTAGAACCCAAAGTCTCAAAACCATCTAAACCAGTAGCGCCACAAGCACCCAAACCAACTGAAGAAGAAGAAACAGCCATCCTCCACACAACCCAAATCCAAGCTCTAATCCGCCGCTCCAAACTCCCCGCCCTCCTCAGTTACCTAAAATCCAACTCACTACCTGCAGATTTCACCTTCTTCCCAGAGAATCACCACGCCCCAACACCCCTTCATTTAGCCGCGAGCCAAAATTCCCCGCCGCTGGTAACAGGTCTACTAGTCAAAGCAGGCGCTGACCCAACACCCCTCAACGCCGACGGGAAAACGTCATTCGAACTCGCCGGAGATAGAGCAACCCGCGATGCCTTCCGCGTAGCGCGGTCAGAACTCGGAGAAGGGAAGTGGAACTGGGACGCTGCGCACATTCCTGCCTCAATATCACGTGCTGATGCTGAGGCGCGTGATAAGAGGGACAAACAAGAAGAAGCGAAAAAGGAGGAGGAGTGGAGGGCGGCCGAGAAAGAGAGGTTGAAGGAGCAGGGTCCGAAAATCGATGAGGGGAGAGCGCCATTGGGGAAGGCTGCGGGAAGGGGCAGGGCGCTTGCATTGGGCATGGTTGCTAAGTCTGCGCAGGAGAAGAGGGAGGAGGAAGCTAAAGGGTTGACGCCTGAGATGAGGGTTAGGCTTGAGAGAGAGAGGAGGGCTAGAGCGGCTGAAGAGAGGATGAAGAAGATGGCTAGTGGTGCGTAGTACGCCAATGCCTATAAACTTTATAGATATATCCTATACTATATAAGCTTCGATTCCCTTGGTAATTGTGCCCCCTTTCGACAATCCTTCTATGACCACTAGGAAGTGTAACCAGCAGCTCTCTTGCTATCCCATTTATCGAGCAAAGTAGCATTACAAGAACTGTAACCAGCAATAGCCTTTGAACTTATATACTCATAAGATGTAGCTGGCTGTGAAGCCTAAAAAACGAGAACTAATTAGCTTGCTTCACTCAGCTTTGAGCGTGTATATGGGTATTGATATTTCTAGCTCAAAAACCTAACAGGCGAAAACCCATCTAACCCTGCCTAGGGTTTAGCTCGACCATACAAGCTATTTTCTCTATACGCCTACCATCTATTCTCACGCAATAGGGGCTTCAAAGACCAACGAAACCCCATCATCCCCTGCGGTAACAATCCTCTCGCCATTGCCCTGCACAAAACCTAAAACACCACCACCCTCCCCATCGCCCCTATGCCCCCTCCACTCCTTCACAAATCCCGAATTCGCCATCCCGGTCCCTCCCCGAGTATCCCACCTCCTAACCACACCATCCATCCCACAACTTGTCAACAGCCACCCTCCTGACCGTGCATTCTTCACAAACTCAACTTTCACAACACTGAACTCCTCATGCGCCTCTTTGATAAGCCGCCGAACGGCAAATCGGTGAGCCGAATCGAATAGCGCAATAGAACCATCCACGCTGCCAGCAGCTAGCAACGTCAAGGGTGGAGGAGCAAAAGCAAGTGTTTCAATACCATCAGTCTGCGCTTGCAGATCCGCTAGTATTTGCCCGGACTGTCCAAGAGAAGGTTTCACAGCTGCTTGCTTGCCACCTTTTGCCTTCCCGCCCGCAGCTGATGCAGCAGAGCCAAGTCGAGGTAGGCCGACGACCTTAAGAGCTCCGCCGGCACCACCTACTACGACAAAAGCCCCGGTCGCAGGCTCAATCGCAACACTGTATAAACCGCCTTCGACAGCGAATCGCTGATCGTGATTCGTGAGTCCAACGACGGTTTGTCCACCATCCTGCGTGAAACCCGCCGCAGAAGCCTCCCCGAAAACATCCCATACGTATAAAGACCCGTCTTCGCTCACTGTAGCGAGGAGTTTCCCGTCCGAGGTCCACGCGCCTGCCGTGCAGGACTCCGTATGCAGGAAGTAGGATTGAACGATTTGAAGAGGTGCTGAAGCATCGGTGCTGACGGTGTATACCCAAACAGAGCCATCATTTGCACCGAGGGCGAATGTATTTGGGAATGCTGGGTTTGGGCATGCAGCGAGCCAGTTTATCTCCTCGACTTCTTGCGCCTCGCCGAGGAAGCTCCAAGAGCGGCTTTGCTGTTTCGGCGCTGCGACGTATGTGCGTAGTTTCCCGTCCAGACCGCCTGATATAAGGAATTGCCCCGCGGGAAGTGTAAATGTGAGGGCGTTGATCGAATCTGTATGTCCTTCCAGCGTAAATAGCGGCTCTAATCCTTTCCTCTCCTGCGGCTCCGTCGGCGGGACCTGATACGATGCCGGCAGTACAGGCGTCGCATCATCCGTGGGCGTAGAGTCGAAAATGTATCCTATGCCTCCAGCATCTTCGCCTTCGCTGCCTCCTGTGGCGATTATGTGAGGGTGTACAGGGTGTTGGGCGATGGTGAAGATGCTGTCTTTGTACTTGTCGAAATAGGCCGAGGAGTCGTTTTCTAGTTGTAGTTCTTGCATTATTTCATCCTCGCCTTCTCCCCCTGCTTCATCATCGTCGGACCCAGAATCCATCACGGCGTCGCCGTCGTCGATGATCTCCTCTGCTGCGTCGGAGGGGTCGAGCATTACTGCCTCCTCCTCTTCGTCGACCCCGCTATTGGGGCGTTCATGTGGATTGTGCGCCGGTGACATTGTGGGTGAGATTGAAGAATGTATAGGAAACGGGCTGAAGAGGGCGGAAAGGCACGATTTCAATCTGGAATCTATGGCTTTTAAAAAGAAGATGGGAGTCGGTGGTCGGCGCACTTTATTCTCCACGCTTCGATGTGCTTTGAAATCCGCCAACTTTTTTCCATTTGAGAGTCCGAAGTTTTCCCGGAGGGGTGGGGAACAGGCGCGGGGATTCCTCAGCCTTATCGCCCCTTATCCCCTTTCCCATCAACTCAAGATTCCTAGCTGCGGGGATTTGCTGGTGTTGCTGGACAATCTGCTGCTTGACTATTTTTGTTAATTTAAACTGCATAAAGTTATATCATGGCTGTCGAGTTTTCAAGAGCTTGCTGCACTATAGGCCCACAAAGACAGATTCGTATAGATAATATGATATCTAATGGTCTATCTAGCGTAAACATCTAAGTCATATATACAACACGTTTTACAATTTTGCTCCATTTGCTCTTCTAGTCTCCTTCTCTTTATCTCTAAGCAACCTTCTCAATATCTTACCACTAGGACTCTTCGGGATGACATCTATAAATGTTACGCCGCCCTTCAACCACTTGTGCCGGGCCTTATGCTCCTCGACATGTTTACAGATCGACCTGGCAGTTATTTTGTCGTTATCCTCAATGCCAACTGTTGAGGACTTGACCACGAACGCCTTCGGTACTTCTCCAGCTTTGTCATCTGGGACGGGGATGACAGCGCAGTCTGCTACTGAGGGGTGGGTCAGGAGGTGAGCTTCCAGTTCAGCGGGCGCAACTTGGAGACCCTGCGATTTTATTAGTACCAAAAGATAGCGAGGACCAAGAAAGGAAACGTACCTTGACCTTAATCAGCTCCTTGATGCGATCAACGATGAATATGTGCTCATGTCCTAGGGGACTCTTTCGAACGACAGCTTCGTCACCAGTGCGCATCCATTTGCCCTTTCCGTCCGTATCATCAATGAACGTCTCCTTGTTGGCTTTGTCATTGTTGAGATACCCGATGACGACGGATGGCGATTGTACCACAAGCTCGCCTGCCTTATCGTACTCGGTGATTTCCACACCCTCGGGCGACACGATCTTAGCATAGATGCCAGGTAGAAGGGAGCCACTTGATCCGAAGAAGATATCATGCTCAGGAGTCCCGCAGACGACAGTGCATGATTCGGTCAAACCTACAACTCTATTAGTACAATTGTATTTAGGAGGCAAGCATACGGGAAACTCACCATAGCCTTGTCTGATTTTCCAGGTTGGGTAGATCTTTTGAAGATCTTGCGCAGTTTCTGCTCCCAATGGGGCCGCGCCTGTGAAAATAGTCCTGACGCTGTTGAGATTATACTTTGAGCAAACTTCTTGATTCTTGGTCAACGTAATGATAATGGGAGGGACCTGTTATATGTTGTTAGCTTGCAATAATGTTGAACCGAGGGGAAATTTTACCAAATAGAGAGCCCATATCTTGTAGGTCTGGATCGCCCTCAAGAACGATTGAAGCTCAAACTTTGGCAAAATAATAACCTCATCTCCGCGATATGTCCCAACCTGGGCAACGACGATCAATCCGTAGATATGACTTAATGGTAGAAGGCCCAAAACAACTTCTGTTCTGTCCACGGGTTTCCTCTCCCTTCTGGCCTTTGATTCATACCCGGTATATTGCATAACGTTTGCTATTACATTACGATGGCTAATCATGACACCTTTCTGTATCCTGTATGTTAGTTGGGATCACTAAGCAATGGCTATTGGCGCGCCGCGAGGCGCAGGGATAGTTGTTTGAGAAACTGGTTGTTGAACTTACCGGCAATCCAGAAGTGCCACTCGAATAGCAAAGGAATGCAGTTTGCCGTTTGCCTTGCCCTGGCGACCATTTCAACGGTTCCAGTTTTGGTAGTCTTGCGCCCTCCGTGACCAGCTGACCAACTGTTTTGAATGGAACTGCCTTATCTCCTGAAAACTGCTTAGGCATATCCAAAATATAAATCCGGTTGTTGGGGATTCCGGAAGCTCTTGCTGCCTCCAAGGCGGTATCAAGGGCGGGCATGCACTGTTTTCCAAACATTAGCCGGGTAACGATTGCCTCTGGCTGTTTGCACGACTTACTGTAAATAGCGACGTTGCACCAGAGTTCTTCAATTGGTATTCCAGTTCTGAAGCAGAGTACGCTGCGTTGGCCGGAGAAGCTATTCCTGAAAGTCGATGAATGGCCCATGACAAGGTCATCGAATCGACCTAGGGAAATACTTTAGTCACATATCCGCTATATTATCGCCCAACAGAAGCTGCTTACTGTGTTCAGCGCGAATATCCCGACAACCTTATCCCATTCAGATCCCTTGTTTGGATGCCATCCGAATTCATTGGCTAGAGACCGTGCCAAAAGCTCGACCCTATCCACTTGCTCGGATGCCGTATATGTCAAGCCAGTGATTCCACACGTGTAGGGGTTCCGCGAGGCTTTGATGGGATGCCTTCCGTATGCTTCATTGAAAAGAAATTCGCTGATGGGTATCGAATCTGGGGGATCTATATTCCACGAAGTCAGCTCCCGTGCTATGGAACTGCTGGAAGCCGGAAAGAAACTGGTCCAGCGCTCCAAAGTCGCGAGGGTTGGATATTACTTACCGAATGGGAGGGGATCCTGCCACGACGGAGGGGAGAAAACCATGGTGAATAGTGCTCTCGGAAAGAGCAATAATCCAAGCTTCGAGGAGTTGATATCAAGATATCGATCGAGCCCGCAAGTATGTGACGCAGTCGGCGGTTCTTGATATTACCCTTGAGCTTCAACCTCTGTAGACGTGGCAAAGACAACAAGATACAGAGGCAATTGGGCTTGCCGGAGAAGGAAAGGGAGGGACAGAAGGTATATAAGCAAGAGACAAGGCCAATTGCCCTTCGAAGCAACAAGTACGACCGCACTCTCCCCACTTACCGTGACAACACCCCGACACTGGACGGACGACCCCCAAAACGCCAATACGCCACACATCGCCCTCGGTTGCGGGGTTGGTAGTGCTGGAGATTCGGCTTCATGGATTCCCAACTTGGCGCAAGGGCACCGAACCGCCGAGGCAAGTTGTTTAGTCGATCCCTAGGTAGCCGACTCGAGCTAGAACGACTCGTGTTGGCACATCTTCTAGGAAGAGTATAAAACCAATGCATCTCATTTTCGATAGCTGTGCTTTGTGCGGACGAATGGGAGGCTATTGTCCGTTATCAAATGTATTGAATTTGGTAAAAGGTTTCGCCTCCTTTACCTGTGCCTCAGCTTATTATGTACCAAGCACGAAGTACGGCTTCTTGGTCCCTTCACTCCATCAGCAGCGGAAACTTGTCCGCTCAAAGTGCCCAAGGGGATTTCTCCGAGGTTTAGGCGCCCTCGGTCCTCGTATCTCGGGGTACCTTGGTACAATTTATGGTACAATTATGGTACAATATGGTACATACGAAGGTGCGAAGTACTCCATGCTTCGCAAGTACAGTACATCCAGACTCTGGAGTACTGCGTTGGACGTTCAACTTCTTGCTCAGCTCTTGGTTCTTCTCGCAATTCCACCTCGCAACGTTTACAAGTGTCTGCTGAACGTTGAATCGGGATTTGTTAGGTTGCAACTTATCACTTCTATTTTGCTTGTTGCGAAGAATGAGGACAGGCTGACAACCTATTTTCGGACTGCGATGCCTCCAAGAATTTACACCTCATCTCCTATATGTCGTCATCACTTCTTAGCTGCATCATTACCCGGCAATGCTTTACCTATCTGTGTAGGTTATCTCTACTTCTTTCTCCATATACTTTTGATGTTTGGGTTCCGGTAGATGTATCGGCATGTACTCCGTATCACTCCGCGAACTTTGTGTTCGTACAGTACACTCACAGGGGCAGCTTTCATCGCCCACAGGGTCACAGCGGCGCCCTCTCTTAAGTTTAGCGCTACCCGCCTATGCCTGAGCCTGAGTCAACGTCAGGTGGAATGAGTGAGGGAGAAAGTCAACTCACAACAGCAGAGTAAGAGGCATCGGTCTTTGGATCATAAAACTTCGACGATTCCGAGGTGGTTATAATATCAACAAAGTCGAGAGCTACATTGGGCACTCATTTTAATGCCAGCCGCCTCCATGGCATCTAGTCGCCGCGGACGGAAGAAGTCGTCTGGCAGAAGACCATGGGAATGGAGAGTGTGGCATGACGGCGAGGATGATAATTCCAATTTTGCGGATGTCTCTGGGTCCAACATCCTCCCTACTGGGAGACGAAGAACAGCAACATCTGCGGAACCAAAACCCAAGATTTGCGAAATTATTGGCCCGTCACAGACAGCCGGATCGCAATGGGAAGTCGAGCCATTAACTAATTTGCCATTACCAAATCCTGCTTACAGCTCCAATGCCGATGGGGATGGGGATACGATCGTGGTGCAAGGATATGGATTCGGTCCCAATGCATTGGAATCGACAATAGAAGCACCGACTTCTGCACTAGATCAGGTGTCAAGCGTCCCCAGTCAGTATCAAATTCCACAAGAAGAACGCAGCGAATCGCAAGACGCTATGGGCATTGATGAAAAGCAAAATGAGCTCGATGCTAGTGAGGCGCAGGTTGGCATCAACGTGAGCGAAAGACAAGATGCTTGTATCACTGAAAAACAGAATGAGCTCGATATTGGCGTTGCGGAAATCCAACAACATGTCGGGATGGGTGAAAAGCCAGCGGATACCATCACAACTAAAGCTAAAATAAATATTGGCATCAGTGAGGAACAACCTAATCGGGGGCTCAGCGAAAACCATTGTCACATTAACATCAACAAAAAGTCGCATGAACTGGATATTGCTCGCATGGCAAATCATCTCGACATCAATGACGAGCAAGCTGTGGCGCAGATCGCTGAACTGCAAAACTTGGCTCGCTCAGGTCTCTCAGGCGCGGCCTATGCTATGCACCCAGATCATAAACCTAGGGAATATAGATCTCCACATTCCCCAAAGACCAAACCTAGCTTCGGCGAGGGCGCTGATAACAATGCCGCCCTCGAAAATGCCTGGTCACACGGCTTTCCATCCATACCAAATATACCGGTTGGTACCGTTCTAAACCCCAACTAGTAGATCCTTCTGAAAGCAAGTCTTGACAAGTACAGGGCGATGTCAAACCTACTCAACTGTGCATGGAGGACGATAACGACCAGACGTTCAATCCTCCAGCCTCCGGGCCCCCCACAACTCCAGGTGGAAGATGGCATGGCAGTGCGGATGGGGTATTCTCTGTGAATGGTATGTATATGTATTCAGCACTTGGACTCATTTTCATTCCATCTTCCTTTGGTCGTGTAAAAGGCAGTGAACTGCGACTTGCAGAAACAATGGGCTATCAGCTGGGCAGATCTCATTGTTCATCAGTGCTGCTCCACAACTCTGGGATGCGGTCGCTGAGAACTATCGATATCTGTACCTGAAGGAGCGTGACAACATACATATATATCTACATTTGCCCCTTTTAGTGAAAGGCAATTGAATTAAACCAGATTCTGTTGGGTTGGGGAATCGTCAAGTGTCAAGACTCAAGACTCAAGTGTCGAGGTGGTTGTGGCGCTCAGACCACCCAACACTGCCGTTCCTTCTTCTTCTGGCAGGAACCCAACACCCACCCACCAAACCGCACATCTTCGTTATTCTTTTTCCAAACTCCCTTCTTTTCTTCTTCATTCCCTTCATACCCGCTGTCCAGCATCCAAGTTTTCTCCGTTTCGTATTCACACCTGGGATTTCGTCGGTCATCCTCCATTATTCTTCCACAGTCTGCTGCACATCAAGTGAAGTCCCCAAATATATAACGTCAGTCAAACTATCGTTCGTCCTTCAGACCTGTTGGAGCTCAGCGATCCGCCTTATCGACCAAAAACACCAGTTCCACGGCTCCGGCGGGTTGAACCATCTTCCTACTACTAGGCACCGGTGCTTGGTCAAACCTTAGCTGTGGTTGATCCACGAATACGCGTGAAATACCTCTCCAGAAACCTCCAGACCACGGCGCTCATATGAAGCTGGGTTTCTGCGCCTTTCAACCTAATCCTGCCTTTCTGATTCCACCGTATTGGAGATCAGCCGGTTTTCTGGTCATTCCCCAGGGAGGTGTGTTTCCATCTATATCCTCGTGGGCATTAGTACTGATTGCCTGTATAGTTGCCTGTATAGTTGTTATATATACCAAGATTCCTCACCAAGTTCTATATCAGTACCCTGTAATTCGATTGACGTCTTGTCTCAATAGTCGAAAGCCGAAGAATCAGCAGTACAAAACTTCAGACACTACCTTGGGATCTTGTGCCTCAAGTTGCCTGCCACTACCGAGTTAATGTGAGCTCCAAGACGTTGTCATTGTATCTCAATGAATACATTGGGACGAGTTCCGATTCAAAGAATCTAACTCTGGGAAGGAACTAGTACTGTTGTGTGGCTCTCCAATTCGCTGTTGATTGAACGGCGCACCAACTATAACGGTTGTGATTCACGAATTCCCCGCCCCATTCACAGTTGCCCAAGGCCTGAGGCGCCACACCTATTGTTATTCACAAGCTTGGGTTAATCAACTGCCGCATAAGGAGCACATGCACTACAGTTGGTGTGATTCACAACATCCTCCCCCCATTCACACTCGGCTAAGGGGTACGCAGCTACGCCAGAGCCCTATAAATTACCGTGGCCTTATGGCCCCTTAATCCTCCTTCCAACCAACAACCCACAACCAATCGCCAAACCTTACACATTGTTTCCAGAAACCATATCATTAATCATTAATCACCCACACCTTGGAAATCAAGGTTTATTCAACCAAAGTCAAACAAATCTACAGACTGGGCACCTGTTTCCAGAGCTGTACAGGGGGTCGGACAAGACACTTCCAAACACTACTTCGGTTTCGCAAAATCGGAGTATTTGTTTGTGCAACTTCGACTTCCGTGAAACAATAGCTTGAAAACCAGATCCATTATCACCAATATCCATACCTTAGCATTATTTTGCTCTCCAACCTACTGCAACTTATCATTCCCCTTCAATTTCCCACTGCCTCACTCCTTGACTCACCGACTTCACTCACCGACTGCACTTGCCAACTGCACCCGGCTACACGGTTATTTATTTAGTTGTCGGAGCGATACCTCGCCCAGCCTACAGCACGCGTGATCGAGCCTCTTCCGATCTACTCTACTATTATCAGATCGTTTTGTTGACGGCACCGGGTAGGTTGTTTCTCTGTTACATCTAGACCCAACCCCATGTCTAGGATATTACCTTCCTCACTTCAACGTACCGTTACAAGAAATACATGCTTGTGAACTTTGGCTAATCCCGTCAGACGTTGAGACAGTCCTCGTCCACCACAACGTAGAGACTACATACTCAAAGCCGAATCTGATCGTGTCCGAAGGTTGCCACTGTAACCAAGGAACCAGACGACCCTTATCCATTGAGAGCATCCCCTCTCATCTTTTGAACATCTTTTCATTCTTGCACTCTTTGAGTTTTTCGATCTGTTTAGATCTACTTGACATTGCCCCCTTACCACGTGCTGAGCGGAGAATCTCTTTCACAGAACCTCATTTGTCTTCCGTTATTCTCAGCCGACATATCTGTGCATAGTATCATAGATATGGAGCAAAAGGGCTTGAACCCATCCCCACAAGCTGGTGCTAATGTTGATAACCAAATTCCAGATCCGATACTGCCTCCTACTGCCCTTATGTCTCCCTGCCGAGCAGCAAAGCGACGTCGTACTAATGCCGGCGATACGGCGGTGACATCATGCACTCCACGAATTACTACAAGTGCTGACCTATTTGGATCGTCATCTCCGCTGAGTTCTCCGCCTACCTCACCTGAAGCATCTCTACTGCCTCCTCACATCTGTACCAATTCCGGTCTGTGCATCCATTTCTTTAGAGACCCAGGCTTAAAGGCAGCTAGGTGTGCTAATAAATCTAAGGTATGCTCCTGTCTTTTATCTCCTTTAAAAACTTTCGTTGTTCATTTAATGCTTTATTTTATTTTGAGATGTTTGATACTCGAACCATGGAAAACATGCGTCACATGGGCAAAGGAAGCATCGGAGCCCAGCAAATATTATAATTTCTTCTATTTTGGGAAAACCCTTTATTAATAAGCACCTGTAGGCACGGTACCAGACACCTACACCACCCGCTCAAAAGCCCACGACGACCTCGGCAATCAGGGCTGCCAAGGTCCTTCAGCCATATTACGCAAATTCTCAAATCGACAAACCTGATCCTATAGGCCAACCTCAGGTCTGGGCCGATAAACGTCAGCAACTGTGTCAGGCCTTGCCCTATTACAATGCCTACCAATCAGGTGCACACACGAGTGAAGGTTATGTATTAGGCTTTCTGTGCGACAAAGAGGTTGGAAAGCATGACAAGTTTGACGATGAGATAATCATATCTCGAATGTAGGTTTTCAGTGGCTTGGACTTTATAACCTTTACTAATACTTATAGTGGTGGCGGTCGCACCCAAGATGCGGCTGGAAACTTTGTCCAGAGCAAGGACCAATCGATGAACTCTACCTACACGTCTTTCATGAGATCTATGAAAGAGGACCGGCCGATAGGTGTTATTGCAGGTAGGCCTCAAAGCTATAGCCCTTGTTTAACCAATATTCAGTCGCTAAAATTATACAGGCCAGGGAAATCGCATTAGTCCATCAAAGTTGCCTCATTACTACAATGTGCTCGACTGGTTCCATATTACAGACGTCTGGTGCGAGCTAAACAATGGCTGCAAGACCTGGATGGCGCGCTTTGAAAAGATCAACCTACTTGAGCGATCATGGTGGTCTCCTCAGGGTATTGAGCCTCTGACTCCTCTGAGCCCTTCCACGGTCGATGGACCCAAAGCTCATGTTGCATGCTGCACCGCCTGCAATAGGGGGAGTAAATTGATATACAATCAGGGCTGGACATGTCTCAACAATGATTGCTGGGAGTTTTTCCAATTTCCGAACGGCCTTATCGAGGAATATTTGGATTACAATAACGACTTCATGAAGGAAAGAACCCGCTACAAAGGGAACGACCCAGGGTCACTTGCACCACCTCTACTGACCGATGAAGACTGCGCCAAAATCCATGCCTTCGGCATTGAAACGCTCTTCGCTAAAGGCATTGTCTGCCCTGTATGTGGTTGTTGCAGTCGGAGGATTGAGTGGGGCCAATGGTCGTGTGAGAATATTCATTGCACCTTTACTCACCGCGTGGGCCAGAAGGCAGTCCCTATCGATGAAGCCATCGCTGGGTGCGAGATACCCAATAGTTATCGGCCAATGTGCCACTCGACTATTCGCGCCCTCACTCCAATAGTCCAAGGACAGTACGACGTCTTTGAATATCAGATTCCCGGACCAAGTGGAGAAATCATTGGATTCATTCGGCATTTCAACTCAAGCGCCGTGATCAATCAACAGCCTGATGGCCCAAATGAACTGTTCCTACAGATGCAAACAGACGAGTTTGGTCTTAAGCGGAACCCCTCCCGCAACAAAGGCTGTAAGTGCTTGGGGAATTTGTTAAACGGCTAAAACTAACATCACTAGCGCCTAATGAAATACTTACTTCCCACTGGGCGGCAAATTGGGTATGTTTTTAATCCCTGGGTTGTATGCAATGTCTAATAATTATATAGGGTGCCCCTTACAAGTATGGTGTTGCCCAGATATCGAAGGGTTTTGATCAAACGCCTATTGTTCTTATCAAGGCTCTAAAACGATTGACATGGGCCGGCGAGCTTGCGCTCACAAGTGCAGCACATGAAGGGTTTGTTCCTTTTAACGAACTCCTTTCCATAGGCTACTTTGAGAAATCTACCATTGGTGTAAGTACTTGCCAGATATGGTTCATAGATTTTACTAAGTATCATAGTACCATGACGATGGTGAAAAGGAACTTGGTCCAACCGTTGCCACACTATCTCTTGGCTGTAGTGCGACAATGATGTTTAGACCAAAGGCAAAGAGCGGCATCAAAGGCGTGCAGAAAAGGGCCAATGCCAGGGGTACGCAGCCCGATGTCTTGAAGGTCGTATTAAAACACGGCGATATTGTTATCATGCATGGTCGCGATATCCAGAGGTTTTATGAGGTGAGAGGAACCCATGCATGACATGTGATTATCTATCTCTTGCTAACCACTGCCTGATTAGCATTCGGTGGTACCACACGGCAAACTACGATTCGCCTTAACTGCCCGTTATGTCAGGCCCGAGCTGATGCTTCCTGACGAACAGGAATATGCATTGCACGCAGGACAGCTCCCCCAGGGAAGTGATCAGTACAATTACACCGGGGATTTACATGCGATGCCGGTTACTACTACTAGGGATGTGGAAGAAGAAATCCGCCAGTGCTTCCGCATTATCAACGCAAAGATGCAATTGGGTGGAATTGCTAAGGGTCGGGCGGTAGAACTCTTTTCAGAAGCTACCCATGAGTTGGAAAATTCATGAGGTGGCGAGAAACGACTAAATGTATTATTTTAGCTTCAGATGCCAATGATGCGTTGACTTTTGCTAGAATTTGGCTGGACCAGGGCAGGGAGTTTCAAGGGATGAATGCTGGCATTACATATTGGAGGGCTAGACTGGCTATGGGTCACGGATATTGCGGACTGATATTTACTGGAATTCAAGCCGGCCTGTGGAGAAACGTTTGACGGGAATGGCATTAGTTGCTATGGCCAAATCTCGCGGGTCATATCACTGGCAAGCCGATAGATCATTTAGACACGAAAACTGCGTTGATGTTGCCAGAATTGCCGTGGCATGGCATAGCCTGACATTTAGTACATAATGAAGCTTCAAAACCAAATGTGTGCAAAAATGCATTAATGTGCCTCTGCGGATAAAAAAAAGGAGTGGCTCACCTAAACTTCTTGTGACAATGTCTTGGAGATTGTCTCATTAAGCTCGAAATTTCTTCAAGTGTATTTGAGATATGTGGATGTATTATATATGGACTAGCATCCAAAGTTAAAAGTAGGATACTCTAGCGTAATTCAAGCCATCACTAGATAGAGGGACATCAAAAGCGACTATTAAGAGCATGGCATTAACTAGCCAATTATTGCCACTCTACACCAAATCTACGATTGGCTTTTCACAAACATCTACATATATAAACTTGCCACCGCTGTGATATCCCTCTTGATCATCTCCTGACAAGTCTGCATCTTAGTAAACAACTCAGGATCTCCAATAATCCTCGCTGCATTCTTAACCTCCCTACAAGTCTCGTCCAGCCTCGTGATAACTCTGACAATAGTCCCCTCCAGAACATCCGTCAGATCCGTGATGTTCTTGAAGCTCATCCCGCGTGCCCACTCATACACAACTTCCACCAACCCGAACCGGGGCCGGGAGACGAAGTCGTTGGAGTCGTCGGCGGAGAGGATGACTTGATGGTAGGTTTGCCGTTCGTTGACCTTTTCGGAGATTTCGATTATGGTTTTCATGCCTTTCTCTAGGTTTGCGGTGAGGTTGGGGACCGTGTCTGTTTTTTCTTGGAAGACGAAGGCGGAGAGGAGGGCGACGATTTCTGCGGGTTCGTAGGCCGCGAGGACGTTGTCGAGGATGAGTTCGGTAAGGACGAGCTCGTCAGCTGAGTGGATCTCGCAGGCTACTTTGCCTTTGAGTTGCACGCGGGAGCTGTCATCGATAAAGTCTAGGTTTTGTAGGACTTTGATTCTCTGTTCATAGTCTGGGAGGAGTTGAAGGTTTTGATCAGACATGAGTTGACGGAGTTCGGAGATATTTTCTTTTATTAGCCATTGGTCATAACACATGGCGAACTAAAGAGGAATTAGCATTCGGAGTATCAATTAGTAAGATGGGAATACTTACATGCTTGAGGAATTGGGGACATTTCAGGCAGCCCGCAGTTTGCGCAGTGGCCGCTAAGTCAAAACGCTTGGTGAGAATATCCCGAAGCGCTAAGTCTTTGATCTTGGAAGAATCCATCTCATTCCATTCATCAAGCAACCAGGACGAACATAGACGCTTGAGCTCATCTTTAGCCTTTTGATATCCGTCACCGCCATTGAAAATCTCGGGTATGACCCCCTTAACAATCGTTCCCGTAAGACATTCAATATCAGCAGCAGGGATCTGAAGCGTTCTGAAGCCGATGTGCTTTCGGAACTGAGGAAGGTTTGTAAAAAGGTGGCGGAACTTTGGTAAATATGGCAACAGATCTGTCGAGTCCCGCTGGTCTCTCTGAGTTCGGATTTCCAAGACGTGGACTGTTGGCTGCGTTCCGTGAGCAGCTCCTTCTCGAAGGAGAATTCCTGGAGTTCTCACACCCTCTCGATTGTATACTATGAGTCTCTTGGGAGCAAACATCCGTCGTCCAACAGGGGTAGCTAGTAAAGCAAGATGGAGATCAACAGTGAGCTGTCTGAAATCCTGAGAAGCTTGGTGGCACGTGTCGATATCAATATCGCAGATATCACAAGCATCCCGCTTGATCTTCAAGAGATCGGCCTCCGAAACCTTAACGGCCTTTTCATGCTCGGGTAGTAATTGTTGAGTAGCATGCTCACTGAAACTTCGCTTAATCATCTCTTCAATCTTCAATGCCTCAACTCTAAGCAAGTTCAAGATCATGTTATATGTTAATCTGAACTGTGAGCGAAGTTTTGATGGTTCCCCCAGTATCATTTGACGCAACTCAGACACTGGTGGGGCCTCACCTCCACCAGGTGCAACGATAATGACTGATCCCACAGTGTCTAAACCTCGACGCCCGGCTCTGCCGGCCATTTGAGTGTACTCACCCGGCAACAAGTTTCTGAAAGAATGACCGTCATGTTTACGAGTTCCAGAAAAGACAACAGTTCGAGTAGGTAAATTGAGTCCCATGGCGAAAGTCTCTGTTGCAAATAGCACTTTGACCAACGTTTGAGCGAACAGCATTTCCACAACCTCTTTGACAATTGGAAGTAGTCCACCATGATGAACGGCGATTCCTCGGCCTAGTAAATCTCGTAGTCTTATAATCTGCGGAAGTATCCTGTCTTCTGGCTTGAGGCGTGCGATAGATTTCTCGATGATCATATGGATTGCGCTCTTCTCTGTTGCAGTGCAAAAGTCTTGATTGCTGAGTGCATCTGCATTCTCCTCGCAACGTTTCTTGGAAAAGACGAAGATGCAGGCGGGCAGAAGGGTCTCCTTCTTTAGAAACTGAACTAGGTGGACCCATAAGGTCTTATCTTGAGCAGCTGTAGTCCGACCTCCAGGTCTACCACCTCTGCCCATGTGCCCAGGAGTATGGCTTGCTCTCTGAGGTCCACCACGGCCCCTTTGTGGAGCACCTCCGCGTTGTCCACCTCTTTGCTGGCCACCCCGAGCGGGTTGTCCTCTGCCTCCTCGAGCGGCGCCACCTCCGCGAGAGTTATTTACCGGTGCTGTAAGTGCCTTGATTTTATCCCTGCCAGACAAGACATCATTTGCATCCTTCCAGCCGTTGTCAATGAATTTCTTGTCTGCATCAACAATTTTATAAATTCCTTTGTCGGCCCAAAGGTAATGCTCCAGAGGTACCGGTCTTTTTGGCGTAGAAATAACATATATATCTTTCCTCTTCGTCCGGCCAACCCAAGAAGCAAATTCATAGGTATTAGGAACCGTGGCGGAGAGTAATATCAAGGTAACATGCTCTGGTAACATAATAATCACCTCTTCCCAAACAACACCTCGCTCTAAGTCATTAACATAATGGACTTCATCAAATATGACAAACTCCACGTCTCGAATTAGATCTGCTCCCCTGTAAAGCATACTCCGCAGAATTTCTGTTGTCATGATAAGACAGCTTGCCTCGGGATTAATCTGGACATCTCCAGTGAGAATACCAACTTCGTCAAAGATTTCTCTAAAATCTCGAAATTTCTGGTTACTCAGCGCCTTGATAGGTGATGTATAAATGGCCTTTGTCATGTGTTTCGCTGCCAAAGCAATAGCATACTCTGCAACGACCGTCTTACCTGCAGATGTGTGTGCAGCAACAAAGACCGAGTCCCCACTCTCCAGGTGATATACTGCTTCTTTCTGGAAAGTGTCGAGCTCGAAAGGCCAGTCTCTCGCCATATCAGGTACCAGCTCCCGGAAGTTGGTTATTTCTCGTTTGACGTCTACCATATGTGCCCATTCTCTGCCCTTCTTATTCGTACTGGAGGCAGCCAAGACACCATGTGGCTCTAATGCTGGAAACTCAACTGGTAGTAATGAGTCGATATCGTCCTCGTTATCATCCTCAGACGTATCACCCGATTCCCCGTTTCGATTCGCAGCCTCCCCTGAAGTAGTTTGACCAGGCTCCTCAGCAGGCTCTTCCTCGAGTACGTTTTCTACCTCTTCCGCCTCCTTAATTTCATCTTCACTCTTTTTAGCTTTGTCGAAATCTAAACCTCTCTCAAATCCCGGCGGGACAGCCAGTAATCCTCCTTCGCCACTAAAATTGATCACCCGCTCTAATCTATTTTTGCCATCTGCGGCTCCGTTTGCTGTTTCGGCTCTTAACGCTTGATCATCTATTGCCGCAGCAGCCTCCACACCATCCAAACCGCCTGGAGCAAAGGGGAAGAAGCCCGCAGCTCCACGCACAAAGTCTGCCCTGTTCGCCGGTTTGCGCATAAAAGACGTCGAGTTTTTCGCAGTCGCACTGTTCGCCGGGACAGTTACTTCTTTATAGCCTGTAACCCGGCCTTCGAAACCTTCCCGGGTGAAGCGGGTAATCGTACGGGTTTGCGTCGGCGCAATCTTGAAGAGGGAGGCGTAGTCGGTTGGAGTGTCCCAGCGTCTGTGGTGCGCAGGTTGTCAGCAACTATGGGAGGATGGTACTGGGCGGGGGGCATACTGTTGGAGTCTGTTCAGCCATTCTGTGGAGAAAGATGTAGATGGGGTAAGGTATTTTTCTTCCAAGGAGCGTTTAAGGGCATCTTGATCTTGCTTCACCCGTTTGCGGGGGCGCTGGCTGTCAAGGATGCTGTCGATCCACTCGTCCGCCGTTTGATCATTGTCGGCGGAATCGATATGTGCCCTCTGTAGAGCACTAACGAGGGAATCGGTCATTCTATTTGTAGTCTCATGGGATTGGCGTTGTAGAAATGGCAACAGACACAAGGCAAAAATGGCGGGGTGCTATTCATGGAGGGGTGTTTGTTGACGGTGAAGCTCGCCAGCTCTCTGAGCTCCAATTTACGCGAAGAAATACCGAGTGTTACTGTCTTCCATATTAACTGGCATATAAGACCCAGATAACAACCACCTGGCTACCCTATGTCCAAAGGTAGGGTGTTTGAAATCTTTGTTATAATTATACTTTCATTTCAAATCTCATATATCGATAGCCAAATCATCATAAAGTAGGCCATGCTCCCCACCTCGCCCAAACGCCATCAAATGCATCGCGATTCTTATGATAACCTGAACCTTACGCCACCGCTTCGAAATATTCCTCTTACCACATACCATCCATGTCCATCTCTGCCATAGCTTCCATGTCATCATCAAAATCATCCCTAGGGGCAGCAGCGTTACTTGGGCCTGGGGGCGGTTGCGCAGCCTTAGCAGACATTTGCATCATTTCCTCCTCTGCTAGCAAAGCATCAAGATCATCCTCAGGAGGCCCGTCATCGGCGACAATGTTCTTCTGAGGCCCAAATATACTCGCTGCACCAGGGCCAAATATTGATCCTGTCTGCGGAACAGAGTCTTCAGGATTTCGGCGAATCGCCTTGGGGGTAGCGTCATATAAATCATTCTCTTCAGCATCAGGATCCTGCGCGGGTGTCTTCGGTCTCTCAGTCGTAGGTTTCTCGAATATTGGCGCAATCCTTGAAGCCGTATTTTCTCTCTCGACATCTTGTCTCGGCGGAAGAGCCGGCTCATCGAATAGGGAATCTTCATGTACTGAGGAATGTGGTTTGCCTTCATTAATCCACTCCATCCGTGCAGCTTGCATCACTTTCTTATGTCCCATCTTCTCCACCATCGCTAACGCATCGAGAAAACGTGCTTTAGGGAAGAGATCATCGAGCCATAGTTGGTAAAAGCCGAGGAGCCTTGCAGCATCGGAGAACTAATGATCTATGCGTCAGTTGGGAAGTAAGATATGGGATCGAAGAATTACCTCATGACCCTTGCCCTTGAATTTGAGATGATCTCTTGCCCTCTTGCGTAATTTTGGGATTCCAGCAGCAGAGAGAAGCCTAGTCTTCTGTCAAAAATGTTTTGTATAAATATCCCAGGCTCCATACCTATGCTCGTCAAGCTTCACTCTTGGTGCTCTGGGTTTCCTTGTAACTTCAACCTCCTCATCAATCCCTAACCCAGCACCAGATCTCTCTCTCGCTGCCGTGGGGTTCGTAGTTTGCTTGCTCGTGACAGGTGGCTTGTAATTTTCGCTGAATGGGTCATCCATGCCGCCTTCATAGTCGAAGAGGTCATCGAGTTCATCACCCCCGGCGGATGGGCCGTCTGTTGGTAGTGGTCGACTGGCAACACCTGGAGAAGACATATTGCCGGTATAGTAGCGGGAATTGAGATTATTAAATCATCCAATTTATAAAAAAGACAATCATCCGATCATGGGGTGCCCAATTGACGAGATAATAACGAACTTGCACCAAGTTCTAATAAACCCTCTACACGAGCTCGCGTCCCACCTGCAGAAGACGCGACTTGCGCATTTGGCTCGCTCGTCCCGCCGTACAACCTCAATCCTCACGCACTAGCGCCATCCTTGCCGATTACCGTTCGCTCGAAGCTCAGACGACGACAATATTGACGAACCAAGAGGACTCAATTCAACTTCGTACTCCAATTGTCCGCACAATTGGGCCCTCAAGATGTCCAACACCGAGCAACGGCCCTATGTGCAGGCCAAGAAGATCGAAACCGAGTTTACGGTTCGTGCTATCCCTCTCCTCCCAAAGACTAGCTGGCTAATTCCTCTGCTCATAGCTCATTGACACCGACCCGTAAGACACCCCAATTCGAATCTGATGAAGGAAGGCATGGTTTCTGATATATACTAGACATTTCAAGAGAGTCTGTCGATATGCCCGCCGCTCGGACTATGCTGTTGGTGCGGCGACGGCGGCTTTCCCGCCCATAGCTATGTTGGTGATGGAGAAGATCCAGCCTTCGATGGTGGGAAAGGGAGGTTTTGCCCCGATTATGCGGCTTACCGGAGTGATTGGATTGAGTGCTGGATTCTTGATGTTTTACCAGCGATCGTGCTGTGCGTCCTTTCCGTCCTACCTTTGCAACATTCCCCTCCCCCTCCATAACGCCCTTCCTGTTCCGCTTTTAGTTAGGTATAAGGGAAGATAGGCATGCTGATATTTGCTAGTGCGCTTCTATGGCTGGACAGAAAACAAACGGGAAGTCGATATGGACATGCGAGAGATGGTGGATAAAGTCAAGAAAGGCGAGCCTCTATATGGCGCCAGCACCTTGACCCCATATATGCAGGGCGTGGCCAGCCGAAACTCGAGATATTCGGCAGTCTTCCTTCATATCATTCCGTGGTTCAACTTTGTGAATCATAACCAGCATGGTGTGGATACGGCGAAGTACTACCAACAAGCGGAGAGGGAGCTAGAGGCTGAGGGCGGGGGAAAGGCACCTAAGAATTAGATGGCCGAGAAAGCGGGGGATGTTGTACATAAATAAGTATTGCGGAATTTTGTATGGATTGGCGTATCAAAATTATGGTCTTTCTCTGCTTACATGAAGCTGCCGTGATACAACTGATCTCGGCTCTGGTATTGGCCGGAATCTCCTTCCCCAGGAAGTGGTTATCACGACTAGAGTCTTTAACCTCTAGTATGGTTACCTTATGGTTGCCATCGTCTAGTTTCGTAATTGCAGCTCCCCGTGAAGCTCAACCATGGCTCTCTTTCATTGTCCCCTCCACTAACGGCTCTACCTCCAGCTTCAGCACCCTATCCTTCTTATTTCTCGGCTCAGGAGCTGCTTGTCCATTAGTACAATTATCCAATTCTCACCATCCTTTGTACCCCTTCTCAAGTCAAACGCCAGAAGCCGCCAAAAGCGGCCCAATATCAATATAGGACACGATGGGGACGTGAACGAGGATAGTGCGAGAAAAGACCAAATGAGACAGTCAAATGCCGACAAAAGAGAAGACACATACCCCTATCATTCTCTTGAACATAAAACTTCCTCAACATCACAATAGCCTCCTCCCTCAACCACCACCCACTAACCTCATAATCCCCCATCTCCTCCCCTTCCGGGGCCTTCTTGCCATTCCCAAGATGCACGTCAAGCACCCCACCAGTCCCCCCAAACTTCTCATTCGAAGCACCAAAAAAAACCTTTTTAATCCTAAACTGTCGCAGCAAACTAGCGCACATGATGCAAGGCTCTACTGTTACATAGAGCGTGCATTCACGGAGGATTGATGGATTGTGTCTTTTAGGCGGTGCTAGGATCTCGTTGATGGCGATGAATTCAGCGTGCATGGTCCCGTTGCGGGTTCGGTTCGTAGCGTTCATTCCATGGCCGAGGATACCGTGCGTAGGGTGTACTATTATGCAACCTACGGGTGTTTCTGAGGTGGTGAGTGCGAGCGTGGCCTACGGATGTGTTAATGATAGGGTTTTGGTACGGGGAGCAACGCATTAGGATGGGGCGAGAAGTATGAGATGTGTGATAGGACGGCAGAAAGGGGGTTTCTCTGAGGGGAAAAGAGCAATACTTGCCATTGCTAATGCCTCACGCATATATGAGATGTGCATTTCTCGCTCTGAACGGTGCATAGTAGATGCTGATGCTGGGTATGATTCATATGAGGTAGTTGGCAGAGGTGTACTATGGAGAGACGTTGGGTTGTCCATGGCTGATACTAGCTCTTCGACAATCTTGAAAACCCGAAAACTATATACAACTATGATATATAAAGTCAGGAACGCCTTATGTGTTAAACGATCCAGTTCTTCGACACTAGTTGGCGAGGATAAACTTTTATAAGGAAAATGACTCTTAGGGGGAAGTGGTGAGGTATAGTTGATTCCGTAATGGTTGAGGTTTATTGGTGTTAGTGATGTTGAAATGTTGTGAGAGGTGTTGTGTATGAGATTGTAGTAGATACGGAAGGTAGTCAGTCAGAGAGAAGAGTTCGAAGAACTTGCTTCATGAGGGGTCACGTGAGGGGACAAATTTTCAAGTTGAGTGTCTTTATATAGAGGAGTGGCTTTTTTAAGTCAAAATAAAAATGTAGCGTAAATCAGGTTTTCTATAAACAGTTACTCAGTCATTATATCTATATATACAATTTTGTGATTATGGTAGGTGTACTATATCACGTGCTTCATAACCGTTGAGCTAGCATTATAAGGACTCTGTTATTCGCTTAACCTACATAACCGCTATTTAATCTCTACATATATTTAATATGCATGAAGCTATATTGCCTGGATTGTAAGTGTACAAAAGTACCTAGGTATTTAAGTGTCTAGGTGAGTCGTTAGGTAACAAGAACCGAGTCCGTGATATCAGGTTTTCAGTGAGTGGTTCAGAGCGGTCGGGCGGCCTTTACCGGCCGCGTACCGTAGCCGAGAAGATCGCGATCCCGGTGTAACCCCTTTTCAGGGATTAAGGATTTCCCAACGCTGGAATCTGATTATCCTCTACCCATGAGCTTTTCCATATCGAATCGGGGGTAGCACCGCTGTGGCCCTTATTAATACAAATTCCCTGCCTCTGAACTACCCGCGGCGAGGATTGACTACAATTGACGGAGCTATACTTCGGAATCATGGTGTATAATGGCAAACCAAGTCGAGGATGTGAGAATTGCAGGTAATCACACTATACAATTCCTTTGATCTTTTTAAACTGAATCTGAATAGGAAATTACGCGTGAAGGCATATATGATATCCTAGTTCTACTTGAACGCTACTAATTTGGCCAAAAGTGCGATGAAAAGCTCCCTGAATGTTCACGTTGCTTGAAGATGAAACGGAAGTGCTCAGGGTATCGAAATCAATTAAATTTGATATTTCGAGATGAAAGTGCAAGAACACGAGAAAAAGTTGGAAGATCTTCAAGAAACAGTCAAGCAACATCTTGGAGTCTCGTTGCAAATACGTACAATAATTCGCAGCTATTTTATGGCTTCGGTATGTCACTACCTCCGTCAGGAGAAGATATTGCAATTTGCCAGTTCTATTATACTACGTTGGAAAATCTACCCCAAGAAGACCCCACACGATATCTTCATATGCAGCTACCTGCCCTTTATCATCAGAGTGATGCAGAGTCTGCGTTGCGTTTATCAACACAAGCAATATCCTACGCTTCATCGACGAAGTCTGGGCACAAGGCAGCCAAAATATCCAGGAGAAAATATGTGCAAGCTATAAGAGCAGTTGAAAAGGCGATTCGAAACCCAGTCGAGGTTAAAAAAGATGAAACCTTGTATGCAGTTCTTCTCTTGTGTGGATACGAGGTCAGTCCTCCTGGGCTTTCTAGGGCATTTGGTACTAAGATGATGCTAACTACGAGTGTGAAGACGATAATGGGTGATTCGGAACAGCTCCTAGCCTGGGGAACACACGTTGATGGCGCCGCTGCCTTGGTGAAAATCCGTGGTAATGAAGCGTTGAGTTCGCCAGTTTCACGCAGTATGTTTTTCTTCGTTCGGAAAAACATGGTAAGGCTAGTTTCTGCGTCTCATATATACCATCTTGCTAACATTATTTTGATAGATTTTAAGTCATATGCAGACCTCTCGACCTCTCGACACTGTTTTCATAGAACGAAACTCGATTACATATTTGCACGAGAATGTCGAAGATCAACTAATTTCAAAGACGACCAGAATCCCCCAGCTTCAACACCAAGCCAACAGTCTTCTTATCGATCCAAATTGTAATAGTAGGGGTAGTTTGGTCGAGAAGCTTATTAGTGCCGCGAGAATCCTGGACCGCGAGCTTTTAGATTGGGCTGGGAATGTTCCTATCTCATGGAAATATTCCACCGCAACAAACCTTCACCCATCCCCGCATTCAGGTTTCATCCCGCACCATCTACACCGATACGTAGATTTCTACACGGCGCGGGTATGGAACCTCTTTCGCGTGTCACGCCTCATCGTGCAATCGATCATCCTCCGAGGGGTCTCCTGGCTGGATGGCTCATCACGAACCAACCTAAAAGAGCCGGGAATCAACAAGATAGAGAACAATATTAGGGAGTTGGTAAACGATATATGCGCCAGCGTCTCTTTTCTTCTCGGACATGATCTGTCGAGAATGAAACACCCGGCGGCCAACGAATCAAGCTGCAAGAACACTCGCCGCCCATCACTCACAACCTCGGGGCGATTCTCACTAATATGGCCGCTCCACATAGGGAGTAGTGCGTCATCAGTACCAGAAGAGCAGCGGAGGTGGATGCGCGAGCAGCTAAGGCTGATTGCTGAAGGTGGTGAACCGCAAGCGCATAATTTGTGTGAAGGGGAAAGCCAGACGCTATCTGGTGGAATAGAGACTTTTAGGTTTGATTGTGTGTGATATCCGTTCCTCTCGCATTCCGAATGGAGACTGCGTCCGGAAGGACTATCCGATGTGGGAATGAGGTTCTCAGGCCGTATATGAAGGCTGCTCAATGGAAACGACGGCCTGGACTTTTCACTTCTTCAGGTATGACTGGTTACGAGTCTTCATAGACCCGGCGCTGAAGAGAAGGGCAGTGGAAGCACAAAACATCGAGAATATGGATGTCAGGTCATATTCATCCAAGATACATAAAATCTAACAAAGATCCACTTTCTACCCTTGAGATAGCATCTCATCCCAATCGCAAACCTCAACCTACGCCCACAATTCAGCCTTTCCTACAAACTCGGGATCCCCAATCAATCTCTGCATAGCTTCCGCCTCCAACGCCACCATTACCTCCAATCCACCCTGCTTAAGCCTTGGAAAAACAGCAATAGCCCCATCCGCACCCTCCCCGGGGACCCTAAAACTCTCTACCTTGCCCAACTGGCCCCAAACACTCTCATAAACACCAATATCAGCCCAGCTCGTGGATGATATATCCGGGCCTAAGAACCCATGGTACGCGAACCTGAGCTCCGTCGGATCAGGGCGAGCATCAATGAGCCCGATGGTAAGCGGTATACGATTTGGCGTATCAACTAGCCTTTGGAGTGATTTTCGCACCGCGGACGCAGCAGTCTTGAGCCCGGAAGAGGATGTCAGTGTGGAGATGCTAAGCCTCTCGGTGATAGTGCCCATCGATGCGTTACCTAGGTAGCTGTGTGGGAGTGGTGGGCTACAGCGTGTGCGGATGTTGGCTGCGTAGAGGATGGCAGTGGTTTTCTCGCCATCCTCGTCTGGAACTATCGAGCCGGAGGGTTGAATGGGGTTACGTGCCAGTGTCATATGCCGCCATAAGAAACCGCTCAGCGCGTCGTTGGTGGAGTATGCTTCTGCGGCGGCTTTCAGGGCTACGAGCGAGGCGGGCGAGAAATGGAAAATGCATGTTGTCATTGGAGGCAACGAGAAGCCTGTTTTAGCCATTTGTTCCATGTTTACGTCGGCAGCAGCTGCGCTGGGGGTAGGTTGGAGAATATACTCAGGGAAATCAGTCAACTTGGCGCCCGGTGCCCCAACCATGAGGGGACTGCGGTCGTTCGATGGAGTGTCGTATTTGCTGAAACTGACTGGTTCAGAGGTGCTAGTTGCTGCGGTATTGTGTGCCCAGGTGTCGATAATGGTGCCCACTGCTGAAGCATCGCAGACTGCGTGGTGGACTCCGACTGTGAGTAGCAGGCCACCCTCGATGAAGTTTGCTTGCGCTGCCATGACTGGTTCTGGTGGTTCAGGCATTACGCCGAGAGGTGACAGCTGCGCTGTAGTGAACTTGGAAAGTGGAAAGTGTTCTGCTTTCAGTTCGGCATATGAGGGTAGAGCCCCTGTGAGATCATTGTATCTGGAAGAGGTGTATATTAGTTTTGGTGTCGAAGTAACCGAGAGGGGATGGGTACTGAAATCTGACACCAGTCGATGAATCTACGATCTGGACTCTGTTCTCCTTTAGATCTCGTCCATCCTCTGGCCCCTATAATCCGACAGAATCCAAGTCAGCAATTGTACCACATAAAATGGCATAAGAGCGGTAGCGGAATCCAATCGCCGCTTCAAAGGCACTTACTATATTTCCGGCAATCCAGGGGATAGATGAGATAGTATGTGCCAAGCCCCGTCTCAAACCCTCATATCTAAGAAGCGTGTTAGTTAGGGTGTTATAATAGCTATACCGCCCCAAAACGACATACATTTGAGCCTTGTCGGCGCCAGATTCCAGTGGGAAGGACAGGATCCAGCGTGTGCCATAGAGCCTTGGCATATTCATATCTAAGGGCGACAATCGTTGCATAGCTGGAGACGTGGGTAATCCATACTGCTCCGGTGTTACGAAGGGGTTGCTTTGCTTGCCATCCGGGCCAAGAGAAGTGCTGGTTTTGTCCATTGTGAATATGATACTTTGAAGACTGGCGAAGAAATGAAAATGAATTTTAGTAGGTTTGAGGAATGAGGATGTGCTCTTTATATGTGTAGCACCTTAATCATACCAACTAACAATACTTTCATATAGTGGATTTCCCAGGACAGGAAGCGAGGCAGTTTGGTGTGAGGCAGATTCAAAAGACAGTGATTGGTTGTCGCAACGTAGGCCGTTTTAGGTTTAACAAACATTATTTGAACGGATTAAAAGGACATTTCCGTAGCATGAGGCTATAATGGGACAAATAGGTATGGAGGAGTATCAAGGCCAATTTTTAGAGATTATACGGCTCCTGATTGGCTATCTCGAAGCATACCAGATTGGGTTAGATGCTAATCAAGGACGGGCGTTCATAGCCCCACTCATCCGACAATTGGCAAAGACAACTTGGGGAAGCCACCACGCTAGCACGACAACATTTTTAGCCCGTATTATGAGGGCGGCTTTGACATCAAAATATGAAGCTATTTAGTATTTTGTGTGCCATCCGTGCAGTTGCTAATCGTGCGATGGTGCTTAAGGTTCTGATTTCCTGAACTACACGCCTCTATGCTGCCGGGTGTATATTTCGCCGCATCTAATACTCGGACATAGAAACTCAAAAACTCCAGCTACTGAGTGATATTATGTGATATGAAGAGGCACCAAGGCTTCTCTAACAGACTCCACCGTTGAAGTAGATGTCTTCCATTTAACGCCTTCGCACAACCTGCCACGGTCCCTCCATACCACCGTTGGCAAGAGCTGGCTAGTCACCCATCTCGCTGTGGTAGTATGAGTGCTTCCGTCTCCGAAAGGCTCATCGGCTCTCTCGACACGCTGTCTGTCAGAGGTAGCCGTTTCCAAGGAGCCAGGAATGTTGGATTGACCTTCTGCTAGGGCTTGGAAGATGATCAATTGGTCTTGGAGGTGTTCATCCACAAGTGCTCCTTTCCTCACCTCGGCATCCAGTTGATCGACTACTCTTTTGGCGATCTCCACGCTTAGATCGTCAGAGGACTTGTCTCTGGTTCTCCTGTCGTATAGCCAGTCCCGACCGAAGCGGAGGTCGGTGGAGGTGTGCGCGACGAGGAGAGTGTAGATGCGGGCATTGTGCCTGCTGTCTTCGACGAGCAGGAAGTTTGTCTCTACATCTGGAAATACCAGGTTGAGCTCGAAGAGAAGGGCCTTTTTGAGCGAGTCCTGCACATGCCGAGGAACAATTATAGTAATATCAATATTGGTGATTGTACCGCGCTCTGATGGCCATTTTGGTGCTGCTAAAGGCTGTCCTAGAGGAAGAGGTGTGACTTTGAACTTCGCAGAGCCTACCTGGGGTGTGCCATGAGACCAGCCGCGGTATTCCAGTTTGCGCTCGACTTTGATGCCGAACCTCTCTAGGGAGGGTAAGAGGACCTGATCGAGGTATTCGAAAGACAAAGAAAAGCTCACATTGGTCCCGCCCTGTATCACGACTGTGATGGGGGAACCTTCCTCGTCTCCGGCAAAGAGCAGGAACGGGAGAAGAGACTGGAACACAAGCAGGATGCTGGCCGCGGAGTCTGCCTTGACATTGATGTTCCGGCTGACCAGCTGCGTGGGTGATAGCCTTGCGCGGAACGAGATGGTTTTGCTCCCCACGATACACCCTGTAGTTTCTGCAGCGGTTGCCTCAGCTAGACATTTAATGCATGACACATGTTGGGCTTTGAGACCTGTGACATGCGGTCGATCAGCTTAGGCTCCGAGGAAATGGGTATTGGTGGCTTATGAAATAATGAACGGGGAAAACACCAGAAGACCAGAAATCAAAAGAGCGATAGAAGAGAAGCGTAAACGATCAGAAAAGCTTAAACATAAGCATGAAACATACCCCCACCACGGCCCCCTTTCCTTTAGACCGCATCATTAGCCTTGAGCGGTAACTAGATTCAAATCGCATTCACTAGGTACGGGGATCTAGATAGGTACGAGTAGGGCATACCTGTTCCCGCGCACATGGTCGATGGCTATGGGGGTGCCTGTGATCGCGGCCAACGACATGGCGACTCTCAGGAGCTGGCCGCCGCCTTCACCCACTCTGCCATCCAGATCGACGGACTGGGCCCGGGCACTTTGTGGCTGCAACATCGATATTTGTACGTACGTACAAAGCAGTAGTAGTATCGTATGGGTGGCGGGGAGGGGAAAACGATGAATTGTGTACTGGTATTCTGGTATGTTGCTGCCTGGACGTGTGGGTGGTGGCCTTGTCGCCAGCCTTGCAGGAGGGGAGGAGGGCTGAATGAATGCGTTCTTTTTGCCCGACGATATATGCCCAGGTGTGAATGTGAATGCTTGGCAGCTGAGAATGAATGTCACCGGTATGTAGGCAGATAACTAGGTTGAAGTAAACTAAAGTTAAGTTGAACGTTCAACGGGAGGTTTGGCAGTATTTAAAGTTGTGGTCAATTGTGGGTGAGTCAGGCCGGAGTTGAGTTGAGTTGAGTTGAGCTTGAGTTGAGCTTGAGTTGAGCTTGAGTTGAGCTGAGCTGAGGCTGAAGGAAGAAGAGTCATTGGGGGGGGAGAGAGAGAGTGTGTGTGTGTGTGTGAGTGAGCGCGAGAGGCTGCACAGAGCATGGCCCTTTCTTCGTCAGCAGCAGAGCGTGGGCACCGGGTACCACGTGCGAAGTACCAGGTACTACGGTGCGCACCGAGGAAGTACCCAGGGAGCGGTACCTGGTGCTCAGGACCGTGGGACAGAGGGGACTCCAGTGGTACGAGTGAGGGTGCTGGTGGTGAGCAGAACGCAGCGTACTCCGTACGTTGGAGGCACGCTGGAGGTACTGTACATGTACAGGACCTTACTCTGTAGATATGCCGTAGGTACATGTATGCACTGTAGCCGCATTGTATGCACGAAGCACCCTATAACATATAGTAATTTTACCTACCTACCTTACGTTGCTGCCGTGGTGCTACTTAGAAAGTCGTTCCCAGAGCCCCCCGAACCCCAGAATCCCCCGGGTTGATCAAGCAGCTCCGCCCCCGCCATTTTCGCATTCCAGGCGGTCTAACTCCTGCCAGCTGCCACGCTACCTTACCTTACGTGCTATGTGCTGTGTGCCATGTGCAAGGCGCTCCAGTGCTGCCAGGCCCTGTATTACGGCCCTGGAATGCCCTGTATCTGCCATCCGTATGCCCTGTAGAAAACGCTACCGAGTCCAGAGCCACGGTTGGCATTTTTCTCTCCTCCCAGCATGCACAGCAGAGCTAGTTCGTTCGCACTGCAAAGTACTACTACTGTCTGTACAAGTTCACAACAGCCACCCGCCCAGCACGCTCGTCTCCACCTCCACCTCCACCACCTCCTCCACCTCCGCCTTCAGTCTCCACCACTAGCCTCTGTCTTTCTCTCTCCTCCTCTCTCTCCTTCTTTCTCTCCCTCTTCCCTCGTCCCTGCTCCTCCTCCACCCAGAGAGATACACACTCACATCACGCCCTCACTCGCATAATGCCGACTTCTGGTCGTCGCAGCCCTTATCCCTTATCGATACCTGCGCGACGGACGACGAGACGTAGACTAGGAACCCAATCCTCCCTCGGCATCCCCGCAAGATGATGCGCCAACTCTCCCACGGGAGCGCCTTCTCCAGCTCCGCGTCAACCGCGAGCCCAAAGGTTAAAAAGGGCTTCTTCCAGGGCATGCGAAAGAAGTCCTCAAGTAATACTGCCAATGCCAGTGGAACGCCAAACCCGCCCCAGGAATTAAACGCAAATGGCGAGAGGACATACCTAGTAAGTGCTTCCCTTTGCCCCCACCGCTTCTGCGTCTGCTTCCCCTTGCGCTTGCTCACGCGATCTCATGTATATAGCATCGCCATAGCGAAGATCCCATCGTAGCTTCTCCCTTATCAGTACCCGAGTTCGACAGCTCGAGATCGAGTGGATTCCCCTCGCCGGACCCCTATGTCGGAGCCACGCACGATCCCGAATATCTTCATCTCAAAGAGAACCTGCGTCGCCTGCGGAAGGCTCCGAGCGGCTCAGATGCGAAGAAGCTGGATGTCGCATGGGAGGTCTACAAGAAAGTGCGTGATGAGAATCTGCAATTATGCAAGAGCCTGCTTCAAAAGTCCCGTAAGTGTTTACTCGGTCGATGATGGTGTTTTCTTTTCTGGGCTGATTGAGTGCAATATAGAAAGCAATGCCCGCAACACCTCTCTCGATTCCAACATCGACCCCTTGGATACCCGATCGTCCTACAGCGGCTCCGTCGGCGAGAACCCTCTGCCATTTCACGTCAATGATCAATGGCTAGCCGCGATCCAAGAGTACAAGGCGTTCCAAGAGCAGATGCTAGACAACTTCCGGGTTTCCTTACTGGCCACTTATATGAAGCATGAACCAGGCGTGTCCAATGGGCAAATAGATATATTCCTCGACGATATCGTTCTCCGGAAAAACCTAATCAGCAAGTGGAGGGATGCAAGCATCCACGCTATGAAGTCGGAGAAGCCGCTTTCCTGGGAACAGCTCAAGATCCGGTCGTTGAATTTCGACAAACTGAAGCAGGATGTAGAAACTATGGCGACGCTATTTGCGGAACCCGATGAACCTGGGAGTACAGATGTCCGCGAATATGTAGTTGCGAAGAAGGGCGATACGATATTGGAGTTTGCAAATAAGGGAGCCAAGTTGCACCCGGTGTTGAGATTCCGGGTATCCTCCCACCTTTTAGCTGAATCATCCCCGCTATTTGCTCAGATGCTTCTTCCCCCACAACCCGGCAGTCAACCCTCGCTTGATATGGCCGGTCAGCTCCCGCCAGCCCCCACGAAACATGTTTGCAAAGATGGAATGGAGGTCAAAGTGTATGCCATGCCTCAAATAGAGCCCAACAAGCACGAAGCCCTTACAATACTCCTGCATGCCGCCCATATGCATCATAACAAGGTTCCTAGGCAGATCGACTTCCGGGTTTTTGTTAGCATTGCTGAGGTGTGTTTGAGGTATCGCTGTACCTCGCCGCTGGAACTACAGGTGGAGTATCAGTGGCTCCCTCAATGGGTGCATATGGCTACGGATGACAGTCCGGACGGCCTCCTGCTTATAAGCTTTGCCTTTGGACTGCGGAGGATTTTTACCAGAATGTCTAAAACCGCTATACTAAACGCGCTTGACGATGACGAAATCCAATCCAAAGATATATGGCCACAAGCTGTGAGAGACAAGATCAAGGCGATCAGGGCAGCAAAACTGGCCCAAATACGCGACTGCTGCACAAACGCCATGGGCGAGTACTTTCGCCCACCGTCGACTTTTGCTGCTCGAAGAACTAGTGTTGGATCTTTGGAGCTGACAGCAGTGCCTCGTTGCCCAAAGGGGTCGCATCATTGTGACGCAACAAATCTGGGATGGCTAATGCTGGTCTACAACGAATTGCGAGTGCTCCCGAATCTCATCAATAACATTGGCTTCCAAAACCCCCCGAATGCACCCCGCCGGAGTCTTAACGAACTTATCAATTGTTTAAGATTGATGCCGAGCGCTCCACAGGTCCACGCTGGGGTGTGTGATTACGCCCCGGCATTCAGAAGTGCTATTGGTGATATATCTAACAGTATCACCGGATTAACCCTACGAGATGTCACCGGTCGAGATGGTTGGGCATTGTCCAAAAATGCTGGACCAAACGACGACACGTACGATGAAGATGCGATAGAACTTCCAGCCGCTTCTGAGTACCCCACCGATTCTCAAAGCCCGAGCATTGTGTATGAAGAGAGTGTCAGCAACTATAGCTCTTCGGTCGTTGATGCATGGGGTGATGGAGCTGAAGCGAGATCGGAAAGGGCGATGTCGCAGGCGAGTCGCGAAACCGCCTCCCGGAATGGAAGCGGAATGAACGTGAGAGCACCGACTCGCTCTCAAATTTCTAGTATCGTTCCCAGCGAGGAATTTGATTTCAAATTCCTCGCGACCGACAAGAGCGAATTAAGGGCCGCTACAGTCGTATCGCCTGCTTCACCCGCGGACGATGCATCAGGCGATGATATATATTACGTCTCCCCACCATTTACGCCCCTAGGCCACGATGATATGTCCATGTCGAGAGAAGAAGCTCAAAAAATACTCTGGCCCGATTCTGCCTCTAATTCGAACCTCAGCCCCAATTCCGATGGTACCAACCCCAGTGATGGGCCTCAAAAATCTCCATATCGGCGAATTCCCAACGAGTCAAATGAGAAGTTCCTACTTGCGGATGTAAACCGTGCCGGGGCGAAAGAGGCATTGCATCGCAAGAACGGGATTGGTGTGAAGCATATCGAGGATAAGGCAAGGATGATGGAGGACGATAAGCATCTGAGGGATGAGAAGGATAGGGCTCTGGGTCTGGGGATTCATAAACCGTCTTCTCCGTTACGGTGAGCCTGAGGCGCGGATGAAGATAATTTGTGATTTTAGAATGGAAGCATGGCGTTTAGGGATTGGATTTGGGACACGGTCGATTCGTGTTGGAACAATTATCGATGATATATTGGCGCAAGATACCCATCGCGCAGCAAGTACACGTTTGAAAATTTATTACCAGGGGAAAAATATTAGGACATGTTGTGTGTACAGTATGGGAGCAGTTCACGCGTTCATAACTACTACTACCTATAGTTGTATTGATTAGCAAGGCGGTTATATCTAGAAAGAAGAGACTGAAATCCGATATCCCTATAACATAAAGACTCTGGTCCTGAACTGTTTTGGTATCTCGTGATTAAAAACGAGAGCTGGTTGAATAAGACGGGGAAATATAAACCTAGGTACAGGTACGTAGGAGTTACTCGAGTTCTCTGTAGGGCAGGAGGATAAGGTCTTAATCGAAAGGCTTAGGGTGTACTTAGCACAGCCAATCACCCACCGCCACCATCGCCGAGGCTGCCACGCCTTGTCCTCTAAACCTAGCCAAAATTTCCAGACCATCATCTACGACATAATCATGTCGATTTCTTGCAACGCACACGCCTCGACTATGAATATATTCGATGACGGACGGACGATATAATTAACCTCCTTCCTACCGCGATTACCACCTGTACCCTTGGGCTTCCTCCTGCAAATAATACAGCTACCAGCGCATACCACCGCCGTCTCCCCATCGAAAACAAACAATGTCCTCCTGGCTCTCCCGAGTCACAGGTTCGCAGCAGGCGCAGTTAGCAACTACAGCCGTGGTATCCGGCGCCGTGGTTGCAGGAGCTATCTTGGGATATCAGAATATCAAGCGTTATGAACGAGTTCAGGATTTGAAGAGGGGGATTCCTGAGTTAAGAGAGGATCATGTTTCTGAAGCGGTATGTTTTGTTCTGAGACTATGTTATAAGTTGGGCTTGCGGATAGCATTATGGGCCTGTGGAATATAATGCTGATAGAAGAAGTGAAGCTCACGGATTTTGGAGTCGCATCCTCAGTGCTAATCAAAGAGCACGAGCGAGCTACGAAATTAGCAGAGCGTGCTCAAAAGGGTGGTTATGATGATGGTATTATATCCCCTTCGCACTTCCATATTCCCTCAACAGAACAACGCGCTGATTGTCCTCCTCTATACAGATCTTATCCTCGAACAACTCGCGCGAAACCGCGTATTCCTCACAGACGAAGGCCTAGCGAAGCTCCGTTCTTCATTCGTCATAATCGTGGGGTGCGGGGGTGTGGGATCACATTGCGCTGCGGCGCTGGCGCGTTCGGGCGTCTCTCATATCCGACTTATTGATTTCGATCAGGTTACGCTCTCCTCGTTGAATAGACATGCTGTGGCTACGCTCGCGGATGTGGGAACGCCTAAGGTCTCCTGTTTAAAGCGACGGCTACAGCAGATTACGCCGTGGGTGCAATTTGATCTCCGCAATGAGTTATTCTGCCTGGAATCTGCGGAAACGCTGCTTGGGGATTTGGATGGCAGACGGCCAGATTATATCGTTGATGCGATTGATAATATCGATAGCAAAGTGGCACTACTTGAGTACTGCTATAAGAACAAACTCCCCGTCATCTCTTCCATGGGCGCGGGCTGTAAATCAGATCCAACGCGCATCTTCGTCGGCGATATCTCAGCTAGCACGGATGACCCGCTCTCGCGCTCAACACGCCGCCGTCTACGCGCTCAGGGAATCACATCAGGCATCCCAGTCGTGTATTCGACCGAGAAGCCCGGGCCAGGAAAAGCACAGCTTCTACCTCTACCAGAGGAAGAGTTCGCCAAAGGCTCCGTCGGCGATCTTGGGGTCCTCCCTGATTTCCGCGTGCGTATCCTCCCCGTCCTGGGGACTATGCCGGCTGTCTTTGGATATGTGGTGGCGAATCATGTTATTCTGACTATCACGGGATATCCGCATGAGTATATACCAGCGAAGGCAAGGGATAAAATGTATGATGGAATTCTAGCTTTATTGCAGGGCGCAGAGGAGAAATTGGCGCGTGCTACGACGCCCGGTGAAACCGCACAGGGGCTGAAGCTTGGGATTTCCGTTGGTGATGTGGGGTATATCGTCGAGGAGGTGTTTAGGGGGAGGAGTGTGGTTAGTGGTGTCCCTACGAGACTTGCTCTAGTGAGGTGGCGGAAACCAGCGCCGGGGAGTACGGTGAATTTGGGTGTCGAGGGACAGAAGAATAGTAAGGTTGGGCTTGGGGATTTGGTTTGTATGACTAGGGAAGAGGCGGTGGTGCATGAGAGGGAGGTTGTGAAGGGGGATAAGAAGCCTGAGGATATGTATAGTAGGGAGGTTTTGGAGCTTGTTGAGAGGAGGATGGGGGAGGAGAGGGATTTTGAGAAGTATAGATAGATAGATGTATAGAAATTGAATATATGCCTTGCAATTCTGTTTTGGGGAATGATAAGTCCGTAGAATAATTGGGAAGTAGTGTGCAAATGGTGAAATTTTGAATAGAGACCTTCACAATTCCAAGGAATCATGTACTGCGCACGGGACTACAATACTAGGTCATAGAATTAGGTAGAATATTTACATAATGATACAAGGGACGGTATTTAGGTCACAGTTCCGTTCAATCCCAGGATACGGGGCCATTCTACTCGTTGCGTTATGCTAGCTCAGGCAGGTGGTTCCTCATTGGACTGGCCCATCCTCTCAAACAGCTCTCGCAACACTTGCTCATATTTCTTCTTGTCCTCGAGTTTTGCAACCACAGTTTTCAGTACATCGGCAGCCCAATAGGGCGATACAATATGTGCAACGCCGTCAACATCTAGCTTGACATTGGCGCGTTGCGGGTCAAATATTGGCTGCACATGCTGCTAGAAAAGGTTATACAATCCCTTGGGGCTTTTTAGCGCGTGTAAGTATCAGAAATTGCCAATTTTCCAGCATCCTCTCATGATATCTGTTCGGTATGTAACACTACCATATGTAGGACGGAATGATTTCCGTGAAATCTTGATATGTCTTCCCGAATGTTTGAAGCTCGTCACCACCTTCAAGCTCATCTACAGCACAGCCGGTCATCCAGTACGGAGGAGCCAGCATATTTATAGGAGCCGACCATGCCCACTCAAGATCGATAATATATTTGATGTGTCAATTGCAGCCGACAAAGATATTGCTTCTATGAAGATCAGTAAGACTGAATCAAATGGACCACGGCGAAGGTCGCGGCTTATAAAGTGGGAGAGAAGCCCTCGCATGGCAAACAGATTCGCTATTTGTACATAACCATCTTTCTCATCGGATATAGACTTCGGTTGGTTCCGTATACGGCTATCATAACATGCTAAGTGATTATTATAGTACGCATCTTTAGTCGTATATGTTAGAGTCCTCGATATAGTAGTCGGAATATCTTCATTTTCTAAGGACTGAAATGGATGAATCAAGGGACGATTTGTTAGCTTTAAGAAACCTCGTTTATCTATTGTCCAGGACCCAATGCAAGGCAAAGGCAACTGACTCAAAGAAAGGACAATACGAGATAGATCCCTAAAGAGATTCGCGCTCAGATCCCGATCTTGGCAGTGGTTGGCCCAAGTCTCAAAAAGCATGTCCGCATCTGATGTCTCGATATACTCCATGATTAGATGCCCCTGGTCTAGGATGTGTTGGCGGCTGTAGCTTATATATCGACAAGGGAGGATAGACTTAAAGAGCGATAATATGGCACGCCAAAAGTTGCAGCTTCGGTGCGTAATTTCTCGTCCGCGTTACCAGGATATGCTGATTCTCCTACTTTATACGGTAGAGGTATTCTAAGTAGCAATCTTTTCCCTGGATGTTTGCTCCAATTGCCAATATATATCGGTATGCAAACGTTGAAACTGCCATGTCTACACCGAAACTTCTCCTAATCGACAGATTTCGTCGGTATGTAGGCCCATATGGTGCGATACGATGGTCTCAAAGTCTTTGCGATATTCAACGATCCAAAAAAAGAATTTAAATCGTTGGCTGGGATATGCCAAGCGCAGGAGCATATTCTCCTTTTCTAGTGCGTCCGCTAATATCGTTTTGCCTCTGAGAAGTGGGAGAGCGAGCGCGTCTGATGCAGATGACGGATCTCCAGGACCGGAAAATGCTGGGTACTTATCCGAAATAGCATCATTCATGTTGAACGTCGAAGACGTTGAAACGGAGGTGAGTGACTCGGCTTGCTGTGAGTTTGACGGCTACGTCTAATCAGTGTAGGCTATTTCGATATCTAATGTTTATAGCAATTGCACGTCTTGTCATTCGGGAATCACGACCGGTATTACGCTACTGGCTGAAGATATGACAGAGAATTAAGGTCACTGGCTGCACATTGGCCTATAACCCACGCAGATGTAGAATAGATCAGGTGACAGAAATGACGAGACTGACCTAGTATCGGTGTCTCTAAAACCGTGTATAATCCATCTAGTTAGCTAATACTAATATTAATTACTAGCAAAACAGATGTTTAAACTACCTACCTAGGTTGTCGAAACGCCTATTAGATTATGCACCGTGTAGTCGGATTGTCGTATGGAGTACTAATTAACCCACCAAGTCTGAGTAAAGTTATTATTAGCAAACTGGGGTGTAAGCGAACAATGTCAGGGGTGCTCAGCAACTACGCCTCCTTGGCCGAGGTGCTAGATAAAGGAAGTTTCCATGATTGATTGTTTTATTTTCTTTTCAACACCACAATAAATACGACGTATCTGTTGTTGTAATGTATATTTGCTATTACTGTCACTACATCTGATTTGCCATAGCCAGGTACTTCCCCCTGTTTGGCTGCCCCATACATGCGCGATGCTAACTCTATCACTCAGCTAATTTAAACCCTCCTCCACTTCCCAAACCAATCTCCCAACCCTCAAAATGGCCAGCGGCGTCCTAAGCGTCAACTGGATTCCCCGGTACAACAGAGGCAACTGGCCAGGCGACACACCAGGCTACTTCTGCGGTACAATCCCCACCGCCAACGCGGCTTGCCTAGAATACAGCTCCACCAACATCGCCTCCCCCTATCCGCCGCGGACATTCGAGAAGTGCTGCAATGGCCCCATAATCAACATCACCTCTCCCGTCACAGACCCCAAAGACCCTTCATATGGTACGAGCTGCCTCGCGTATTGCGCGGTGGATTTATCGCGCAGCTCAGGCCTCAGGAGTGGATTTAGCGATTACTTTACCTGCCTGCAGGCGCGGACGAATGGCTCATATAGATTCGATGATTCGATCTACGGTAGTGTGACGTGCGGATGGGGAAATAATTCGCGCCATGAGAAGTGTGTCTCGAGTGTCAGTATCCAGAAGGATCTAGCGACCAAGACCACGGTTGCGCTGTCAGATATTACGAATGCGGTATCGTCGCATATGACTTTCTCGACTTGTCCGCCCGAAACTACTGCTTCGACTACTACCACGCCTGCAGAAACGCCTACTGCAGCGGGCGCGGGGAAGACGTCAGGGGCCCGGTCTGAGAATAGGGAAATGTCAGTGGGCTCTATGTTCGTGGTAGCGCTTATGGTGTCATCCAGCTTTCTATTTCTATAATAAATGGTTGATATGGTGATGATTGTACTACTCCGTTCTTGAGGCATTTAGTTGGGGTTATTATTCCCTGTTTCTATTAGGGACCTTTGGATGATTGCTTCGCCTTGCGATTATCCACGGCGCTGAGGAGTGGAGTTGGGCTTGGGCGAAGAGGGATAAACTTCGAGGAGACTAGAAATGTCTCCTTGTCCGGACGGCTGAAGCGGATGCAACCTTGCATTTGGGGAATGTAATATTGCCCAGAGGAAGGCCAAGGGAGTAATTGCAAAATCACTGGTGCGGTTTGGCAGCATCAGAGGCACTGTATATATCGATATGGGTCCATCCTTTCCTGGCGCGAAGATCTAGGCACGAGGAATAGGGCGCGAGGAAGAAGGCATAATGTAGGAATGTATATTTGTGTATACATAAGCAGGCATGTACTGTACATTATATATTATATGGAATATTTCCCCATTACCTCGTATGTAACCTACCTAACCTGTCTTTCCACCGCGCATTCCCCAACCCATTTATTGAATATGAAGACGCCATATATCTCAAAAACGATACCACGCCACTTACACCCCCGCCAAAAACATGTCTCCAAGCCTCAGATACCAATTCGTCCAGAACAAACCCTAAGTTCTGTACTCGGCCATTCATGAAATGCGTAATGACCAAAAGCTCATTATTACTAATGAGGAATCCACCCTCCTTAAAGTGGGTTGTAAAAGTTGGATGCGTATCTTCCTATCACGGGAGACTCAGAACTCGGCCCAGGACTTGGCAAACCCGAAATCGTCCTCGAAACGCCTAATCCACCGCTGAGCGGTCCTAGGTCAAGCACAGGCGGCCGCCGTTTACCAAAGGGGAGATGAAATTCAGGGTTGACCATCGCTTCCCGTCTTCCAGGAGGTGGGGGTGCTTGCCTTCGGGCAGCGCCAGCAGCCTCAGCAATCGGCCACTGACCGCTTTCGTACTTCCCCACAACCAGACTCTCGGAGCCGCTCCGCGACATTCTGATTTGTGATAGCGTTTGGGACTGGGTGGAAGTGCTACTTGCCCGCTGTGCTGCGATTGATTGCCGGTAGTATGCGTCGTAAAAGTCTCCTATGCTGCTCTGGCTCGCGTCACTTGCACTCCTAACTCTAGCTAGTGACATAGCTATACTTAGGCGTTCCTTGTCTATAGCTAGTGAATTAGCTACACTTAGACGGTCCTTGTCTATAATTGTCGGAGGCGCGAGCGAGGCTAGCTGAGATGGCTGTTGATGCTTTTTGTGCGTTTTGTTCATCCCTACTGTGTGGGTTGCGGATCCTAGGGAGGAATAAGACGAACTCTTGGAGTGCATGGAAAATGGTACTGCGTGAGAATTAGAGAATGGCGACTCGAGGGGGTAATCGAAATCGAAATCAACGGCGAGGCCTTGTACAGAGCCGCTCCTATTGTCATGGTGCATTTGATCACCACCTCTGCTTCTTTGCTGCTCGTCGTGTTCTCGCCCCATTGATATCCTGCCGCTATGCTGGCGAGGAGAGTTACGAGTTTCTGTGACGCTGTGGACAGAGGTGGATCGGGGGTGTACATGTGACGTTGATCTCGATGTAGAAGGCGAGTGGCTTCTATTTTCACTTGATTGCGAGCGCGAATGTATCCTGGTATGATTGAGGTTGCTTCTCGTGTGCTCGTGAGCGGGAGCCTCCGGGCTACATATGCTCAAGGCGACGACGCTCCGCGCATAGCTATGCGACTTCGGACTCCCTGGCAAATCCCGACTATAATTCAGTGGCTCAAAGATTGACACATGTTGCTTGCTGACTATCGAGTCGCGGATAACAGCTCTTTCGCTATTCTCAGACTTCCACGGTAGATCATCTTCGGGAAAGAGGTCGGGGTCGTTGGCTAGATTGAAGATTTGTGGCAATGTAGAGATAGGACCATGCTGATCATATGCATTTTCCGCTGTCAAAGGTCGCTCGGGTAGCTCATCATCCCTATGGAAGATAGAGCCTGATGTGCTTCGCCCCCTTGACGGTTCAAATGGGTTGGACGGTGTAGAAGTTGGTGATTTGGCTTGAGGCTCCGCGCCCTTATGGGACTGTGACGTTCCACTGCCAAAAGTCGATTCAACCCCTGATTTGGCACCTGAAAATGAAGCAGATGGTGGAGGTGTTAAGAGTCCTGTCTGGTCAAGAAGGTTTTCCGGAAAGTTAAGACGTGGTAGGTATGATATGGGCCGTGAAGAAACAGTTGGAGTGGTTGGTCTGCTGAAATGTACATCTAGTGGAGAAACCCATGTTTTGGAGCGGGTGCTACCAGACGGCGAAACACTTCTCATAGATAGCGGTGATGGGAGAGGCGGCATATAGGCGCCTCCAATACCACCGACACTAGATGCAGATGCATTTTGATGCAAATGACCATGGAAACTCCTATCGAATGGTTCCGTTCGAAGGGGTGATGGCTTATGTTTCTGACCCCCAACCAACGCCCGGCTTGGATTGGCAATTCCCGATATATCTGTAAGGCTACTTGATGCGGAATGGCTTGCAAAGCTCCCTTTGTCGGTCCAGTTTACGACCGTCGTGCTGGGCGATAAAAAATACGAAGGCGCAGGGGAGCTTGGTCTCGATTGACCAGCACTCTTAGAGTATCCAGCTTCGAGGTCCTTCATGCCGAGTTCTCTTGTAGAAAGTGCGTCTCCATCCTTTCCCTTCACCGCATCCACCTCTTTGAGCTTCTGATGCCTTTGGATCCTAAAGATATCCTTAGTAAAGTCCATACATGCCTGGTGGAGATCCCTAACTTTCTCTTATCTATATATCGACCAATCAACCAACCAACTATTGCGATCACAACGACTGCCCCTATTCCAATGCTGTTGGTTTATGTCAGCCGTTGCAAGATCTTCATTTTGTTTCATAAAACTAACCCAAACCAGGCTCCTCCACTTATCGCTGGAGATTCCCCCATTATGAAATGAATTTACAGCGATTGCAGCCAAAAGGAAACCATGTATTTTAGTTGCGATATGCTGGCGTGAACCGTGATGTAGCGATAACTTCGACGCGGGGAGTAATAACGAGTTGTAGTATCTCTATGGATATCAATGAGTGACAAGATCAACCCGGATTGGCGCATAAAACCAGCCTATTCCGACTCAACTAGCTGTTCGAACGGACAGAAAAGATGGCCCTATAATTTCCCCAGACAAAGCCCGAGTCGCCCAGCTCGTCTCCAGCGTAGGTTATTTCGTTTCCAACCGACTTTATAGATTCGATATGAAGTTGATCGTTCCAACTTCTGTGGTTAAAGTTGTCCGACAGATGCTTTGTGCAGTATCCGGGGTATTGATAGATTCCTCGTGGTCCAGTATTATTGACGCCCACCTACAAGACAAAAGAACACCGAGCAATTCTTAGAATCGTGTCGCTATGATCTGCTCGAATGCAATCGCATAATCGCACCAATCTTGTGCACCGGATTTGAACGACAGCCCAACGAATGCGTTTGTCTTTGCCGAACGGCCAAAATCCAACTTAAATGAGAGGACGTATCTCGAAGAGATACAACAACAACCGGCGATAGGAGCAGCAACGAGAATGAGAACGACAGACAACAACGATGGCGAGGTGAACAAAATAAGGAAACCAACATGCCTTCGCCTCTTACAGCTGGAAGGCTTTTAGAGCTCGGCCCCGCAAAGAAGAAAAGCGACGCCATGATGGAGCGCTGGGCTTCCAGACTCCACACAGTTCACGAGCACCACTGCATATTTTGTGCAAGCGGCCTGCGAGTGTAGATTAGCAGACCAACTTGGCGTGAGCCGCCCCACGGACGTGGGTAGCTTTGAAGGTGTAGATGCGTCGATCGCGCGAGCGAAGAAACACTAGAAGGGCTAGAAACCCACCACTTCGTATAGAAACTGTCGAGGCTGGGATTCAGCGGGTTCCTGGAAACGCTGCCTAGGTTGCTAGCCAAAGGTACTGTACTTGGAAAAACAGACAAGCACTTTCGAGTAGTGGGTGTGCCCTTGCCCGTAGTGGAGGACCGGTGATGACAAAAGAATCATCCACCGCGACGTCAAGCTGAAGTTTTCCCAACATTGCATTGCATCGCATCGCATCGCAGGTCGTCCCAAGCACCATGTTGGTGATGTGATGCAAGGACAGGATCAGCTTGAATTGGCCACGCCATGTTTAAAAGCATCTCGTCTAATACGACGCCTCATGAGGGCCCCAGCAGTGCGAACGCCCAATTTGGCTTCTCTGGAACTTTCGATGTGGAGCGCCCGCAGCATGTAGTATTTAGGGGATACTCCGCGTTCCACATCCAGGAACAGGCATAGTCTGCACGGGAACTGTGCAATCCAAGAGTCCCTGAAAAAGGAAGATCTTCGCGATCGCCGAGATAGCTCGGACGCTGCGGCAACAAAAATTCTTCTGGCCACGTGGTTGAACGTTCCAGATAGTCTCCCTAAGACATGATATGGTTGTCATATCTCTCCCCTGATTATTGTTTTCTCGTCGCATCTTGGCTGAATAGATGCGCTGCAATGTTGCGGGAATTAATCTAAAAAGCTTAGACTAACGCCAAATTCAATAGCGTAAATATTTTCATTTGCTTGGCGAAGTTGTGGAAGCGTTGTTTGCACAACACTTTTATTATTATTATTATAAGTTATACATTTGTGGCTTGCCCGTATTTCAAGCTGGCTTGGTACGAACGATGATATCATATTTTGACTGTGGTTCAACCTCGGCTCAATAAAATCTCGTGCAGGATGCTACACTTCATGTCTACTCCGTAAGGTTGGGATTGAATTGACTCCCGAATACTAGGTACATAGGTGACCCGTATTTGAGCCAAACGGAGCCGATACAGCGTACTCTGCAGCTCCTTCGAGCCCTCCTACCGAAGTCATCAAATTTCCCGATCTCTAATCCGCTGTGCCTCATACCTAGGTGCTCATACTCCTACCGCACGTTTGTAGAATTCTGCGAGAGACATCATGACAATGATTTTACGCACCTTTCTAGCTAGATCCAGATACTCGGATTCACCGAGACGCTCCCTAGCCCTCATATAATAATCCCTCAGGATCGCCTTCGCCGCGTGTCTTCCACACATCTTGTTGAACTCATCCCCAACCGTACGTGCAACACCACCATGATAATCTCCATCCAAGTCATCCAAACGGGCTCCGTCCGAGTCCGACCAACAGCATACCAACAACCCGCAAACCGTTCCGTCCTGCTCCGGCGCCTGCGGTTCCTCGCTGACCGGCAATGGCATCCTTCCAACCTCCCCATCTACTCCTTTCTAATCACCCACCCAGAGGGCAACATCCTCTTTGACACAGGAATGTCACCGCATTGCAACCAATCAAATTACTTCCCCATCTGGGCCATGGGTACCAAGATGGCAACCCAGATGCACATCGAAGCCCACGAAGGTATGGCATCTCAGCTCAAAGAGATGGGTATCGAGCCTAAGGACTTGAAAGCTGTGGTGTTATCTCATTTACATCATGACCACGCCGGTGGGCTGGAAGATCTAGCTGAAGCGCCGATCTTCATGAGTAAGGAGCACTGGAAAGCGTTCAAAGGCCCGACCTACGCAGCAATAGAAGGCTGTGCTCCGAATCACTGGCCAAAAGACTTCGCCCCGAAATTTTTGGTGCCGTCAGGAACGGCGATTGGGCCATTTGAAAACAGTTATCCCATCACGTCTGATGGGAAGGTTGTAGCGGTTGACACCCCGGGGCATGCTCCTGGCCATGTTTCTCTGATCGTGTTTGCGGATGACGCGACGTTTTTCTTGACAGGTGATGCGACGTATGGATTGGAGTTGTTAGATAAGGAGGAGACTGATGGTATTAATGATGATCCCTTGAGGGCAGTGGAAACTTTGAGGAAGATCAAGGAGTTCACAAGGCAACAACCTGTTATCGTTTTGCCGTCTCATGATACGAAAACGATAGAAAATCTAAAGTTGAAGACTGCGTTTTCGCCTTCGAACTTATAGCATTATATATCATCCCTTAGATTATAAGTTAGGCATGTATATAATAACAAATTTGAGGCATTTATTGTCGAAAGTCATGGATGGGGTTGTCTGAGTTAAGAAAAAGGTCAGCTCACAATGAACCATATTAAGCATGAGATACATAGGAAATTTCGCTCCTAGATATATTTGCGAAGGCAGCAAGAAATTCAAATACTATTTTCCTGCTGAATTAGGACTTGTAAATAAAGGAACATGAAAGTTTAAAGCACGCCCACAAATAAAATGTGCAATATTACGAGGGGACTTTAGATCGTCAAAATGAATAGGAAAATATTGCTCTATAAAATCATCGTTCGCGAGATCTAAGTCATAAGGACATGACAACCATACAGATTCTACAACACCATCTAAACACTCAAGGTCTAACTTAAACGGCCCGGTCAGCTGGACTTGTTCAAATACCAAGTTTTGTCCCCATCGCCCAATTCCTTGGTTGAAAACCCATTCCCCAAGTAAGCAAACCGATTCTTACTTTCCCTCGTATATTCAAAATCCTCGCCCCGGAACTGCTCCAACATGTGAAACCAGTGGATTCTACTCCCCGGATGCAGCGCTGTCACCGGCCCATTCTCCAGCCCGTTCTTGAACCACGATCGACAAGTTCCTGACCACGCGGTGCGCGGCATAAATGCATTGATATGCTCGTAGAAGTCATCAACTGCGGCGGGGAGCGGCGAGAGGGAGAGGATGGATTCGGTTTGGCATTTTTGGATTATACCGCTTATGTATTTTGCGATATGTTCAGTGATAGTGAAGACGCTGCCGTGGCCGATGGGGGCATTTGGACCGAGGAACACTAGAATCTTGTTAGCAACTATAACGTAGACATTTCCATGACTCTGCGCAGAAATAGCTTGGGAGATTGGGTTGGAATGGGGAACCTACTAAAATAATTTGGAAACCCGGGTATTGAGGAAGACATATAAGCCCTTGGCAAGTCCTCAGCCCACTGATCTTGCAAGTTGCCATTCCTGCCAATAATCGGGAAGCGTGGGCAAAAGGAGACGTCGAAGCCGGTTGCACAGACCAACACGTCTACCTCAATAACTTCACCTGTGCTGATCTTGATTCCATTCTCAACAATCTCTTCAATTGGATTTGTTACAACGCGGACGTTCTTGGCTGTAAGTGATTCTAGGTAGCCAACGGCAGGTGTGAGTCGTCGACATCCAATTTCGAAGTCGGGAATAAGTGCTTTCATGAGTTCTGGGTTGCCACCTAAAGCGGCTCCCATGAACATAGTGACCATTTTCGTCGCGTATTTGGCTACATCGCTGCCTTTAATGAGCTGTGGTATCCGGGTTAGCCATAAATCCAACATCTAGGCTTATGGGAGTCGTCAAGGACAACTTACCATAGGAAATTTTGAGTTAATATCCTCCTCCACAGCCTTCACAAACTGGAGATAGTAATCTGGATCAGAATTAAACCTCTCGATTTGCTCAGCTGTAAATTTATTGCCGTCCGTTTTAAGGTCGCGCAGAATATCAATGGGTTTCTGGGCGAGTAGCTGTTGCTGGGATGGCACAACCCATAATGGGGATCTAATAAAGTGCACCAGCTCCTTTACATCTAAGAGGAGATTAGCGAAGCTCTAGTGATTTCACAGAAAAGGGTTTTACCCGGTTGCAGAGCTGGTACTACTTGAACTCCAGACGAACCATTTCCAATAACTGCTACTTTCTTCCCGGCGTATTCGGAGCCTTTTGGCCAATTTGCCGTGTGGATAAGCTCACCTTTGAAGTCATGCAGACCGGGGATATTGGGCCATTTCCAGTTACTAAGTATGATGTTAGACCTCAAATTTGCATCTTCAACGCCTAGATAAAGGACACGACTCTCTTCATACTTACTTCAATATCCCGGTCGCATTTAACAAGAAGTGACAAGAATCACTGAAGGTCTTCCCATCCTCCAAGTTTTCCACCTGCAACTCCCATATCGCCTTGTTCTCATTCCAAATGGCACTGGTAACGCGATGGGAAGTCTTGATAGATGGCCCCATATTCTCGTCCTCGCATACTTTGCAGAGGTACCTCTCAATCTCGTCTGTGCCCGCTAAGAAACCACTCCATGAAGGATTATGATTCCATGAGAACTGATAGTTGTGGGCTGGAATGTCGCACACGCAACCTGGGTACTTGTTTTCATACCAAGTTCCTCCTATCGACGGATTCTTGTCGTACACCACGTGCTCGTAATCAGTGAGTTTCCCCCGCAAGGTCCTGATCATATTGATACCGCTGGCACCTGCACCGATAGTAACAATCCGTACATGGCGTGCTGTTCCCAGCGGCTTCTCGGAAACACTGTAGGTATTGGTATGCGGCATACTGGGAAAGGCACCTCCGGCTAATTCGTGCATGGTTGAGGTTGATGATCGAGACAATGGTGATCGACGACTACGAGAGGAAGTTCAATAACAGGTCAGAATTCACTCCAGAGCCACGATGAATTTAAACACAACTTGACCTTGCATGGTTCAAGCTCCTTTCCAGCCCAACTCAGCAAAGCTCAAAATCTGGCCAAGGCCCTTTCCGGCACTCGGGACCAACATTTCGCATCTCGTATAATGATGCACACGGAGCCGCTGGATTTGCCCTTCAGCAAGTTTCATACGAGTAGCCCCCCGGATCTTCAGTTGCCAAGATATGGGCTCACCAAAGCCCGTCTGTTTCGTCGAATCGTGGCGCAGACGCATGAGAATATAAGCTCGATGTTCGTATTCCAGCGAATCGCGGGGCCGTTCCCCTGTAAGCCGGGGGTTTGGCGTGTACCAGGCAAAGCCCCGATGGCAATTCCTAATAAGAACGGGGGTTTTTGGCTTGGTTTATAACTACAAACTAACTCCTGTGAAAATGCTCTGAAAAGGGCAGCTTCCGATGCAGTTTTCGTAAACCTTTCAATATCATCATATATCATCCCGAATGGCGACCCTCTCGTACCCGGCCAGTCATGTGTGGCGAATGATCGCTCTGATTGTGAGACTAGTGATTGATGACAAGGAATCCTCACCGGGGTCTAGTTAGAGCAGTTGAGATTGATATACTTTGAAAAATTATCCTGTTTGTAAGGCCAGCAGCGAGGGTGCTTCGTAGGTCCTGTTGACCTCTTCATACCACAGATAGTTTAGCGCCCAAGTCTTTAAATAGGGGCCAATTACCTCACATCGCCACACGTCTCAACGTTCTGTCATTATCATTTGCGCTTACAATGTTGATTTAGCAGTCCGAATACGCAGGCAGGCAGGCTGTTCTAATTGCTTGAGACTCTACCAAAACCATTACCCCTGAACTGCAGCAGTCAGAATTATTAGAATCATTATGAATAAAACCATGCTGCTTTTCTCCATACTACCATCTTTTTAAGGATAATATGGAGCGATAGATATAGTAGGAAGATGGGAACTTGTGGAAAAATCATTCCATGTGTTATTTCCAAGTGCGAAAAGAAGAGAAATAACTAAAAGCCCGCAATGAATAACGCCTAAGGTTTCCAACCATAGTAACTTGATTACCTCCGCTCTACCCCAATAACTTTATACTTTCACTCTAATCGCTTGCTCCTTTCCCACTTCTCCCCCTTTACTCGTCCCTTCTCTCACTACTGCCTCCCCCTCCAAAATATGGTCTTCTCCATTTGCGATCAATCGAAATAGCATTTAGGACCGGAGACTGCGAGAGCGTAGGTGATTGAGCTTTTGATAAGTCGAAATGTGTTTAGTGGCAGGCATGTTCTTAACGGCCTTTCTGCGCGCGACGTCGACGTTCAACTTCTTCTTGACGTTGACGGGCTCCTCTGCAGGAAGTACACTCGGAACCGGGCCTATAATATTCATTGTGAATTTTGCAAATGCAAACATGCACTTTTTTCACACATCGAGTAGTACACACTTTTTTGCAGGCTGGACTATATAAAAACGTTAGTTATTAAACCAACAGAGGGCGACAATCCTACCAGTGATGGCCCATGTTACCTTTGTGTAAAGCAGACTGAGGAGGAGATTCCCAGGAACTGAAATACACAGTAGGAGTTCTGTTTTGGAAAGGCTGTTTTCTGGTTTGGAGAGTCTGTTTTCTGTTTTGATCAGGCTGTTCAACGAAGAGACACTGGAGAGGTTTACATTTCGAATTTAATTGAATGTACCTTGATTAGAGGCCTTCACCGAAGATAAATCTATCTATTTCCTAAGCGATATAGTACTGCCGTATTTAAATTTTAATCCAATATCTGTCTGGCCACCCTTGCTAACGAACAACTGGTTCAGCATATTCTAATGTAGACTGGCTCCGAGCCGTGGCTTTTCTGCATGTTCCTCAATATGTTGGCAGAACTATCATCGTAACAACTATGTTTATATTGAGACCCTTCCATTTTGTTAAGTCCTCCTCGGAAGTTGAATACTCTGTACAACACTCTTTACACGCTATAGAGTTATTCAAATGCAACCTTGAACCTATAACCTATTATTACAGTCGAAAAACTTAACCTCTGCCTCTTTTTACAGGGTAACAGAATTTCCCAAGAGTCAATGTCAAAAGATCTTATAGCTATTAAATTACGTCTACGATTAACGGTACAAAGCCTAACATGATAACTACAAGGATTCACAGCTATAGTGGACGGTGGGCTCTGGAAAGCAGGGCGATAGCTTTGTGAATAGTACTTCACAAATAGCCAGCTACTATAGTGAAAAGGTAGGGAATAGTCCCTACTATTCCCTGCCTATCCTCATGCCTCCAAGTTTTACTTCATATTTGCAACAAATACTATCAATAAACAATAATATAAGGTATCTTACTTTGCCTCAATTTAACTTCAAAAGCAAGTAAACATTCCTAGTATCACCTACCTAAGATACGTACCAAGCTGTGTGTTATATTAATTTTTTTTAGCTTAGTGACTAATACCCCTCTAATCTATATATGGCCAAATAAGCAAATATTTCTTAACGAAGTACAAGGGCGTGGCACTTGGTCAAGTGTGTTCTAGTCAAATTGTACTTTCGTTATCGCCAGGGACGATAGGAAAAAGGGAACAACAACAAAGCGACAACAAAACAAATGCGACAAAAGATGTAGGCATTCGACACCGGGCCGAACTCTTTTGCTATTTTGAGAGTTCGATTTAATATTTTTCTTTTAAAAAAAACAAATACATAACATACGATTAAATTAAATTCACCTTAGGAATCGTTTTTTTTTTCGTGGGGTTGGTTTGGCAAGGGCCAGATTGGTGTCACCGCCTATTATTGTTATTATTACCTACTACCTACCTTAAATCCAAGCTTATTTTCAATAACGACGAGAAGATAGTGGAGGGCTAAGGCTAAGAAAGTACAAAACTAAGATGTAGAAGAACTCTAAGGATCTGCTGCATGAGCAGTGGGCAAATATTCCCCAAAATAGGAAGCCGTGAAACCTGAGATATGTAGGACAGTAGGGCAGAGTGACCCACGAAGAGGGAGGACGATGAGAGGCCAAAAGAGGGAAATCAACAAGAAGAGGAAATAGGGCGACTAGAGAGCAAGAGCAGTGGGAAGGATTCCGATGGAATAGCCCTCTTATATTTACATCAGCACTGAGAGCTACGTAACTTATATTGAGACTACTTCCGTGACCTCCTTGTTAAACCCTAATCACGACTTGCATGGCTTCGCCTCCTGAAGTTCAATCTCCCCTTTTAGGAGTGCATCAAAGCCAATCTTTAAGAGCTTCATATGCCATTCATTGAGGTGTCCTTCTGCCATTGCACACGCGATTTTGTAAATGTAGAAGTCGTTTAACCCACAATTGTCTTCTCCATTTCCCATATTGCCATGCCCGCTCTGCTGTCCTGAGACCTGTCCATTGTCTAGTGGAATTATTTTCTCGTTCTCTTCGTCGGTCGATTTGCTTGCCTCTGTAGCTAGCACGGAAACATATTTGCGGACTATTTCTGCAATTTCGTTGAAGAACTTATCTAAGATTGATGCAGTACACAGTTGGTCTGTTGCTGCGATATAGAGATTCTCAGCGAATAGAGAGTTACGAGTTAGGTTGACTTCCGATACCAAACCCTTGTCTTGAAGGCGGTACGCTTTCATAAAGTCGTCATAGATTGTGCGGTAAAAGGCGAGTGTTTCAGGAGAGTCTTCCCAAACGCCCTCTGGCTCGATACCTTGTTCCATTTCTTCCTTCCAGCCATACATAGCAGGATCCCAATCACGCGTCAGCCAGCTTGGGTATTTTTCGTTCCCTAAGCTTCGTGGGACTGCACAAACGCCGTCCCAGTCAATGAGACCTTGTAATCCTCCATCTTCTGAGACGATAACATTCTGGATATCAAAATCTGGGTGTGTCAAGACAAATTTCTTCCTCTCATCCATAGGTTCTGGGACCCAATGGAGAAACAATCGAAGAAGTTCAAGCTCGCCCTTGCTAGAAATGGTACGTGGTTCGTGTCGACAGTCTAGGAAAGCTGTATAGAATGACCTTGGGTCTGTGAAAGGACCCAATTCAACATATACAGCCATTTCATCTTGATCGTCTGTGTACAGACGATCAAGCATGGCTTGATTGTCAACGTGTCGGGAGGGGCTGATGCGGGCAGGTTGGCCATGTTCGTCAAAATTAATTGAACCTCCTTGATCAAATGAGAATCTGTCCAATTGAATCATGGCAGCAGCAAGTTCTTTCAGGGTTCGAGTCCGACGCGCTTGTACAATGTGTTTTGGCACAGTATGGTCAAACCAACAATCATACAATGATTTGCCAGAAATGAAACTCATTAGGATAAACGGGCAACCAAGATCATTGCCGCATGTGGCGTCAAATGCGAATACTCGAGGTAGAGGAATAGTAGTCTTATGTCGTAGTAGCTGCATCGTCAATGCTTCGGAGCATAATGCTCTAGCAGCGGGCCCGTCAAACCGATCGCGAGTTCCATTGACAGGGACCTTAAGGATCCAGCGAATTCCATCATTAAATTCCACAGGGAAGAGGACATGATAGGAGCCACATATTGGCAAACCGATGGTGACGGGCTCAATCTCGTGGGATTTCTTGTTGCTGTCTTGATTGATTTTCTCCCGAGCAGCGGAAGCATATCCAGGCAGGAGATCCAACCGCAAACTCGCCATGACAGGAGCGAATAATTCCTTGTCGTCATCTCCCTCAGATTCCATGTCCACCTCCTGGTCGTCGACGTCATCTACGGCGGGGGGTTTATCTGACGCAGCGGACGTCATGGGTTTGGTGTGAATGTATAAGAAGTGCGTATGACACGGCCAGGCGTATTTAGATCGCAGCCTTGGTAAAGTTTAGGGAGGTTCTAGGGCAGAGAATTAGCCACAGGCGAAGCAGAGGTTAAGACTGAGCTGATGGTTTTCAGTCAGTCGATAGGATCTCGCAGACTAAATCCTGGGTGATGGACGTATAAGTTGAGTTGGACGTGGTGAAAGTGAAATTGATGATGGTTACAAACGTTCTCGGTTGGAGGGAGTGTTACTTGACCACCAAATTCACTGAACCGCCTGAAAATTACCCAAATTCGAAATGACCCCATTTACAAGGTCATTTGAATAAGCTCCCCACTTGTTTATACTAGCTTTTCGTATTATCCAAGCTTCTACTTAAAAGGACCTTAATACTCTTACGAATCTCGCCTCGTAGCTTTTGTACATTCACCTTAGATTATTCATTTTTACTCCTCGACTAGTAAACTATTTAATCTCTATAAAAATCTATTTACTTCCTTTGATTAAATTAATATTAAGACTTTAAGGATAATAAATAATAGATATAGTATTATTATTCTTTTCTACTTCGATATAAATAGTATTTGTATACTATTAGTAAGCGGAGTATCGTGATAGTTTGAGTCAAGGTGCGTATTGATTCTCAATACTACATAAGACGTAATACGAAGAAGGATGATTATCCTCGCGGGATGCCCTTTCTCTAGTTAGTTGAGGGGTTGTCAGAGCTATTATAAAGTATGAATGGAATACGGTGTGGGTTCGCTTGGGAGATATATGAGTTCCGCGGAATAATGAGATCCGGGAAAATCCAGTGTTGCTGGGATGCCTTGATAGTGGAGGTGGTGGAAGTTGGAAGTTGTAATGAGGCTGTATAAAAATGCGGTCTCTCTCACTGGTCAGTAGCACTAGATCAAGTGATGAGTGACAATTGATACTGCCGAGCTCACTTTACAAAGAAGAGCTTCCGTAACCGACGGAAGGGTCACTCGTAAGTCAAGCTCCACTAAGCTGTAGAAGGGGGCAGTGATTTGAAAGCTCCGTGTTTCTCTTTGAATAAAGACGTCCTAGTGAATGGCCAGATATCGATCAAACTAACTCGACACCATGCGGCCAGCTTGTTACCTCCCAAGACGCGGCAGTACTTGCTTTCTACCAAGTATAGCTGTCTTGAACCATTCCAACCGCTTTGCCATCTTGCTTCCAAATCCTCGCATCCTTCATTACAAAGGATACATTCCTCAATGCGTGTATATCCTCACGCGGATCTTTGTCCAGGGCGATAATATCTGCACGCAGACCCGGCTCAAACCATCCGAACTTGACACCACACAGATCCCCACCACATGATTCCCATCCTCCAACAGAACACGCCTCCAGAACATCCTCCAGGGGAATTCCGGCCTCTATCATGAGTTCCATCTCGCGAGCACTCTTACCGTGACTGACAGGGCCAATGTCAGCACCGCAGGCAAATCTCACGCCTAGGTCATAAGCCAGCTTCGTTTGGGCTTTGATCTCGGGGTACCGCTTGGAGTGCAATTTCTCGCAGACAGACAATGTAGGAACGAAAATAACGTTCTTTGAGACCATGGCTTCAAAAAGCTCAGCATTGGCAAAATAACAATGCTCCAGCGTATTAACCCCGGCTTCAACCGCCATCATGGCACCCTCAATTGTCCCCGCATGACAAGCAACAGGGGCTTTCGCCAGCCTCGCTTCCTTGATGATCATATTTACCTCCTCTTGTGCAAAGACCAAGACATCAGGGTTCGGATCCTCTGGGAGATGCGCAATATCGTTGATGTAAGGATGCTGCTGGGTAGGCGGGAACCGCATGACTCTTCGTCTGTAATCTGCAAAATACTTGATAACATCTGCACCAGCTGCGATTCTGCGGCGGACAGCTAGACGAGCGCCACCGGCTCCATCCACACAGTCAGCGCCAGATGGCAGACAGGTATGTTCGCTCTCGGTGCGGGGTTCATAGGAGCCAGTGCTGGCTAAGGCTTTGGTCGCGACGAAGAGGCGAGGGCCGGGCATGAGGCCGCGATTGATAGCATCACGCATACTGGCGTCTGAGTTGCCCATTGATTCGGAGCCCAGGTCTCGGTAGGTGGTATATCCTGCTAGTAAGGCAGTTCTGCAGTGGTTTGAGGCGCGGATGATGCGTTCGACAACACTTTCGTCACGCTTTTGGTTGACTGAAGCACGCTCGCTGGGAGATGAGAATCAGAAAGGTAACCATTAAGCCCGGGAATTGTCCTTGAGTTGCCAACTGACCAGCAACCTAAACCCAGATTCCTGAGGATTGCAACTGTGCAGCCTGGAAGGTCTAGAGTTTGCAGAATTTGAGGTCTTATTTTGAAGTGGGGTCCCTGACTGTGTCTCCCCTGACGAATTGAAGAAATAAATCTTACTCATAATCATGGAGAAAAATGTGCGAATGGGCTTCAACGAAGCCAGGCATCACAACCTTCTCCCGGAGGTCAACGTCGCCTTCTGGAACCTCTTCTAGCTTCTCTGTTCGCTCGTAGACCTTGATAATGGTGCCGGTGATGGGCTCAACCGTGATTGAGACCTCGGACACAAATTTCTTCTTCTTCGGGTCGAACAGGGTTGAGGTATGGATAGTGTACGACATAACTGCGCACATGAGATTGTCCGAGAAGAAGGGACGTGAAGAAGGAAACGAACAAGAGATATTCAGGAGTAAAGAAGTAAAGAGGGACTTTAGAATTAAACTTTAGTATAAGAGATAGGCGATAATAGCGAATCTACTGGCTCTAATAGGGATAAGAATGGTAATAGAAGAGGAAGAAGAAGAAGAGGAATAATAATGTTACTAGTGACGGAAGCGTCACCATACTCACTCCTCACGAGTTCCAGCACCTCGCACTGTCCCCACTTCTCCCAAACGCAGATCTATCGTGAATTTGTGGTACCAATAGTGATGGCCACTCGCATTCGACGGAGGAGGATCATCCAAGCGAACCAGCGATTAATACTATCTCCAATATTAAACGCCACTCTTCCAACGGCGCGCATGCAGAAGAGCGTCGGGTTACTTGAGACACGCGCTGATCTCCGGCCCGATGTAGGGGAGGGGCCCACCTAAACAAGCCCAAGATTATCAGGGTCCACTTCTCTGGAATCTACACCGAGGAATATGGGCCTTTCCCAAAGACGATTCATTTCCCCACGAAATGGCCATTAGTCTGCTTGGTACAGGTCAAAGTTTTTTGGTTCACTTGTTGAGATCTTGCCGCCAATTGGAAACCTCAAGCCGCTCTGCATCGAGACTGTGTACGAGGTGTGTCGTGAGCAAAGCTCCAGGGGCCAGTCAAGTTCATGGACCGAGGATGCAACCCCCCTTCTCCTTGTATCCTATCTCTCTTCTATCCCCGCCTCTATCGTAAATAGAAATACTAGGCACTTATAGGCCAAGAGTCTCCTATCTCCAGCGGTAGTTGCACAGTTCCTCTCTATATTAAACTCGCATCCGTCCTTCATCCCAGCCACATCCAGATCGCCCATTACCTCATTACGTTTCCTTCAACTCAAATTATTTGAGAGTATTTTTGACAAACGCCCAACAGTCTAGTGCATCATGGCCATTGATGCTACCCTGAGCGAGAAGCTGGGCGAGAAGGCTGGCGAATCCACAATCTCCGACCACCCTGAGAATGGCAGTATTGGGAAGGGTCATCTCGGTCACATCAAGGGACAAGATGAGGCCGGGAAGTATGCTCATACGACAGCGATGAATATTGACGGAGCAACAAACAAGAGAATACGCAACAAGATCGATAGGCATCTCTTGCCATGGATGTGTGGACTCTACCTATTGCAGTACCTCGACAAGACGACACTCTCCTATGCTGCGGCCATGAACATCAAAGAGGATATGGGTATGAATGATGCTGAATACTCATGGTAGGTACTTCTATAAGCAGACACCAATTCGAAATTCTAACGCGATAAAGGGCTGGTTCTATCTTCTATGTCGGGTACCTTGTTTTTGAATACCCTCACAATCGCCTTTTCCAGATTCTGCCCATTGCTCGGTACCTAGGCTGCGTAGTAATGATTTGGGGTGTTATATTAGCTCTACACTCTGTATGCTTCAATGCTGCTGGAATTCTGACAGTAAGGTTCTTCTTAGGAGCTTTCGAAGGTGCCGTTACAGCAGGTTGGTCTTCGTTGCCGCGTGACTGAATTTATCGATGGTAACTCTCGGAGTAGGCTTCGTTTTGATAACGTCTCAATGGTATCGTACGAGTGAGCAGACTTTCAGAACAGCCGTATGGTTCACCTGCAATGGCCTTGGTCAAATTACTGGTGGGGCGCTAGCTTACGGAGTCGCTCGTGGATTCCGAGAGAACACGTCTATTCACTTCTCGGCCTGGAAGGCCCTATTTATTCTTACCGGAGGTGTCTCGTCTGTCTATGGGCTCTTCATGTTCTTCTTTGTTGCTGACTCGCCAGTCACTGCTAAATGGCTGACTGAGGAAGAGAAGGTGATTGCAGTCGAGAGACTGCGAGGCAATCAGCAGGGTATTGGAACCAAGGTCTTCAAGTGGTACCAGGTCAGGGAGGCGTTTACTGACATACGCGTAAGTTACATTACTTCCGGTATAATGAATGCTGTAACTAAATTTTATGCAGACATACCTCATTTTCCTTTTCACAGTCACTTCGAACATCCCAAATGGTGGTATTACTGTGTTCTTCACACAGCTTATTCAAGGCCTCGGCTTTGATGCCGAGACCACCTTCCTCCTTTCCATGCCAGGTGGTGGAGTTCAGCTGATCGCCAACCTCGGTATACCATTTGTCGCCTCCAAACTCGGACATCGATACCTAGGAGCCGTGTTTGCCCTAGTGGTTGGTCTCTTTGGTATCAGTTTGATGACTGGTCTTGCCATGCATGATCCCCTGAACGCCACCGCCGGTCAACTTTTCGGATACTGTAAGCTTGCCCCGTCCCCTCGAAACAGATGTCCAAGCATCTAATATAGTGCATCATGAACTGACCCGCTTCGCAGATATTGTCATCGGAAATTCCGCGACTGCCTTGATCTTGATCCTAGGCACAATTTCTTCCAATACCGCGGGGCATACAAAAAAGACAACTGTAAACGCAATTTCGCTCATTGGTTACTGTATGACGACCCTAACTACTAGTCCTGTGCTATATGCTGACAATCGCGACAGGCATTGGTTTCCTCATTGGCCCCCAGACATTTCAAGATGGTCCTTACTACTATAACGCGAAGTACAACATTATTGTTCAGTGGTTCTTAGCTGGATTGTGCTGCCTGGCGCTTCACTTTGTGAACAAGAAAGCAAATAAGAAGCGAGATGAGCTATTCATGGCTGATGGCTCGCCCCCTCAGCCAGCCGGTCAGGAATTTTTGGACTTGACGGACAAGGAGAACAGGTACTTTAGGTATGCGCTGTAGTTAATCCATAGACCAGACTTTGTGCCTGTGGATATAAAAATACACAGGTATGTAGGACGAAGAGATGTTCTATTCATGAAATATGAACTGGAGAATACACAGGATCTCTCGCTATAGTTCCCACATAATAGTAACGTAACAAGAGATATTACCAGCTACCCTTCTCTATACCTGCTAGCGCTCCCTTAATTTGTTCAACAGTAATAAACCTTAAAATAAGTTTGTACCTAACTATATACCCGGAGTATATCATTCCTTCGAACACCAGGCTAGAACATAATGCTGGCTCGCTTAAAGACGGAGAGCCTCTTTCGTATTTAGAGTCAAGAAACCAAAGTCATCGCCTCAATCAAGTGCGGCTTTTTGCAACTTAAAAGCATATAGTTATCAATATATAGCTTTCTAAAGTAATTAATCCGATTTCTATATTATAAAGCAAAATAATCATCGACTAAGGTACAGTAAATAGGTACTGCGATTACTAATCGTCGGCTCAATGGCCAATAGCCGATTACTACTTAGCCGACGACTTTGTTTATCTCGACTACAGTTAAACCCACGTACCTATTTTACTTTAAATGTTATTGTCACAGCTATGGTGGGCTTCATCAAAAATACCGCTAGGGGACCGAAATATGTAAAAATATTGCCAATCGTCCAAACCCTGTACGAGCTACATGCGGAGTACTCTAGCCGACTATTATATGTCCCACAGTGAAACCTCCACAGCCAGGGTATCATACCAACTATGTTTTGGTAGATAACACTGCTATCTGTATTAGTGCCGGACATACGCGTGCAGCGCAATAGTTTCTCGGTGACCTCCATGTCCCCCCACCAATGCAGTTACGAAGAGGTTTGTAGAACATGCCGATCTCCGAGATCATTTACAGAAGTAGTTCAATATTTGGAGCTCTGTGACGGCTGAGAATGAATCGTGATTTCTTGGTCTTCTCGAGCCTGAATTCTACTTTGTTGACATCACAGTGCGATTAATTTGAAACTCGACGTAATTCAATCGCTGCAGAAGTACCCTCTCAGACGACCACCATGACTATTGCAGAGCAGCCCTTATTGACGATGGAGCACCCATTCGTGAAGACGATAAACTGTCAGGGACCTCCCTACGAAATCGGCTTCACCCACGGCAGTAACGCCTCCAATGAAATCCACACAAATATCAAGACTTATACTCTCTTCTTCGCTGAGTCGGCCAAGATAACATGGCCAGAAGCACGGGACCGTGCACTCTCTCAATTCCTCCCGACTTTGGAGAAGCTCTATCCGCAAATTCTGGAAGAATTAAAGGGCATTGCTGACGGAGCCGGAGGCGGCCTAGTCATGGCGGATATCCTGGCCTTGAATATTCGGAGCGAGATTGCACTCACCAACTATACGGACGGCTGCACCTCTATCGGGCAGAAATCGCCATCAAGCGGTGCCATATATCTAGCCCAAAACTGGGACTGGTTAGAAGAGCTGAAAAATGGGATGGTATTCTTGCACATCAAACCTGAAGGATCAGACGTGGAGATGAGGTTCCTATCAGAGGCCGGAATTGTAGGAAAGATTGGGTTGAACTCATATGGCGTTGGGTTGTGCATGAATGCCTTGCGGAGCGGCGCATCGAGCACGGAGAAGCTGCCGGTTCACTTTATGTCGAGGAAGATCCTTCAGGAGGCACATACGTATGAAGAGGCGCTGTTGCTGCTCGAGAAATTTGGGTTGGCGAGTACGGTCAACTACATGATTGCTGATAAGAGCGGGAGGTACGGGGATATCGAGTGCTCGCCACTAGGTAACACGATCACAAACCCAGATCTAGGCTATGTAGCACACACAAACCATCTATGCGGAGTTGGACTCCCCCCCAAGCTCCAAGACCATCCGTCAGCAAACTCATTTGCGAGATTGAATAGGATGATGGAGCTGACAGAGCTGGATATAAAGGCACATGTGGCTCCCTCTTTTGAAAGTCTGCGAGCGAGGCTCTCTGACGAGCAAGGAGCCCCGTATTCAATTTGTCGGGATAGACCACCGGGAGCCGTTGGCATGGAAAGGATGACGACACTGAGTACGGTCATCATGGAGTTGACGAGTAAAACAGCAAAGGTGACGGTCGGGCGGCCATGTGATGACTTGCCTGTAATAGAGTGGTCGTTTTGAAAGAGAAATTGCTGGTTAGACTGCTTATGATATGAAGGGGTTTCATGCACTTGATTCGAACTTCGAGGAATATCATCTATTGTTAACAGCTCAAGATCTATGTTAGCCCAACTACGGTAGAACTTTGTACTAAGAGCGCATTATGCTGTATATTACTCTTCCATGAAGTTTAATCTAAATGCTCAAAGAATCATTGCACTAAAATAGCATTGTAGATTGTTCTCTCATTGGGTTTAATACAAATGCTCAATAAATTGCTGCTCGATTCCCAGCCGCCTTAATCCCGGCTGTGGTGTAGTCTTCATTTCCCCTCGCCCTACACATGAACGACACCACCTCAGAGCTTGCTTGAGATACTACCGGCCGCAACGAGAAGTCTTCCCCCGTCAATTACGATATTGGTACCGGTCACGAACCCTCCAGCCGGAGACGATAGATACAAAGCTGTGGCTGCCATCTCCTGCTCCGTGCCTGGTCTCCTGGCAGGCATCTGACCCGCGAACCTCATGTTTGATTCTGGATGATTTGGATCCATTGGATTTAATGCACTGGGAAACAGCCCGGGGTTAATGGAGTTGACTCGGACTACGTCGTGTCAGCTGCTTTCACAAAGAGCCTGGAACAACCAGCATACTGTAGTGGTCTGCGAATTCAGACGCCATGATCCGGACAAGATGGTCGATGGCTGCTTTCGACATCTGGTAGGCAGGGACAAATTGTCCATTGTGCTGTATTGTTACCATTAGATTTGGACAATTTTCCTCTCTGAAGTAATGCAATACGTCTACTCACTTTACTGGCCGCGCTGCTAACCATAATGATCGAGCCTCTACCACCACCCTTGGTCGCTGCCGCTCCAACCAGACCCAACAGGCCTGCCACGAGAAAGTACTGGGAGTATAGGTTGATCCGAAAAGAATAGTCGAGGTCCTGAAATGACAGTGACTGTGTCGCCTCAACAAGTTTAAGTAGTGATTCGCCAGGCGTGAAGGCAATCTTGTTCACTTTGCGCACCCCGGCACACATTACAAGGACGTCCACTTCTTTGTGGGAGGCCTTGATCTCAGAGACTACGCCCGCGACACCGGATTCCTGGCTGAGATCTCCTTGGACTCTGCTCAATTCGTCAGCGCTACCATTTGTGATCAGGTCTGGAGGCTTGCGTCTCGACTTTGCCAGGAAGCTTCAGTTCCTTCTTCATCGCCTCCAACTCAGCCTTGACGCTGTCTAATCGATCTTGAAGCCAGTCGACAAGAGTCACGGATGCTCCATTGGCAAAAAACCCCTTTGCTATCATTCGTCCAATACCACTGCCGCCGCCCGTGATCACCGCGGTCCTGCCGGTCATGGTGAACATGTTTTGTGCCTGGTATTCCGCCATGTTTGCTGTAATGTAAACCAATATCCCACTCACTTGAAGCTAATTTGACGTTCGGACTGGTCAGAAGGTTGCCTCTGTTGATGAAAGAGTTTCGTCAGTCTCAGCAGTTATTAATCTCCGAGGACTTCTTGATTTGGTAATACTGGCTTCTGGATTGTTAAACGTGGTAGGAGCATAATTTTGCAGTTAATAATTAGTAATATTTTCAATCACTAGTTTCTCCATATGCGGGTTTAGAGCTCGCGGAACATACAATGTGTTTTCTATATGTGGGGCGAATTGAAGTCTTATCGCGAGGTTCGTAACACTTCCCCGCCCAGTTTCCCCAAACCCCCTAGCAATTATGACGTGTGTGCGCCTATGCCATGCTGCACGGCAAACCACCGATAGATGGGGGTGAAAAGAGGCGATATGGCCAGCCCCGAGCCCATAATTATCAAGTGCAGCGGCGGTGGTTGCGAAGGAGATGTCCGTCGCGGGAGATGTCCGTCGCGGGACACATATCCCACGGGCTCCTCCGGCCCGACGGTAAAGCCTGTGAGATATGTGTTTATCAGTTTGTGAGCGGGGCCTGACATGAGAGCTGGGATTTGGAACACCAGAGTCCTTACTTGATCAGGCCGATACACTCGTGGAACCTATAACGGCTTTCATTCACATTATTGTGGTTGCTTATCCCGAAGACAACCATAGCTCTCAGCAACACTCAATCATGGCCTTGATAACGCTACTCACGCCAAACACCATCTACGTGGCTGGTATTGTTTTGCTGACGTCTCTATTCATCTGGATATACAACCATGCGTTCGGGACGGACTTACCCAAACTTGCTGGTATCCCTGAGCTTCCAGGCTCAAAACCATTCTACGGGCACCTGAAGGTTTTGGGGAACGACCACGCGTCTGCTTTTCAAAAGTATGGAGAGGAGCAAAAGGCCGACATCGTCCAGGCACGGCTCGGAAATCGTCGCATTGTGGTCTTGAACTCATTTGAAGCTGCACAGGACTGGTTTGTCCGGAACGCATCTGCAACCATCGACCGACCACTGTTCTATACCTTTCATGGTATCTTGAGCACGAGTCAAGGTATTAGAATAGTATAATCCCGCACGGTTTGAAGCCTGTAATACTGACACCGATAACAGGGGGCACCATTGGTACTGCACCATGGTCCGATAGTGCCAAAAGACGAAGGACAGCGGTGGGAGCTGTGATGACGAGACCTGCTATTCAGAAGTTATCTTCTATGCTTGATCTGGAGTCAAACGCTGTCATTGAGGATATGTTCTTGGCATCGAAGGAATGCAGTGGAAGAACAGACGTGCCAATCGATCCCCGTATTTTCTTCCAGCGACAAGCTCTGAACTTAACTCTCATGCTCTGTTACGCAAATCGCATCTCTGGCATCGACGATCCTCTTCTATTCAGCATTTTAGAAGTTGCACACTCGGTCTCTAGGTAGGTAATAACTATAGTGGGCATAAAACCCTTCTGACCAATCTAGTTTCCGCTCTACGAACAACAATCCCCAGGACTACGTCCCCTTGCTGCGTTACCTCCCGGCAAATGAACGCACCAAGACAGCTGTTGACGACCGCAACCGTCGCGACGTCTGGCTCGACGAGCTCCTGAGCAAAGTCCAGCTTGCTGTTGATGAAGGTAGATCCGTGCCTTGTCTCTCAGAAGGTCTTCTGAAAGATAAAACCAATGCCAAGCTCACAAAAGGTAAGTCAATTCTCCTCGAGGCATCTCTGAATGTCTAACCGCTAGCCAGAGGAAATCAAATCCATCAACGTCTCTCTCGTCTCCGGCGGCTTCGAGACCCTCTCCACTACCTCCATAGCCGGCCTCTCCTTCCTCACCACACCCTTAGGCCTAGAGATTCAAGAACGAGCCTATACGGCCATTATGGCTGTGTATAGCTCCCCTCAAGACGCATGGGAGAAGTGCGTTACTGAAGAAGCGGTCCCATACATGGTGGCGCTCGCACGAGAAATGCTACGGTATTACGCCGCCATACCGCTCCTCCCGCCTCGTCAGACCATGACTGAATTCAACTGGAGGGGTAAGGTAATTCCTAAGGGTTTGTCCGTATATGTCAACGCACAGGCAGTGAATCATGATAAGACAGCGTATGGGGATGATGCGGACGAGTTTCGACCGGAGAGGTGGCTTGATGGCAGGGAGAGGGACCAGCCGGGCTTGCCTCATCATTATTCATTTGGGGCAGGAAGCAGAGTTTGTCCGGCAGTAGCTTTGAGTAATCGTGTAATTTACGCGACTTTCATCAGATTGATCGTGAGCTTCAAGGTGAAAGCGAAGGAGGGTGCTGAGCCGGTGACGGACTATGTGAACTACAATGAGGATTCAAGTGCGCAAACGGCGATGCCGAAGAGGTATCAGGTTGTTTTGGAGGAGAGACAAGGTAGGGATGTCTTGTTGGGGAATATTGCAGGAAGCAAGAAGAGGACGGAGAGCCTCGGGTTTTAGAGATCCAGTGTGCGATATTATATCCAAGATGGACTCGAATCGGAAAGAAATCCTGGAATGCATACGTATTATGAAATGATAACCATATTGTTATTCCAACACGCCCCATAATAAGCTTAAAAATATCTCCCAGATTTCCACATATACCAATCCCTCCTTCCACCGTTCCGCAAAGCTTACTAGAAGGGTTGAACACCTAGTGAGCGTTCTCATGACATGATTCATTCCGATGTTCGACAGACCACCAGTTGAGCTTTGCTTCCGTTTCATTATGATGAGATATGTGGCCCATACAGCACCAGCTTCGAGAACGCGTTCAGCCGCCATCCAGATGCTGATGATCTTGTTCACTTTCGAGGACTGGAAGTATTCATCAATTATTTTGCGAGCCGATCTGCCTATCGTGTGAAGCAAGTTAATAGCGGTAGTTGGTAATGGATAATCAGAGAATATCTCAGTGCCTTTGGACGTGAAAAGCGGATGCAGGGTTAGATAAATTACTGCAGCAGGTAAAGTAATATCTGCGCCAGCTTGGCTTATAGAGGCACGAAGATCAGAAGGAATCAGAGATTCGAAGTGTTCTTGCTGTGGGAGAGGTGTAGTGCAGAAGCTTTCGGTGATGTTACGAATGTTGGTGTAGAGGACTGAGGGGTCTACTTGGCCACGCGAGATTGATGAATCCAGGACATTTACACTCGACCTCATTGCACAATATCTCGATGGCCGCCTAAAGTGAATGGATATAGACCTATCATCTTGTGAGCTAGGTGCTCTGCAATGGTTCCGCCTCCAATAATGCCACAACAGCTTGTCAGGCAATACTTGTATTTGCGGTGGACTAGCGAAGGGATTGCCATAACGTGACGGTGACAAAGAAACGGTGCTCACCCCTCTAGTTTTAGCAAGGAATATTCTAGGCGGTGGAAATCAGCATCCAAGCCTTGGGACTGCGCTCGATACTCTGCCCGAAGCTCTACCATGCTTGCCAGTGCCCGCCCCAGAAGGCCCCATGTCGCCCCATTGGAAGTAGGACCTATTATTTCGCAAATAACTGAGAAACACGCTGTTATGATGCTTCTACTAAGAGTCTGGATATTGGCTTGCGTGCTACCTTGCTGCGAAACAGCCCTCAGAGATTCTCTGTATGTAGTGGATATGGTCGACAGCATTGGGTCAATATCCCTTGATATCAGTGCAGCTGATATTGCAAAGATAGCTGTCAAAGCCACACCGTCTGCGTGTGCTGCATTTGTCGTGCTCCACCGCAACGGATTTTCCTTCTCCAAAAGGCTTGCCTCCTGGTCGGGTGAGAGCAGTGGATACTCTGGTTGAATGACTTTCAAGTAATGCTCAACCATGGCTCTCTGCATCGAGGGAGTCACTGTGGTTGCCAGTTCTATCTTTCTGTGATCCAAGGTCACCGGAAAGTTCTGGCGTGGGCCATGGTCATCAATTGAAGGCGAGGGGTTAAACAAGGGCGTGACAGTCGTCTCAAACTCAGGTCCTTTATGAGTAAAATGCCATTCCACGATGCCCTTCAGTAGGTGTTGCATCATTCTCGCAGAGCTTCCTGGGCCAATATACGCTGTGTGCGCACCGGCCGAATCAGTGAGGAGCCTGCTACCTCCAAGGTGGTAATCAATCATGCCGGGTAGGATCGTCTCAGGCGTAGTCTTAGGATCTGCGGCGAAAGACCTCCTATTAATAATTTTGATCTCCATTTCCAGCTCTTCTACATTTTTCTGGAGGTCGTAGCAGTAACTGTTACACCGTTAGAAAATCTTGTTGGCTAACAGCAGACATAAGACACCTACCTGCGGGGTATCTCTTGCTGAAGGGACTCATCGTAAAAGAGGCACTCAACGTCAGCAATTCGACAATTTTCACATCCAGGAAGATCCAGGTCACACTTCCGTATTTAGTAACACGTGTATAATAAGCCCACGGGATACTGAAAACCCACCTTTATTCGTCGTTTGCGGCATCTCTTGCAGGTTTGCAAAGCCATCCTTATCAGGCCTGCCTATTAATGGCGACGTTCATCGGCGTGAGGATGATGGAGTACAGGTCAACGTGTACAGAGGAGACTTGGTGACCTTGGTAATGCACGCGAAGATGATAAAGCCTGATGTGGTTCTGAAAGAATGAAGGTGGCAATTCAATACCTCCGTACAAAGTACAGCTCATCATTCGTTGAAGTGGGGAAGGGTGGGGTAGCCCTTGGCGGTGCTAGATAGCTCAAGCACTAACATGAACTTCTCCGAGCATCGACCCGTCTTCTCTAGAATGTTCCCCCTCGACAGATAATTTCTTACCAGCTTAAGCAGCTTATCGACCAACTCTAGCTTGAATAGCAGTTCTCGATTCTGCCGCTGCGACTTCTGCATGTGAAAGACTCGAAAAAGATACCATCCCGAATCACAATGGGAAGCCGTCGACCAACTAAGGCATGTGCAAGATGCAGAAAGAAGAAAATCAAGGTAAGACCACCTCTTAAAGCGATTAGACAAATACTTAGATAACTAGTGTGACTTTAACTTCCCCTCTTGTGGCTCCTGTTCAAAGGTTGATGTAGAGTGCCTGGGCTTCAATGCTGTCGAAGGGATTGACCGACCACGAAGCGCAGTCGCGCACCTAGAGAACAGAATAGCCCTTCTAGAGACCGAGCTCGCGCAGCTCAAGTCAAACAATCAAACACCATCCCCCCTGGAAACTGTCAATGTTGCTGTTGATAGTCTGACGATGCGTTTAGCAGACGCAATCGGGAGCCCAAGTCGACGAGCTAGGGCCCCTAGATCTTCCCAAAGTGACCTTCCTCTTACTTCTGAGACGTTCTTGTCACCAAGCACAATGCCCCCTCTAAGCCAAGGGTATGAGAGCCCGAGCTCGACAACCCCTTTGCAGACTATGACAATTTCATCTGTCCCAAGGAACGTCATCGATATAATGTTGAAAAACTATTGTTCAATATGGCTTCCTCAGTATCCATGTGTAGATGAAACAAAACTATATGAAGCCTGCGATCGCATATACAGCGATGATGCTCCCTCAAACTTTGACTGCTTTAGCGTAGCTATAACCCTCGCCATCAGTGTATACTCTATCCATGGATCTCACGAAATTTACACAGCCTTACTGACAGCATATAGGCAAACACCTTAATCAAGCATGACGAGGGGCGAGCAACAACTGCTGCAGAGGGGTTCTGGGCTTCAGCCGCTACGCAGCTTGATCACATTGCCGAAAACACCTGGGAGAGAGTTCAAGCTCTACAGCTGATGGCCCATTATGGTTTGCTGAGCCCGGGACTTGTCGTAAGCCCTTCCTGTCCATATATTTACTTTTACCCCTATTCCCTTTCCCAAAATTCCCTGGGTGCGAATTAGCTGGTTGGCTAAATCAGTTACAGAATTGCAGTAACTGTGCTGCCGCCGCAACAAGGTTATGCTTCCAACTTGGTCTACATCGCGAGCTTCCATCCCACGAGCAATCGCTTCATAGCAGGCAAATCTTAAATACTCGACGTAGATTGTTTTGGACCTCATATAGTATCGATGCGTGAGTCATTAATTGTTTATCTACGAGGCTTCGACTAACTTGACAGTGCTGTACACTCTCTCAGTCGCCGGCCGTTCATTTGGCCGAATTCAGCCGTCACAGCAAAGGTGTGGACTAGAATTCTTCGAGAAGAGGTCGATACTGATAAGGCCAGTATCCTGAATTTATATCAAGCCCTCGACTCGGAAGTCAAACCTCCACCACAGCTTATATCTGGTCCCTTCGGCAGATGGAAACAGAAATTACCCTGACGATGCACCACCCCAACGTTGGCTACGATGATGCAGTTTCTGTGCAGACTTTCCCCGAATGGTTCAGCAATATACATGATCGATTAGACAGCTGGTATCACTCAGTAAGAGAAGATACTGAGGTGTCAGACAAGATTCAATTCTACGAAATTCATTATCGCACGCAAGTTTTCCGACTAAATACATTATCTGCCCGCTGTCCAGCGCCAACTTTTGAAATGCGAACAAAAGCTCTGAAATCTGCATTGATGCTAATAAAAGATTTATATGCTATGCAGCGGCTTGGGAAGTTGTTTTACGTCTTCCACTACTCCCACTATGTCGTGGAATTTGGATTGAGTCTCTTAGAGACCATTACTGCTGGCGCCGAGGACATCGGAAAGCGACCAACCCACTTAGACAACATTGATGTTGCCTTGTTGACAGGAGCTGTGCGATCTATTCCAGCTCTGCTCCAGCAATTATCCTATCGCTGGCCGCCTCTACAACAGACAGCGTCAACTTTCGATAGCCTGTCTGCCCCTATCCTCCAGAGCCTTGAGAGATATTCCGAGGGGGATCACTTGGGATATATTACAACTCCTTCTGTCAAGCTTAGGATACGGCATCTCTTGATGGGCTCATTTTTAACGAATTCAGTTCATGAGCCACTAGTAGACACGGAACAGCAAGATGGGTCGGTGTTTGTCCCGGACAACATCGAGACGCTATTCGCAGTACCACCACTCCTATTACCAGACGGAGAAGCAATTTTCCATATGCAGCAACAAGTTCCGATTAATAACAGTCTTGTTGCTATAGATCCTAACCAGGCCCTTCCATCCCAAATATTTGACCGGAGTTGGTCCATTGATAATGCCTTCCAACACGGGTATAATCAAACTTATCCAAATACAGACCTTGGAACTGCAGGATCAGTTACAGATGAGAACTTCTTTTGGGACATAGCTGGCTTAAATACAGATGATATATTTACTGCATTACTTGAGGGTCGGGATATTTCCTAGAATTATAGACCAAGTAAGGCTACAATCAATATATATAGCATGTCCCCAAAAGTCCGCGCGCAGCTGAATTACCCCACATTTTCAAGGTAATTGAACTGAACTAAATTAATTATAAATCAACTAACTAATATTCTAATATATTCAAATTAATATAAATCGAATCCCTAGCTTAATCCCTTTTGTTTAACTACTTTAGTACTTCGTACACTACTCTTACGAAGCTTTGAGAGCGTCAATTCTCTTTTATATCCCTAAAGTAAGTATACTTAATAAGTTATATTCTAGTAACTCTTATACTTCTTTCGTAGCCTGAATCAAGAACGTCTTAGTCGTATTATTATTTTTCATAGTGTATGTTAGTATTATTATTATTTAGTATAGCTTCTCGATAGTAAGTTGTTCTAATTACTAAAAGCTTGACTTCAGGGTGAATCCGGTTATTCGAGGATAGCTAAAACCAAGGCTACGAAGCTCACAGATCCGCGACTATAATTGAGGGCTTAATTCAACTCCGCGAGCTATTCTTACTATTGTTTACTGTTGAGTTGTTGTGAGAATTAAAGGGGCTTTACAAGCGGCATTATAACAATAGCCTAATTAGGTGTAGGCGCTGGGGCTGTGCCAGGGGGAGGGGCAAATTGGACACTAGAAAAGGAACAATTATTTGACTTCGAGAGATTAGGGTTCTTGTTCGTCTTCGTAACAATGCAAGATATTGGTCGTGATACGGACGGCAGAACAAGAATTCGATCTCTCCGATACGGATTTTCCTCGGAAAGTGAAAGAAACAAGATGCGAACTTTGCAATACAGAGGCCTTTTGGATAGTTTAAACTTTTCACTTATGGCCCCTGTGGTATGTGTTCCATATTGATCTGCTTCCTTAAAGTGTAAAAATTAGCGTTAAATCAACTACTTAGGCTTGTCATGACGGACGTTCTATCTCAGATCGCAAGGGAAAGGCCCCAACTTATCTCTGGCCAAGAAGCGGATAGAAGAATGCATGTCCAATCATCCGAAATGTGAACAACGAAAATTAGTCCAAAATCCAACTCGACTCCTAGTTCTTCAAGATTCTGATCGGATAAGACTACTTGAGTTACCGCGACGCTCAGAATTGCTGCATTATGTAGCACTGAGTTATCGCTAGGGAGAGCATATGCCGCCCATACTGATAGAGGATAGCTATTCAGCCCATAAAGTGGGTATCGCTCTGTTGTCTCTCCTGCATTCTTTCCAGGGTGCGGTGACTGTGACCAGATATTTAGGAATCAAATACCTCTGGATTGACAGCCTTTGTAATATTCAAAACTCTCAAGAAGACTAGGCAAGAGAATGTGTTGCCATGGCTGACGTCTATTCTAATGCCGTCATGACTATCGCTGCGTCAGACGGATCTGACAGCTCAAAAGGCTTTTTACATAGCTATAGTACTTCCAGACCGGAAAGGTTTGAATTTAAATTTGAGTACAATGATGCAGACGAACATCAAGTCCATCCGGTTACCATGGCTGATAGAAAAGACTTCAGATTCGACAGCGTACCTACACAGTCCACCCCTCTCTCAAATCGAGGATGGACGTTACAGGAGAGACATCTCTCCACACGGATTTTATCTTTCACACAAAGCCATCTTATCTGGGAATGCTGCATGCAATCAGGTTTAGATACCATCACTACTTTATTTCGCCAAATCTCTGTTGATGATGAGTATAATTGGACAGCAAAGCTCGACCGCGGTGATTTGCAGGATAGGGAAAGAGCAAAAGACAAATGACATTGGATTGTCAAAGAATTCACAGAACGGGAGCTGACATATGAAGTGGACAAATTGCCAGCATTGTCTGGTTTGGCTAAAACCTTTTCGACGGTCAGTTTGCGACCATATATGGCTGGATTATGGAAAGAAAGTCTTCCCGGCAGCCTTCTATGGGGGGTGCGCAAACGTAAAAGCCCACACAAGGACAAAGAAAGAGATAATCTTCCTGTGCCCTAGGTCCAGTCTGGTCATGGGCATCGGTATCCAGCTGTAGCATTTATTTTGATGAGATCTGGGGCTCACTCAACTTTGATGTTGCTCTGCTTGATATTCAGACTGCAATAAGGGGCTGCGACCCCTTTGGACGAGTTGAGCATGGAGTGATTCGGCTCCATGGTAGATTACGCTTATTTCGAATAGCGTACAACTGCTCCCAAAGTGCATCTTCAGAGGAAATCTACGTTATTGATCAACGAGATCGAGAATGTGGATCCATTTGTACTGACCATATGGAGTTAGCTCAGCAACTGCGTGAAAGTGGTTCAACAGTAATCATGTTTGTGATACTGATACAGTTTTAGATGTTGGAATCAGGTCTTGGACTGGACTTGCCCTGAAGGAAGTAATTAAAGAATCACAGCCAGAATGCTTAAAGAAAACGTTTATACGCATTGGCTTGGTAACCGGCCTGGATGTGACACTAGAGAGCAACGAGTATAGGCGCGGCCGAACTCTGTTTGATAAATGTGAGCGCAAAATTATCGAGATTATCTAGCTCAAACCCTAGAACAATAGCCCACTGTCGTGGCGGCTCCGAACAGCAATAAGAGAGAGGCTCAAAAAACAAGTTGATTTTGTTCTTAGGCTTTTGAAGATGCTCTTATGCCCATGTCGCATTTAAACTCGGAATATGTTGGGTTATTTTAGCTCTCAAATTACTGCTATCATCTTAGACGACAATTTTTCTCATCAGAGTCGGTTTCCGTCTTTGAGCCTGAGCAGTCGCCGCTCTAACCTGAGTCGAGGGTGAGCGTTCCTGAGTCCTGCTTAAGTATCCTGAGTAGTATAGGTAGGGATCCCTTTTAGTTCCCTTGTGACCCGATTATAGTTTCCCAGAGAAGTCGGCAAAGCAGGGAATACGTTTTTGCACAGATGTTTCTAGGAACCAAACTCGAATCTAACGCTTATCCGCATATAAATAATAACTTAGCCTTAACCCACCCCTTCGAACCCACTGAGGTGTGATAGTATCTGTTCTCGCTCCCGTTTCAGATTTGGATCCCCTCTAGCCTAACTCACATGACTAGGTTATTTAGCTTTACGATTTAATACCGTCGTGGAAGGTCAGGAGATCCTTCTAGGCGTTCTACTATTTATATATGATGAGGTATAGTCTTCCCATAAGTAAGACTACCCTGAGTAAGGGGATACACCTCCGCTTACCTGTCTTGCCTAGGATATAGTCATCCTCGGTCGTGCCACTATCAAGAACGTCAAGTTCTAGCGAGAAGGGTTTAGGGGAGCCAGAAGGGGTTCCGGGGGGAGATATAAGCAAGGAATCGTTTCCTTTTTATATCCATCCATCGAAGTCTTTGGTAGGTAGATTCAATATAGTATTAGTTAATCTCCACGTGTGGACGCTGGTAACGGTCCCCAGCGTACAATAGGCCGCGGCTCTACCATTTCATCGGCTTCCCTGCGCCTCTGCTTATCCTCTTTGTCTGATTGCGCATAAATTTCTCTTCTGGCGCAAGTGCTTGTTGACCGATCCTTGAGTTTGATCTCCCGAGCTGCTTCAGCCCACGGCTTGCCTTTCCCCAAGTAATGCAGCAACATCTGGAGTCCGTCCCAACAGAATTCCGTACTCCATTTCTCTGTTGACTCCGAAATTGGTAAGCACTTCAGTTCGCTGACCCAGTCCGTAGCATCAATCCGTTCTTTGCTGGTGAAAGGCCGGTAATGAAGTGGAAGATTCCAGAGCGCTTCCCCACCCCATATATTGAAGCTGCGCCCGAGCCCTTGCGGTATCGGATGGCGGATTGTGTGATATCCATATCCACTCTGCAGGAGATCTTCCACAATCACCGTGAGCTCCTTGTCGTCCACCACCTCAGGTATATCACTAACTGCAAAAAGACAAATGTCATGTCTATCCAAACTACCAGCTGTCAAGTTCAAGGATATGACGAGTCCGTATGCTGAGAAGACAGTAGCACCAGATGCAGTAAAGCGATGCAGCTTCTCATCGTACTTACTGCCGAGAATGCACCTAGCACATCGGCTCTCCTCATGCGGGTCCTTTTCAGAGACAAGTCCTGTTGCTTCCGAATTGCGGATAAAGGATAGATCTTCCGGCGCAGGTACTCGATCCTGAGTGTAGCGTTTTTTGATCCAATCGCTACGCTGTTTAGGGGGAAGTTCATACACATCGCTGGGGATTATGAACTGCGTCTTTTCCTTCCTCTTACTAATTTTGTGGAATTTCTGGATGAATTCGGGCAATCTCGGCCGTCGAAGACTTCCAAATGCCAAAGTCTCGATGGGTGGAGCGTGGTCGCTCCTTTTCGCTCCGGTAGAGCATACAGAGAGAGGCATATGCAGATGGTAGCCGCGATGAAGAGTTGGCCTGGAGAGCCAGAGTGGAGGCACCGGAGTGTCTCGATGAGCACTGTTTTGCTGCATGATCGTGCAGCCTTCGTCACTAATTGTCGCCCAGGGTGTTGAATTTTGAAATTAGCATGAGTGAAGATAATCTCGAATGCTTCTTTTGACACCGCCAAATACGTTAATTCTCGGACGATGTTCCATGAGATATTTATAAAAGTCTTCGTCTCAATCAGTACATAGAACTCAGAGCAGGTTGATGGTGCCGGGGATTCAGTGGCGGTTCTTGATCTGCCCGTCCAGACCTCTTCTAGGTCATCAAGGTCATCTCCGGTAAGTAGGAGGAGTTCGTTCCATTTCGCAAAGAGATTCAACAGTTGTCTAGCTAGCTCTTCACCTCCTGCTAGTTTCAGAAGCTTTTTCACATTTTGCTCCATGATGAACAGGCCTTCTATCCGTGACTCTACTAGGGCTGCTGAACGCAGTGTGCCAAGCTTTGTATTAGGTATAGGTATACATAACAAACTCTGATGGTCTAGAGCAGGAGCGGTGTCGGGCTCTCCGAAGTCTTGCTCAAAAGTCAAGTCCAGCGACTGAGCTAGGTGCAGCCTGGATCCAGTTGGACACGTTTCTTCGCATAGATATAATATCACTATCGTCGGTCAAGCTGATTTGATCAAAGGTCGATCCAGTCACAAGCGACTTCAGCTGTCTTACAATAGATGGTCGGTATATGTCCGAGCCCAGTCAAAAATATAGTCCATGATAAGGAGAAGTTGCAGGGAACTTTCTTTCGACATTATAGAGCCATCCCAGAGGTGTAAAATATCGTAATAAGAGCCAATAGATTGCCGACTAACAACTAAATATGGAAGGCATTTTTTAAGAAATCTTTGAATTCAAAATTTGACACTTCAGTCGTACATCCAGAATAAAAAACAAAAGTAAAAACCCAATGAGAAGAGTATTTATTTTGATTAACTTGATATTCCGTGATAAAATAAATTGGGAGGGGATACGCACATATTTAGCGGGTTCGCTATCTGAGAGACCACATCCATATACTCTCCAGGCATCGCCTCGATTCGCAAAGGCTCCACTCCGTCCTTAAAGGGGCAGCTCCTCACCAGCTCCCTGAGAGTGACATCGGCGTCGTCAGCAAGTGCGCCTGGTACGGGGTTTGACAAAAGCTTCTCGAAATTATTCGTCTCTTGCAGCCCATAGACTCGATCTGGTTCTTGCTTTGGTAGTTGGGGTCGTAATAATGCATCATGAATGATCACTTCTTGAGTTCGGTCATCGAACAAGGGATTGGTACCGATCTCATAGCTGCGCGGAAGCTAGGAGAGGAAATCGCGGTCTCGTGAGAGTAACATACTAATCCTGTGGCCGATCGTTGGGTGCACAAGTGCATGACTTCCGATTTTTCCTCCGGTCTTCCAGGTTTGTAGCAACCTCGTCAAGCTCATTGATGCAGGCTTCAATCTCCGAACGCCAGATCCTAGCACGACATTTTGGACTTTTATGCGCATTAGTACGGAGTACAGACCAGAGAATTAGCAGCCTGCCTTACCAAGCAACTTCAACACTGAATCTTCGAAGAACATCATTCTCCAAACCGAACCTCCAACCAGCCTCGTTTCGTTGCTGATTGAAGAGGCGACCAGCACGTTTCGCCAACCACTCCGCACGATATTTCGTCTGTTCCCGCCAGGGCTCATCATTAGATCGGATGTCTATACTAGCACAGAAACTGTCGAATTCCTGATCCCCAATCTTGCGGATACTCTCGAACAAGCGCTGATGGGCTGCCGGCCAATGTTGTGCATTTGGGGGCGACTGGATCGTTATTCCGTATCGTTTGGCGAGTCTCCGAAGGTCCCGCACGTTACCATCTTTGTCGTCCGCCATATGGAACGAGTGAAAGCTATAGCTGTTGTTTCGTGATTAAAAAAAATGGGATGTGGCGTGTATATATATATACATTTTCAACATATACAATCGTTCCTGTGGACTTGTCCAGATGCGAGGCTTGAGGTTGGCGGCTATCGTAACTACTGATGAAACCTCGCGGGCGCATTGCGGGGGATGATACCTTAGCCCCGCCTACATCTCTTTAAACCTACCTAAATTTCACAACCTCAAAATAATCCTATAAAGTTGAATTCAGAAGATATATCCAAAATGGGGGGTCGGACACCTCCCAACCCCCCCAGAGTAACCTTAGCCGCTACCTGCGTCAGTGCAAGGAGTGTGAAACGGTGCTTAAGTGGACCGTACACCTAAAATTTTGTATAGCTGACGCTGTAACACAGATCCTCCTAGAATATGGCTCCAACATCAACGCACAGACAAAGTAGAATGTTACAGTTCTTATGTATGTCACACACGGCAAGAATTCCTGTATAGCAAAGCATCTGATCCTCAAGAGCACGGATCACTCCCTTCGCGACCTTGACGGCGTGCCAGCCCTCTTCTACTCCATTTTGAACAACGATGCAGAGACCCTGCGTTTGCTAATAGAGCAAAACGCGGATTTTTCCATTTGGAAAAATACGGGCCTGGCGATCCTGCATTATGCGGCATGGGATAACGATATACATACGGTAACATACCTTATAGGTGCTCGCGGAGGGCAAAATGATAGGACTCGATGTTTCTTCGAAGGCTAGGGGTGTGACGGCTCTTGAAGCTGCACAAGGTCGATTTCAGAGAGGATGGGATGTGACAGATGAGTGGCTTTGGGTGTTCAAGAAGTATTGGAAGGGGTATACAGCCACTAGCGACATCAGTGATCTTGGAACATGATAATGGGGCCATGGAGAATTCAGAGGAGAGCCAAGAGGTCGATGAAGATGAAGATGAAGATGCACTAGAGGAGCAAGAAACACCAGCCCTGGAATTTTAACTCACTCCGAGTACCATAGATACCACGGCTTTGGTGGCGGATGCCGCCGTACTGCAAATATGGAAGAGGGACGCGAAGGTTCACAGTGTGATCTCAACAAAACTGCCCCATAAGCTATCGACTTTTACCAGTACTTACCTGGATAACGACCCGGTAGAACCCTAGAAGATGAAGGTAAGATAGGTGATAAGAACCATGACTCCTACCCTCTAAGCCCAGGGGTAGCTACTAGCGGTAGTGTAATTTTATTTAGGCATTCCTATGAACAAATTCCCCGTTCAGATCATCAGTACCGAAGTGCTAACGACAAATCTTTTCTGCCGATGCATAGAATATTGCTGCTGAAATTTAGCAGAAGAGACACTAGCGGTCTTGCTATTCACTAATCTCGATGAGTTGGGCTGTTGTATTACGTGAAAATAAGTCGGCCTCAAAATTTACAAAAGTTACCAACAATATCTTCGTCTGTGGTTTTTACATCGGTGACAGTTCCCTCTGCGCAAACCCGACAATTCTATCACCCGTAGCTGTGTAACCTACAATGGTTGCTAAAGCTATCTTTCGCATTCTAGCAGCATGCTACCTTATGACTTTGGTCTCGAACTTGCTACAATATCACACACTAAGCTCTGCTCTAAAGCATCTATAATTTTGAAACTTCCGAGTCACATGAAAATGAATCGTGTGTGAAAATGACATTGGATTATGTTCCAGAACATAGCACGAAAGGATTCTACGTGGACCTTGAGCCTCGGCCGCGATTCGGCGAAGATGGCCGGCTTATTGAAACTCATTGCATGATAAGTAAAGATAATATCTGCTGCTGGAGTTGGAGTGATACTTGGTTGATATGTGACGGCCTCTACTAATTGCTCTTGCTTTACCCTCTTTATATTCTACTAATACTAGAAAAGTTATCCTAATGCAAAACTTCAACGCTTACTCCAGCTACTCATACTGTGTCGGCCGAGCTGCGAAGATACCATGGAGGCTTTTGGGCAGAGTCGATGATCAGCTTGAAGTAAAACTCCAATTAGTGGGATGTTGCTTTATTATGAATGATAAAGCGCTGGTATTTTTGGGGTCCGAGTTATTTCGTCATACTTGCACTGTGCATCTAGCAGGGCTACTGATCTTTCCTTACAAGATCCCTGGTTTATTTTCAGGTCGATAAGATCTCCATACCAAATTGTTGAAGCACTTGTTTCAGGTTTCTCTTCAGTAAATTAGTCACACTACGTCACCGTTTGCTTTAATACTTAGTGTGTTCAAACATCTTACCGCCAGGACATTAAGAGTGATACATTCCGGAGGTGTCGGCAACTCTGAAAATTTTAATATATTAGTTATTTTGGGCGACTTAGCATCCTCTGCGATGGATAAGAAGCATGTGCCACCGGTTGATTTGACTTATCCAATTCTTTGTTAGCTTCCTACTCTGAATCCGGAATATCAACTAAGAGATGTGACATCCATTCCCGAGGAATTTGTTATCCAATACGCCTATATTGCGATTCGGGCTGAGTACCTATATTTTTGCTCTAGGCTATGAAGGCCCTGTATTTCCAGGGTGCCGAAGCCTGCCAATTAATTTGTTGGAAAATCATGAAAATAATTAAGAGGGCGGGGTTTCCTCACCAATGCCAAACCCCTATTCCGCCACATACTTCGGTGCAGGGATATTAAGTGCCGAACAAACAAGCTTATTACCGAAGAAACAAGCTCACCACTAGCCTGGCCAAGCCCGCCGGGACATCTGCGGGGAGACGACATGATCTAGGACGTCTGGAATAATAACAATATGTTACAAAGTACTGAGCCCCTATGAGCAGAAAGTCGTGGCTTTGGCACCTACTCCTACACATACCGGCTCTACTTGACCTTATAACTCTCCAAGCAGTTGCAAGATCGGACTGAAGATCGGGTCCAGCTGAAAAACAGTTGCGGTGCTTGAAGTAGCTACGTTGAAAGAGACACCGCCACTCTTTCCCCCTCCCCCTGCCGGACGCAGGGTTAGATCATCCAGACCAATAACGACGTGGAGACCAATTGCGGCAGAGATGAGCTACTATATAGCAGCGCGCTTCCTGGGCAGGATAGATTTGCCGTGCCCCAGCATGACCAGCGACGACCGCAAGAGGCAGCTGAGGTGGCCATAGTAGGATGGTACTGAGGGCGATGATGGTGGGGAGGCGGGGGGCAAGTGAGAGGAAATCGGCACTTAAGTGAGGTGGGACAAACAGTCACAAACCAATTGGCAATGTCGACTGCCCCTATTCCGAACCAATCAGCCACAGTCGATCGCGACGCAACCACCGAAGGCGACGGACCACGACCTACAAATCGGCAGAGACACTATCTTAGATGCCCTCATACTCTATATTCCTCCCAGTCATCCGGGAGACGATTGAAGAGCTCGCCAACCCAAGGGTAATAAAAAATTCCACCATTTCCAATACAAAACGAAAACGACACTCCACAAGCTCGTCGAAAGCCTCGGAGCGGAGTTTAGGGGCGATTCTGGTGCATGATAAATATGTCTGCCTTCAAAATTAAACAGAGCTATATGATTACATAGCAGATAAATCAGTCTCGAGCAATGTACGCTTTTTAATTTCCGTTTGATCAAGTGTCTAATGAAGAATAGGTATATATACAATGCAATTTTTCGTTCGGGTTATTGCCCGCCCCTTCTAATGCAAATGGGAGTAGCTAGCTAAGTTAGGGCCCTGGCACAGCCTTTTACCCGTTGCCGGATTTCAGGGCCTGATTATGTTACTAACAACTGGTAGCATAAGTAGCTAGCCGGTACGAGCGACGGTGGCGGTGGTAACCCCCTTCTTTCACCTCTGCCCTTTAACTGCCGCCTCGCTCTTTGACATACGGTCACACGCCTTCCAGCTTATATATATAACCCTTTACCCGTTTCCGAAATTTTGAGCCTGATTATCTCTTTGCCAGATGGCAATATGATCACCACGCCGTTACGACTCACGAGAGAAGGCGACGGTGCTAACTTCTCCCTTTCCCCTCTCCCTTCAACTGCCGCCTGAATCCCCGATCCGCCTCCTTGGTGGTTGAAGCTCCTTCGAAGCTAGTTCGACCTTAGAGAGCTCTTTATCCGCTCGATGTCTAAAGCCTGATTGTCTCGTTTGCTGATGGCCAGTATAAATCTTTCAACTACGTAACTTTGACTTCACTTGTTCCCCCACTGCTCCAGCGATCTCCATATTTAACGTTAGTAACTCCACGAAGTTTCTGTGCTCAAATATATTGACTTGGATACGACCAGTGGTACAGAATTCTACAGCGGCAGTGACTGGCAACCTAGCAAGATGTTTTGCACAATGAATCAATTGTTTCTCGTCGGGGGGCTAGTGTTGATTGTTTCCAATTTCCTCATTTCTGCCCTGAAAATCGCCAGCGCGACAAGTACAATTGAATACACACCGGAATTAATCGCCATCAAGGACGATTATTCAGGGAGTGCTCAAATTGTGAATGGCGGCGTTGCAAACATAGTCAGCGACACAAGCGTCGATCTGGCATCGAATGCCGAAACCCAAGCGTTGCGGCAATACGCCAGCCATAAGAACCTGCGTATAATTTACACTGTCGCCGAAGTTTATTACCGTATTGTCGCCAACAAGAAGTCTGGAATCAGTTCGCTTTCAGATTTGAAGGGAAAGAGAATTGGTACGATACCAAGTACCTCCGCTGCGTACTTTGTCGAAAAGTATCTCGCCACCGCCGGATTGAAGGCTTCTGACTACACTGTTTCTTATGGCAGCATATGCATGTCTGCACCTTGCGGGTCTGGCACATTCCCTTACATGCTCGCACATGGCTCCATCGACGCGGTTGGAATGTGGGAACCTACAGGGGAATTGGCTGCTCAGGCTCTTGGTTCCGACGCAATTGTGTTCCAAGATCGATCAGTTTATCGAGAGATCTTCAATCTTCATAGCACGGCTGAAAAGCTGAAGGATCCAACCACGCGGAAAAACATCGTCGCTTTTATTCAGGCGTTGAACAAAGCTGAAGCTGTTTTTAATACGGATCCTCAAAGCGTTTGGCCTCGTGTTGCGGCGGCTGTCAATATGGACCTCAATATTCTCAAAGCTGTTTGGCCAATCCATAGCTTTAATGGTACTTTGCCATCGGATTTGCTAGATGTACTTGTGGCAGAAGATCAATGGGTTGCAAAACAGGATCGACGAACTGCAATGACGACGGCTGATCTCACCAACCTTATTGATCCGAGTGTTTTGAAGGAGGCATTGCAGACCTAAAGCACGAAAGCGCAATAAATGATCTTTGGGATTCACCATGTGGCTACACTTTGGTCAATTGTATATATGAGGGGCTACGAAGCTCACTTCGAAGTGTAATCAAAGTTTCAACATACTTTCGGGCTATTAAACCCCATATTTCCATGACAGTTTCATTTCACACTAAAACTAAATGATAATTCCATGCTAAGTTAACAGCCCCCAAGCCCTACCGTATCCCCTCAATAGACAGGTCTAAACTTTCCCTTTCCGTCGGGATAATACGGGCCATCCTTCGCCTCCCAGTTGCGAGTGCGTAGGCCGTACAATCCTCCCTTCCCCTCCGCCAGAAGTTCATCAGTCATTCCATGCCCGCCACCCCTACATTGATAGCCGCCGGGCATCCGGTTCCAATCGTATCCCTCAGGACACGCAGCTGCACGTTTGATCATTTCTTGTGCCCATTCTTCTTGCTTCTGGCGTTCGTCCTCGGGTAGATCGTCAATGAATGGTTGTCGTGAAGCCATTTTCAGGTCATCCAGACTGAACAAGATGCTTGGGACCGAGGGCGGTGCGCTTGGGGATATCGTTGGTTGCCTGTCTCGTTGTAGAGTTGTTGCGAATCCTCCATCTCTCTGGAGGGCAGTTGCAAATCCCCCCTCTCGCTGAAGGGCAGTTGCAAATTTTGAAGGTTCACCAGGTGGGCCATCTCGTAGGAGGGCAGTGGGCATGTTTATTGGTGGTGGCATGGATGGTTGATAAGCAGGAAGCTGAGGAGCTCGAGATGGCATATATGATGACCGTGGGGGGGCCGGAGATCGGGATGGGGGCATGTCATTTGGCATTTTGGAGGCTTGACACCGTTCAGAAGTATGAAGACTATCGAGATGGATAGAAGAGGAAGATGGTGGTGTTTGAAAGGAAAAGGAAGGTATTTATGCTGCTTCTGTGCCCCGGTGTGGTCGTTAGTGGTGTGAATAGCATCAAGTATGTCTTCTGAATCCCATATTTTATTGATTCACGGGGTTAATCTGTACACTTGCAATCGACATCACTTGCGTTTTATGAACAACCGTTTATTCACAAACTAAACTCGAGGCGGTTGCCAGCATAATCTCTCGCAAAGAACCTCTCTGGGTACTCAACACCCTTTGAGCCTATTAGATAGTCAGTATAAATTCTAACGTAAGCCTACCTAAGATACCGCCAATTGGAATGACAAGAATGGACAGCCTCTTACCAGAACTTTCTTCTCCAGGCTTATCAGCCTCGGCGGGTGCTCCTGACTTCCCACTAACATGATGACTCCATACCCGCTGTTGCAATTCCAATAGCCCTTTCGGTGAATCGAGCTTGAAGCAAGGATGTCTTGAGGATTTCAACTCATTGGCACCAAAGGCGATGTGGATCTGTTGGCCTCCGGGAGTTATGTCAAACCTACTCCATTAGCAATCAATACATTAAATTCGTCGCAAATAGCAGGTGTTAATACAGTGAGCTGCGCGTCGCTGGAATGAGTGGGCTCAATGGAAGTGTGGGTGTATTACCAGGCAAGTGATCCCTTTTTCAGAGCTGGAACGGGAATACTGGTGAACCCGAGTGTCCCGCCATAGAACTCCTCGGCTTGGTCCAGGGTCCCAACAGGAACCGTAAGGTTTACGTGGGCGATACCAGTGATCATGTTTGAGGCTACCAGGTTTGAGGCGTGGGAATGTAACTATTTGAATGAAGATGAGGAATGAAATACATGGTCAGCTAAAGGTGGGAGGTGGATCTTGAACTCTGAATTACGCAATGCGGGGAGATGAGCACGTGATGAACAAGGGGCACCTAAATTTTATTTATTTCTTCATTACCGCAAGTCAAGGACTTAAATTCAGTATATGGCAATCTTTGAAGCTACTCTCGCTATTAAGCAATTTCTATTCTTTATGTTTGAAGTTCGATGGAGTCGGCAAAATGCGGGCTCCATAATCCTGGTCCGTCCCGAGTTCCGGGTACCAGGCTACTCATTCCCGGCCCCTGGATTTGTTGATCTTGCCTGGGCATCGACCTCACACGACTCTCACCGTATCAAGAGATTACCTCAATTGAGATTGTACGAGTAAGCCAAGTGCTCGCGTACGTCGAAGTTGAATCTTACCATCGGCGCTACATGACACATGATATCCCGCTGCTGGATGTTCATTTGATCGCTAGAACACAGAACTCCTATGGCCAGGTGAGACAGCATATAGTGCTAATGCAGTGCGATACTTCGTAAACGGGACACCTACAAACCCCTTTTTGATAAATCCAGCATATCCCTTACCAGCCTTCTTCCCTCGGCCAACACACGTCAGCCCTCTGCCCTAGTCCCTTCATCGTCACCTAACGAACCCGTCACTGCCCTTCCTATGCCGTGGGGTCGACCATTTCCGCGATAAATCGGAAGATCTTGGGGGTTCGGCGAAGGTACTCTCAGGAGATGTTGTTAATGCACTCCTTGGGGCCAATTCCGTTGTGTGGATCCCTTATTACCTTGCCCGAAATACTGAGGTGTGATTTATTGTGATGCAAGTGCATCTTTGCGGGCAACCAGGCTGCATGCTGTATCTGCGGGCAACAGCCATTTCGCGTTCCGCATATTGCCATGTTGTACTTCCGTGCTCATTCAGGGTAACTAGACTCTCCATTAATCATTTACTCCCTATACATGAAACTGCTGTTATGAGCTTGACTTTCGTAAGTTTGATCTTGGGAATCTAGTTAGATACGAATGTTAGCGTATCTTTTATCATGTCTTCGTGTCAGCTTAAGTTTACAAATCTACCTGCTCGTTCGCAGGTACCATTCATGAAGGCTGCCACTATTTCCCCTCCATACCAAGAAAAGCGGTATCCCTGGTGGGACCCAACAGGCTGGAAAATGTCCACCAACATTCCACCAACATTCACTCTACTTGGATTTAGTTTATAGACCGCTTAAGGGAAGAATTCCCAGCTACTCTTGTTTTATTTCTTACAAACAACTTCATCAGCTTTCCAAACAAACTTGTGAGAGATATCTTATTGGGAATAATGGCCACTTTTTGGGCATTCGCAGCTATTCTGTTCTCGAGCCTTTTTGCCCTTGTACTGGGTAACGGCTCCTCGCTTCCTATCGTTGACCTTGGATATGTGAGTATTGGAGTTTTGTCCCTCAGGGTCATCTACTAACTGCACCTCCATGAACGACACCAAGCTATAAGCTTCAACGTAATGTTTCCCTGCCTGTTTATAGTATCAAATGAATAGAGTTGCTAACGGAATACAGGAAAATGGAGAATTCTACAACTTTTCAAACATCCGATACGGACAAGCTCCAGTTGGGAATCTACGGTTCCGGGCTCTCCTAGCTCCAGTTACCCAAAGTAACATTGTGAATAACGGATCAGTGGGAGTTACATGCCCACAGGTTGTCCCACCTTGGCAAATCCTCGCGGGGATGTACCTTGGTTCGCGGTTGTCGAACACAAGTTTTGACCTAGCAGCAGCCGAGGCTGCCGTTGCGGCCATGCCTCCCCAGCCCCTGGATCCGAAGACCTCTGAAGATTGTTTATTTCTAGATGTATTTGTCCCTCGCGCTGTCTTCCCTAAGAATAGTCACGGTTCCGGAAAAGGAGCACCGGTTCTTGTTTGGGTAGGTTATCCCCATTTGACATTAGACCATCCTGACTGTCAATAGATAACCGGTGGTGGATTTATCGCTGGCGACAAAACAGCCGTAGGAGACCAGCTATACAGTCCCGAAGGACTGATAAAAGCCAGCCAGACGGCACCATCGAAAGGTCTGATTTTTGTTTCCATCAATTACCGATTGGGGGCGTTTGGATTTCTTGCGGGAAGCGAAGTTGAAGCGGATGGAAATGCCAACGCGGGGTTACACGACCAACGTCTAGCTCTCGAATGGGTTCAGAATAACATCCATCTCTTTGGCGGTGACAAGGGCAGAGTGACGGTGATGGGAGAATCCGGGGGAGGCAGCTCAATCATGCACCAAATCACCGCGTTTGGTGGCAAGAGTCCGCTTCCCTTCACCCAGGCGATCATGCAGTCTCCTGCCTTCATCTCCAAGGCATCAAACTGGCAGAATGAAGTAACTTTCAAGACCTTCTTGAATCATCTCAACGTCAGCAGCCTTCAGGAAGCCCGTAACCTTCCCTCGGAAAATCTCATTAACGGCAACATCGCACAGATCTCAGCCGGAGGCTTTGTTGATTTCTCATATGGCCCCACTGTTGATGGGACATTCACACCAGGTATCCCACAACGCCTGCTCTCCTCCGGCGCTTTTAAAAAGAATGTCAACGTGATGGTAGCGTATAATTCATGGGAAGGCGGCCTGTTCCAGAGTCCATACGTAACTAACCTTTCGACTTTAACGGACCTTATCAAAGTGATCATTCCAAGAGTATCGCCAGGCGCTCTGAGCGAAATTACAGATGGACTTTACCCACCAGTTTTTGGCGGCTTCCGGGGATACAAGACTTGGGGGGAGCTGCAAGCGCAGTTGACAGCGGATGCTGCTCTTGTCTGCGGCACTACCTCCATTAGTCGGGCCTTTGGAAACCAAACTTATGCATGTAAGATACTTAATCTTCTCCTATTAGTTATGGCTCCTCCTGTCCCTTCCTCCTCGGCACTTTCCCCTTACTTTCACCTCCTAAACTAACATGCACCAGACGAATTTGCCATCGCCCCGGGCATCCACGGCCAAGATATGGCCTACACCTTTGCCACCGGCCCCGATCCTTCCATTGACTACAACGTGGCGAAATCACTACAGCAGTATATCACAAGTTTCGTGGACAATGGCACTCCGGTTGCTATAGGTAGTCCAGCATTCCCCAAGTATGGCCCAGATAACAAGATCCTCAAGTTCGGCCATACGATTTCGCAGACTACGGATCCTGCGGCTAATGAGCGGTGTGAGTGGTGGAATAAAGCACTTTATTATTGAAGGTTCGGAGGCAGGAAGTCGTGGATAGGGCTTTCTAACATTGTGCTCTCAATGGATTGATGACCTTCGTTAAATTTGGCCACAAATACAACTGGAAATTTCCACCAACCCCTATTTGATGCTAAGATTTCAAGTCAGCCGCTCTGTGAATTGTGATTAATAATCTTCATAAACATCGCCTGATCCAAATCACTGCCATGCGCATAGCGAGTGGCAATAGGCTACTCCTGACATCTAGGGGCTGCTCATGCTAGTTGATGCTATATCTCAGGCCCTTTTCGATTCCCCTATTCATGACTGGCTGGGACAATACCACCATGTTTAGTCACGATAAACCCAAGTTAATTATACCACATTATTGCTTAATAGGCTCACCATAAAATTGGTTTCCTTGTGTTAACTTTGCCATTAAATTCTAATAAGCGATGGAAATGGTAAGTATAGTCTTACACTCCTATCGACATATTCAACCAGAGCGAAGCAGGAGAGTCCTGCTATCCCACCCTATAAACGCCTACTTCTTTACAGCTCGGATTCGTCTCCCCCTAGGATGGGTGTCGAATATAAGTCTTGTTTTGACAGTTGCATAGAATAAGAACAGGACATATCCTTGTATTATTCATATAGAATACCTCATCCATCAGATGTCAATGCTCGACAACGCATAGCATCATGTTTCATTTCGTAACTCGGTGAAGCATTATATTGCTCTAACTATGTCATTAAGTCTATTTGAAAACAAAAAGAGCTCGTCGTTCCGTAATTCATAGCTCCATTGTTAAATCGCAACTCTACACTGCCCAATAAACCTCGACCTTCAGGTACTCAAGAAAATTAGCCCAACCGTGAAATCGCGCCTTTTGCCACACTGTAACTGAATCTCCAAGCTTCAAATTCCTAACGAATTCTCCCGTTGCCGTTGCCCGCCCTCGACCTCGATTCTCCAGTTCATCTGCTTCGGGGGATTCTGGGTTTATATTATCATCGACCGACCAGACAATCCTATGCTCCTTCGCCGTCTGGTCTGCAGTGACATTTTTCTGGATGCACATCGGGCCCGGGAGCAAAGGGTGATCAGATGCATTCGGGGGATCATCAGGATTTGGGGCTGGAGCGGCTGCGGGTAAGACTGTGTACGTAGAGCATACAATTGGGGATTCACACGTCGAAGATGGTGTGCTATCATATTCCTTATCATCCGCCGTGGTTCCTACTACACATTTAGCATTGATTGGCAACATGGCGCCCTTATATCAACTCCATCGGAATAGCTAACTTACCTTCTCGGTATGCTATCATCCTTTCGAGACCAACATCGAACCAAGTAAATGACCCTCGGTAGCTACCCCTGTCCGCGGAGGATCCTCCCCAGCCCTGATCACGACTTCTGATCGTGAAGACAATCTTACGACAGGGAAATTTTTCACGAGGGTTGGACGTGGCTTCCCAGCCCTTTAGGACTTCGTCGGTGAGAGATCCCTTGGCTTGGGGGATATCGGAACTTTGGGCTAGCTTCGGTGAGGTATCCAAAGACCATGACAGCCGTCCCGTTCCTTCTAGCTCAGGTCCTACATCGGTGATTGTGTCAGTGTCGGCGGTAGTATTCCGCCAATCTGATACGGGGACAAAGCCCAAGGGAGGGGTTCGCAGCTAGTACAATATCGTTAGCAGACTGTATAATTTACACGGCAGGATGGAGTAACGAACAATGAACTGATTCTCATGATTAGCGTCTCCCCTAATACAGAAGGGAGATTCGGCCGGCGGAGTATTTATACTGGTTGTATGGGGCCAATATTCCGCCGCATCAATCACTACATCTATTAATTCTAGTGGGAGCTTTTCCAACAGTGTCTCTTTGACTTGGAGCACGTCGCTGATGGATGGTTGGTAATTGCCTGGGCTAGAGCCAGAAACCGAGGATTTGTCGTTCGTCGCTGGTGGTGGTGGTGGTGGTAGGCCAAAGAGAATATGTTGGAGTCTCTGCATGATGGTTATCAAATAAGGTGGGCAGGAAGCCAGTAGTGAACTCCTCAAGATCCTCAAGAGTCAGGAGCTTGCAGAGCAATAATATCTCCACATAACAGAGACCGGATATCGATATAAGATACAGCTGGGTATGGTGGCAATGGCAGGTTGGTGAAGATGACGATTGACACCGAAGCCAACTGTTGCTCCGTACCTTTAAGGCTTTACCTGTGCTTCGTACAGCCACACAACCCATGACGACACGAAGTACGAAGTACCGATAAGGCCCTAGCGCAAGGCTGATCGCGATAAGGCCAAAGCGACGAGTTGGCGACACGATAAAGTCACGTGCCTTGACGCCATACCTTAGTCATCCCCCGCGCAAAGACCGAGGTCGAGAATAATGCGAGCAGCCTTCTTCCTTTCGAGTGAGTGAGTGTATTCTACTTTGTACTATTTCTTTCACCAGTTGGTCGCGCAGGGCTGACAAACAACCACGAATATGATGGACAACCAAAACCCCCCTTCTAACCTCCCATTCTAATGGTTGGGCTCCCTTCGGCCATCCCTACGATATCGTTCCCAATTACAATACTCTCGTCACCGGCCATGAGTTCTGCCACTACCAGACATATCGTCGCGTTGGGGCGCCTGGCAACAAGGCCGACAAAGACAAAAGGCAAGCCACGGACCGTGGTAAATACGTGTGTTAGGCCATCATCCACGATATCCCCCACCGCCATTGCTTCCACGCACTCGACTCCCCAAACATACAAATTCAAACTGCAGAATGCAGCTAGAGAATTCCATGTTAAGGTCCCTCGGAAGAGTGGATCGACTGGCACCGCCGAAGCCTCCAACCCAGCGATGGCATTTCCTTGTCTAGACGCGCTCGAATCGAAATCCGCAACGCTCGCAGCTCGATCAATGTCTGCCGCCAGCGGCCCGGAACCTTCATATACGAGCGGTGCAACTCTAAGCTACCACTGCCAGGATTCGTTATTGTTGGACTGGGGTGGCGTCCTACCAGATTTCGACATAGCCTACGAGACTTGGGGCGAACTAAATGCCGATAGATCTAATGTGATCCTCCTTCATACCGGCCTCTCGGCATCCTCGCATGCTCATTCAACAGAGAAGAACCCGAAACCCGGCTGGTGGGAAAAGTTTATTGGACCAGGTGGCTGTTTGGACACGAACAAGTACCATATAATATGCACCAATGTCATAGGAGGATGCTATGGCTCTACTGGACCCAGTAGCATCGATCCAGCCGATGGGCAGAGATATGCTACGAGATTTCCGATCCTTACCATGCAAGATATGGTTCGCGCACAATTCCGACTTCTCGATGGCCTTGGAATCAAAAAGTTATATGCAAGCGTGGGAGCTAGTATGGGAGGGATGCAATCACTAGCAGCTGGCGTCTTGTTCCCAGAGAGAGTTGGTAGAATTGCCACCATTTCTGGATGTGCACGGAGCCATCCTTATAGCATTGCAATGCGGCATACACAAAGACAAGTTCTCATGATGGATCCGAAATGGAATCGAGGCTTTTACTACGACAGCATTCCGCCGCACGCCGGGATGAAGCTCGCTCGAGAAATCGCTACTGTCACATATCGATCCGGTCCGGAATGGGAGCAGAGGTTTGCTCGACGTCGCGCAGACCCCCGCAAGCCTCCTGCTCTATGTCCCGATTTCCTCATCGAGACATATTTAGACCATGCGGGGGAGAAATTCAGCTTGGAGTATGATGCGAATAGTCTTCTCTATGTCAGCAAAGCAATGGATCTCTTTGATCTCGGCGCTGCTGCTCAATCTGCGAGTGCTGCTCGTCGCACCGCACATGCCGAGCGTCTGGCATCTGCACACCCTGAAACATTGGAGCGAGAAGCATCTTGCAGTCTAACGCTCCCAGAGACTCCGTATGAAGAGCAACCAGAAGCAAATACGCCTAGTGATTTATCGTCTCCCGTGACAACCCCAACAGGGCCTCCCCAAGACCTGGTACTGGGGTTGAAAGGATTGAGGGATCATCCCACCCTGGTTATGGGGGTTGAGAGTGATATTTTATTCCCAGCATGGCAGCAGAGAGAGATTGCCGAGACTTTGCGAAAAGCAGGCAATAAGAGTGTCACACATGTGGAGTTAGGGGAGGACACAAGTCTCTTTGGGCATGATACCTTTTTGTTGGACTTGGATCATGTTGGGGGGAATCTAAGGGAATTCCTGGCCTGAGCTGAGTGTCACATGAGAATTATCCTTTTCGAATACCTTTGCATAAGAGGCAAACGTACGGTGTATATGAAGCATGGGAATGGCGTTTATGATAGCGTTTAGTAATTCAAGCGTAACGCGAAGCATCAATTCAATTTTCAAGCCCAGTAAATCCCAGTACTATCACAATCTCTGTCTTCAACCAGACCAAGATAGCACCACCAATAACAACCCCCAAAGCCATTGGATTATTCACTAGAGCTTTGACCTATAGACTGCTCCCCACGCTGCAGCTTTCTGTTAGTCAGTTATTTACGTACTTCGTACTTCGTAGTGCAGCGCCCGTAAACTTTGCTTCTTATGCCGTCGCTGTCAGTATCACTATCACCCCCACTTATATGTCGAGTAACTTGAGTTCTCGACGCCTCGTGGGGTTCACGTTCAGGGCCCAATTATTAATTAAGTATTAAGCGTGATGCTTGTCGGTGCGCTTTGCTTTTTCGGGCTACCCCGCCGGTCTGGCTGGAGATCTTGGCGAGCTTGTCCAGATCCTCGATGATAAAAACCTTCAGTTCTGCAGCAACATCCCCCAACAACACCAGTTTGTAGATCTTTCCGCTTCATTGATATCCCAGGATATCGATGCGATTTTCTGCAGCATTATAACGACAACAGTGGGCGACTTGAAGTCTTTGCGCTCTACTGTCTTCGGGGACGAAGAAAGACTTCACGGGAGCGATTTTACGCTACCATACTTTTCCTAAATACCTTGTTATACTTTGTTACGGGTCATTCCCACCGTCGCCATCACGGCTTCAGAGCAAGATACTCCGCTTCTTGTATATACGTCCGATTCTGATTCTGGTCTCGAAGAAGGCGATAGCGAAAGCAGAGCCATTAGCAAAATGGCGAGTGCAACGGGCGTTGAAGCTAATGCTGGACAAGGATATGGCGGAGCGGGAGAGACCTTGAAGTCTGATGCTGGGTTGGAGGTTGTGCAGGACAGGAGTTCAAGTGCGGAGATGGGCAATGAGGAGAATGACAATGTGGCGCCTGAAGTTCTTGAACATGGCATTGAGGCGATTGAGGGCAAAAAGTCGGCATGGTATGCGTATTTGACGACGGCAGATTTCTGGTTGGTGTTAACCATTGGGTAAGTTATACTACTGTTTTAAAATCATTCTGTCAAACTGTACATTGAAATTGGAACTAATACAATATGTAGACAAGTCCTCGCTCTCTGCATCACAGCTACAAACACCTTCTCCACCCTCCTCGTCAATAAAGGCACTTCTATTCCCGCCTTCCAAACCCTCTTCAATTACATCCTCCTCACCATAATCTACACAACATACACCATCTACAAATACGGTATCAAGGCGTACTTCAAGGTTCTGTTAGTTGACGGTTGGAAATATGCAATTCTGAGCTTCTTGGATGTCGAGGGCAACTATTTCACCGTCCTCGCATACCGCTATGTTCGTTTCCCTCTACCTACGTGGCTTATCTTTGTCAATCCACTAACATATTATTAGACGAACCTCCTCTCCGCCCAGCTGCTAAACTTCTGGTCTATAATCTGCGTCGTCATAATATCTTTCTTCCTTCTCCGCGTGCGCTACAAGCTCTTCCAAGTCCTCGGAATCCTGATCTGCTGTGGTGGCATGGGCCTTCTCCTCGCGTCCGACCACATCACTTCTGGAAGTGGTGCATCCACACCCACGCAGATTAAAGGCGACATGTTCGGTCTTGCAGGCGCAACATGCTACGGTTTGTCCAACGTCTTCGAGGAGTGGTTCGTGAGCAAACGTCCCATGTACGAAGTCCTCGGCATGCTGGGCCTCTTCGGGATCATCATCAATGGAATCACGGCCGCAATATTCGATCGCGACTCTTTTCACTCTGCTACGTGGGATGGCGATGTCGGTGGCTACATCGTGGGTTACACGCTTGCACTCTTTATCTTCTACTCTCTTGCTCCTATTGTCTTGCGTATGGCATCTGCGGCGTTCTTTGACATCTCCCTGTTGACGGGGAATTTCTGGGGCGTGATAATTGGGATTAAGGTGTTCGGTTACACTATTTACTATCTTTATCCGATTGCGTTTGTCATGATTGTTTTTGGATTGGTGGTTTACTTTTTGGCGGGTAGTATGTTGGGGGATAGTAAGAAGCCTTGGTTGGGGCAATTCCAAGAGCGCGGCGTGGTCGGCCTTGGGACGGCGAAGAGGAAGGCTATTAAGGAGGCGAGGAAGACTGGCTATTATGCCGGTGGTGAGGGTGCTGGGCCCGGTGTTTAAGGCGTTAGATATCTGGTGATATTGAGGTGCTTCTTGCCAATGTGTGGCGTTTTGCTAGAGGGGTTGCTAAGAGATAGAGGTTGATGATTTTGACTGGTGGACGTGGTAATAAAAGTGGAAGTGGCAAAGTTCAGCATTTTATAGAGATATATAAATATTGATACTTAAGGTACCTAGGTTATGATTTGAATGCTCATTAACCTACCATTCTAACTCTACCAATTAAAATATGATCCTAAAAGGGGGGTCTGTAAAGTAGTCAAAATCAGTTAAAGCAGCCTCTAATCCGTCTGACTAAATCCTAAAAACAATTTAGAGCAGGCAAAAAGTAAAAGCGAAACATACAACAGCAATTATTCGCTAACAGTTATATTCTCAACTCTTTTAATTATATCAAGACGGTTCTCCGAGGGTAACTATAACAGCTACAAACCAACGGTACTGCCCCTTCTCGATACGGCAATTATATAGAATTCGGAGATAAATACACTTAACACGTACTTAAATCTAACGGCTTCTTTGCTCTGCAACTGTCGTTATATTCTTTAACTTTCTTTTACGCTGCTTTGTAGGTTTGCTTCTTAATAGTAATAGCTCTTAGTTGTAGGCTAGCTACACGCTTAGCTTCGCTTTTGGGATTTACCCGAGGATTTGGAGGGGGATGAAAGGCCGTCCTGAGTTTGTGTCACTAGTTAAAGAAGGTGCTCAACTTGTCTAAGAACTGGTCTAAATGCCAGTAGAGGGTATTAGATACATGATTGAAAACCCTCAAGTTGATCATAAAAAAAGTGAACCGATTTCTAATATTGTACATTGCTTCTCAGCCGTTCCCGCCTCCTTAATCAAGAGATAGCCTGTAGGTTTCAACCTCGTAAACTGTAATGCCATGAATTGGAACAGATGTAACAAAACCGTCTGCTAAGAATTATGATCGAAATACCCTGTCGATGGCAGTCCCATTTCCAACGACTTCGCAAAGCTTTCAGTCCGGCCACAGCCATACTCCAAGGACAAGAGGGAAGAAACGCATATGGCTTTTCGAGTAAATGGGGATGCCATCCTCATTTAACCACCCATTGATAATCGGGCATAGGGATTTTCTTCTGTACAATGCCCAGCGCCGACGCTACGGTCATCGCCAGCCTATCCAGCTTCATCGATGTCACGAAACCTAGAATCACATTCCTGATTCTAATGCCTCGCTGTGTCTGTGGATTGAGTATTTGCATCGCAGAATCCCCGCCTTGCGAATCCTGTGCAAACGGTAGCATAAGCTCTTCATACCGCTTCAAGGCGGTTTTGACATCGCCAGGGTGATTCAACAGCTCTCCAGCAAGGACATAGCCGCCAGTGATTGCGAGACTGGTGCCAAAGCCAGGCGTTGCGTAGCCGGCATCTCCAAGCAGGACCACCCGGCCATCGTGTAGTTTGGGTGATCTGACCTGCCCGAATAGAGAGCAATAGAAGTCCTCGCTTTCGCGCATGCTTTTCAGCACCTCTGGCACAATCCAGCCTGCATCATGGTACATCTCTTCCATCAACTTCATGTAGCTTTCGTTCCCTTCGGCAAGAGCTTTATTGAGTCTCTCCTTCGTTTCAACATCTCCCTTCGTGGTCACTTTCAGGAGATTGCCTCTCGTACGGCCCGCAGGATCTGGATCGGGTCGTAGGAGAACAACGCAACCACCCGTCCCGTTGTACCACTTTGCCAGGCGGCTTCCCTGTAGCATATCGCTCTTGATGGTGAAATATGCTACATGAACGCCCTCGTCGTAGAATTGCTCTTGCGGTTTGGTGTTTAGCATCATGCCGCGAATCTTCGAGCTAAGGCCATCTGCGGCCACGAGTAGGTCGTATTTCTTCACTTCCTTGCTCTTTGCGAAAGTAACGATCACTCCATCGTCATGCTGTTCATACTGGTCGACATACTCGTCGAATATGAGTTTCACGCGGTCTATGCTTGGCTCGATGAAAATCTTCGCAAGCGCCCCGCGGAAGATCTCGAACTCGGATGTGATGCTCTGAACGTCTGTTCTGCCTGACGCCCCGAGTGTTCCCACGGCTTTGCCATCTGCTGTTACGAATTGTATGCCCTCTTCTTTTGTCGCGTGATTCCGGATCTCCTCTTCTACGCCCATCCATTTAATGATATCCACGGCTGAGCTGCGTATGTCGACACTGGCACCAGTTAAACGGAGGGAAGGACCCCGCTCAACTATCGTGATGTTGGCGTTGGGATAGGCACGGAGCAGCCAGAATGCGAAGACACCACCCGCGATGCCGGAACCAGAGATGAGGATGTTGAGGTTAGACATTAGCGTATAGTCACGTATTGTTGAAGCACCTGTTTCTCTTCTGCTCTAACACAACTTCGCTACATGATCACGACGGCGGGCTCTACTTTCGTATTTATATCGTGAAGGTATGTCCTAAGAGACCAACCGATGAGTCTTACATGTCTGTTTTCCGCTGTACTCGGGAAAGGGAAAATCCCGAGCACATCCAGACCCTTCAGTTCGGGTGCTACAAAACCCCGAGACAGCCCATGTACAGCATCCCACGCCAATTACAAACTCGTCCCGGTACTTTGTAGCCTTTAAGTCTACAGGCCGCCAGTTTCTCTCGCCGTTGTGTTATATGTATACAAGATAGTAGAAGTAACGGCTTATACGTAAAACGTATGCAAATCTACGATGAGTAAGAGATCAAATACGCTTAAAGCCGCCTAAATTGTCTATTTATTGAGGTCCTAGTTCTTATAAGAGGTTTCATTATATGATATTTTGATAAGGAATAGGGGGCTTTAGTGGCCGGTAGGCAGTATAGATGGCATACGTTCACAGGCTATCACGCGAAGCAGACATACGGAAGTAAAAGTATAGTAGCACATGTTACATTTCTGGTATACAGGGGCTATATCATATGGATGGTCCTGTGGCTCCACACCAGATAATTCGCTAAGAGTTCAAATCAATGGCGATCATGCTTCACGCCGTACGCCAGTCGTCCAAAGACTTTTTGCCCAAGGCTCCACCCAGAGCCCCCCCGCCCAATCCATAAGAAACAGGTTTTATATCTCGCGTTCTGAACAGTTCATCCAGCTCCCTACACGCCTGTCTGACCTCCGCAGCCGCGTCCGGCTGCGTTGTGGTCTTCAGCGCCTCTTGTTCTTGTTCCCTTTCAATCACATAAGTGGCCCACAACAAGGTCATGAGTGCCTCCACACTCGGCGAATTCGATCGCTCACGACGGACACTTGCTACTACGGACGGGAGACAGTCGTGGGAGAGCTGCTGTTCAGACGCTGACCGCATTGCCACCATCGTCGCATCCATAAGAGGACGCGCCAAGTTGGGGCTGCAGGCTAGCAGTCGTCTCAGCAAGCGGATCCGTAGACTGAGTCTCGGGCGCAGGTGCTGGGTCGTCGTGGTTGAGGAAGTCGTCGAGGTTGAAGTCGTCAAGGATGCCGTCGTTGTGACCAACCATATGATCATAGTTAAGATTGAAGGTGTCGGCGATAGGGAGGATCCCGTTTTCAAGGATGTGTAAATCTGACTCAGTGGGCTGAGGAGCGTCGAAATAGCTCCCGAAGTCATGTTGATGAACATGGTGAGAGTCAAGATCTGAGAGATGGCTGAAGTCGTGGCTGTCGTCGAGGCCATCCAGGGCCGTTGTTCTTCCGACTGACACTGCAGGTCGCACAACACCGCGGCAGGATGTTGTGTCATATCGGAAGAACTGGCGTTGGAGGACTCGGCGACGGGCCGGATCTCGGGAGAGAGGGAGGCGGGGTTTACGGTTTGAACAGGCGCCTGGGAATCAGCCATGGATGCTGCGCTGATGGACGATCGGCCGTTTGCATCCCGCGAGCCAAAGAGCTCTTGAGAGAATGTAACTGGGGATGATTGACCTAGTTCTTGGGAGGGACTGGACGCGGAGACGGAGGAGCCACGGAAAACAGGCATTTTGTTGCCGGTGATCTGAGCTAACTCCTGTTGAAGTCTTAAGTTTTGTTCCTCCATATGAGCAAGGCGCATCTCGAGGTCTTGGTTGCGTCGCTCTATGGCGTGCTTCTCAGCCTCTAGTGCTTCGACTTCTTGTCGCTTGCGTTCTCTTGATGATTGAGCTGCTCGGCGGTTGCGGAGAACCCGCTCCACTCGTCGCTGCTCCTTCTCATCTTCAGTTTTTGCCCGTTTCCTAGAGGGTGAATTAGTAGGGGATTAAGCATCGATGATCTGCAGTTGGCATGTACCTTGGGGGAAGGTTTGTCTTGGGCTCTGGCAATTGCTGTCCCCAAGATTTCCGCTTCTTTACAGGCTTTTTCTCTGGTGCAGGCGTATCGTTGGAGACGCTCTCACCGCGGATGGAGCCCCCGAACATGCTATCGCCCTCGAATGATTGAGGGGTCATGGCCGGAGTCACCAGTTCGGCGGGATCCATCGTATCGGCGAAGAGAGATGGATAGGAGGTGCCGGGGGTCGAGGCAAAGCTGTCGGCAAGACTGTCGACTGGCGAATGCTCGAACTTAATGCGTGGTGTAGTGGCCATTGTGATTATGATGGCTGGACGATGCTCTAGTGGCAGTGGGATTGTCCTGCTTGATGTGGTTGTAGTATGGAGGGAGGACCGTCTAGAGCGAGAGCCGTCCTCAGTACATGTATGAAGGTGCACCGGACATGGTGGACACGGGGGGCGGCGGCGATCTTTGGCGGTGCGAAAACCGCAGGGCGATGAGTCAGTGCTTATGTCAAGGCAACCACCAGTGATGTGCCCGTGTATTGCGAAGAGTTATGACTGCTTTCTGCGTTGGTTGATGGAGAGAGTGACTCGAGCAGAAACTGGAGGGAGGAACATCTGTCCTTTATGTTCAGGACACGGTGTTTTAAATTTAGGCGGGAGCTGAGCGCGCCTTACCGCATTGGGCGGCTGCGCAGGCTCCTTTGCCCCCTTTGCCTCCTTTGCCCTTGCGCCCCTTGCCTTGGTCCATTCTTAGCCACTCTTACGAGCTTCCTCTCTGCGCTTTAGCCACTGATACGCCATCTTGCAATCATGATAATTATTATTAGCCGGCCCCTTATCCCCTGCGTCTGCGGCTGCCTCTGCCTCTTCGGCTGCTCGTCAAGCAGTTTGTGGAGGCTGGCTCCCCCTTCCGTGGCCTCCAAGGCAACCCTTCATTATTGCAAATGAAATGCGCATGACATGAAGAGGTAACTACTGTACCGTGAGGCAGCAGACCGGAGGGACAGCAATAGCACGGCTGTAAGTACGCCCACGGAGGGCTTGCTGCGTATCTACGGAGTACCTACTGTGCTGAAGAATGCCATAGGACATACAATTTGGAACCTAATGTACGTGAGGTAGCACGAGTGTGAAGGGAGCACGGAGTACGACGTACGCGTACTCCATCACCTCACTCTAGCCAGCCTCCAGAGCCCACAGAGCCCCGTCGAAGCTTCGAACCGTTTCACTGAGCTCCATTGGGGTTTCACCGTTAGGGCCTAGATAGGTACGAGGACTGTAGTTCGCACTACTTCTTCGCACGATCCGCCGGTACTCAAGCATTCCGTACCCCCGTACCGTTTCCATTTTAGATCCAATTCGGGCTGGATCCAGAGTGCTTTTGCGGAGTACCTCCGTACATGTATCTGCAACTCGTCTTCTGACTGCCGTGAGCCCTGAGCGTGGCCCTTCCCGTGGAGTTGTGAATTCTTGTGAACCGGCGGTCCGAACACGAGCATTGACGGTTGGCCGCACCAGGTAACTCACCAGTGGAGCTGATTTGGAGTTTGTTTCAAACGCCCCTTTTTTTTGCGTAAGAAGCATCGAAGTTCGTGCTCTACAGGTACGAAGGATCGAATCGCTCTCGCCCCTGAGTCAGCCGCCTCAGCGCTGCATTATTGGCATTGGCTCCGCCGCTTCCAATTCGAGGTTGCCCTTGCACCGTCTCACATTCCTCACCTCGGATTGCTGTGATAACATCATTCTTTAGATTCGCTATCTGCGTATCAATGCCTCCCAATTCTTGGTGAAAGGCATCTCGACATCACATCTTACCTCTCGTGATCTCTTGGCATCTGCTCCACAGCTTCTCCGTCCTTCTCCTTCCTTCTCCTTCCGTCCTAGCCACTGCAGTCTACAGGCACAACATCTCGCTCACTCTACCCAAGCCGATCGAAATGCCGCACAAAATTAATTAATTATCCCCCAAAAGGAGATTTCTCTCCATTCATTCAGGTCCCAGTCGCGCCCCGCATAATCTCGCTGTGCTAAACCACAAGAAAAAATCCGGGGAAAATTTAGATGAAAGGGTCAATCAGATCGACCTCTCGGCGGATTCGGCCGGGAAATATCAATCCTTATTTCAAGTGCCTGCCGCCGGCCCGCCGCTGCATAGCATACGGTGCTGTAATAAGAGGATTAGGGATACGGAGCGGAGCGGACGGAGCGGCGAGAAACGACGAAAGAGCCTCCATGATATCCACCCACCTGCTCGTCTGGACTCTCGACGAGAGGCTGAATGTACGGATAGATTAACTGAGATAAATTAATTGAGATAGATATATTTAAGCTTCCCCGCATTTGCTTGCCCTTCTCAATTGCTCCCCTGTGCCGAGATGCATGACCCGAAGGCAGCGAGGGTTTTTGTGCTAGGCAGATGGGATGATACGATGTACTACCACTGTGGCATGCGAGGAGGCAGCATCTATTTTTCTGTTCCGTTTTTACCTTTTAGTTCCTATTAATTGCAGAATAACCCTCCCTCCCATTGTGTGGTGGTATCCTGCCTGATGATCGCATTTTGCCTGTGCCTATAGGCACCGTTACCGAACGGACGACAGACAACACCAAAAAAATTGCAAACTGTGTGAGTACCAACATTATGGAGGATTCAGGAAGCTGGGCTTTCAACATCTTTTGGGTCGCAATGTTTCGATGCTCCTATGCGCGAGTTAGTTGCACTTGGGGGCAGTCGAGGTTCTACGGACTTACTCGCGGCGCTATACAAGGCAGGGCAGTGCACAACTTCAAAACATCGGGCCAACCAACAAACCTACCAACACTTCATGCGTTTCAAAGCTATCATTGGCTTTAGATAAGAGGGCATTTCCTAGAGAGCAAGCTTCGGTAATGATACGTTGTTACAATATACCAATGACATCAATTTCTCTAAAAGTAGTAAGTAGAATTTCTTCCTTAAAAACTGAGAAAGGTGAAGTTTTCTAGCACATAATTCTTTCGATCCCGAGATTAGGAATGGAAGGTAAGGCTCGATACGATACGACAAAAATGACAATATATTTCTACAATTTTACAATTCTATGGTATCACGCCATCCACCGCCCATTGATCTGTTTCCTCCTCACCTATATTTCCATTAGCAATCGAATTTTCTTCACAAGGAGCAGAAAAGGGGAAAGGCAAACTTACCATAGGCGCCAAAACTACAACACCAACCCACAACGCAATCACCGTAGATACCAAGCTTAGCTTATTAAATCCCTTCCCTAGGATGTCAAATGCAAAGCTCGGGGTAACTCTCGTTCCGAAAACATCAATTCCATATGCAAACACCAAGCTCGTACTCTCCAATATAGCAGGGCTGGTTATGACATCCTTAACGCCGATGACTTCGCGTTTATGTGTGAGGATGAGTTTGGGATCGAATTCGATGACCGGATGGTAGCGGTAAAGTCCTTCTTCGAGCTCGGCGGGTGTAGGGTCACGGCCTACGGGCCTGCGGGGGTCGAGAACAGTGCGTGGGATGCCGACGATGGCGTTGCTAGATGGAAGAGTGCAGAGGAGTTGTCGGGTTGTGATGCCTTGTCTGGTTTCCGTCACAGACATGTGGCCGATGGCTTCCGGGATGAGGAATGATTGCGTGATGACGTGGGGGAGTGCCGGCTCAGCGTTGGGAATATCGGATGGCTCGAGACTTGAGGATTCGGGCACCGAGTCTAGGGGCCCACGATCATTTGGAATCTGGGATTCATACATTTCTGAGATGATGATCTGGTAGCCCTTCGAGGCTGGGAGTGCGTCGGTAGTGGGAGTGATATCGGCCCATAGGGAGTACGAGAACCAGTTTTCGGTAAGTGCGGACGCAATAGGCTGCTTGGTATCTACGCCTTCGTGGATGGTTGAATAAAGGATGTCGCCCGAGACGGTATCGAGCAAGTAGAAGGATGCAAGCGAGGCCTCGTCCGATACAGTGGTAACCAGGACAATGTTTGGGTTCAGATACTTGTAAAGCACAGTACGGTCGCCTAGGACATTGCCTATCGAAGCGACTGGATCATGAGCCGGCCTCGATACAACGCCAGTAACTCTATGATCGGCGGGCGGCGTGAATGTCCAAGTAACAACAGGGTTGGCAACATCCCCTTTGGTCTCGAATTTTAATCCTTTAACTTCACCATTCTTGCCCTGCACCACAAGGTACTCCTTAGGGGCCAAAACTGCTGGAACTTGGCCAGGTTCTCCGTTGGTCCCAATAGGTAGCAACCACTTCTGCAATGGGCCGTCGACCACAACTGTACTCTGAATCACAGGTGCTGACCCGGGTGTAGTCGATGCGATGGTTTCTCCCGTTGTCGTATTGACCTGAATAAACTCCCCTTCCGCTCCTCTAACAGTCGTGGTGCCCTTAGATGGCGAGGCCCAAATACCCTTCACATCCCACTTCTTGCCTGCAGGAATTTCGAAGGCCCCGAGTGACCAAACGATACTGCCCTGGTTACCCGCATCGAGACCATATAAGCGGCCGCGTTGTGTGGCAACAATTACCAACTTATTGAATCCAAAGTTGTCTCGGGCTAACACACCTTGCTTTTGGGGGGCGGATTCGCCAGGGAGGATGCTGCTTAGGAACCGTTTTGGAAGATTCTGGAGGTAATCTGGCAAGTATTGTAAATCGTCAATATGACGAGTCACGCGATGAATATATGCGGATAGAGGGTTGCTTTCGGCCTCTACTTCCAGAACCTTGGCCAGACTCTCTGACTCTGGTATCTCGGCCCATGTCGCGGCAACAATCCCAGAGAGCCCTTCTAGACGACTCCATCCCTCAGCTCCATTGCGAACGAGGACCCAATCCTGATCGGTTGTCACCACGGCGGATCGAACAGCATATGTATCAGCAGTTCGTTGCACGACTTCCGAAGCGCCGTGAACGAACGATCCGCGACCTTTCTCCAGCTTCAGAGGCCATCTCCCGAGGATTCCATGGGAAGCAGAGGAAACCACAACGACTTCGTCTTGTGTATGTCTGGTAAAGTAGACATTTGCGTCTTGAGAGCTGACAGAAATCGCGCCTTGGCCAGGGAGCTTTGGGAGTGAGTATGCTAACTTGATGCTCTTGTGGCTAAGGTCAATATGGTAAACGTCTGCTCGGTTGGAAACATCCGAGTGGCTATGAACCACGAAATGCGGTAGTGACTGGACCAGATGGGGTGCATGGAGGGCAACTTTTGTAATCTCGCCATCACTTTCCTTCAGCGGCAGATTCTGGATGTCTCCCGTTTTTCCCAAGATGTTGACCTTTAAGTTCTTCATCGGCTTATCCGTCCAAGCAATAATGGGAGCTGCCGAGTTTGCGCCCACAAGCAAAACATCTTCTGGGGCATAGATATCGGCCTTCGTAGTAAGGGTGTATTCGTTTGTCCTCTTCCCAGTTACTGGGTCCAATATGGTAACCTTGAGGTTATAGCCTCCACTTGACCCGTGGAGCGATACCACAAATACATTCCTCACATTTGTGCTGACCTGCAGTGGCACATCACTGCTTCCGTCCTTATATTCCCATGCCACATCCCCATTCGTGCCTTTCAGCATTCTGAGGTATGCGTTTCCGCCTTCTTCGAATAGAGCCAACACGTCCCTGGCTTCGTCGTTTCCAGTAGCCGTTTCAAGAACTTCCAGATCCCTTATGGCGCCCCCAAAATTATTTCCCCATATCTCCCGCCCACTCATAGCATCCCACGCATTAACGCTGCTTCCAATCGCAGAGACAACTGTATTCTCTCCCTCCACGGGGCGCAAAAAGCCCGTTTCTGAGTGCGCATCCTGTCCGAGAAATTGTCGCCAGACAACATTTCCAACACCAGGATTCACGGCACCAAGGACACCTAGATCGCTTAATGTATATAGCAGCGTAGCCTTCTCATCTTTCCGCGGGCGATGGAAGAAGGTAGTGTGGGGTTGGGGGATGCCTAATAATTCGTAGTGGTAATCGACATTGTATGCTTCGTCGGCGAATACAGCGAAGGCCGAGGGCAGGATTGACAAAGTCAAATATAGGAGATTGGTCGGGAGTCGCATGATTCTGATATGTGCATGAGGGTATGGACCTCATGAGCGAGCTGTCTTGTCCTGACGGTCACTGAATGAAGCTGGAGCTCGAAGATGCAACTGTCGCGGTCGTAGTTATATCATTTGACAGGGGTACGACTAATTGACTCTCAGCCACGTTGTGCAAGCCACACTGTATTTTCATACAGCCTTTGCACAAACACATCAGTCCACCTATGCTCCAGCAGATACAAATATCACATCTGGTAGTAATAGTTTTGGCAGATTATGCCTATTCAAACGATGTCAAACCGGTGAGGCCGAACATCACTAGCACCGGTTTAGAAAGCTATAGGTTAATTAATCAGAATTTCCAATAAATTCCCAATAAAACGGAGGAACAATAATTATATTTGAAGATGCCTTTCATGTGGCTCATGTCTCATTTCATATTATTTTAGGAGTTATTATAGCTTCTCCCATATACACTATATAAATGGCATGTAAAATTTGTGATATAATTTTTTTATTTCTCCCACGAATATGATCTTTTCGGCTCTCGCAGTCCACAACTATCATTGTTTTTCGCCCTCACCTAGAATGTAACTTTAAAAAGAAATAGTGACCATATCATACACGCTATATAAAAATAACAGATTCGGTCATTCGGTTCCCTATACAGTACACCTGTAACGAGTGACGATGAAGAGTCCCACTGCCGCAGATGCGTTGCTAACTCCCCAATGCCTCCCCAGAAAATTGAAATTCATTGTCAGACGAACGAGTACAGGACTAAAACTGCAGACGGAAGGTCTGGGGAATACCCCGAATTAGAAGCGAATGAGAAATGTAACGTTATGGTGGGACGACTAGCAATAGCAGACAATACCGCAGAAATGCATACATGAACCATTACTATTCAATGGTTCGGTAGTATCGACAATAAAAGTTTGACATACAAAAACCAACCACCGAGCCTGCGTTGATAATTATTATGAGGTAAAAGCGTAAATTTCCATTTGCAAACTGGTGAGACACTGTGGATGGAGTGGAGCACAAGAAGAAGGGGTTGTATATGCTCTTAAAATAGAAAAGGCCAGCTACTGAACAAAAGCATAAGCTAAATATCTTTAACTTCTGGTATCCAAAATTAGGCGCCTAGTAGAGGGCAAGGCTTTGACGAATTACTAGGACGGGCAGTAACTGAGTGATGAGGAAGATGAAAGCAAGAGTAGGCGATGCCCACCTAAACCCAACGTACTCGTGGAATTTAGTTGAATAGGCAACCTCCCCTGCAGTGAACGATCTAGTTTATGTGATTTGTTGAAAGCAAAGCGACAGGAGTTATTATGCCAGACAAATAATACTTCCTGCTGCAGATTTTAGCAACGTCGCCTGGCAGAATTAAAGGTGGTGAGCGATCGTAACGCAACGAAACGAATTTGCACGCCGCCTGGCAGAATGAGAAGTGGTGAGCGGTCGTAACGCAACGAAATGAGCAACCCAGCCTGGAAGAATGAATATAATAAGCGGTTGTAAACGCAATGGAAATATCCCAGTAGCAAACATAGAAAACCCTCGTCGCCTGAAGAAGTATTGCGGCACCACTGTTATGCTTAGAAGTAGCAGATAGCCGGTAACAAGTCCCACTACAATACGGAATACTCTGTGATAAGACAGCTTGCTAGTATTCTTCACGGGTGCTGGTCACCATCATCCCAGCGGAGCCAAATTTGTGCCCGCCAGCACCAGACTTCGACAATACCTAGCATCGTATGACGGTCCAACGATAGGACCACAGTCAAAGATGAAATAGGAGTACTAGTACGGACACTATTGACCCTATCCAAGGGATTCGAGATGGTGTTTCGTCTTTTATCAGCTGGGTGTGACAGTAGTTTGGGAAAGATCTATAAGCATTGAGAGTCCCTGTAGAAGTACCAATAAACTTTCATTGGAGGACTTAATTGGGAGGCTGCCAGGCATACTAGGAATTAAAGACCAAGCAAATCGTGCCAATAACTTGGGGACTGCCTATGAATGCTACCGCTTTAGGGGATCGTTTAACCTCTATGATAGTCTCATTCTCGATATGCCGTTTGTCTTGCAGGTCAACGGTTGACGACCATCTCAAGGATGTACTACTACTGTCCTTGGCCACCGAGGGTCCAAGGTCGAGCGACGGCCCCGTCTCTTTGAGATGCAAATCTCCAACCTACGCCCGAATGCCACAGAGAACCATGAGTGGTTGGCAGTCAAGGGTACTGGGGAGGGGGGGATATGCAGGTCGAGAGCCTGGTCCAACGGATTCATACCGCAAGGCGATGGCTTTGTCGGATCGCCATAATATGACCAACTTCCGGATGCTAGTCTGTAAACCAATTGCTAGTATATCGTAAGATCATCGATCAATACCGCAGGGCTTGACGTTGGTTATCGCGTCGAACCTCGTCGTGAAGCAGACCTCCGAGCGACAGGGGGTATCTACGACTAAAGTAACATTGTTGCCCGGGACACAGGGACCAACCGACCAGGTAGGGAGGCCGGAATAGCATACGCTTACCATCGGAGGACATTCGGAGTTTGAGGCTGTATACAAATTACAATATTGACAGGCGGACCAGAGCGGGCTCCCACTTGGGCTGAATATATCTTCATCATTGTTTGTGAAGTGGCTTCTTTCCGCCTGTAGCTCAGCATTTATGGTGGTTGGATAGTCACGTGGTTTGGCCCTGGGCGGGCCGAGCCATCACTCGGCACGTACCGGCTACACCAAGTATCGGTCCACGTTGAGCTTAAATTCTCCCATGTACTTCACTCGCACAAACCACCAAATATCCTCCTGGTTATCAGGTGTGACAATGATCGAAGGGGCACAGGCCGTAAGTATTGCGATGCGTGTCTCTGAATATGTGACGCCATGCTTTTGGTTGATTTTGTGCTGAGTGGCCTGTTTTCTTCCCAGTGGGTGTTGCTCGTTCCAAACGAGATTGGTAGTCCCTAGTTGGGACTTGGACCTGGAGAGTCGCTACTTTCTGGAAAACGGATCCAGGTGCGATGAGAGAATGGAATAAACCCATATTGGCAGATCCCGACCCCTCCTTGGTCGATGCTTGTTGTTGTGGATATGAATCGCGTGGTGCTCGTCAATTTAGCAGCTCGGAAACCTAGCGGACAGGCTGAGACCTGAGAGCTTCGCGTACGCTTTCGCGTGTTTTTGCGTGTGATGATCAAACCCGTCATTTTGCTGAAGTAACTACTGACTCAGTTAATTGATTTATGGCTTTTGAATGCAGGAAAGGTTATGTCACTAGGACAATGCACGATTTGCGTGGCGTACCTGACCAATGGGGTTAAATCAAGCCACGCTCAAACTCATTGGTTAATTAGAGCAGGTTCAATTTGGCGATGGGGGTTGCCTCAGCCGCATCGCAGCACTTAGCCTCAGCCTCAACCTGCAACCTCCCTCTGTTTCTCATTCTCATCCCCAATTTTCTCTGTATCAATTATTATTGACCTCAAGGCACCGTGTCTCCGGATGCAAAATGGCTGCCCCTATCTCAAAGCAAACAATAAGTTCTTCCGTACTCCAAACCTACCTTGGCAAAGCACATACTTTTGTCAATCAAGAAGACCAGGAATGTATCGAGATCGGACCGGGAGAAGTAAGTCCACATAAGCTACAACTCCTGCTTCCTATTTCTAAGCAATCTACAGCAGCCCGGAGAATATAATTGCACGTCTCCTAAGATTAACCCCAACGACTTACAGAACTGGCTAGACCCATGCAAATTCCGAGTATGGCTTCTCATTCGTTAACCAAACTGTATTAACCGACGGTGGTAGGCTCCTAATATCTCGAGATATAAAGTTGGCGGAGACCAAAGGTTCCTTCGACTCTGGTAAGCACTCGTTCATGCTTCATCGCCAAACCCGTGGACTACGGTGCGCAAATTTGTATCAAATCCACAATCTAAAGTCAAGTCTAGTATATGTCCTCTCAATGTCAACATGAATGATAAGCTTCCAATTTCGTGGGGAATTATGCGGCAACAGCTCGACCTTCTCAACCTAGACGAAACTTATATGTTTGATGAGAACATGCAAGCCCCTCCAAGCTGGTTCGAGGTGCCTCTTTCTGGTGATCTGAAAGGTATCAAGCAGTTTTCTCAAAAACAATGATCGCAGTCCTGACACACACCTCGTCCTTTAGGATATGTGATCAAAACAGACAAGTGGGGCGCAGACTTGACCAATTTCAGCTTGTCAGTCGCTTTTTCCCCATCGACTGGGATGACATGTGCTTTCCTTCACATCCTTCTTAAATCCGACCTAAAGCAGATACAGGACCGGCTTCAGGCGTTGAAATCCATTGCTTGGCATCCCCTACTTCTTCCATTAATTCTATTGGAACAGAGAACGGAGCTCGCACCGCCGGACCTTGCCAAAGTTAGGACTGCCCTGTACAAGATTGAAAAAACAAACGGAACGCACAAGAATTACCAAAAGCGGGCCCGCCACCACCAGGCTGGCTACTACGCCTGGGGAGAGGAAGTGTGGAATCGTCAGGAGTTTGACTCTGCTCCTGGAGATCTCACGTCTATGGCGTCCAGTTGTGCGTTGTTTGGAGCAAAATGCAAAATCAATGAGCGGTTTTTGGACTGGATTGAGGAAATGAACCAAGCATTCTCCATGGTCATTACCAACTCATCAACAGGCAACTATAGTACCTCAAGTTCTATCATTAGTGGAAAGATTTCGACCACCAGGACATGGCTGAAGAATAACCAGGACTGGAGTGCATACCTCGGTCGAAGGGCAGAGGTGCAAGTTCAGGCGGTATGCATTGCGTCTCCTTGATGTCACTGATATTATTGAAATCCTATCAAATTAAAACGTACGGGATATATCAAGATCTAACGGAAGGCTCAAACAGTGTCTAAGTTTCATGGCCCAACGAGACAATGCGTTTAACCTCAAGACGTCAAAAACCGCGTTACGAGACAGTTCTGACATGAGAATAATTGCAAACGTTACGTTGGCCTTCCTTCCAGCTACAGCAGCGGCAGTAAGTCTTGCCCAGCATTTTTCTTCCAGGGTTTGATAAAGTGTTAACATCTGTTCCCCAAGACCTTTTTTAGTACAAGCTTTTTCAACTTCCAGACTGAAGGTCGGATAGTCTCTGGATGGATCTGGTTATATTGTGTTGTTTGCGTCGGCCTAACGGCCATCGCCTTCGTTGCGTGGTATTGGTCAACCCGGGGAAAGGCCTTGAGGAAATCAATGTTTGAAGGCTTTAAGAGGGATGGCTTGCCGCTCTGAGAGCATGAACGCCCTCAGTTGATTAACTCGAATCCTCATAGCTTCTGTATAAAGTATCAACCTGGTTCATGGAGGCTAGGAATAAGGTTTAGTGGAAGGGTATATACCCGAATACGCGAAAGCAAGGATTACCGATATTGAGGTGGATGTATCCATGGGGGTGGGGGGGAGCTTAATGCAAGCAACGGACGCCTAACTTGAACGGCATAGTTACTACTGCGAAAACGATTATATTTTGGGGTTCATGAGGGCACTAGAATAACCTTTTCTGACGAATTGTATTCTTCATATGCCAAGCTCGCAATTTCTTCATTCAAGCCATTCATCCCACTTTTAGCCCACTTTTACGCTAAGGGAGTTGGCCCGGCAAGACGGCACCATAAGAGGATAAGTTCATCGCGCCAAATTAGCCCCATCAAGCTTCGTATTCAATTTCCGTATCAGCAGGAGGGTTTGAAACACGAGTCCAAGGAAACCGGCAGATAAATTTGCCCTTCAGCTGCGATATAACTTGATGTAACAGGCAATTTGAGTTGAAGTTTCTACGCCAGGCTGATTATACTATTACGAGTATCAAGCCAACATTCGCCACAGGAGATACTGACTCACGCTCTCCATGAAGGTAAGGATTACGAATAGAGATGCAAAATTTTGAGAATAATTGTTTCAGATGTTAAATAATTATCTAACTCGAGATCGGGTATTATAATAGGACCAATTTGTAAACAAGAATTTAGTAGTAGAGTAGGTATATATTTAACTGAAATTACATCTAGTAACGAACTAGTGGCCCTGTGGTACAGAATAACTTTCCCTAATTTGGGATGCCCAGAGCCTCCCTCCGTGAAGTAGACGCTGGGTCTAGGTATGGCGTCTCGCCGATAGATGAAGCGCGAATCCCGGTTCGCACTCCGTCGGCAACCAAATGGGTATCGGGCTACTGAAGTAAGCATGTGTTGTCAATAAGGGGTAATATCTGGGGTTTCTTACCGTAGCCGCGTGCCAAACGCAAGAATTGTTCCAGATTGCAGCTGCTCCCTTGGTCCAGTGCATGCGGGCAATGCAGTCGTGGTTTTGCGTAATCAGACGCATGATATAGTCGCGGATCATCTTGTCTTCATAGTCGTAGAGACCGTTGATTTGGGTCACATGCAAACCTACGCCTGCGAATACGCTCTTCCAGCCAGTTTGGCGATTCGTGCGAATGACGGGGTGAACGGGAGCGAACTTGTCACCAACATTGAGTGGAGAGCCGCGGGGGGACATGACGTCGTAGTTTCCAGCAGTGCAGGCAGATTTGAAGACGGGCTGTGCACAGGTGGCAGTGAGACCGTCGAGGAATTCCCGCATTGGGGGGGAGATGCGGTCATAACTAAGAGGGAAAAGTCAATGGGATGAACCACGACACGAATTGTAGAATCTCACATCTCGTAGCCCGAGCACCAAAGGGTATCCCCTCCACTGGCTGGAGTCTCTTCCATCATCAGGCAGCTGAAGTCCGAGGGGCACTCTTCAAAGGTTGCTGGGGGTGATATCAGCCATTGGAAGTCGAGTCCATGAAGAGTATATACGAACCATCGCTATGCCACTCTCTTCGAAGATCTTTGGGTTCCTTGGACCCCTTTCCAGCCATAGTCTTATACAGAGCTTTTGCCGCCTCGGAATTGATCACGTATCTAAAGTCAAGTCAGCAAGTTATAATTTTCTCACAGAGGCAATAAACTCACATGTTTTCATCAGTCTCGCCATTGCCCATTGGGATGTTGCCGGGGTCGCGGTAGAGAGGGTGGACATGGAGACCGTTTTCCTTGGGCCTCCCACTTAGTTTGCCAACCAAGTCTGTAAACTTCTTTAAATCATCGACGGACAAGTCATCCTGGTTTGCCCTGAAGAAGACAACTCCACGCTCGCTGATGATCACAGCAAGATCACGAAGTTGCTCCTCAGAATTGTCGGCATGCAGGATGTCCCTTATCCTGGCCTTGGTGTACTCACGGCCAATGATAGGGGTAACATCCACATATTCGAGGTGGTCGAGTGAACCGCCGTACTTCATGGGCTCAAACTTGAGCTTGGGAGCTTCTGGGTTGGCTGAAATCATGTTTATCACGTGTTTGGGCTTGACGTTGATAGGAGGTCTGAGGGCATGCAACGCTGGCTGTGGTTTCCCATGTCATAACTCCTGTTGTTATATTATTATAATACTTTGCGGAATCATCCTTCCGCCAATAATGACACCGGTTTGTGGGGTTCCGATCTGCCGAGATCCGTCGTCGTGGGGCATAGCTCGAAGCTCTCATCGCAGTGAGGGGTAGTAGGACGGAGTCGTCTCGAAATAGAGCTGTGGATGGAGGGGTCGTGGTATGTAATCCAGGGGCTTGGGCGTGTTGTTGTTGATTACGGGATGTTGCCCAACATCACGGTGGTTCGTGATCTCTCCTATTCCTTACTGCCGTGGACAGCGTGGCGAGCGTGGCTGACAATACGGCGCAGGCGGAGCGTAGCGTGTCCCTAGCTGCCCCTAGCTCCAACCCCCAGATTCCCGTTGCGGGGGTGGGGCACAGGCCTCACTAAGTCACTTAAGCTCTCTAGAAGGATATGATACTCGACTTAGCACACTAGGCTGCCTGACGTTGGGTTTTAGTTGGCTATCGCCTGGGTTAGCGGGAAGGTAGCCTCTGCAATCTCTCTTGTGGGATCTTTCCGGGCTTGTATTCCAAATGATTTGAGATTTATCGACCTTGCCGACTGGCGGTGATCTGCTAAGTCTGCCGACTCGATGACCAGCCGCTTCACCAAAAGACATAGAACTGTCTATAATAGCTATACAGCCCCACATGCAGCCAAGAGATACCTACCTAGGTAGGCAATGAACTCAATTCTGTTGGCGCAGAGAATCGCAAGAAACCTATTGTCAGCAAACACCGATGTCGGGTCTGGGGAAAGCATGGGATCGGCCCTAGGGGGTGCCCTGCTTGGCAATTTGCCGGCTCTTGCAGAGAGAGGTCCATCTGATCCATAAGATAAGCTTAACTCCCAGTCTCGTCTTCCCATTTACCAATACAGTAGACTCATTCGAAAGGAACGAGGAACAACAGCCAAGATGCGCGGCGTACCAATTTCCTCCAATCCGCTCCAGCTGGACATGAAAAGTCACAGAAAATGTCTTATTATCTGTTTTTTCCTGACCATGGGCACCTTTCAGTATGGTACGTGTAGTTGCGATATTTGATGCCACGCATATTAACCTGCTCTGCAGGGCTTGATTATGCACTTGTTGGAGGCTTTCTCTCGTGAGTTCTACGCTATACATGTTGCTTTCTGACCTGACACGATATTTAGCATGCCTGGTTTCCTCAAGGTCTACGGGTACTACTCGCCCGAGCTTAAAAAGTGGAATATTGACGTATGATTTCAATTTATGAGATTCAACTCCATACTGATTTTATTTATTAGCCGACCGTTCAACAATTGATCTCCTCCTTGATGACAATTGGAACTTTCGTGGGTTCCCTATTGATTGGGCCCCTGAGCACCAAATTTGGACGTAGACATGGGCTATGGGGTGCAGCTGGCCTCAACGCCATTTCGACAGCTATTATGCTTAGTACTACCAGTGTGGCAGCACTCTATGTTGCACGTCTTATGCTCGGTATGTGCTCTCATGCCCCTTCCTTTCACTCGGTATTAACGACGATTGTTAGGCATTTCGGTCGGATGGTTTTTTACCTTCTCTCAACTCTACGTCCATGAAGCGGCGCCAGCCCATCTTCGCGGCATCGTGTTTGGTTTCTACCAAGTTATGTTGTCCGTTGGCTCCATCGTCGGGGCTAGTGTCGACTTCGGAACGCATAAAATCCAGTCCAAGCGTGCTTACCAAATCCCTCTGGCTATCTTTTTTGTAGCCCCCACCATCCAATCCATCATGATCATCTTCTTTCCCGAGAGTCCTCGCTGGCTCATGGTCCAAGGCAAAGAGGAAGAAGCGGAGAAAGCACTTCGCAGGCTTCGAAACAAGGATATCGACGAGCATGAATTCCAGGCCGAGTTCAATGAAATCCGTGGTTCTACCAGGGAGCAAGTTGAAAACAACAAAAAGTGGCTATTCATTGAGATGTGGCGTGGTACCAACTTCCGACGAACTGTTCTCTGTCTCGCTGTAGTCTGCTTTCATGCTGCTAACGGTATGCTATTTGTCCATCTTCCTCAAATAAGACAGTGCGCTGACTACAATAATTAGGATCTTCTTGGGTTAACATTTACACTACCTATTTCCTGACTGTTTCGGGAGTCCAAAACGAATTTGCGATGTCCGTCATGATCACATGCATAGGACTCCTCGGCTGCATTTTCAGCTTGGGATTCACACGTTTTGTTGACAGACGAGTCGTGATCATCATTGGCTGTAGTGCCTGCGCTCTTTGCCAGCTATTTATGGCTATCGTTTGGACTATTCATCCGGGATCCAAAATAGGAGGACAGTGTGTTGTTGCATTTATATCGCTCTTCACGTTCTTCTATGTTGCATATTGTAAGTTTCCTTTTCCACCTATTAGTCCCTCGACTCACACAGTAACTAGCCCCGACGGCATGGCTCGTAGGAGGCGAAATCCCCAACAACCATCTCCGCCCCTTCACCTACGGCATGGCAACCGCATTGAACTTTGTCGGAAACTGGCTCGGTACATTCACAGCGCCATACTTCATCAACCCAGCTAAGCTTGGCTGGAGCGCCAAGTACGGATACATCTGGTTCGGCACGAATTCGCTGCTCGTTCTCTTCACCATATTTTTCCTTCCGGAGACGCGTGACCGAACTTTGGAAGAAGTGCACGAGATGTTTGAGAACAAGGTTCCGACGCACAAGTTCAAGACTTATGTCTGCACTGGGGTCGAGGCGTTCGCTGCTCAGGGTGTGGCTAAGGCTGATATTTTGACTGAGAGACATCCGTATCCAGCTGAGAAGGAGGCGGTGGAACAACTTGAAACCCGGGAGGAAGAAGTCAAGGACCAGCCCAAAAAGGAGGTATGAGGACGCAGTATTTGATATGATCTGTTCTTGCGGCTCCTGTTACTCTTTCTCGACGATCTTCTTGTGCTCAGGATACCAAATGAACTTTCACTACCCTAATATTCATTATAGTCATGGAGAAGTGACAAGAAATATATGACACCTTTGTCTTCCCCAAGCTCACAAAACGATCCATGATTTATAAAGTATGTCGAATGACTCAATTAAAGCCATGGCCTTGACAACAAAATAATGTAGAGATTGGGAACTGCCTCAAAATATGGCTCTAGTCGTCGGTAAGGGGACCCCGAACACTCCAATAATAACCCACCATCTAGAGAATTGTATTCAGACCTTCGCATAACCTTAACATCATGCAGTATACCAATTTGTGGTACGTGTTCCGGTTCCTACTCGGTAGTGCGATGCTTCTTCAATACATGACGTCGGGATTCGAGGGAGATTGAGACAGCTTCTAGAAGTCCAAGGAAAGGTTAGCACTGTTCTCGTCATATTTCAAGTACCCTTGACAAGGATATTACTAACCGTATTCCCAGAGAAGACCGGTACTAGCAGGACGAGGTCTCATCTCAATATCTCTATGATTTGCGGTGCTTGGATTCATGTCTTGTAGTTGACTTGGACTGATCTGATGTTTCCTACCTGCGAAAATATTAGCTTCCTGCAATGTAGATTGAGGATCTCAATATCAGACCTGCATGTCGACGGATTCTCCTTCGTCGAGCAATCCAACCTAGTACAAGAAGGGTAGATGGAGCACAGGTGACGAGCAATGTCACCAGTCCGATTATTGCTTCCGGCGAAAGATTCATTTCAAGAAAGGAGATTCTTAAATATCCAATCACCTCTCTGATATTTATGTCTACAGAGCTAGACAGATTGGTTCGTAAATTTTTGGGGACCACTAGTTAGATTTGAATCTGGAAAATATGCCGCTTTCAAAGTGGGAATAAAGTGCGCATCGCCAGAGCAATATATTTCATATGTTGGAAGCATTCAACAAATACCACATTGGCCCTAACAGTGGCAAATTTGATGGTCGCTTTCCTACGCCACACCAGGGGATTTTGGAAACCTCCAAACAACAGTTACAGTACGAAGTAATAGGCCATAACTTCAAAAGCCGCCAAGACTCTGGGGCGCGTATCGGGTTAGGGTGAGTCGTTGACACCGCAATTTTAAAAGCATAAGCAGGCAGGCAGAATTTGGGATCAGCCAATTGCTAGGTGTCCGACGCTGGGGAATACACGCAAGGGACCGAAGTGAGCGATTAAAGTGGAGTCGCATGTCTGTTCTAGTCCCGGTATACATGCAAAAAGATATTGGGAGCATCCAAGTACGTTGAATGTTCCAAACTTATCCGCCGAGTACTCAGTGCAGGAAGATTTTGAAATAGACCAATCACAACTTCTTGGGCGATGCATCATGTTGCACCCGGGACCGTACACCATATGCATCGGGCGCTCCTGTGAACGAGTGGCAGGAGCTGAAGAACCATGGCTGCGGCTCCAAGTCCAGATTTTGGGAACCACCAATAGCAGTGCAGAGTCTGGCCCCAGACATGTCGTGGCGTGGCTGTGGTGATGGTGCCCGTGCATGGCCTTGGTCCTCATATCTTTAAGCCGGGTCGGTTTTCTCCAAAGCCAACAATCAACTGCAAAATCTTGCAAAAAATTGCAATCGACAATTTCAACGCTGCAATCCACCTTCGCGACCCTTCATTCAATTCTAGCAGGCAATCAAATCCGCTTTCTGGAACCCACCATGGCTGGTTCTGCCGATTCTCAAGACTGGGAGCGATTCAAGAATGTTATACGCGCTCTCTACACTGCGAAAAGCCATAAACTCGAAGGACCTGATGGCGTGATAGAACGAATGGAGAGTCGATTTGGGTTTAAACGGACGTAAGTAGCATTGAGCTGAAGACTCCTTTCCAAGACATTGTGTTAAGGTCGCCTAGAAAAGCACAATATGAGAGGCAATTCAAGAAATGGGGATTTCAGAAATACCGGACAAAAGAGGATTGGAAAACCATGAATCAAAAGATTGAACTCCGGAAAAGAAATGCCACAGAAAGTAATATCTATTGCGATGGGGAATTGATGTCCAACAAGAAACTTCGAAAGGAGATTTCTCGCCAAGGTTATATGACATCCACCGAACAATTCATTCGAGCCCAAGGTGGGTATCTGGCAGTATAAAAATTCGATCCACATTTATTAATAGTCCTTAGAACCACCCCCCCAAACGCCTCCTGGATTTGACATTCGCACCCCCACCGCTCAGCCATTATTCAGACTAGTGTTTGAAAACCTACCTATACTTCAATTCCAAGCAAAGATACAGCCCTTAAGTAGTAAATAATAGCCTGACCTCCTTGAAATCTCCTTATGCTAACGATTGCGACGTATAACAGAATCCATCAGGTCTTTCGATACTGGGTTGTCAGCCCTCGTACCACTCTTGGGAAACGCTCATCAACCCTACAACAACAAATCCGCCCTTCCAATTATCGAATCCCTCCTTCCCAACTCAGCCTTGCTGGATGAAGTATGCGCAACGGGGCTTGCAATAGAACGAGTTGATCAACTTGGCCCTGTTGAATTCTTGAACCTGTCAATTTTCTTGATCTCGAACAACTTCCCTGGCAAGGCCAATCGTGAACAATTATGCAAATGGCTCAAAGACCATGTCAATCCATCTGTTCTCAAAGCACTCTCATCTATGGGAGGGCCAACCGCGGATGCACTACTCGAGAACCTCTTTCGGTTTGCAGTTGAATCTGAAGATATACCAACTGTCAAATACCTGATCAAATCAGGAGTGAATCCTAATGGCCACGCATGTCGACATTCATCAATCCCTGACGACCTGACCCCTTTGCAGTTGGCTTGCATCCTAGGGAATATAGAATTAATTCAAGAACTGATCCAAGCTGGATCGAGCATTGACCAACCTGGGACTGGGTGGAAAAGTAGTGCACTGGTACTTGCTATCATTGGAGCGAATCTCAAGAAGGAAGATCATAATATTTACTGTCAGGGTGACCAGGAGCCCAAAGACGACATGGCCTCCGAAGAAAGCCACCTCCTCAGTCTCACCAACTCTTTGATTGATTCAGGAGCGGGTATCAACCTCGACGATACTGATAAGTCTTGTCCAGCGTCCCCGAGATGGCCGGGACATCACCAATATCTATTCGACCCAATAGCTTCAATCACGAAGGTTAGCCATTCGCCGCTCACAGTAGCTGCTAAATACAAAAACATAGAGCTAGTTGATTTTCTCATAAAAAAGGGTGCGGATGTCAAGTTCCGAACAAACTACAACACTTCCGCTATTATCGAATGCTTCGATGGCTGCAGTGATATGAATTTATTCACAGATTTCAAGATCAATTTTAGCACTGGCGAGACAACCCCGCGATCCCCTAAGCCTGTCCTGCCATTTTCAGGCTGTAGCTTGTCCAAATTCCATACCGTGGTTCGCAGTCTATTAGAGGCAGGAGCAAATGCAAATGACCAATTCAAGCACTGCCAGTCCAATTGGCGCAGCGAGGAAGAACATCATTATGGTTATAATTGCTGCGAAACCTACACAGTCCTTGATCTAAGTGTGCTCACAGAAAGAGTGGAAGTTGTTGGTATGATGTTATATGCCGGAGCAGGCCCGGTGACAGAGAATTCAATGGAACGTGCGATTAGTAAGGGGGGCCTTGAAATGATATGTTACCTTTTAAACGCTGGTGCTCCTCTCTCGTCAGAAGCAGTAAGGGGCGCAATGTTGAGAGGCGGCAATGTCCAGTTTATAGAGGCCCTCCTTGCGAAGCGACAAGATATTTACATGAAAGAAGTAGTGTTTGTTGAGGCATTACGGCGAGGGGACGTCTCTGTTCTCGACTACCTCTTCAAGGATGAAACTTGCAACAGTCAAGACTTTATACCCACATCTCTCGAATTGACCGAGGCTATTCAAGAATGTTGCCGCTCGGGAAATATTGACGCCCTTCGCCTTATACTTGACAAGAGTTCAACATATCAGTTCCCAATTTCTTCCTGGTTTGGCAAATCGCTTATTATCGCGGTTTCAAAAGGTCGTGACGAAGTAGCAGATGCCCTTTGTTCGGCCGGTGCGGATATCAATGCTATACCACTATTGCTCGCGATCAGGAAGAAGAACAAGCGAATAGTTAGGAATCTCATTAGCGCTGGCGCAAGGTTGAACACAGAATCTAAATGCCTAAGTTGCTATGGATACCACAAGGTATCTGGAAATATCTTGATTTCTGCTATTGAATGGGGTGATCGTACTGTGATTGAGGATCTCCTCCAAGCAGGTGCAAACATAGACGCTTTAGGAACCTACAGTGAGAGGTGGATCACTAAATGTTGCTTTAATAGCAACATGACACCCCTCGCAGCTGCCATTTTGGCGAAAGATTCGAATTTAGTCAGGTACTTGATTTCTGCAGGTGCTGCAGTCAACTTCCCGCGTGATTGTATGCCTACTTGCATAGGTGTAACGCCCCTCGTTGCTGCCATTTTGACGAATGATTCGAATTTAGTCAGGTACTTGATTTCTGCAGGTGCTGCAATCAATATTCCGCCTGATTGTATGCCTAATGGCAATGGTATAACGCCCCTCGTTGCTGCTATTGAGCAGAAGGATTTAGATTTGGTCAAATATCTCATATATGAGGGTGCTGAAATCAATAGCTTGTCTGGTTTTATGGGCAATAATGACACATACGTAACGCCTCTTGCAGCCGCTACTTCAATTGGATATTTCGAAGTAGCTGATTCTCTTATCCAAGCAGGGGCAAATCCATATGATGACCGAGCCTTAACCGCAGCAACTAATGATCTCAAGCTACTTCAACTACTTCTTACAGCATTGCACAACTGGGACCAACCAAGCGACAGGTGTCAGATAGGAGGTCGCGCACTCTATGAAGCGGTTTGGAATAATGACCAGGTCATGGTCAGGGCTATTCTTGATAGTCCTCTTAGGGATAAGATATCGACTATATGGCTTTCATTTCTTTTGCGTAATGTCATCTGCAATCATTATAGAAATTTGAGTATCGTACGCATACTGATAATGTCAATTGCGGACCTGAATCTCGCCCTACCATCTGAGGAGGGGCACAATTTCGCATCTAGCCTTTGGGAGGCGGTCGAGCATGGCAATCGACAAGTAGTCGAAATCCTGCTAGAAGCAGGGGCACACCCAGATATAGCAACTTGCGACATAGCATACTCGCCAATGCAGCATGCTGTTATTAAGGGAAACCAAGATATAGTACAGATATTCCTCGATCATGGGTCCAATCCGGATGCAGCTTTACCACATCGCAACAAAAGCACACCGATTCCGATTGCAGTTGACAACCAAGACATGAAAATGCTCAGGATCCTTCTCCAATACAACTATAATCCCAAAACTGTCTTTGATGACATGAAACACACACCTTTGCAAACGGCAGCCCGGGATGGGAATAAAGAGATGGTTGAACTCCTGCTCGAGCATGGAGCGGATGTGAATTCGCCGCCGCCTAAAAGGTTTGGCGCAACTGCGCTACAGTTTGCCGCCATCAATGGCTTTGCTGGAATTGCCTATCTCTTGTTGCAGAATGGCGCGGATGTCAACGCTCTGGCCGCAGAAATTGATGGTAGGACAGCATTAGAAGGAGCGGCGGAGCATGGAAGGACTGACATGGTCCAATTACTCCTTAATGCTGAAGCAAATATCTTCGGAGATGGACAACCACAATATGAAAATGCTGTCAGAAGAGCGTCCGAAAATGGACATCATGGAATTCGGCGGTTACTCGAATCATATCATGGGTAGTTGTGATTGAGATATTATGGTAATGGATCTCAACCATTCATGATTATAAATTTGGAACGCGGAATAGGTTAGGTGGAACGGGAAGGGCACTCAAATTTCAAATAGGACTGCAAGTTAATAGCTCACACTTCAACTTCAACTACACTCTTCTCATATCAACGACATGGAGCCACTAAAATTATGCAGCTGCAGGTTAGTTGTGGCCGACACATGCGAACCAACTATAGGAGTAACAGGACGCCTGGTCGCGCCACCTTTACGTAGCCCCTCTAAGCCTCGGCGATACCACATGGGTAACCGGAATAACGAAATACTAGCAGGAGACTCGTAAAGAGTAAGCACTTCCATAAACTCAGTGTACAGTAGTAATTGAATAGATTAGATTAGATCATTACTAATTAATCTAATCTAATTAGATTTAATTAAAATTATTTGATTTTTAGCTACCTGATTCATTAATAGGGACCTTGACACTCGACGGAAGCTAAGAAGCTCTACGGGAGACTTGTAAGGGGTTTTGCTAAATCGAGTAACCAGTGTATTTCGATGAATATACAGGCTTTTATTCTGTCGAATCAGCTGCCATTTTAGGTGGGGCGTGGGGCAATGCCTGACGGACACATCATGGGGCACAGTATTCACTGGCTACCTTTGGTGGTCGAATTCTGTTTGTCAGCCGAGCGTGTACCATGTCAACTCGCGGGTGTTGGTATTGGTGTTGGTGTTGCACCTATATTAACAGGATCCGATCAACGTCGACGAAGGAACTCCCAGCCGTCATCAATAAGCACTATTTGCAAACAGAGAAGAATAACATTGATCTTCCTCTCATGGACGCCATGGTTAAATATCAACCTGGAAAAGGTCTCTGGGCCTTGGGTGCAGTCATAGTGAACGCCGTCCAGATACCATTTTGGCTTCTTTGGTATGCATTCCCATCGAATCGTCAACATCCTCAATACAGCTTGAGACAAGCTATCGCGACTGGAGCTCTCAGAAATTCTATTTGGCACTTTTGTATGATCAACCTCTCCACACCACTGGTCCTGAAGCCAAAAGGCAAAGAAAAAGAATTTCTTGTCCCCATCGCACCGTCTTCGAAATCAGGAGTGTACGGGGGAATCTGCGACGACGAACATATCAAACCTACAACCGTATGTGGCTATTGGTATCCATCGCCTTACATTGCTAGCGAGGATAGAAACAAGAAGGTGGTGCTCCATTTTCATGGCGGCGCCTTTGTGGTTGGAGACTGCCGTCCTGCAGACTCTGGATACGCGGCTGGTCTTCTCACCGAGAATATCGGCAAAACGCTAATGGTATCTTACCGGCTTTCTTCAAACCCTGGTGGTCGTTTTCCTGCCGCACTTCAAGATGCTGTCTCGGCTCTTCATTATCTCCTTGATCTGGGTATTGATTACTCCAATATTGTTGTTAGTGGGGATTCGGCCGGTGGCAATCTCGTGGCCGCACTACTGAGGCATCTTGCGGGCGTGGATGAGCCAGTCCTTGCCGCAGCGCTTCTGTGGTCTCCGTGGGTTGATCCCGCGACGAGCGTTAAACCCGAAACAATACTTCGTTCCTTACACCGATGGTCCGACTATATCCCAGGGGAGTTTGCGACCTGGGGAGGACACGCCTACTGCCCTAAGGATGGACCAATTAGCATGGAAGATGGATGGATCAGTCCTAGAGCGCATCCATTCCACACAAAGACACCGATATGGGTTCAAGGATCCGGTCAGGAGATTTTGTTCGAAGAGATCACTGAGTTTGCGGAAGGAATGAAGCGTGTAGATGGTAACAACGTCGCCTTTCACATAGAGGAAATTGCAAATCATGACATTCTATTGCTTGGAAACGTCACTGGATTTGAAAAGGAAGCAGAAAACGCTGCGAAAATGGCGGCTGAATGGCTAGATCGACAGTAAGGCCCAAAGTATATGGGGGCTAGGTGTATGGGCTCGGGTTGCCAGCTGCTGATTTTGCTTTTCTCCCATCATATTTCTTAGTTGTTCTGATGCTGGATTTACATTTTCAGCTTCGTATTTTAACGCGTTACTATTTTTGAATTGATATTAAATATCATATCTTAAGACCAATAAGTGCTACAAATATACTTGTTGCCCAATACGAAGTGCAAATCGCTCTATTTAACACTTAAAAATCGACCTAGGTTTGAATTCCGATGTGGCCACAAGACCAGAAGAAGACAAAAATACTAGATCTGGATATTTCTTTTTCAGATTGTAATCTTTCATCTACAAAGGAGCCTACTATGTGCACTTCGTGTTTATGTAAACGTATTTCGAAATTTCGAATTGTAAGTTTACGGGGGTATGTACTGCTCGAGAAATATATGGCATGGCGTATTATTGGGGATTGAGGTTGAAATGAGCTTCGCTGGATAATTGTGGTGGGTAATCGTAATAACCTCTCCCCAGAATCCGTCTCACGGAGCGAGCAAGGAGGCTAACCGGCTAGTATCCATCCCAGTGTCGCTGTGGACACAAAAAGCGGCATTGAGTGCTGTGGACTTTTAATGTTTTATTTGGCTTGGAATATTTTAAATCTGTACCGCCTTTTCTGCTGTAATACCGGAAGCTCTGTCAATGGCTCAAGGAATTAACTCTGCGATCTTGGCTTTGTCAATTTTATGTCTAGACACCACCACCGTCTGAATTACCACCAATCTGGGGGTCATTATTTTATTGCCACGAGCTGTGATCGAGGTTTTGCGCTCCAATCCTTCGTCCCGCAGCTCGCACTTATGAAGAAAAAAGCTCGCTCGTATCATTGCTGCGGTGTTTCTAGCTTCAGAACATAATTTCGGAAAAATCTTGAAGAGTCCGAGCCACTTGCGGAGGATATAGTTGATGGGTCAATACCAACTTTGAAACGGTATGTTATTGTGATGCGCGAAGGAATCAGTACTAATTCATCAGGTATTTGGTGCCTGTATCAGAAAATGGAAAGTAAAGACTGATCTCAGTAGCTACCTACTGGACAACCTGCAGTACCTACGTACCCTTTGCGACGTGGGGGGAGCATGTTGGCACCGGTGGGGACCGTGGGTTACGTGTAATATGAGTGTTGGTACTAGGTAATTTCGGCTTGCCAACAGAAGTACATGTACGAGTCCGTACTGCAACCTCGCGGCCGGACTACATCTCGCATCCTTCGGAAAATCCAACAACCGGGCCGGCTGCGTCTCTCATAAGCTCTAACAAACCCCTCATAAGGAAGGTTGAGCGTAGACAAAGTTTGTCTGTGCCATTCCGCGGCTGAAAACCCAGGAGTAGGACCAGTTCGATCATGGCTCACAGATATCAATTCGACCAATTTCCCGTTGAGGTCATCCGCCGCATTGCCGCCAGTGGACCATGCAGCTCTGCAATATCTCTTCTCCTCACTAGTCGAAAGTTGTACTCTGCTTGTAGCGACTGGACAGTCTTTCAATCCCTCATCGAGAGCAATAGTAATGGAGGACGCCAATGGAATCTAGGAATGTCGATGTTTCGCCCAGACAAGGTAGTCTGGGCAAGGTATGCGTTCGCGGACATGCGGGCAGCGCAGTTCATGACTTATGCCACCGATTCCTCACCAGAAAATGCTTCTAAATGGGCTCCAATGCTGATGACTCTTCATCGTACGTGTTCCTATATACACTAGGGTTTTCAACTAACCTGTCAACTCACCCGAGGACTAGACCCGCTGCTTGAGTTTGAACACATCAAACAGCTATCAATGGGTCTTCGCAGCAGCCAACCCCAGGACATACTTCTCCTTCAATTTTGCATCACGGCATGTTCAATGTCTCACCGAACTTTCCAACCAGGCTTCGATAGCGATGAAGAGAGAACCCTACTCTATGCTTCCTTACTCGGTCATGACCTGGAGGGCAAAGATCCTCTTGACCTTCCCAGAGTCCTCTCAAACCTCCAATATTTCCCAAGCATACCAACAAATGGCTGGCCCAGGACCCATAATCCAGCAACACCGCTATCCCAACTCCTCCTCCTAGCCTACAAAGCACTACCACTTATCTACTACAATTTGATGATAGCGATCACGCACAACAAAGTTTACGTGCTAAAACCTCCCACTCATACCCCTAACCCCCCACCACAGCCCCCAGCACCGCCTAATCATCTCCCTCCCACCGCCATCCACATTCCATTTACGTCGTTCATGAATATACCTTTACCATTTTCTCTCAAATGTGAAGAGGACTTCACGACCGCCCACCTCCCAGCAATGACACATCCATCGTTTATCTCTGACGGGACATGGAAAGGCTACACCCTCACAACCTGGGATGAAGGACCAGAGGTAGGAAGATTCGACATTCCTATTTCCAATGTCAAATTCCACACCCGCACCTCCCCCAACGACTCCAATATATTAGAAATCTGGTGTGAGAAGTTGCACAGTGAGATGATGGGTAGGTATCGCTTCCGAGGGACGGTGGAGAGAGATACTGGGAAGATGGAGTTGGTCAAGTGCTACGATCCGGCTTATATCGATCTCCCGCATCAGGCGGTTATGACACCTTTTGGAATTATTGGGACGTGGGGGGAGCGGAATGCAGGGAATTGGTTGTGGCTGTGGAAGAGTGGGTGGTGTGATAGTGAGGAATGAGAAATATAGAGAGTGGATCTCAAAGACGAGATGAGGTGTGGCTGTGATCTCAATAGGAATGTGCTTACTTGGTAACTTTAGAAAAGGGCGCCTTTTGGAGGACAGACTGATTATATGGCAAGAATCTCCATTTGTCCTGAAATATGAACTGGGACTCAAGTCTAATCTGATTGATGGCCAGCTTCACAACCTCTCTGAAAACTAATTGCAGCTTGTTCTTGAGGATGTCAAGTCAGACATCCATTATGTAGCTTATCTGAGCTTTTATTAGATATGAACGTTCTTTTTACCATATTAGCCTAGTCCGCTAGGAGTAGAGGAAATGACTTCCCTCCCTAGCGTAGCAAATTAAACTTATTTGCGTCCCGCTCTATCGCCTGAGCATCGTTGTACGTAAGTCGTAGTCTCCCGATCAAGTATTTAGCTGTCATCGCTCCTGTCTCCATGCATAGTAGTAAACTAGGTTGAACAACCATCTCGGTCTAGCAAGTACACTTGGCTATCACTTCTGCTCTCGATAGTCAGGAGAGCTCTGGAAACACCCACATAGCTTAGAGTCACCGTGCTCTTATGTAGTTACGTAGCTCCTAAGTTACAGCGTCTGTAGTAGTATAGGAGGGAGTACTTAAACTACCTATGTACTTACGGTCTAGAATTGCTCTGTAGACTCTGAGCTACATGGCGATAAACAGTTATTCCGCGAGGAATGTCTATCAACCACTAACATGACTTCGATGATCCCGGATCTATAATGAGAATGGCAGTTTTCGCGATGCAGTTGTTTCACTGATGTGAAACGAAAGTAGAAATTTTTAAATTAAAGATTAATGTTAAAAATGGCTGAATCTTCCTCGACTTTCCCAGATTTCAGTACACGTTCTAAATCAAATAACTACAATCAAGCATTCCAGAACTCAGTGAATAGAATGTTAACACATGCCGGACCTATAGGTTTTAGTTTAATCATATTATAGCTTACATGGATAATGGTGCTAATGTGCTTACTATTGCGTGACCTTCAACCCCGGACAGTGTGGTTCTATTATGCAATCGTCCAAACATGAGTCACTTGTTGTTACAACTGCATTTTAGCTATAGTAATAACACGTTGAAAGGAATAACATCTCCTTGCATAAGGGAAACCCTAGAACAGCCTCTAACTTATGGGTTCTACAAAAGAAGGTACTCTTTTAGACAGGCGCCTATTTAAACAGAGCAACTTGGTAAAGGTATATAATAAGAAGTCGGCGCTTAAGCTAGGCAGCGCCCCTGACTGTTTTCAACCTTAGGGCAACATTTACACAATAAAACCCGCCTTTTTGCAGCCAGTGCTAGTTTCGCATGATCGGCGTGTCCATGGTAGCTTCCCTTCATCCTGTCAAGATGAAGCAATAACCCACTCTTTAAGCGAATGGCCCCCTTATTCCCCCAATTTCCAACAACACCCGTGTAGGAGACAGTTTGTACTAACGCTACTACTAAACAGAGTTGTAGGATTTTATACATACCTTGAAAAAAATTTGAACAGAGAATATTCAAGCATTAACATACAGTTGCTGATTTTCAACCTTCTCGGCGACCTACCTCTCTCTTAGGAGCCAGAATGCATGATGCAAACAGACAAGATATAACGGAATCGAGCGAGAGAAAGTACTCAGTGGTGAAGGTCACCAAGATTCCTCATATGAGAGCTGATGAATTCATTTTCACCGATCAACGAGGACTTAAGAGGTCGATTAAAAGGTCGGATTGGACGAGAACCACCTATAATGAACGGACGGCATGGGTCTATCACGGCGGAAAGACGGCTTATGTTACTTATTCTAAGATTTCGTGATGGGGCATGAGGGCACTGGTTACCAATGTCCATCGTTCTGTAACTTGTGGTATCTCAATATGTTATCCCTATTCTTGGAATTTACTTCTGATTTATCGTACTCGTGTCCGGTACATTTCGATAATCTCATTCCCACGGCGAGACTACATCGTAGAATTATGAAAACCACCACGCAATAGGCTGATAAATTCCATTAGCAAGTGATATGTATGATCAAGCCGAACAGCCTACCTTTTCAATACTAAAGTCGTGATGATCGGGCCCTGTTGCTACTTCGGCCTTACCTGCTGCGAAGCTGACTCTGGTGACAATTTGATGGCGTTTGAATTTTTCAGTTGCGAAATAAATAGTATCAACGTTTGGCTCACTATAGTCATAGATGCAAGAGTGATGCGAGGTATCGGACGGATACCACTGCCCAAGGACCGTAGACAGACCGTTAATGTAGTGTATCAATAATCCAGTGCAGCGGTTGGTAATACGACACAGTTCAACCCTCTTGAGGCCGTTCAAGACTGCGACTGACAGGAATTCCGCGCAGCAATTGTGGGGGAAGGAATGCCCCAGGTAGCATACTGTGGCGTTAGAGGCGGGTCTACCTGGGATGTCGCATCCGAAGTGACGGCGAGCCTCGTGATTACCGGAGATATTGGAGCCTCATAATAAAACCCCGAAATGCACCCCTTGCTTTTTAGGAGGATCCACTTATACTTATCCGTCATAACCTGCTGCGGTAAAATATGTGACCCAAACGAGCCAGCCCTTCCGAACGTTGTTTGAATCTGGGTGAATAGATTAGTAGCCGACGACTCTAGTGGTAGGGGAACTGACTCTTAATGTGGGTATTGCGAGTGCTGGACTAGGTAAATCGAGGGTACGAAGCCAGGCGTATACGATTCGTTCCCTTGGGTGGAGAGAAAAGTGTATGGCGCAGCCCTTCCGACAGCCCGACAGATGTGACGTTTTGGTGAAGTGAGCTTCTAAGCCAAGGATACCGTTGCCAGTGAGGTAAATTGTGAGACCACTAACATATTCATTGCCTTGTAATAAGGGTAGGTACCTATAGAATCGCTTTCGAGGCGCCTTATCCGGGCGGATAGAGCCGATTATATCTCGCTCAAAATCAAAGATCGCCGCATCTGGATTAACTGAAGGAGGACTGGGATGATCCCACAATGTCTGATCTGCTGAAAAAGACCCTGGGTCGGATATGCTCGTGCAGTGTAAACCCTTCCTTGGTTAGCTATAATTCGTGGCGATCGTGTTGTCAACTTACACTGTAGTTCCAAAGAAGCCGGGATACCGTCCCTTTTATAAATCCAAACCAGACGTGGCCCCTATCTGGAACCTTGCCATGCCAACCAGTGTTCCAACCAATGCCGAGTACTTTTATTGCGCAGATACCACCGAGACTTTCAGCAAAGATTAGCCCTGTCACGGACCCAGAAATCTTATCTTCACTTTTGGAAGCCTCCATGTTGTATAACTCTTGAATATATTCAATACCAAAAACTGAGATCTTCTTGATAGATAAATGTGGCTCTTGCATCGATAGTATCTTGCGATCGTTGAAGCAATTAAGAGAGCGAGCAAGGCGTGTGGTTTCGCCCGCCACAAGCACAAAAGCGCTGTAGGCTGTCTGGAGACCCACATATTCCCAGATACAGAATCTTCGTTCTATTGGTAGCTTCAACATAGAGGATGGCTACAGGCTAGGGGAGGAGTTCTCAGCGTTCGAGACAAGGGTTTTAAAGCCACCTACAGGGTCGAGTTGGCCATGATCTTGATATATATCCCCGCATATGGAAGCGCCCAACGTGAGGGCTCTAATGAGCCTGTAGAGTTCCAATTTGGTTAAATCACTGACTTTCCACATAAGGATTGAGTAGCACCAGTCGTGGAAACAGAAAGCGGTTTGGTCAAGTCGACTGTTTTGACGGTTGAGTGTCTGGCGCAAGATGGTGACCATGGGGATTCGCCGATGCCCACTTACAGCAACGTCGATCTCTTCAAGAACATCCCCGAGGGTGGCAGGGTGTGTGATCCCCATGTTAGTTTGATTATCTGGATAAAAGCAGATTTCTGGGAGAGTCAATAACTGCAAAGCGAAACATTGGCTGGAGACATACCGGCGCGGAAATCAGACTGCCAAGAATCAAGGCCTCGGAGCCTGGCAACTGGAAATCTCAAACGGCATAGCCCGCAGTGCTCAGTGCTGAAGAACTCTGGCGGCCCCATACTATACAGATGATGGGGCTCAGCTGGATTGTTTCTAGACATCGAGGAGGTGATGTCGTGTGTCTGTAAGGGAACGAGAAAGGCGAGATTGCACTTAGGCGAACTTGCTGTTTCATTCGTTAGTTGTCTAGCTACCGTAATTGGTAGAATCGGTCCATTAGAGACCACATCTTTCTGGGGTGTCGTGTGCGACTTTTCTAGGGATATATATCTCCCCAAGTAGAGCACGTGATGGAAGCACGAGATAGTTCCACGTGATCGGTGAGTGTGAGTAGGCGCACGTGCGGGCATCGCGCCAGAACCGTCACAAATAGCATTAGTCATATAAATTTGGCTGGCAACAAGTTAGTCGAAGATTGGACAAAAACGACGTATTAAGGGTATATTTACCGAATCTAGACATGTCATATACAAAACAACGGAGCCTTTCGACTAGCCACCCAAGATATCTGGACCTGGGCGGCCTCAGAAGCTGCCACGACTTTGGCGCAGCCAGGCTCCTTGTGGGGGTCGAACTGGTCTCTACCGTCCCTAACCTCTTGCCAGAGTACGATATATCGCAACGCCGGGTAGTGCGATTTTTTATTTCGCACAATCTCGCAGAGCCAATCGCTAAGTTCGCCGCCTCTAAGATTTAGTTTTTCCGGTGGAGTGTCCTCGAAAAACGAGGCAAACGGGCACCCATTGTAGAGCTCGAGTTGCAACTCTTCCAGACCGGCGGGAAGAAGTTCGGATATCGTAGGGTGCTCATTGCCTCCGAAATGGATACGACGAAGTGCTTCGCGATATCTCGATATGAACAGTACTTCCAAAGCAAGTCCAACACGTTTGAACTTAGGATATACCCTTAGCTTTATAGCCTTTCGACTAGCACGACCGCTAGCAGCACCACTATTGAGGTATAGTTCCTCTAGTGTTTTACGTTGAGGTCTCAGGATTTTGACGAAACCTCCCGCCGACAGCGGCGCTATTAGATACGGGAATGAACTATATTCAAAAGGGATGTAGAAGTGAAAAGTCTTCAACGCCTTGGGCCACTTCAAGATCGAAACTTTATGCTTCCACGCCGGATTCTAGTCATAAAACAACAAATAGGTGATGTCTGAGCTTTGAGGCTCTAGGGAAGACAAAGGCGGAATAAACTGATTCCACGGCGGAGTGTGTTTAAATGAGAGTGACTCGAGTCCAGGTATGCAGAATAATGAATAGATTGGGGCTGGGTCTCTGAGGTTGGTGACGGGCGTCGGATGTGCACATTGCACGTGCAGGGATGTGAGAGGGGAGGGACATATAAATGATAAAGGGTATTCTGGTGGACATAGATGTAAGAGCGGCAGCGAAGGTGCTAAAATCTCTAATACTCCGCGGACCTTGTCTTCAATGTCCCGAGTGCGCCATTTGAAGCTTGCGGCCCTGATGCTTAACCGGAGAGCTTGTGATTCTAAGACAGTGCGGAGGAAAAGCGAGATCTGGTAGATCCTTGAGTCTCCGCGAGGGCAATTATCAAAGGCGGGAAGGGGTTGGCGATGTTTGCTTGTCCAGTCCGGGAATTGCAGCTCCTTGTGTTCTCGAGACTTTGGGGGCTCTGAAAAATGAACAAAACGGTAGATCATGGCGTTTGCGCAGCGATTGAACTGTTTGGATAGCCTGGCAACGGCTGGGAGCGAGTCGTGGCGTACCTGTCCCACGATGGCGAGCAGAATCTCGTCTGGGAGATTCTCAAAATTCGCCATTTGGAACCTGTTGCTGATGTGGTGCGGTTTGGTCTGGTTATTCAACTAATTCTCGTAATTTTTTTAATAGAGAAGGGTTATCAAAAGAACAAGGCCAACCGGAAGGGGAGGCATAAGTGGTACGGATAGTGGTGGTGTTGGAAACTCTCTACGGTATATGACTTTGTACGGTTGTCGAAGTAAAGGGATGGAGAGTGAATAAGCGAAGTTATTCCTGGCTCGGCTAATAGCAGGGTCACGTGATGAGTCATGTGTACCCCCCTACCCGTCCCAAGCTTAATCGTCGCCCTATGGTATCTGTCGCTCATAGCCGTGTATTCACTCCAGGTATAATATAATCTCAGAAAGCCAAACCAAAAAGTGTTCCCCTTTTCATCACATCTCTAATCCTCCTCGCTTGCCTAGTAAGGTACATGTATCTCCTTGGAGAATGCTTTGTCTCACCAACCCCTCATGACATCGCCCTCGTCTCGTATCTCCATAGGCTATTGGCCGGGTGGCGAGACGGCAAGACGGCGCGCCGGCGAGAATCGGTGTGCACATAGTATTCCTAGGTGTCTGCATGTATTGATAACTACCAAATCAGGGAAGTCCCGCCAGGATCCCACACCCAATACCTTCCCCCTTGGGGTGGTGTATAATTAGCAGCATCGCTATCGCCTGTCCGTGCGTGAGTGCCTTATCGAATGAAACGCGGGGGTGGAGCTGGTGGAGCCAGTGGAGCCGAGCGGGGGCAATTAGTGTTACCCCAGATGCCCCACTCGCCTTCGCATCATTGGCGGCTTGGCTGGTTGTCGCTGGCTGGATGCGATGCTATTCGCTGCAACCAGCAACGACGTATCGATGTATCACTGTATCGCTGTGTCAGTATACCAGATACGTTGTCTGTGCCACAGAGTACGGTGTCAGGTGGCAGCACCGCCCTCCTGCGGTGGTGTTAAGATCGTATGAAGAATGAGGAGAGGAGGAGTAATAGCATTCTTAGTAATGGAACGTAGGCGGGCACATCCTGTCCACTGTCCGCTGTAGTGACTGTACGCTGTAGTGCAACACCACTCAGTACATCCCTTAAGTACCTTAACCGCCCAACTTCGACTCCTCTTCTTCTCCTCTTCCTTCTTCACCACACAGTCCAGTCTTGCTTGTACCGTGTAACTTGAACAGCATACTCTCCACTCTCCACTCTACTCGCAAGACAATCCAAATCAACACAAACTACACAAACTACACGCACCAAACACTCCATACCTCGTACTTCCCCGTTTTCATCAACCGCTCTGCCAACTTCCCTCGACCAAAACACCCATAAACACACACTCGACCACAACAAAACAACTCTCACACAACACAGCACAATACACTTCAATACCATACACTTCAATACCATACAATTCAATCAATATGCCCGCCCTCATCCCAACATACTACCTCGCCCTCACCGCCGGCAACGTCGCCGTCCTCAGCTTCGCCTGGGGCAGACTCGCCACTCCCTTGGCTGGTCCTCAACTGACACAACAACGCACCCGTATTGTGCAAAAGGCAAAGGCCGTCGCCATGAAGCCAGCGACCTCGCCATTCCCAAGAGGCGCCCACACACTGCCCATGTTTGATGCGGCACCTATGTAAATGGTAGCCGTGAATGAATGGGTGAGTGGCCGTGTTGCACTCTTTGTGTTGTTAACTGTTACTGACGACTCGACTAGGCTGTTACATCACGCTACGGAGTGGCCATTCATGCATTCATGCATTGATTCTTTTATTTTCATCGTTGATTATTCGGGCGTAATTGGGTCTTATGGGGGTTTGGTGTTGTTTATTAGTTACTACGCAATCAATCATATCGTATCGTATCACGGAATGGGGGAAATTGGGGAATTGGAAGGAATGGGGAATAGGGGAACTAGGGGAACTTGGCGTGGGATCCAGCGCGTGCGGGGTCGCGGACTGGTTGCTTTGTAAGGGGGAACTTGCACTTGGAATACTTGTTTATTCAGTGCTGCTGAGATGAGATAGCATCAAGAGTCAAGACTGCATCAGTTGAGATAAAATCAGAAAACCCTAGATCTAGATCTCTAGAATCAACATACATATCTATCTATTACACGAGAGGATTGAATTTCAATTATTGCGTGTGCGCGTGCGTGAGGTGGGAATTGTGCGCTCCTACATGTACCAAGGTACGTACGCGTCTTGGTGTGGATGGGGCACGATGACGATATGTCTGGGCATGCATTCAGCTCGCTATCGTGACCCACCTCCTTCACTCTGCTCCACTCTACTCTAGCCATCGTACATTTCTATATTCATAGGGAATACAATAGCACGGATAAATCAGTAATCGATTTACGAAACCTAAAACCCTCGGGGTATTTATTGTGTCTCTCGAGTCAAAAAGCTATTCATTCGCCAATCCTCTACAGAGTCCAAGACGACGATAACCACAGGCTCCTAATGTAAAATAACTCTAGGTAGGCTCATCTCCCTCTGCATCCATTTCAGACACCCAAACCGCAGCGAGGATGCTATTATTCTGACATTAACACTCTAATGAATCGTACAATAAGCACAATACAATGAACCCAAACGTCGCCTATGCAAAATCTCAAGTTGCCTCCCAAAACAATCATTTCCAGAATCAACTCCCGCTATCCAAAGCATTTCATATCAAAAACACGCTTTCTATCGCTAGTCACAACCCATGCATCGGCTCATGATTCATGATTCGTTTCGACTCCTCCTACTCGTCCCCGGAGTTTGCCCAACTGGAGAGCCCGGTGGCGGAGGGTTTCTTGTATAGCCCGGATAATGGCCTGGAGCATCAGGGGGTTCTCTCAACCCTAAGCCATCGAGCCCGCCGCTCATCATAGGCTCATCGAAGTTATTGCTAGCCGCCCTCCGCCGAGGTGGCGCGGGCTCAAGCATTTTAGGTGCGTTCCTGTCGTAGACACGATCTTCGTCGTCGGTGGTATCTGAAGATTCCGAGTCACGGTCACGGCGGCGACGTCGTCGTTCCGAACGCTCGCCCAGACTGCGTTCACGCTTATGTCGTTCATGACGCTCTCGACGAGCTCGGCGGCGTTCTGATCTTGCTTCTTGTTCCTCTGCTTCCTCGCGAGCAGCTGAATGGTGTTAGCACAAATAAAAGAAGGAATGGAGTAGAATAACAAACCTCGGAGCTTTTGTGTAACCTCTGCATAACCTTGGACCTCATCTCTCGACAAAACTCTCAACACAATGACAAAATCATCCCTCGCTTCATATCTCTCCTTACCTAGCTCAAGTGCTTCAGGGTTCACAAGCTTTCGGCTGATCTTCGTCCATCTAGCATCGGAGGGGACGCCATCCCTTTTCGCATCCTTCAGAGGCGCAACACCCTCTCTGATGGGAGCTAGATCTTCGGGGAACTTCTCCCGCGGGGCACGTAAAATCCCCTTCACGGGTTTCTCATCACTCTTCGGTCGGGGCGGTGAGACAACACGTGCGTGGGGGTTGTCCTTCGAGTCAAATGCCTCTCGAGATCGACGTTCACTGTCTAGTCCAGTGCGGATCTTGGCTGCTTCTACAGGTCCTTTCGTTGCAGATGGTCTTGGAGATCTAGTAGCGGTTGGCTCCGCCGTGGGCACTGAATTATCTTTCGAATTGAGAGCCTCTTTCAACGCCCTCAGATCCATAGTGTCCCTCGGATTAAAAGCAGTAGGGGCCGCACTAGACTGCTGTTCAGGGCGGGGCTCTCTACGCTGTGGTATGTCTGCCTTTTCTGGTCTCGGATCAGATTCCGAATCTGTCCCACTCGAGGGTGCTTCACGGCGATGTTTGTGGCGCCGCCGCCTTTCTAGGTCGTCGGCATCCCGTTGTTCGCTCAGATGTGCAGGTCGCTCTTTGGGCTCACGACCATCCAAATCAACACGGTCCTTTGCCTCTCTTTGGTTCCGAGACGGTCGAGGGTCATCATAGTATTCTTTCTGCTTCCGATCATCTCTATCATCATGATCATCCTTAGCCTTCTTCGCTGCGTTGAGGCCTACCGCAGCTCCAGCAATGCCAAGTCCAGCGGCGACTGCATCTCGGCCTTTATTGTGCTCAGGCAAATCATCGTCCGGTCTCTCCGGCCGCTCGGATCGTTCTCCTCTTTCGATTCTGTCAGTTTTGTCAAGTCTATCTGATCTCTCAACTCTTTCTGGCCTCTCGGGCCTTTTTTCTCTTTCCAGCCTGTCGAATTTCTCCTTCCTTTCTGGCCTTTCGTGCCTTTCTGCTCTGTCCAACCTGTCGGATTTCTCAGACCTCTCTAGCTTTTGTGGCAGCTCATCTCTAATACCAAAACCCCTCTGCTCGACAGGGCTACCATATCCGGGCGTGGCACGATACGGTCTTTCTCGTTTGCCCCTTGGATCATCATCTTGCACCTCGTAATAATCATTGCGCGGTCCTCTTTTGTGTTCGTGGTCCGGATATACAGGTCTTCTAGGATAACTTCGCTTGGGAGGCTGTTCCTCGAAAGGTGGATCAACCCTCGCTGGTCTATGGATAGGCGACACTGGTGGAGGAGGAGCTACTGGCATCCTTCCCATCGGCTGTTCCCATGTCGATCCCCTAGAAAACTTATCAAACCCCCTGATCGAAGGCGGCGGGCCATGCATCCTCGAGTCATAAGAGCCTACAACCAGTTCACCGTAATTACCCACACTAGTTGGCCTACTTCTCCCCCCACTTTCAAAACTGTCCCTTCGCTGCTCCTGTCTTGTAGGATTGTCCAGATCATACTGTACCAAATCTCGCGGTTTCGTATAACCATATCCATCTTCACTATAATCGTCTCCAAAGGTCGGCAGATGTCTCGCTGCTGATTTAGGATACACTGGTCGTGGTCTGCTGCTGGAATATGAGCCCCTCTCCCTGGCTGAGGGAACTCGTAATCTATCTCTCTCACGCTCCATTTCCAGGCGACGCATGTCATCATTATCCATTGTAGCACTGTATCGCTTGTTGCGGGAATGGAGGTGTTGAGAGGAAGCCGGGACTGAGTAGTAGTCTTCATCGCTCAATCGATAGGGGTTCCTCAAGGGACTCGGAGGTCTGCCGCTATGGATCACCGGTTTATTCCTTGACGCCGCCGGGGTAACAATGGTTGGGCGATTGTAGGAATCGACGGTCGAGCTTCGGGTTCGGCTGGCATTTCGAGCGCTGCTACTTCGAGATGAAGCTGGAGGAGGGTCGGCAGTGATCTTATATGTTGTCGTAACAGTTCCGGCACTACTAGCCGTGCTACTCCCGTTCCGCGAATGGGTAGTAGGAATCAGCTCGCGGCGAGAGGTGGGAATAACGCGTACGTGATGGTCGTGATCTTTGTCGTGGTGATGATGCTGGTGGTTGTGGGAAGCTGGATGGCCATGGCCAGGTAGGTTGATGGGGAGGGATGCCCGCGCCGGGTTGTAAACCGGTGAACGGGGCCGCCTGTACTGGTCGGTCATGTTTGCGATAGTCGTACTGCGTAAGGTATCAACAAGATGTCAAAGGCATGCTTCAAGAGGCGCAAAGGGACTAAATACTTGGAAGGAATGAGGCAAAAATTCGATGACTAGGCAAAGGTGTCCGTGTACTGTACTCGGAGAGTAAGCTGCCCCACGTGAGGGGTACTCGGGTGGGAATCGCTCGTAAGGCGCAAAGATATGACAGCGGCTGAAACAATACAAGATAACGCCCTGCACTAGGCAGAGCTTCCACTACGTACTACTGGCTATACGAGGTACCAAGGCAGTGCAAAGTAGTAGTATTCTCTACTTCCCGGATGCTCTCCCTACTCGGCCACGAGGTTAGCAGCACCCAACTCCCGGCATAAGGTATGAATTGATTCTATACTAAGAGTGGGATGCTTATCGATGTTATCGTAAGGGTTGAATGCGGGAATCCGAAATACTTGACGTTTTGGTGGAACTGGAATCGACCGGTGCTCCGGCCAAGGTGACAGCGGCAATAGTGACGTGAGCAGGCGAACTCCACGAAGAACAGGTTTGTGGATTCATTTTTGATGGCGTGCCTCGGCCTTCTATTCCCGGGTCCTAGGACGGAATGGAACTAGCTAGGTAGTTTAATAAGGTTAAATATGTGATTATGGTCCAAATGATGCCCGGCTGAGTTATTATTTTCAGGGTTAATAGGGCCCGGCCATTAATCATTCAAACCAAGATATTTCTCATCTTTCTACCCTCACCCGCTGCTCAAAATTTTATTCTGTCTATCGGTAGTTTATTATCTGCGCCCCCCAAGATCTATCTTAATTTAACCTTAACTGCCGTACTATACAAATAAACTATCAAGGATGTAAAACAGTAGAGTACATTTCTAGCTATGCCCCTTATATACTAGGCCGATAGCACTTCTGCACATAGTAGCGGGTTATAAATGAACATGCGAAACAAAACAGTACGAGTATTAAACCAAAACAAGTACAGCACTTGCGTACGAAGGAAGTTGTTAAACGTTTCTGACGAAAACATTACCAGGAGACTCAAGATTTTCAGTGTATCTCGATTATCTCGACTGACCTCTGAAGACTGAAAAGAATATCCCTAATGGTCCGACGTAGGTCTGGTGCCTTCTGGAATTCCATATCGAGGTCCTCAGCTTGCAATATTTGGCGGGAAAATTCATCGGGTTGCTTAAGGAACTCTTCAACGTAGCTGAGAAGGAACACACCGCAATCGTACCCGTTGTTCTGTCTAGGGATGCCGACCGCTGACATCCCAATAGCACGCGGTGGAACGACATCAATTTGCTTCCTTTCCGCAATTTCGGCAACCAAGTACTTCTTCAGATTGGTGGAAGCTGGCGAGCGACTCTTCGCGAGTGAGTCTAAGATAATAATTCTAGGCTTGGTAGGGTCGTATTTCCGGCGTGCTTTACCTCTGCGTTTTCTCTGTGGCTTTGGTTTCGGAGGCTCGTCTTGTTCTTCGGGTTTTGGTACGTCAGTATCGGGCTCTAGGTCGATAACTTCAACCTCCGGTGTTTTTGCTAGTGGTGGGCTTGGTAGAGGCGGTTCCTTGAGGTTGTTGACACTGTTACCAGGACTATCGAGCTGGATTGGATTGTCGACAGTCCCAGGGGCTTCAGAATCTGGCTTGTCTGGGAGGAGCTTAGGAGCGTTGCATATAATTGCAAGATACCAATGATTCTCTTCCAAGTCATTAACTGGTACGACAATGTAATCGAATGATAGAAGGTCAATATTCCTAGTCCACCGTTTGACAGCGTTATAATTAAAGCCTTTATTGCCGGGGGTGAGAGTAGTGTAAAAGAAAGTATTGTGAATATAGATTCGACGAGCCAATTCTGGGTCCTCCTGTTGGAGTTTACGCTGTAGCCAACCAAGATAGAAATTAATCAGGGAGTCATTCAAGAACCTGCCCTCATCAAGCATTTCAATCTCTCTCTTGTCAATTGTGGTGGTGAGGTTGCTTCTAGGGCCAGGGGGATAGTCAATTGCCTTCCGCCAATTCACAGCCCAATTCGGATTTGCGATTGTCCATTTTTGCGGACGGGGCGGGGGATTCCTGGCTGGCTTTTTGGAAGACCCTTTTCTTTTTCTGTTGGAAGCTCTCCTCGTCAAAATGGGCCCATCATTAGCGGAGCTTGCCTCCGGAGAAGGTAGTTGCTCGCGCGACGACTGCAAATGGGCTCGGGTAGAAGTATTAGTTGATCGGAGCTTCTTGGATGCTGCAGTAGCGTTATCCTCCGGATAGGAGTCATCTTCATCGCTTGCTTCGTACATCTTGCGCTTGAGTGTGGATATTCTGGAACGTTGCATGATAAATGTCTTGCTCACTTCCCTCTACAGAACCTGATTTGAACAACTAGGCGGCAGTGTTGTAGTGGTGCTTCTTGTGCTTGGAAATGTCTGTTTTGTCGCCTTTTGGTTTTTCTTAGATGTTGCGGATGAGATGCGGCTTAAGAATTAATTCGATGACAAGGGACCTTCTTGATTATATTGTATTAAGAAACCATTGGTATTGCCATCATAAAGAAGCAATGGTTCAATGTTCTCTAGGCGTAGCCAATAGTGAGTCTCCGAAAACCGGTTATCACAAAGCCTTTTTCAACGCTTTTATCCTCCTTCGTTTCCTTTGATGACATGTGGCTTAAGAATCAATTCGGCGATGATGATCCATTCTTTATGGTACGGTGCCAAAAGACCATCAGAATGGCTGTGCAACGAAGCTGTAACTTAATGTCTTAAGGCGTAACCAATCAGTGCCTCCGAAAATGTTCATCAGAAGCTATTTATACTTTGAACACCTTTATCCCCCTTCGCTTTCTATCACCACTCACATTTGGAACCCTAGAAGTCCCGCTGGTCGATACGCCTGAAGAAAGTTCTCTCTGAGCTTTATCCATCAGTTCATCGCCAATCGCAAGTTCAGGTTCGCTACAATCGCGAAGGCGCGAGCCATTTCCACCGAGAGACGCGCCGTCCTAACTAGATGAGGATTGGCCAACAGACCACTCTAAATGATTTTCGTAGATAATGAATTTGATGGTTATTGTAATTCGAACAGATTTTAGGCTTCTCTAGAGTTGAGCGTAGCAAGGTCATACTAGATGCTCACCGTACAAGACTTCCAAATGCCAGCCGGGTATATGCGGAATGAATGATAATGGCCCAAGGGAACGGTTTCAGGCGTTTTGCAGTTCACAGGTTTCTTCCACATCCACATCAACCACCAACCTGCTCTAAAAGCGGAAAATCCTTTACTCACTCCCCGCCGTCCGTGCCCCCCAATGCTTTCGAGAAGTGTTGCATTGGTACGCTGATATGGCAGGAAAACCATGCAAAAAATTTGAACTCTTGGGTAGTCCCAGGATTCTTTTAAATCAATCGTAGTATTGGAGGCTGTGTCCTGTTTTGCTCTAAGAGAGCCGCTCTCGCTCGTCTGCCTCTTGTTCGGGTATTCTTGTTGGGGTGTTGTTTAATGGTGGTGGAACAGAGTCGATTTTGAGGATGTAGCTCGTTGGACGGCCGAAAGTTCGCTATTTGTATTCAGGTATTTAGAGCATTATGGCCTCCATGGATCTAGGGGAAGCATCCAAAAGTTAGCAAAACCATACATCAATGCAGACGGGGCAAAACCATGTTTCTCGAGTTTGGCTTTCCTCCTGACACGTTCTCAAGGAGCGCTACCGCCATGGTGGCAAACAAGTGTGTACTTGGCAATCATGCATATCTCATCTAGTGGGCCGTGGAGGGGATATGTGATAATCTGGGAGGGGGCATCTGTTCATTTAGTACCAAGCAAACTTCGACCTGTCAAAGGATCCAATATACTAATTATCCAAAGATGTAGGGAATTATACTATATATCTCCGTATAGGATTTATGACACACAATTTGCTTCTTCTTATGCTTCCCTACCTTTAATTTCGCGGGGATTCTTCTACTCGCATTCAACCTCGTGGGCGGACCAGGAGCGTACCTCGACCCTAATCAATCGGGACACTATAGTATCTAAACCGACTCTCAGCGAATAGTTGAAACTATTTTCTACTGCCCCGTACTATTCGGGGCCCCGCAGGTCTGTGTCTGTCTGTACCTCCTCTGGTGGATGGAAGTTGAGTCTTGAAGTCCGATAAATTACCGACAGCGCGTCCAACATCAACATCGGTAATTTCGGGTTCGTACTCGTATTCGTAGAACGACCTTCAACCTGAACTCAAGCCGACCATTAACTTCGGAGGAGCAGGCAGGTAGATAGGTAGGTATCCCAAGTGTTAAATGTATCACACCAAATTCTCATTTTCTTAAAGCCAAAGGATCAAAATTTCCTACAATGCAACAAAGCTATGCAGTAGCTAAATATAAGTCGAAATGTCGAGGGGTGCTGTTTTCGCTCGATTCCCATTAAGTGAAATAATAAATTCATTGGATTTTATAGAAATCTTTCCCCTTCCCCATCTTGCTTATTTAGCAATTTAGATATCATTTCAGTATCCGTTGAGTCTTTTGGGCTGTATGCTCTCTGAGGTTTTTTCGAATACATCTGCACTTTTTCATCTTTACCATGCCTATCAACTTGGTCACTAATTGTCGTTGATTGTGAAGGTGGCATTGTTAAACTAATGGCCAATTTGCAACCTGCTATTCATACGGTAAGTTAGTATCCGCTCGTTTACACATACCCCGGCAAAGAAGAGGTGACGAGCAAGGGACAGGAGTGAAACCCATCTGGACACTCTACTTCCAGTTGAGAGCTTATCTCTGGGTTCTGCGAAACTTCTTCTCCATCAGCCGTTAGATCTCCATCAGCTGCTAGACCTACATCTTCATATTATCCTCGCAACTACATGAGCGGCAAGGGAGACAAGACTAGAGAAGTAATTCCTTAAAACCAAGATATTCTTATGATTCTATAAATAAGGTCTAATCGATAGATATGCGATGAAATATACCTCCCAAAGATGTACCAGAATTTATGACTCTCTACGTAAAACAGGATCTCGCGGCGGAGTTTCAAGATCAACCTCCTCTTTAACAGCTATCATATCCTCTCTGCTATTGGGAGCTTCTCCCACCCCATCACGCATAGTATATGACCAAGCCAGCGCAATCACAGCGACAAATAACAGGTAACACCACCAGACCGCGCCTACCATCCCTCTTTCCATTCCCCAAGCAAACACCCAGCCACCAGCAGCAGAACCTACTGCTCGCGCAAGACTGCTCAGCATATTCCCTGCACCATGCACTGTGCCTAGCACCGTTTTAGACGGCGCCGAATTGGTGAGTAATATCACGGTGCTAGGGATGGCAATCGTGCGAGCCATGACCTGCGCGCATAGAATAACGGCAATGCCGCCCCAGCGCGCAATTCCATCTTGGGGAAGCAACGACAGGTATGGTGCGAAAAGGTATGCAAGGGGAAAGATGAATAGGGATATGCGAAAGCAGCCTAGCGTTCCGAGGCGGGCTTGCACCCGTGGGTAGATGAAAAGTTGGAGGAAGATTCCACAGATTCCGAAGCAGGAGAGCCAGAGACCTACGGAAGGGGATTGTAAGCCTAGACCGCCAGTGAAAGAGACGACCGACCAGTCCTTGTTGGGTGAGAATGGAGTGGAGAGAAAGACTGGGAAGATATGCATGAATGCTGAGTTGTGGAGGGGTAGGAGCCCAAAGGACACTATAGTGACGAGGACATCGCGAGTCCAGATGCTACGGAAAGCAGGTCGAGGAGGTTGGGGACGAGAAGGGGGCGGTTTCGTGACTATAACTTCTGGAAATTCTTCCGAGCTTGGAAAATCTTCCAGTGTGACCGCCGTATACCCACTAGAGCGCTGCCGGAAGACGATTCGCCGTATGTATCGGTTGACCAATTCGCCAATCTTGATCCCAAGGTCTTTGTCGTCCTCCATTCCAGGTAATGTTTCTCGCATCCAGAAAACTGCCAATATAAGACTTCCCATGAGAGTGAACGCATTTGATAAGGCTGGGAGAGCATATGGGTATTTCAATGCCCACGCCACGCCCCCATCATTGTCACTGACGTTAAATATGCCCTCTGGTCCAAATAACCAAGGCAGATTGACCACCGGATCCGCCAAACAGCCTCCCAAAGCTAGTCCGGCCACCATCCCGGAATTGAACACCAGTGGCAAGATCAAGAATGCTCTTGTTTGGTATTTTCTCTCTTTGACGATTTCTGCAGTCATCGTTCTCATCACACCCACGTTTCCATTCGCAATACCTGCCAGTATCCTCCAGAACATCAAAGCCCCAATATTTCTCGAGAATCCAAATGCGGCATTTGCGATCACGCTTACCAACAGTCCGATTACGATGGTTGGTTTTCTGCCATAGAAATCCGATGCCCGGCCCCAGAGCATACTGGTCGCAAATTGCGCGAGCGGAAAAGCAGCAACCAGCAGCCCTGAAAGACGCGATATCTTTTGCGGTGCAGAATCATCATCGGAATCAATTATGGATTTGATGAGGAAGTAGATATATGGGAGGAGGCATGTATTCGAAAGGGGTTCGGAGAGCCGACATAATGAGAGTATGAAGAGTTGCGATTTATTTGGAAGATCCATCCAAGTCACGGGGGAAGACTTTGGTTCTCGCGAAGGAGGTAGTTTCTCGGAGGATTCGGGAACGGACCCATTGTGAGATACAGAGCCTTAGAGAAGTCAGTAAGTCAACAGTAAATATGGAGAGATTCCTACTCTGGAGAAGCCCCTCCTCGTCCGGAGGCTGTGAGATAGCCATCGTATCCTACAGTGGCCGCACGATCATGGTCGGAGAGGCAGGAAAAATAGGAGTGGGAAGCAGATTGGTTTTACGAGGTCTCCATGATGGCGACTCCGTCACCAGCTCTCGTGAACACTATACTCTATACTGGTAGAGTTAAAATCAAGAAAGGGATGACCAAAGCTGTCGAGGCTGAATCGAACAGCCGCAAACGAACAAATCATCCTAGATAGAACACTGGGAGAATGGTCCCTAACGGGGCTGCCATTCGACTCGCGGGCATTATGAACACATATTTAACGGGTAATTATTGGCCAACAATATGAAAGTGGAATGCTTAACAAACCGATGTGCCGTGATTGGGCTCGTGGTTTACCTGAATCACCAAAGTGACGAGGAGACCTTTCGGTGAACAGCCGTGGTAAGCAATTTAATCAGGAGCCTGGAGGATAAATGCGATGGAAGATGAATGGGCGGATGTTGATTGCGATACTGCAAAGTAGCACAGATACCCCGCTCGCTTGCGACATTAATCCGCCCTCAGGGGTCAGTCAATGTTGATCACTGTAGAAGTACAAGGACGAAATACTTGCTGCTACTGAGCGAGTGGTACTTCGATACTTCACTATCGAACATATTATTCCCGGCCTAAATACTCGTATCGGCACTACGGAGTATTCTTTTAGGATTAAGGAGTATGGTGAGACAGTCCTTATTTCCACCTCGACGTTGACTACACCGTATCTCATACCAAGGGGCTTACCAATACCCCTATCCTACTTCGTACCTATAGGTGGGTTATACCAGCCATCTTTATCATGGAACCTCATATCAATGAGACAAACTCCGTAGCCGCTGGCAAAGAGTTAACTTGAAAACATATGGCGGTACGCCGGCCTTTGATTAGTACAAAGCACTACATACAGGATAGCATAGCAGAGGTATGCATCTTGAAGGTCGTGATTATTGCCTAGGGTTTACTTCGTAGGTCATGCCACATTGTTGGGTTATAGGGTGACATAGACGTAGCCTTCCTCGACACATGGCATGTTACCGCTTTTCCAAGTACAAGAGTTGCTAGAAATAGAGTAAGCAAACGAACTGGAATTGGAATTGAAAATGTGAAATCGACAATAACGAGGTCCCGAGTCTGGAACAAACACTATGGTGAAAGTGGAATAACCAATTAGTCACCCACCTTCGGTTCCAACAAACTTCACTTCTGCCAGGATGATCTGCAATACTAAACAGAACGCATCCATCGGATCATAAATGCGCCACGGTGTTCTCGCCAACAGCTTCATCATGCGTGCCCCCACGGCTGGAGTAGGGTGCGGTCCACAGCGAGGAAATCGACCACCATCTCAAGGGTACCGCATGCCGTGACTCTGCCAATCATTGCCATCCCACTATTGAACTAATATCAACCACGCCTAAGTACCGTGGTGTGACCACCGTCAAGCATGCCCTGGAGATAGAAGCAACCCTCAAAGGGTATGGCCAGCCTAGGCACAACGTGGCGTTTAATTACCGACACTCTGACATCTTGCGGTCTACGCCATGGATACAAGCCAAACTCCAGTACACGAAGCTAATCGCTCTTGATTCGCACGGGGATATCAGCAGGTTTTCCTTGCGCACCCATATGGTAAATAACGAGGGTTACCATTATTGGCGATATCTGTTTTCATGGTGCTGCGTTGGCTGAGAAAGCCATGGGGGGCGGAAAAAATAGTTGTTCATGGGTGGCCAATCTCCAGCTGATGCCGTACCCCACGGGGTGTTAAGGTTGAGGATAATATCACCGTCTGCCTTGCAACATATTATTATTGCAGACCTTGGCCGTTCCCGCTGCTGGAAACACCCTGGCATACTTGACTACCTACCACCCTCAAGCGGCCCGAGGCTTGCGAAGGCCGCTCCACCCCGGGGATTTTTCTACACATTGCTTGGTGATTCGTTGAACCCTCCCAGATTGTGATCCTTTTAGGTCAATGCCTGCTAAATGCAATTCCAAAAGGAAACCTTAAACACATCATATACTGGGTTTTTGGGGGCAACCATAGCTCTCCCCGGCGTCATAAGGTGGCTTCTTCTTTTGCTTATGAAAGAACTTGCTCTCTGGCGGCTGATGCGAGGATCCAAGTCGTTGCGGGGAAGCTCCTGCAGATTTTTATATAGCGAGGTGTTTGCATAAGTTAGGTGTCACCAACGCGACGATGCATGCGACGTCGAGCTTTTCATACACTTCTTAATTGTTGCTATTTGATTCAGTAAACCTGTGGCGTGATGGAGCTCGGTTCAGTGGTCAAAGGGCTCCCAATCCCTTCCAAGGCTTCATTTCGTCTCCATGCCCTATGTGTGTTCTTTGGCCTGGCATCTTTCGTCTGGGGGTACGTCCTTCTCATATTTCCTATTTATTTGCCATCCAAGCCCAGATCTCTGGCACAAAAACTACACTTATCAGACAACTAACCCCATTGTGCTCTCTATAGCTACAATATCGGTGTTATGGGAACAATATACGTTCATCCTGGATTCAAGAAAGCTCTTAACAAGCCAGACGCCTCTAAAAAGGGCCTCATTACCGCTATATATTATCTTGGGACGTGGATTAGCTATATTTTTATCTCTCACCCCATTGCGGATATTTTGGGGCGAAGATGGGCTGCTTTTACAGGAGTCTTTGTCACTTGTATCGGGGCGGCCTTTCAAGCCGGGGCTAGACCTGGCTCAGGTGCCCTTGCCATGATGATTATCGGTCGTATTATCTGTGGGCTAGGACTTGCTGTTGTTTCTACATCTGTGCCATTATACCAGAGGTTTGTCCAGTGTAGTTCCTTGGAGTTAATGTGCTAACACTACATAGTGAGATTGCTCCTGCAAAACAACGAGGTCGATATGTCGTCATGAACCATGTTGGTCTGGTCGCCGGCCTTGCTGTCGCCTTCTGGTAAGGCTTAACGTACTACTTGGAGCTATAACTGACTATAATAAAAGGGTCGGATATGCGTTTAGTGGCTGGACGACCTCTAACGGCAACTTCTATGGATGGAGGTTATCTCTAATGGTCCAATATATTCCGGCAGTGATATTCTTTGTCGGCATACCTTTTTGTCCAGAAACGTATGTAACCCGGATGCACATGTTTACAAACGGCGCTAAAAACTGAAAAGTCCACGCTGGCTTGTGCAGAAGGGTCAAATACATCAGGCTCAAAAATCCCTCGCCTATCTCAGAGATGCCGATCTCTCTAGTGATATTGTCACTATGGAACTAGAGGAGATTCGTGCCAGCGTCGAGGCGCATAAAGCTGCTCCAGAATCGAAGTGGACATCACTTTTCACTCACCGGCCCTTATTCAATAGGCTCTGGCGAGCTGCGTTGCTCCAGTTTATGGCACAGATGTGTGGTAACACTTCCATGAAGTATTATTTGCCAACCATTTTTGCCTCCCTTGGAATCGAACATCGATTAACGTTATTGATCGGCGGTATTGAAAGCACACTAAAGATTGGGTGCACAATCATCGACATGGTGCTTATTGACAGGGCAGGAAGGCGTTCGACGCTTATCGTGGGCTGCGTAGTTATGGCTATCGCTTTACTGGTATGTCCCGAATTTGTGACTATGTTTCATGCTCATACTTTGGCAGATTAATGGCGCACTCCCACTCGCATATCCTAATAACGAGAACCGCGCTTCAGACTATGCTTGTATTGTGTTCATATTCTTCTATACCTTCGGTTACTCCATTGGCTTCGGACCTGCGGCTTGGGTCTATGGCGCTGAAGTTTGTCCTTTCCCTGGTGACAAATGGAACTTCCCTGTTGACGCTTATAGATTTTCCCAACCAACCTCCGAGCCCGGGGTCTGAATTTTGCGGCTTCGGGCGGCTCGATCGGTTCCATCATTGTTGCCCAGGTCTGGCCTGTAGGCATGGACACCATCGGCTCAAAGACATACTTCTTTTTCATGGCAATCAATATAATTTCTGGAATCGTAAGTCCCCTTTTCATTCTTTGCGTATTTCTCAACCCTGCATGCTAATTACGCTTCAGATCGTTTACTTTTTCTATCCGGAAACGAAACGGAAATCCCTTGAGGAAATGGACGCCGTCTTCGGCGACCACCGCATAGCCCACTTGCTTAATCCGCCTGAAGATACCACATATGATAGCCCCACCGAAAATATCACAGTAAGGCCAAAGAATAGCGGAGTGGGAACATGAGTGTTTGGACGTTGCACGCAATGGGAGTGGAGGACGACGCCACAGTTTGGTAATGCATACTTTTTAATGAAGGGGTGGCTTCAACTTATGGTCTGCTAAGTTCGTCAACTTTTAATACTCTACACAAACTCTGAAGCAAAGATTTGACAACATACTTGATACATGAATTATGATCCAGATATACTACTTTGTCGCGTTGCCGCGTGCTACAAAGCGCAAAATATCTATTTTCGTGTCACTTCTTTTATAGGTGGTAGGACGTTCGACAGCGAATACCAGATCTTATCCTGAGCATGACTTAACTTATCTGTGCATACTCATTTAACGTGGAGCAAGTGGTACTGCTATGTATCACCTTCAAATCATACAAATATAAGCCTCGATTAAACATTTGATAATCGACATCCTCATTATACCGCATATACCGCCGAAACTCCTATTACAATTACCTCACTAGAGGCTAATCCTTGGGAAATAGGGACACATTTTCCCCGTAATTCCGAAATATCCGGGGAACAGCTCTGAAGAAGTAAAACTACTTTAACCTGCTTAAGGTGTTGGTTGGCCTGCCTCTAATTCAAGCGACAAAGCATCCGTTTCATAATGTCCCTGCTTTCTTTTTCTTAACCCCCCCCCCCCGCTACTATAATAACAATGTGTCAACAGCAATCCTGCCGCTTACTTTACCCCGCCGTGGGGATTCAGCACCCTTACCCCAACCTTGGTTTCCTTTTCATTCTGAGATAAAGCGTAGTTTTCCATTCACTATCGAATTTCTTCTCCACACTTAATCAAATTTAGGCTTTCATTCTTTCACATGAATCCAGTTCTTTTTCCGCCGTCGATTTCCTTTAGTCCCTATTTAAATCCCAGCGGATCCGTAGCGATGGCTGCCTTGGCTGAGCAAGCGCAACCGTCCTCTCAAAAGCCGAATGAGAAGGGCAGAGAGTTCCAGCCTCCGTTCGTTCCAATCGATGGCCTCAATAACTTCCGCGACATTGGTGGCTGGCCTATCTCCTCACCCTCACGTCCAAATTCAAAAGTGCGATCAGGCATTTTATACCGAGGCCCAGACCTCGGACCCATCACGGACAGAGGTGCTCAGCAAATGAAAGATATTGGCGTGGAAGTTATTTTCGATATACGCAGTGTACCGCAAATTGTTAGGGCTGGAGGAGTGAAAGAGCTTGAGGGAATTCAGAGGGTGTGGTGTCCGGTTTTTCAAGAGAGCGACTATACGCCTGAGAAAGCGGGGGCGAGGTATACACAGTATTCTAGTGAGGGAACGGATGTACGTCAATCAAATCTCATAGTTTCCTTCCTTCCTACTAATATATATATTTTTAGCGGTTGAGACATGATAGGTGGGTGGATAGGGCGAAAAGCAATCGCTGATACGATACTTTGTGCGAATAGGGCATCGTCCAAGCCTTTGAAGACATCCTCGCCAATGGTGCAACTACAGCCTTCCGCCCAATTCTCCTTCACCTTGCTAGCCTTCCAAACGCTCCTCGCCCTCCAGCAGCCATGATTCACTGCACAACAGGCAACAACCGCTCTGGTGTCTTCGTCGGAACACTGCTCTCCCTTCTTGGTGTCCCAACCTCATCCATTACAGCTGAGTATGCACTCTCTGAAATAGGTCTAAGAGCTGGGAGAGATGAGGTTGTGGAAAGGTTAATGAAGAATCCGAAGTTTAGAGATTCAATTGGGGATGGGGAACAGGGGAGGAGAAGAGCGATGAGGATGGTTGGAGCGAGGGAGGAGAGTATGAGGGCCATGTTGGAGATGCTTCAGAGGAGGTGGGGTGGTGCAGAGGGGTATATGAGGGATTCCGTGGGGTTGCATGATGAGGAGATTGAAAGGGTTAAGAAAGTTTTGACTACTTGAGTTGATATGTTAATGCTAATAACCTGTTCTATGTTCGAATTCTTCAATGTCTCAATATTAACAGTATATTTTAGTCTTATAATGCAATGCCTCACAAGTGTTGGTACATTCTACGATATCTAGTACCTGCCAAAACTAATAAATTTCAAATTCATTGTTGAATAGTGATTAAAACTTTTGCTATATAATGATAGCTACTGTCTTCTTGACAGCTATCACATGCACATCACGTTTAGGTAACACGTTTAATACAATAGTGTAGAGGTTATACGAAAGTAGATAACAATGTAGAAAACAGTAAGAGTAGTTTCGCGGGCGTAGTAGTTCCTAAAGCACCTGTAGAGCTTTGGAGTGGACTTGTTTTAAAGGTTTATATATTCCGCAGGGTAGATTCAAAACAATGCTACGGGTTCTGTACAAGTTCGCTGGTATTATGTCGATTTTGTCCTATTCCGCTAAGTTTAAAAAGGATAGTAGAATAATACTAGATAGGGATTATTTAGTATTGTTTAAGGGTTTATATTTAAAAATATAGACATATGGAGTGTCTACAATAAGCTTTCAGCAATTCATTCTTAAAGATATCCTCGCACCGCGGTATGCAAATAACAATAACATCATATCACCATCCTATCTATGCTTAATTGAAGCCTTGCTACGAGTACGATTAGGCTAAGGAGCCCATAGGATCCCACAGCGGGAGTACCTTTGGCTTCGTCTTCAGCACATCACTTATGCTCTTGTCCACAAACCTAGGCTCAACCACAGCTTGGTAAACGAACTGATCCATCCACTTATCACTCATAACAAACCATCCCTCGCTGCCTGCAGCTTCGCCCCAACTATTCTGCACCCTCCATCTTACACTCTTACCTTGTTCATCCAAATGTACTGCTGTAAGCACCATCGCATGGGTCATTTGGCTCTCGCCAGTCATCAATCTCTGCGCTTTTGACATGCCGAGTTGAACATTGAATCCTAATTCGTAGTCGATAAGATCAGTGTCCATTATACCGAATTTCGAGTTGCTATATTTTCCAACATCGCACCCAAAGAAAATTGGGAGACCGGCTTGAAGCATCTTGATGCAAGCGCCCTTCAAGGTATCCATCGAAACATTAACGTATTGAATGCCGTGCCCTCCGACAATATTTCCAAGCCTATCGACTGAGAGGAGAGTCCCGTATTCGTTTCGCGGGTCATTGATTAGAGAAAACATATCGTGGACGGTGGAGTTAGTAATGCGTATAGATTTAGGTGACTCCAGTTCTTTCGCAAATGCCAAAGGCGTCGTCTTCATTTGATGTGCTGCGCCATTCTTATCCAAATAACTCCATGTAAATTCGTCATTTGGTGCAGGTGGCGGCCCAAGGGTAAGCGTCAGGATGAGATGAATCTCACGCAGCATCTTTTCCTTCGCAGCTATGATTCCCTTCTCTGAGACCCCAGATGTTGCCATTTCTCGGAGTTTAAGTCCGTCTTCTCGAAGCTTGGTTGTGATCAAGCTGTTGATAGCCCCCGTATTTTGTGCGTTAAAGCTATCTGTGTATAAAGCTTGCGGAAGGAGACCGTATTTGTTGACTAGATTATACACCATATCCCATTGTCCGCCATCGCTGACCGGGTCGCTCATCAGCGTCTGCACAAGTCGAGTATCAAGATCTTCACCGGCAGTATCGACAATCTGCTCCAGGTAAAAGTTCGCCTTTTCGAGCTTGTCGTAGAAGAAGAGGTAGGCTTGTGAGAGCTCGAATTTGTCAAGATCGTGACGCTTCATGAGCGCGACTCGAAACACGTTCGTGGATGCGAAAAGCCAACATCGCCCCGATGATCGCTGGTTGGTAATCGGTGCCCCTTCGAAGGGAATCTTGACCGAGAAGACTTGCTGGTCTTTGATCACAGTAGCTCGAGATAAGAGGACTTCCCTGGGGCTTGAGGAGGTAAGGGCACAGAGTGCCAGCCTGTGATCTATCAGTTCCACGGTAAGGAACGCCTGGTAGGGACACTGACCTGTTCTTAGAGTCCTGCAGAAGCTCGTGCTCCCAGTGAGCGATATCAGAAGTTGTCAAACTGGTCCATGGAGCCCTAGAGTGAGTACTCCCTGAATATCGCGCAACATCCTTCTCGGTGAGGTGGACGTAGTCGCTATCAGCTTGATCGCGATCCTGGGCATCGTCCTTGAGCTGCAAAGCCCGAAGTCGCTCGATTAGCAGCTTCTCATTGGCGATCGGTGTTTTCGATTGACTTGCTCCCATCTCGACGGTTTGAAGCTGTGAGGCAAACGTAGATGAGATAGAAAGCAACCCAGTTGCTCTATGATCTGGTATATCGGAGATGGGGATGAGTCAAGGGTGGGAGGGAAAGGCGAAGGTTGATAAGGACGAGGCTGGGTGCACCTGTCTTATCGATAACCTTCAGGGGGGCTGGTCCACAGGTACCTAAGGTACGTACCTTGGGCACCTCGGAGTACTCCTTTAGCGTATCCTTCGCTAAATTTATAGGGGCTTTAGGGGTTCAGACCCCGTAGATTTGAATTAACCTCTACAATAACACGAATATTCCAAGATCAAACTTTCAAGACGAATTAATGCATGAGGACATATATGATGCATGTCAAGTGTTTTATTAGATTGGTTGTGTTAATATTTGGAAGTGAGCGGTTGCTTAGTTGAACCAGCATCCCCAACTTGGTATCGTGTGAACTGTTGTACTGGTGTTTCGCAGGAGTACGACCCGAAACGGATGATTACAACTGGAAGACGGCTTGGGTAGGCAGTCCAGTCTAGTACGGTAAGTTGTTATCAAGTAGTCATATAATAATTATAAGACCAACTCGAGATGGTCTCGAGATCAGCGGTGGGAAAAGTAAGCCTAGTGGGAGTTTTGGTGCGCTGCGGTGGATGATGCGCCAGGCATGGGTGTCAGTGGTAAGCATCGTGGCGAAAACGTCCCGTAGCCAGCTCCAAATCCAACATCAAGCCTCGAGCCTCTAGAGCAGCTCATCACTGCCCAGTGTCACCAATCATCTCCAATCCCCTTGTATCTAAAGCTGAAGTAATCGCTCGCGCGAGCCTAGCAAAACTTAGAAGTCATAGCTATCTTTCTAGTTGCGGGCAGATGGCGGACACCACAACTGTGTTCACAAGGCCTACCATGGCAGGAGAGGCAACAGAAATGAAAGACGAAAGAGACGATTCAAGCGATCAGGTCCTCACCGCAACCCAGCAGCCTGCTAGTACTTGCTTATCGATATCGAGGAAGCCCCAAGGGAGGGAACGAAGGGGCCACCGCAAGTCTCGTCAAGGGTGCTTGAGCTGTAAAAAGCGCAAGATAAAGGTTAGATGCAAATTCGATGGTATTCACCACACGTAGGTGCAGGATGCGGCTGATACATTTTAGTGCCAAGAGACATTTCCAACATGTGGGAATTGCGCACGACTATCCATCCGTTGCCAATACATACAAACCAGCGCCATTCTACCACCACAGCGCTCGTCTAGTCCGCAACGCGCCCTCAGCACCAGTACAAATTTCAGCCTAACAGATTTCCAACTATTCCATCATTATCTGGTTGCGGCGTATCCCCATTTCCCCTTGGCAAGTGAAGACATATGGTTGAATTATATTACACCTATCAGTCATCAAGTAAGCTCCATCCCTTCTTGAAGAGCAACAGAGCGCCCACTAACAGGCCATTTTAGTCCGATTTTTTAATGCACGCAATATTAGGCTTATCTGCGTCACATCTCAGCAAGATCTCCGCTGTTTCGTTTACAGCCGTTGCCCAAAATCACAGGCTCAAAGCTAGCAAGGGTCTTAATGAAGCCTTGAGGGCGCCTTTACGGTCTGTAGGGGAGGCTGATGCAGTAATTGCAGCATGCCATGCCTTACTTTTACAGTCTTGGTATATGGATGATGGCCTAAACGCTTTCCTGGTATTAACAAGGTCTTGTAACCTGGTGTCACAGGAAGTACGAGACCAGAACATATAAGCTGTGCTTGCAAATGAGGATCCCAACTCTGGCATCGCGATCATGAATGGGCGTTTGAAAGGAACCCCACCATTTGATACCGCATTCATCTATGAAGCTGCATCGTCATTGAACGCAATATTGCCATTGTGTTCGAGACCGTACCAGCGAGACTTTCAAGGGTGCCTCCTGGAAAACGTTCTCTCCCTCTCTCGGACATCTGCCCAAGGTTTGAATCACCTTCAAGCATGGCACAGAGCGAAGCTTACAAACAAACAGCCTACCAAGCCCATGTAAACGTGTGTAAATTCATCGTGACGGTCTGCCATGAAGATTTCGTCGACCTGTGCGAGCCAATAAACACGGTTAGCCAACTTCTCATCGCTCACTTTATTGCTATGCACCTCGTCATGCGACCCATCTCGTGTCAAGAGCGTAAGAAATACACCGTTAGCATGTACAGAATTCGAATGAACACCTGGATCGACACCATATACCAAAACATCGATTCCGGTAGTAGGGAGTACCTTAACTGGCCTATTAATGTCAGCAAGCTTCATAAATTAGACAAATTGGATGCTTACACTTTGAGCCCCCGACTGAAAGAGTTATGAGATTCGCAAAGAGCATCTTGTTGACAATTTTCCATGGAGAGCCAGGTGCGCTCACATGCTTTGGAAAGATACAAACCACCCATATCACCTGCACCTGTCTGCTAGCAGATGCACGTATGGACATCAAGGTGATGATCCCGGATGAAGAAATGTGGGGAGTGGCAAGGTGGAGGACGAGGGATGTGAAGTTGGAGTTGGATTATGAGAGAAGCAAAAACTAGTACTTGACTAGGTGCAGGTGGACAAATACCCAGTGCTGGCAGCGGCATAACATTAACGATCTGCAAGTATATTCCACTTCAAAAAATATAAAAATTACCCGACTAACAAACTTCCTAATGGAAGATGTACACTTAACTAGGACTCCTGCACAAAAAGCGCCCCATTCATTATATCAATATCTCCTCCAAGCTCCGCAGCCTTGTTAAATCCCCTTCATTAAATCTCACTCTCCCTATTTTCTTCTGTAAGCTCTCTAGTTTCTTCTCTGCAAACCCCCCATCTCGCTGCTTTCTCGTACTGATACTTCTTAAACTTAGCGTCAAGCTCATCCTCCGACCACGTCCGCTGAAGCTCAGACCCACTATAATTTCCTTGTGTATCATGGGCGAAATACTTGAGATACTCTCGTCGGGGCATGAACACGCATTTTACGTGCGGCTTGCTGGTCCCGAGCGTGACGCCAAAATCCTGGAGTCGATGGCGGAGTTTGGAGAGCACTTTGGAGGAGCGGCGTTGCCTATTACATATGTCAGAGTTTGTTCTTTTGGGAAGGGAGGTGCCCAGGAGTGATTGAGTCTTTGTATATTTTCATCTCCAACATACCTTTGAGCCTTTTCCTTCTCCATGTCAATGTCGGACTCGGGCTCGCCTTCCTCGAGACGTACTATCACGGGGATAATAGTCTCATCTGTGAACCGAACCCGGGGGAGAAGGGGCGCTTGCATGCCCCAGGGACAACTCTTTTCCCATACTGAGGGGGCTTTATATGAAGGCTTGGGGCCGCCGGTAGCTGTGAATCTTTCGTGGAGTACTACGGACATTGTGATTGCTTTTTCTGTCTTTCTGTTTCAGTTTCTATTTCCCTCCGTCTCCTCCTTTTTGCTTTTGCTTTTGCTTTTGCTTATAATGAGTTGAGTGATTGAAAGTGCGTGAAGGCGCGAGAGTTTGAGAGTGTCTTTAAAAGGTATGAAGGTGTGTAAAAGGTTCAAAGATTCAGAGGGCGGCGATGGGAAGTGGCTTAGATGGAGTTGTGATGGTAAAATAGTGGAGTGGAGTGAAGGTTGACAAGAAGAATGAACGAGACTTTATAGGAATATATATACTTATACTCCTGTAAACAAGACATAAGACTCAAAACCCTCTCTTGTTGTGCAGGGCAAGTGCCACGACCTCTATGCCAAGCACGTATCGAATCCGAGTTATTCATTATTAATGGCCATTTGTAACGATTTTAGTTAGCGATATTGCGTAAATAGCACAATATCAAAAGCAGTTGATTAGTACGGGTAGGAATCAGTTCGTTAGTGGTAGTAGGTGGAAGGTTAGACGGATGATATTTTTGACGGGAGCTTGAAGCTAATACCAAGCCCGTATTGAATCCGAGGGACTCACGAATTGATTGGCTCGGCTAAATGATAGGTGGTCCCTCGGATTGAGTCCGACCGATTATTAAGCTCAGCCATGTAGTAGGTACGTACATGAACTGGGCAGGGGTGTTTTGCCTACGCTAAGACCGTATCGAATCCGAGGAATATTAATGTTGCAAGCTGTACTCGAGTACTCCGTACAGAGTATAACGTTCCTTGCGCTACTGCCTCGGCGCATGCTGACACCTTCGCTGTAGCTCATGTATAGCAGATCAATCTTCAAGCGGGGATATCCTAGGAGCATCGTCTCCACACTCCCTACCTACATTAAGAAGTAGGTACCCAGGCAGGTAGACAGGTAGACAATTTCCTCATTTCATCGTTCTCTTGCCGCAACATCCATCCATCAAAGAAGTTCCTGGTGCTTTTTGCTACTTCACATCACAGTCTTCATCCAACATGGCAACGGGCACAGTTACTCAAACCGAGCCAGCCAGCTCTGGTATAGAATTAAAAGCTGTCTCCCCCTTAGACAAAAGTAGCTCCGGGGATGTCGAGAAAGCCGGAATCACAGACCCCGAAGATGTCAGTAGTAATACTACTCCACCACCAGAGGCAGTGGAGGCTCTCCAGAAATGGAACTCCCCGCCAATACACAAATATCGTGTCTTTGCAACGTTCTGGGCATTCTTCGTTTTGGGAATGAATGATGGTTCATATGGTGTAAGTCTCCCCTTTGAAACTACCACTTTTTATGACTGGGAACTGACAAGCACCGGTAGGCCTTGATTCCTCACGTAGGAAAATTCTACATTCCTCCTAGCCAAAGCAAAGCTCACCTACGACTTCTAGCTCGAAACATACTACAACCTGGACTATACTGTCGTCTCCCTCGTATTTCTGTCCCCTTTTGCAGGCTACACCCTCGCCTCATTATCCAACAACTTTGTACATGTACACCTTGGTCAACGAGGAGTGGCATGCATGGCGCCTATATGCCGTTTCATTCCTTATCTCATATTCACCTTTCATCCTCCATATCCCGTTCTTGTACGTCCGCGTTCCTTTCCGTTCTCCCAATCTCCAGCCTTCACCTACAAGTACTTCTGAGCAAGACTTGAAAAGCATTAATAAAGAACGTTAGGTGGTAATGTACATCTTTGTCGGCTTCGGCAATGGCCTCATCGATGCAGCCTGGTGCGCCTGGATAGGCAACATGGCGAATGCACATGAGTTGTCAGGTATCTTGTAGGCGTTCTATGCGTTGGGTGCTACAGTTGCTCCACTCATTGCCACAGGCATGATCACGTCGGGCAACCTAGGCTGGTATTCTTTCTACTACGTTATGGTAACATTTACCCCCTAACAAATCTATCCGATTTTCATGACTGAGAAGGAGTGGTGCTAACCACAATGTTTAAAAGCTCGCTGGCTCAGCAGTTGAACTCCTCACCTCAGCCTCCACATTCTGGAGTCAAACAGGAGCCACATATCTGGCCGAGAACCCCCGCACGGCAGGAGAAAAGTCAGGCCGTACTCGCGAAGCTCTGAGAAACAAAGTCACCTGGATCTTTGCGATTTTTATCTTAGCATATTGCGGCGCAGAAGGTAACCTCCCCTGCCCTTTCCACTCGCCTTCTTCTACCACCTTGTTGAAAGATAAATTGCTGATATCTCTCAATAAATAGTTTCCCTAAGTGGCTGGATAGTAGTGTTCATGACCCGCGTCCGCGGCGCTAGCTCCTTCGCCGGAGGAGCATCAGCAACGGGTTTCTGGGGCGGGATGACCGTGGGCCGCCTCTTCCTCGCCTTCCTTACCTCGCGTATAGGAGAGAACAAATCTATGATGATATACCTCGGCTTAAGCGTTGTTCTCGAATTGATTTTCTGGCTTGTCCCGAATTTGGTAGTGAGCGCTGTTTCGGCAGCATTACTAGGCATGTTTATGGGTAAGTTAAATTTCCCCCTCCTCCTCTACTAGTCCTGACTATAACCCTTTTTCTCAGGGCCCATGTTTCCCACAGCCATAGTGGTCACAACCAAACTATTGCCACGCTCTCTCCACGTTGGCGCCATTGGATTCGGCACCGCATTCGGTGGCTCTGGCGGAGCCATTCTTCCTTTCATGGTGGGCGCCATCGCGCAAGCCAGATGCGTTAAAAGCCTCCAACCAGTTATCCTTGCCCTCTTAGTTGTGCTTGGGATACTGTGGGCTATCTTGCCTCGCACGCTGCAGAAGGACCACGGACATTCTGACAAGGGTATAGCTGCTGGAACTAGAAACTCGGATCCGGTGGAGAGTTGAGGCTGGCTTTGAGGTTATTGTTGATGCATATGTAAGAAGGAGATGGAAGCAAGTGTGCACTACACGCCTTTCTGATGCATCATTGGCTAGAGCACTGGCGTTCGGCTTAGGAAAAGCAAGAAGGGCATTCGTGGAGGCGCCATCAATTGACCAAGAGATTATTCCAAAACCACCTCGCCGTCCCAATCACTACATCCTTCATATCTCTCATAATAGCATGCACGTACCCTTTCTTTCTCATTATATTGTCAAATCTATCTTTCCCATGGTACCCCTTTCCGGATCATAGTTCAATTTCCATCGTTTCAGCAACGGGATCAGCCTTTTCATTACCATAGGAGCAGCAATTCTATAACTAAACCGCGATTCTCGAGGATTATTTCCAAAATTCTAATTAGCGCTTTAAAGTCTAGTAAGACAAGTAGTGTGTTAACCATGAAATAACAAAATTGCAAGGCATCCTGATCATCATGGGTCATACCGAAGGTTCAATCCGAATCGACTACGATATTCGATGCATGGGCGGCAGTTTGCATTGAAGGAATGGAGATGTGAAAAGTATGGTTATTTCAAATTATCTGTAGGTTAGATGGCAACTAAGTTCATGAGTCATGTCGATTGTCGATTGTCGATACGCTGCTGTCAAATCATCGATGGCCGTCAATACAACGAACAATTGTCAAGATAACATAAGCTTTTGAATCTGATAAACATGAGAATTCATCATATTACTGGGAGCCTTCGACCAAATAGAACTTCCATCCGCCTCGCGCCTCTACAAGGGCGCAGAAGCGATTGGACACTTCCGGCCCACTGGCAATCATGCCTATAACCCAATACTTCTAACTTTGAAGCCTACCTTTAAATAGTGATGCCAAGCGGGATATCTAGTTTTCTCGAGTGAATGTTATAAATCCTCTTATTGGCATGTGGTGCTCTCCCCGGCTCGGGCGAGTATAGTAGGCGATTTCTCTACAAATCTGTGATTCCGTCGTAAGGAAGTGGTGTTTGTTTCGGAGCTTAGATGGATGCCGTGGGTGATATATTATGGCACTTGATACCAAGAACGGGAAAGAGAGGAGCAGCATATTACCACGCGGAACGACAGGACGGCGGAGCAATGTATTATCAATTTATGATTTAAACCCCATATCATCCACTCTCTAGCCTGATGGTTCTCAACTGCCCCATATTGGAAGCTCGCTAGCGCTATGCCGAGAAGCCAAGCAAATAATGTCATCATAAGTAGCAAAGTTCGTTTCTCATTTCAATATCCCCAAGTCAATCACGAGCAAAAGTGTCCGTGTATGATCCATACTCCCATCGTACCCCATCCAATCCCACAGAACCTTAACTCCCGAATATCGCAAAACGCAAGACTATAAAGCTCAACGCCTATTCATAACCTCGTCACTCATTGCTGCACAACCCCACAAATAGAATCGTAGGGTGACTGCATCACGTGCTTCACAGAGCCATCGTGCGGGTCATATACATGGCATCCATGGAGGGCGGCGTTTGGTGGTGTGTATACTGCAGCTAAGTGTTAGTGGGTATTACAAAATATTGTGGGCATGATATAGGGCATGGGTAATGAAGGAGGGAAACAATAGACCTACAATGAAGAGAAACTGCATATTCTGTTGGGTGAGGGTTAGATATTTCGTGTAGACCGAGCTGTTGGGCAACTGTTAGCTACGCGGCTCTTTTGTCGTTTGAATTGTAGGATAAACATACAATATCTGCCATGTACGAGACCTGATTTAGGCCAAAGTTCTTGTTTGATGTTTGAACAAGCGGACCTTGTTGACCAGGACTAGAGGGTGTAGCGAAGCGTGTTTCTGTTATCGAGCCTTGGAGGATCTGGGGGGGGGGTCAGCCTGCCATTCGAGTACATCTATGGTTCTAGACTCTTCGTTGTAGCCGGAAAAGAAAGAATAGTTGCGAACCTTCATCAAACAATGGCTGTCGGCGTGATCATGCACGGGGCTCACTTTGCCAGGGGTCCACACCAGAAGCATTAAGTTGAACACACCCGGCAACTCGCACACAAGATTTCGCGTGTACAGCTTGTCTGGGTTGGCATGGGCGTATTTGGACCAGTGGGTTGGATCTGAGGTATAGCCGCGGAGGAGGTTGTGTAGTGTGGGCATCGAGGACTTGTTCGGGTTGGTTAGGGTGGCGGTGAGCGAGGTCAGGAGGTTGTTGAAAGGGGTTTGCTTTGGATAAAGCGATGTGTTTGCAAATCCAGGGAGATCATTTGGAGGATAGGAAGGGGTGTAGGATGGTGGATAGTCAGGATGCGAGGTTGTGGTGGGGGCATATGTTGGAGCGTTTCTGGTTGTTGCTCCCATTCCGACGTTTCGACCAGTGGTGGTGAGGATTCGGCGGCTGCTGTTGGTGAGGGGTTTAGATCGGAGAGATCGCATAGTTGCTGATTTGAGGGAGCTCATTTTGACGATGCTTGAATTGTAGATTAATCAGGGGAACGCGAATCTGTGGTGTTGAGTCGTTTTGGCAGATATAACATGTAGAGGATTGAAGAAGGCGCGAATGTTGAGAAGGAGAGCGAGCGGGAATGGGAGTGGAAATGGGAATGGAAATGGGCTCAGAATTAGGTAACTAGCTAGTGCGGTGTTGAACCTTGACACCTCATCCAGGTATATGATAACACACTCGGAACGCGGGAACAGGGCGCAGAGGCCTATCATGCAACTCTTATCTTCCCCCTTTCGCCCATATCATTCATTATAGCACAATCTGACCTGCCAATCCGGTATCCCAACAGCCGTTCCTTGTAAATTGAATGGTTGTCCGCGAGATCGATATGGCAATCCTGTTCCCCGATTTCATTTAAAAAGGCACAAAATGTGCGTTCCCGGCGGCCGGGGCTCGTCGAAAGAGTCGAGTTGGTAGGACTTGCCCCACTCTATGCAAGCCGGAGGGGTTTCGTAACCGGGCTCGACAAAGATAGCATCATATGTCCAACCATTTGGCGGACACAACGCACATCCATCCATCAGTCGCTGTCCGAGACTGGCCCATTGCCTGTCCGACCAGACTGATGCTGATCAAAGAATGGCCGTTCTCCTCCGTCCTTCGCCGTCTTTCACCGCCACCCGCAGACAATTGCACCAGCAACTGAATCCATCATCCATCATCCATCAAGGTGCTGTGCAAACAAGCGGGGCGTGCTCAGGGTCATCGGACCAACAATAATCGGTAGTCGTACTGTATCTGCGGTGTTTTGCGGTACCAAGGAGCGGCTAATCCTCGCGTTGCGTATCGATTGGACCGACGACGCACAAAGGGCGTGGTTGGGACCATAAAAAGCTGAGTGAGCCGTTGGAAGCCGCGATACCGGAACCTTCGACAACGCGGCACAAAGCAGAGCAAAGCTGCCCAGATTCAGGACAATCAATAACGACATAAACGTAGACTTTGACTTGAAGAGAGCAAATATTCAAGCAGTAGGCCTCATATTCTGCCATACTTCCACTGTACCTCTATGACGCAAGAGCCATCATTCCGGTGCTGACACGGACATGGACAAGCACAGAAAAGACCGCCGTGTCGCCGCTCCAACAGTAATCGTAATCAGAGGTTCTTTGTATTTTGCGCCAAGCTCCACCTCACCTCACTGGAGGCGCGCGATTGGCTGGAGATAAGTTTGCATGTGTCATGCTGGAACACAAAGATCGTCGCCGCCTCGACTTCGAGGTCCCAAAACGCAACGAAAAGACGAGGAAAAACGATGCAAGTTAGGAGGAAAACGAGGGCGATGAACGTGCGAAAAGATATATTGAAGAAGAGAAGACAGGACAGAGGAGGAAATGGGAAAAGGGGGAGAGTTGTACCTCTGTTGGCGTCGAGGCGCTGATTCGTCCGTGGCACTTTTAGCGCGGACAGGGGCGGTTGCGTGCTCAATTGCATCACGTGACTACGATTTCAAAAGATCATGTGATGACTTCAACTTCCCTTTCACACCAAAGTTCGAAAGTTAACAACCTCAATGCTCTGAGTAGCTCTTTAATTTTCATATACTTTCAAACGGATAACATTTCTGTTACTTGAATATGCGGTCAAGTTCTCAGCATCAATTCATGATATCAACATCCAGGCTGTGGCAGTTCCAGGCTGTTTGTCGGCATTTTGCTCCGAATCACGCTGTTGTGCTTTAAATCTATCTTCTTGGGTCTTCTTGAAGTATGGCAATGCCGTGTTTATTCACAGAAAGCACCTCTATCAGATTTGCCAGGGGTCATGACTACATCATCCATTGGCGATGGCCAGGATGAAGGTAATAACCAACTCTTCTGAGCGTTATGTATCTTCAATACCTCTTGCCGCTTCCTTCTACATTCGCATCCTTGCTTCCATCCATAGATACACTATCTCCTCATTCACGCGGAATTCCCCCTCCACAAGAGTGGAATCTATGAGGCCAGCTACACCGGCTTCAAGGTGTGTTACTATCGAATGCCGCGCCTCGTTGTCCCACCACTTACCTCCGAGAAGGAGCAGCTCCTGGCAGAAGCCGTCCTCGACAGCTTGCGCACCGAGACGCTTGACCGGCAGGTCTTGCGGATTGAGTCCCAGGAACTCGAAGTCGATGACGTCTGCGTAATCGAGTATGATGACGCCGCCGCGGGATGGCCACGCGTAGATAGCGATATGACCGTGAGGGAACTTGGTCCGAGTAGTTGAGTGGTGCGGCCATGTTATTTGCATGCGGACTTGCACGTACGCATGGCCAGCGATATCCTGAGGTAGGATCAACAGCCGATTTTGACCACGATGGAATATATCTCAGAAAATCGACCGGCAATGCCATGGTGTGTTTGTCAGAGATGTACGTTATGGTGGTTACTCTAACGACTCGGTCAACATAACATTGTCTTTTGCCAAAAGAGAGCAAAATATCTCACATGATTCCTGCAAGGAGAATTGATGTCCCAACGAGCCGAGCTTCATTGATCCAATCAACTCCTTTAACGTAGAGAAGGAGAGCATCGCGGAAGCAGGCAGCAGCTTTGGAGAGATGAGTTGAGCATTCCATGGCCTCTTCCTGTCAGGTTGACAGAGGTGCTGTCTCGAAAATCACTGTGATGTGCCACAGCAATTGAGAATATGAAGACATGAAATCCCAGTTGGAATTCCTGAGATGGATTGATCTGGGTATGGGCTGAGCTGAGGACCAAGCAGCACCACCTCAAATAGACACAGTAAGCGAAGGGGGTCACCTGATTGGCCCCCTTTAGGCAACTACTACGTATGGGTACTTGGAAACAATACATTATGTCGAAAACAAAAGGCGTTTATTTTATTTTTCCTTTTAAGGTAGGTGTGCTTCTGTAGAGAATTTGGCCAGAAGTATCCTCGTTCCGGGAACTGTCAAGAGGGTCAGATGCTAAGGTACCTAGTTAGAGCCGTCCTCAGAACGTGTATTTGATGGATCTCATGTGTCTATAGTCAGGGAGTAAATATGGACAAGAGAAACCATCAAGGCAGTGAAAGCATAGAGATGAGCTGCACCTAGGAGAATAATGTACTGTCTGAATTCTGATAATATTATGTGTTATCCACAAGTCCAAGGAGGATACATCAGCTTCACCGCCAAAACATCCATTCTAAACCCTCATACTCTCCGGCGGGCCTAAGTAACTCGTCCTCACACCCCCTAAATCAACTACAATTTTCTGGAATACCACACCCGGCTCGATGGCCCAAAGATTCAATACGTGCGATCCGGCGGTGACAGCATGTTTTGTGGTATACTGGGCGCCCGCATTCTTCGTTGACTCGGTCCAAGTATTCGGGAGCGTACCTAACTTCGTGACTGGTACGTACTGGGCTTTTGTCGGGGTTGCATCGTCGATTGATATGGAGTATGCGAGGGGCCGAGTAGAGTCGGTGTTAAGAGAAGGGGCGAGATGGACGGTGATAGATGCTGTTGTGGCTGTGAACACATGGATGTTGTAGGTTGACCTTGGTGATGAAGGGGGCGATTGCGTAGCCGCCATGGCAGGGAAGAGCGTTACGCCAGAGAGAGTTCGCCCATAACCTGGTATTATGCCGTATGAAACGGAGGAGGATGACGTGGCTGATGTGTAGTGTTCCGGCTCTATGCTGATTGTTTTGTCGCTTTCAACAAAGCCGGAGAAATCTGAGGGGATTTGTGTGTTAAGGAGAGGAAGCGATACAGTTGCAGTTGTGGAGCCAGCAACGACCTTAATTTGGGACGTAGATGTTCCATTAGGAGCTTTTTCCCAATCGATGGATATGAGGACTCGTTGATCTGCAGCACTTCCTGGGGTTTTGAGCGTGCCCGTTGACGGTGTGGCGATTACCCAGGGGTCAGTTGTTACTGTGAAAGACGAACTGCTATTGCTTGCGGAATATATATCAACCCAACGAGATTTGGGGCCGTACCGATCCATTTGAGGAAGGGCTTTTGTACTACTTCCACCATCAACAGCGACACCTGGTGGTTTCTGCGTATTCGAAGCAGGATATGTAAGTTTGGGCATGTTGTTCCTATCCGGTTGTTGCCTGCCAATGTTAGAATTGAATAAGTCACATTAGAGTCTTACATACCAATAAGTATACCCAATATGAGTCTGGTCCATCATGTGGTTCCATTTCCCGCCCAGTAATTGATGATACGTAGTAGCCAGTGCTGCATCAGCCGCAAATGCCTTGACGGCAATATCGCCCTGTGTGGCAGCAGTGACCCTCCCTTGCCCAGCATACAGTGCATTTTTTGCCGTTGCGACATATAATTGATGCAAAATATACCCTGCTTTAGAGGGATGGAGAACCATTTCAAAGAAAGAAGGTTGCGCGGCTGTGCTTAAGGAGTCATAGATAGCCTGGGCGTCCGCGACGAGATCTTCCCACTGTTTGAGAACCGTGTCGCCCTCGTCGTAGTTTACTATGCTGTAGATTGATGAATCTAGAAGCTCGTACTTTCGTCGATTGGCATACATTCCATACCGATCGACCACGGACGCTGTGGCAGCTGATACTTTGGCGCCGAATTCTCGTGTTGCCCATTGTGATATCCATGTCTGGGTGCTTTCTGGAGAGCCATAGAGTGACATGTCGTAGCCCATATCCAGGAAGTGGCTTATCGGTATTTCCTATGGACCTTGGGATTAGAGAAGCAAAGCATATAATAGGGGATAGATCTGAGAAAACCTGACTATGAGTGACGAGACCTACCAGCGGCTTCAAATCTCCAACGTTAACCACCCAGATCTCTCTTGCACCCCTTTCATAAGTTAGATGCATTTGTTCCCATGTCTTTTCCAGAGAAATAGTATTGATCCATTTATAATTCCGAGGATCTCCAACATAATCGAAATGATAATAAACTCCTGCCCCGGCTTGGCGGTTGACCTCACTGGGAATTGGCAACCTTTGCATATTTCCATTATTGTCATCGGACCAAAGCAGAGTAATATCGTCAGGAACCTTCAGGCCGCTTTCATAGTATCCACCGACTTCTTTATAAAGACACCACATCTGTGGAATCGATGATAGGTTACTGCTGATGGTGCTGGACAAGATCGCCTGCTGCGACTTGATGACATCGGCGAGTAAATCAGCGGTTAGGGTAGGGGATGCTGTATCTCCGGAACCTCGCATTCCCATTGTCCACAAGTTTTCATATGGCTTATTTCTTTTGGCGCCATCAGTGAGAAACTTGACAATGTTGTTTTTATTACCCTTCCAGTCCCAAGAACCACTCATGTATTTGGACTGCTCCTTCGTCGAGCGCATTAGAGGCTCGGTATGACTTGTCCCCATGACAATGCCGTAGGAATCAGCCAGTTGGGGATTTTTGGTGTCGTCGAGACTGAACATACTATCCCACATCGTTGGCCAGAGATAATTTGCTCTAAGTCGAAGAAGAAGTTCAAACACTTGGACATAAAATCCGGAGTTGTATCCTCCATACTTCTGGTTGACCCAATTTGTAAGAGCAGGTTGCTCATCGTTCAAAAAAATACCTCTATATTTGACGCTTGGTGGCCCTTGAGTCTTAACAGTATCGAGGGCATAGATTTGTGATTGTTGGACAGCAGCAACGTCAGCGAACCAATACCATGGAGACACTCCAATTTGTTCAGACACATCGTAAATCCCATAAATAGTGCCACGTTTATCGCTCCCGGCGATGACAAGTGCTGAAGCCAATCCCGTCATCGGATCTGCGACAATCTGGCTCTGAAACGATTCCCATTTTCCTTGAATCTTTGACACGTCGATCTTCCCTGAGGAGATCAACGTATCAATCAGTTTGCACTTCCCAATCGTACCCACTATAATCACTGGACCACTTGATGGGGAGGTATCAGCTGCTGTGAGGGCAATGGTTTTTACACTGATATTCTTCCCCGTAACACGACCGAAGTCTGCTTGCAAGTCTGCGCCGGCACGTTGAACGCCCGGGTAGTCATCAGTACCTAGGAAAAGAGTGGCAATGGAACTACCGCCTGCAAGTTGGATGGCCCCTTGAGTGAAGGATATGGTTGGGATTTGCCCCAGACCAAGAATACATGGTAGCAGAGACAAAATAACCAGCAATAATGATGTTGCCATCATGGCAGGAGATGCAGATGAGCGGACGAAAGATGCACGTGCAAAAACCATGAATCTCTATGGAACATCGAGGGTCCAGCTCATTTATAAAGTTTATAATATGGTGATTAATAACGAGATACAGTTTCCGTCAGACACCATTCATATTTACCGGTACGCGGCTCATCTCAATCAACTTTGATTAAGTGCAAGGGACGGTTGGGCCAAGATAAGATGCGGACCAATTCGGGGAACGCAGAGGACATTAGTCTAGTGATAGACATTCCCAAAGGCCGGATGAAACCAGGTGAAATAGCCTCGATATCTATGAAGGGGTTAAAGCTGGTAGCTCGCCCAGAATCAACATCGTGGTGCCGGTTGGTGGAAATTCTCCGTCTCGAGCGTCACAGATTGCCGTCATTGATCTAATCTAAAGGGGAATTTAATTAATCCGTGGAGGTGGCGCGCTGCGCACTTGGCAACAGGACTCCAGCAGCGTGAATTTAGGGGTTTTGTTGATGGAATTATTTTGAAAGCGATGGTGGAAACGGACGAAGTTGAGATTGATGTGGCACGTAATATATGGGCATGGACCCCCGCCATTGACCGTCAAATCCCGATAGCTAAGCAACGGGTCTTCGAATAGGCATCTGATGGTACAGCACAGCGTGCCTTATTATACCACTACCAAAAAGGATAGAGATTACATTGAACGTAATTTCAATCCCTAGGTCATATTACTTGATGGCAGCGGTTGGTCTTGACTCTTCCTATCGCTATGTTTGCGAAATAAGGGGGAAAAGAGGGGTGGAGCAAGTTGCGATCTTGAACCTTATATAGCTCAATAAGCCATTTTGTAATTACAACACAAAAGGCGGCCACTGGGCTTGGTGGATCTGGACAAATTGTGTTGAGCCGAGAAGGAGAAGAAAAGTGGAAAACAACGACGACATAACGACAAGAGATGTAGGCAATCGATCGGGCCGAACTCTTTTACTTTTTGCTCCTTAGATAATTATTATTAAACCTTAGATAAGTCTTTTTTTAATCGATTTTATCTACAGCGTATTAATTTTTATTGCTACTACCTTGTTATTTTCTTTTTTACGCGTTGGGGGTTAGGCGAGGCTTCTTCCGAAGGTGAACAGCACGGTGTCGTTGCTCGGTGGTGGCACTATTCGACCAAGGAGATTGCCGCATGTCGTGATAGTGAATGTGAATGTGGCCGTACCCGATCAGCAGTAGTCTTTACAGAGATGTAGAACGGATTGGCCAAAGGAAGTAATGGCCAAAGCCTTGAGCCAAGATAAAGTTGAGGGGACGGGGGTTTCCAGGATTTACTGGACATCTAAACACTTGAAATGTTGGAAAACGACGAGAAAGAGTGATCGCTTTTAAATATGCAATATATTCTGACTACCGTGGTATCCCAACGCCTTTTGTGACAGTGCTCTGCCGTGACACCATTCGAACGCCTGCAAATGCACCTCCTGTGATCTCTCCCCTCTTGCAACAACACTGAGTCCCAGCTACATATATTATGAAGGGATTCCAATCTCATAGCCTATGAGGACCTCGGTGCTGCTACCCTCCCAGCCGCGAGTACCGGCTGCGGAGAGCATATATTTACAAGTGGGATCGATGTACAAAGAGGATATAACGCCCGCCCTGGGGGGACCTGGCACGATAAGAAATGGGACCGTCGAATGTTTGAAAGCTTGAGGTTCCTTAAGGTCATAGAGACGCAGAATATCATGGGAAGCACTATATATTGTTAGTATACAAGGCCGACGAAACATGGAATGCGTGTACTTGCCAGATTAAGTGCCTCCCATTTGGCATGGCCCTGAGGGCACTCACCGCCCCGCTCCCCGGGGGAAATTTAAAGGTCCTCTGCGCAGTTTTCAGCCCTTTATGCAAGCTAAATTCTTCTACCGTCCCGTTTCTTCTACCAGCGTAAATATAGTTCCCATCAGGGGACCAACAAGCCGCCATACACCAAGGAGGGACGCCAGTCCGAGTAGGTATCTTCGCAACTGGATTTGGCTGTCTCCGGTCCCAGATACGGAGGGTGCCATCTGTCGAAGCGGCCAAGAAAGTTGAGTCCGATGTTGCCACAGCGTCTTGTGTTTCTGGCGCAGCCTGAGAGACCGACGACTCAGCCTTGATTTCATGCGAAACCGCACTTGCTTGGGCAGAGTTTTGAGCACCGTTTTGGAGTTCCACAGGTTGCTGTACCGCTGGAGCGGTTGCATCATTTTCTGTTTGGGCGTTCCCTATTGGGAGATCGCCATCCGCGTCCAACGGTTCCCGGTTATCGAGGTTCATTTCAATTGCTCGAGAGAAATCATCGTCATCGTCTCCAAAATTCACTCCCGACGTTGCACCAGCACCATCAGTCTCTCCAAATAATGAGTTAGCATCGCTGCCACCACCAAATAGGGAATCCGTTGGTGAACCGGGAGCATCTTCATTGTTACCATCTCCGGCGCTACCATTAGCACCATTCGAAAATCCATTTGCGTGTGGCTTTTCATCGTTATTACTCGAGAACGTCCCATTTGTTTGCACCGGCTCGCCAGACTCCTCAGGCACCGGAAGGCTTGACGCAGGCCGTATCTCAATCGCTGAAATTTGGCCACCGCTTCCCTCAAAGGACCTCTTGACTTGCCCAGTATTCAAATCCCAATCGAAAACATTCTTATCCCAGCTTCCCGATAAGACAGATTTCTCGTCTTGGGCGAGAGTCAGGACCGAAACTGCAGATTTGTGCTTTTGCATGTATGAAATCCTCTTCCCTTCATCGTGCCGAACGGAGTACAGATTTATACATCCAGATTCCAACCCAGAAAGCATCCAGAGAGCCTGTGACTGAACTGCTAAGGAGTACACCGGAGAAAGAGGTGGATCCTCTCCCGGGTTCTTAGCTACTGGCTCTTCATTATCCCAATAACTCATCAATACCCCCGCCTTTACCACACTGTCAACGAATGGGTGCCTTTGGGCCACGGTCAGTAGCGTTTTCCCATTAACGGTTGCCACACCATCGTATTTCCGTATGTAGCAATCAGATCCTCCAGTGAACCAATATCGCATATCTGGGGTCGCTGTGGTCGCATTTATCGATGTACTTTGGGGCGCTGCCATCGTGGGAACAATATCATATGTCGAAGCTGTAAGCGCTTCTGCTCGAGCTTCGTATCGCATCTTTGGAGTTTGGGCTGGAACGGAAGCCTGGCGTGGGGAGGCCGAGGTGCGCGTTACAGTCGGTCGTGGATGTGATGTAGGGCCTACACCATTCACTTGGCTCATTGTTGGAGTATCGTCGGAACTTGCATTCGTAGTCGGCAGGCTAGGTCGTCTAACTTGGGACAATGGTTGTTCCGCTGTATCGTCTTCCTCATCCTCGTCCCCGTTATCATCATCGTTATCGTTATCGTCTTCGTCTCCATCGCCATCGCCATCGCCATCGCCATCGGCTTCTACATCCACATCCACCTCATGCTCAATATCCTCCGCGTCCTCCATTAACTCATCTTGGTCATTGTCTGAACTCGACCCTCGGAGACAATTAGCATGGGAATTGGCAGTCGCAGAGGTTGCTTACCTCGGTCATCATCATCCAAAGAGAATTCCACCATGTTAGCTCCCTATCCAAGAGCATTCACATCTTATATAACTTGTCGTGATAGGCAAGCGAGTAACCTTGCTTGCAAAGAACTAGTCCTATAACCCGAAGACGAGAGATCGGTATTGGGGTTGCAAATACCTCGGATATACAATGTTATCGTTGGTCACTCCAATCGCAATGACCAAGAGACTATGGCGTGCTAGGCCTTTCGGAATATATATAATAATATATTCTAACGCAAGGGAGCAATTGTGAGGTTGGCCAGAATCCCCGCCACCAGCGCGTCAGGGTTTAAGCTTGTGTGGCTGACATAAGCATCCTTGCTCTCACTAGTTGTATCATCGTACTCTGTACATGGATCACGACCCGGGGTGTTCAAACCTCACAACTGTCATCATGAGATCTAGTCGCTCCCTAAAAACACACCCATATACGAATTTCGGAAGCCACTACCTCTGATAGCTTCGGGCCCAATGTTGCCCAAGCTATGGTACCCGAAACGCCACTGTTTTTTCTTGTCCGTAGACCGATCAAGCCGTTGAATCATTTTTCTCCTATTTTCCAGAAGACTAAGAGATGGACGTGGCCATTGCTGAAAGATACCTAAAGAGGCCAGGCCCGCCCTACAACCTCCGTTATATTTCTGGGCCCGGCCAAGAATTGCGACGAGGTGCGGACGGCCGAGGTAAAAGAAGACGGGCTATTCGTGGCACCTAGTGCCCAAGAGAGACCTTCGTGCTCCAAGTCAACTTCCATTTTGTTACCAACGTTTCGCACATTGCTACTAGGTATGTCATCATAGCTCCCTAGTCAATCTCTCTGGCGTGTAATTGGACCAAGACTAATGTCTCGGTTCTCTACTTCCCCATAACCCATGGCATCAAGTGAACAGAAAACTCGTGGTGTCTGACGCGCCTTTCAGGATATTCATTTCATGCAGCTTTCCGACGGCCGGTAGCGCCGGGATCCTTCCTACGGTTAGTGCCTACAGTTGTCCTAAGCTAAGACTCTCAAACTGTGGCAGTCCTTTCCTTGGTTCTAGGCTACCGTCCCTCATTGGAAATGTTGGCCATGTGATCTTGCACCGCCAATTGCTGTGCAGAGTCAAAGAATGGGTTTCCAGAATGAGACAATAGAGTTCATAGATGTCTAAATTGTATTAATATTCAGACTACTATCAAGATAATTCGCATGTTCCTGAAGGCCATGCACACTTGCAGTCCATGACTTGCTAAGGAGCAAACAGAGAAACAGGCCGTGGCATGCTTGCTCTCCTGGACACTCACCTCGCGGACATGAGCACAAACAATTCAGCAGTAATTCCCGACAAGATTTAGATACAAAATCCATGAGTTTTTATAAGTTGTGCCAGGAAGGAGTGTTCCTATGTGTTTACAATTTTTCTATTCTTGGCCAAGTGCACAGCTAGTTTTCAGGCCCGCTTTACTTCCTGAGCGTCAACTCCAATACTGTCTCTTCTACGAAGTATCCAACCGCCCTTTCCCCTTATGGGTTGCATACAAACCCCGAGATACGCTCATGATTAAGTTGGTAATATGAGCACTTGCGCCCGCCACGCTTCTGACCACAAGTCAAAGAACCTCACGTTTGACAGGCTAGCAGATGTGCATCTACCTTTCTCTAGCGCAAACACAGACAACGTCGCCGTCCCGGCGCTCATTTTGTTAGGTGGGTACCTAGGTACTTACCAACCCAGTCGCCGCTATTATTTTTAGATAGGCGTCTCACGCTTGGCCAACCTGACGAAAACAACAACAAACATGCCCACCTGCCAGAGGTTCCTTTTCCAACAATCACACTGAATGCCACCCTTCGCGGCGGATCTTTTTACTTTAGTTTGACTTTTACAGGTAAGGCGCGATGTCTTCAGTTCATTAATGACATCCTGCGTACTGATGTGAATAGAGATCACCATTCTGCTACAGTTTAAGATAGACACTTCCATACGCTCACCCAAGCGGCGATGGCCTCAAGCTCAAGTGACCAGATCATTCTGGATCATATTCAGAAGAGATGGAAGCTTACAGAGTTCCCCGAGGCCTGGCGAAATCTTCCTGAAATCCCCAACAAAAATGAGATATGCCCCCGCGTTGACGCCCTAGTCGAGGCAAGAGTTGAACCGGAGCAGTGGGATGATTACCAGAGAGACCCAATCTATAACCCAACGTTGCCCGAAAATACCATCCAGGGTCCTTGGCCATCCAAGGCGGATTATATCGGCGCGCATTACCAAATCCTTCGCGAGGATGCCATTGCACCGCTTCGCAAAGCTGTCGCAGAATATAAGCGTCGGCCGAATATGATGGAAGCCGGAGATACACACATCTACACCCACGTAAGTCTCGAACTACATCATTTCAATAATGAGGGATTCTCTCAGGCTTTTATCCGAATCGTCGTAAAAGCTGATTATTTCCTAGGTCACTTTCAGGGGACTCCAGTTGAGCCCTATCGGAGCGGCGTTTCGGGTGGAGTTCTCCCATGAGCGGGCTGGGAAACAAATTAGATGGGAACAGTCAAAGCGTCTCATACAGGGAAGCATTGTCGCATTAACACCTCAGTCTGATAACTTCCATAATGTCTGCAAAATCGCCGTCATCGCTGCGCGCCCAATTATTGGTGGCCTAGACCAAAACCCACCCCAAGTAGATATATTCTGGGGGGATGATAAAGACGCAGTCTTTGATCCTAGCGAGGGTAATACTCTCCTCAGTGGATGATTCCTAGCTAACATGTCCTCAGAATATGTAATGGTCGAAGCTCGATCTAGTTACTTCGAGGCTTACCGCCATATGCTAGAAGCCATGCAAAAGCTCATGACTGAAAAGTACGCGATATTCCTTTCCTCAGCAATGGAATATTCCTAATCTTGATTTTGATAGCTTCTCGCTTGCGAACCATATCGTCGATCTTGATCCAGACCTGCATGCGCCGATATACGTGGAAGACCAACCTATTCTGGACCTGTCGCCCCTGGTTCCTCCTGAGCAGGCGGCCAAACCCACAGAAGACGGATCCACCCTCGAAGAGAGCCTGCAGAATGTTGACATACTCCAAAATTTTCCAGCAATCCCGGAATCAGGCATGGATTCATCCCAGACGAATGCTCTTAGGAGCATGTTGAGCCGAAAGGTTGCAATCATTCAAGGCCCCCCAGGAACTGGCAAGACGTTCGTCTCAGTTGCAGCTTTGAAGGTGATGCTTGCGAACATGGAACCCGGCGACCCTCCCATTGTTGTCTCGGCACAAACAAACCATGCTTTGGACCAGCTATTGAATCATATACTAGCATTCGAGCCTAACGTTTTGCGACTAGGCGGAAGATCCAGCAAGGAAAATGAGGAGATATTAAAGCGCACCTTGTACGAGTTGCGGCAAAACACGAGGGGCGTTCCGGGCGCGCACCATCACATTAGGTTAGCAAGGTCGGCGCTTGACCTACGTACTGAGGAGATATGTCGGATTCTTTCGCCTCTTGCCAATCAGGATATTCTGGACACGGCCACATTGCTACACCACGGTATCATCACGCAATCCCAATATGACTCCCTTGGTGGAGATGACTGGGATGGTGAAGATTCTGGAAATGTTGGATTTAAGTCTTGTAGGTGTGCTGACCCAATATTACGGAACCGTAACGGCTGACTTGAATGGTGACAGGGCTTCGTCCAGACCAATTTGATGCCATTCCAAGAACTCCCCCGGTCAATACTGACCTTCCGATGGAGGAAGGAGATATTGAGAAAGAGCAGCTTCGGGAGCTTGAGATGGAGGCTCAGACTAATATCCACGAAGAAAAGGAAAGCAACCGAGAGGCACTAACTGGCAAATGGCTCGGTTTTATACGCACGGTGAACGGAAGGGGCTCTGGTATCGATGACCGAGATATTAAAAAGCTTCTCTCGGCCTCCAACTCGTTGCATAGCATTCCCGCTCCCAAGCGTGGCGATGTATACCGATACCTCGTGAAAAAGCTCGACAACAAGATGCGGAGGGAACTCAGAGCACGTCTTGTAAAATACAGGGAAGCTGTAGATTCCTATCACTTTGCCAAGGTAAGGAAGTATTCTGGCATTTGGTTTATGCTATATAACTGACGTTTAAAAGTGGGTTGCAAATATCAAGTTGATCAAGCACGTAGGCATAAAACTAATCGGCTGCACAACTACTGGCCTCTCCAAATATCGCGGTCTCCTTGCATCTGTCCAACCTAGAGTAATCCTGATCGAAGAAGCTGCCGAAACTCTGGAGGGAACCATCATCGCAGGGATGCTCGACAGCCTACAGCATCTGATCTTAGTTGGTGATCACCTTCAGCTTCAGGCTAGTTGTAACGTCAAAGCTCTAGAAGATCATCCATATCATATGAACGTGTCTATGTTTGAGCGCCTGGTCCAGAACTCCATCAGCTACGTTATGCTAAACAGACAACGACGCATGGTTCCCGAAATTCGAGGGCTTCTGTGCGTTGCGCCGTCGCCCTTCTACAACAACCTAACCGACCACCCATCAGTTCTAGATCGCACCACAAACCGCCCTCCAATCCCAGGCATGGGTGATCGAACTACCTATTTCTTCCACCACAACTGGCCAGAAGCACGAAATTCAGACTCTAGCAGGTATAACCTCGATGAAGCACGGATGGTTGTCGGCCTCTTCAACCACCTTGTACTCAATGGGGTCGATCCTTCGAAGATCACTGTCTTGACGGTAGGACACGCGGTATCCCACTGGTTGCGAGAGATTTACTGACCTTAATATTAGTTTTATAATGGCCAACGAAAAACTATACTACGGGAGTTGAAAAACCACAACGCCCTTCGAGGTACCACCTACTTCAATTGCTTCACTGTAGATAGCTATCAGGGTGAAGAAAACGATATCATCCTGTTGTCTCTCGTTCGCAGTAACCGACACCTTGGAATCGGCTTCCTAGAAAGCAAGAACCGCCTTGTTGTTGCACTATCCAGAGCTCGTCGTGGTCTCTACCTCTTTGGTAATGCCTTGACATTGGCGGCTGCTGAGGGCTCCGAGGATACTTTCGGCCGAGATCCACTCTGGGAACCCATTATTCAACACATGCGCTGTCAAAATCGGTTCAACTTGGACTCCGGGCTTCCGGTTACATGCTCGACTCATAACAGAACCTTGGTTGTGGACGTACCCGATGACTGGATTCATCTCGCTGGCGGCTGCAACGAGAGGTGTGGTGATAACTTGACATGTGGACATCCTTGCCCGTACGCTTGCCACCCGTTTGAACATTCTCAGGTGGCCTGTCAGCATACTTGCCTACAAATTTTAGCATGTGGTCATGGTTGTAGTGGTACTTGTAGTGCGCCTTGCTCTTGCTCGAAGTGCGAAATGGATGCCGATGACCTCCCCCCAGAGTTGGAAGAGCTTTCTGTCTCTCAGGAAAATAGCCCAACAAGACGTTCTGTGCGACAAAATGGTTTGACTTTGCCATCCGCGAATCTCTCTACGCTTTCTTTTGCTGCAACTGTTAGAATGGCGCCACCTACCAGTTTAGATGTCAGAAATAGCCCGGATTTCATATCAAAACGATCACCCCAGAACAAATTCCGCTTCAACGATCCGCAGGGTGGACTGCACAACCCAAGGGCAGGACAGCGCAGCACTATTGCAACCCTACCTAGGCAGAATCTGGGTCCAGCTGCATGGAAAAACTGGGATGCACAAAAGTCCGATGCTGAATATCTCGCAAGACGTCGAGCGGAAGAGGACCAGGGCCAGAAGACTGATTCGTCAAAGGTAGCATTCAGTGAATCCTACCAGAAGGTCACTGTGAGCCAAAATGGAAATCGGGTAAAGGCTCCTAGAGGGCCTATTCGTAGAGTCGTTGAGGGCGTCGAAGTGGCTACTAATGTTGCTATCGGCAATGCTATCGATTCCAGCACCAGGATTGCTACCCGCAATGTTATAGGTACCAGCAAGGGAACCGATGCAAGAAATACTACCGAACCTGCCACCGGCCTCAGCAAACTCAACCTCAATGGGGAAGAGGAAAAGGACCTGCTCAGTTTCAATGAACCCGCCGAATTGCAAATTCCTACCATCGCCAGCCCTCAGTCATCGACTTTGCTGGCCAACGACTTCGACACGTTCGAGTCCAAGTTTCACAAGAGCTAATTCAACTCCATCATAGGACTATATCTCGTACATACGGATTATGTTCCTAATTCATTTCATGGTACTTGGATTGACTGTACTCTAACAGCGTTTGCCTAGCCGGTGTCCGCGAGATGAGGTTGCTTCTGGCTGGGATGACTGCTTCCACGGCGTATTTCTCATGATAGCTATTCATTGATGGAGTCCAGTTTTGTACTTTTAGAAACCGAGCTAGTAGTGAAATTATTAGATTATATCTATGATGGGCGTTTTTCGAAAGCTTGGGAACTGTTTTTAACGCAGGTCCCTTTGCGCTTGCGAGTACCATTCTTTATCCCAGGGATGGTACTCTCGATATCCTTTTAAGCCTTTCAAACCTTTCAACCCGAAATATTTCTGTAGGCAGCAGTTTTTCAAGGCTAGTTCAATTCACACCGCCACAAATTGCGAGTGTTGCTACACTGTGGACTAGTGAGGACAAAGGAACTTGCAAGACACGGCAAACAGCCCAGCATTTCCCTTTCAGTTTTATATCTAAGGTCACGCACCTCGTAGATCAACATCCCATTCCGTTTTATTAGGAATAAAAAGCTGGTTGAATTCCGAGCTCCATCACACTAGTGGGAATATATCCTTACACTGGAAGGTAATGAAATGATATGAATCCAGGATACCCAATGCTGTTTAAAGTCATAGTGCAATATAGACACCTATAAATTTTGTGAGCAAACTCGGTAAATGCAAATAAGCGTACAGCAAACTAAACACATCAGAAGCATAAAGTATCCAACCCCTTCAACGATATAGCCAGCTGGTGTTTATTAAGCAAACCAATCTGCATGATAACTCCACGAATTACCTATATATCACACACCGTTATCAACACGGGCACACTAGCTAAAGTGGACTTTGTGCTTAAAACATGGGAATATAAGCTTAAAGCTGATATGAGGGGCCAGGGGGAGGAAGGACTGTGTCAGGGCGTCTAAGCCATCTATAAACAAGAGATGTAGAACGTGCTATATAAGCTTTCAAAACTATGTTGCTGAAGCTGCGATTTGGCCAACGTCTTTTCACTCTTGAACATGTCGACTATGGATGCCAAGCTAGTCGCTCAACTACACCGCCACCAAGAGTACTATGCTTATATTAGGTGCCCAGCGGTTTGATGCCTTGATCAAGAAGCATGACCGGTACGCTAATTCAGTGGGCCGCTCGCGGCACTGCTTAACATTTCTTGAGAGGAGAAGCCGACGGGAGTCTGGCGCACGATCCCACCTTTGACCTCACAGGGGCGCAGAGCCGCTCGAGTAAACTGCGAAATGAGCATTGCTTGGTAGTGATGATTATATTCGTGTTTGGCAGACTCGGAGGGCGGTCCTAGGTGCTGTTTATCTGTTAACTCCTTGCTGTAATATAACGGGGTGACACTTGCTTTTCGCAGTGGAATGCATTATTCATCATTGAGTGCGACAAAATACCAAAATAGCTAGTACTTTGAGTCGCAACAATTTAATTGCCTTGGAACTTGCCGGGTGGCACCTCCTGTTACAGTACATAGTCCCCGTGCCCCCCCACAACACTACTCTGGGCTATTATGCTGAGCACCCTGAATGGACTTCCGCACCATGCTCCAGAGTCGACAGTCGCGAGTCTAGACTCTACGTCTGTTTCGCGCTCTGTACCGTGCATGGTGCAGCTCGAATGCCTGCATGGGTTGCTCCGCGTCCTCCGAAAGGCTACTGAGACTACTGAGTAGCACAGTATTTCGCGCCCTTTGTCTGGCCTCTCACAGCAATACCAAATACCCCGCTGGAATCAAATTCAAACCTCCAACCTCCTCCAATCCTCAAGGCTACACAGCTTGGTCATCTATGATGCAATTCTGTCGGCCCCGGTAGTCTTCAATGACCCCTCGCCGCAAGCAAAATCGAGGGAAGAACATGCATGCGACACGATCGTAGCTGCATCCGGCAAATATCAATATCGGCGCATCGAGATTTGAGAGCTTGATTTGCTGAGCGACGTAACACGATCGGGCACCACAGGGAGTCGTTTGAGCCTACCATATCGGAATCCTTCCTGTTCGTGGCCCGTCGCTTTCACGATCAGTTAACTCGGGGGCGATGCGACTTTTGTATTGCATCTTGCTCCATCACCAAGCGCAGTAGTATCTCCCCAACCTCAAGAATGGTCCTGGGACTCGAAATTTGCAATCATGGACGCTCTTCAAGCCAATGATTCTGCCATATCCGTTGCAGCCACCAACCGGGGCGTATCTGCCAACTCTGCAGAGGTGGCTCCCTCGAACACGAACACGAAACCGGACGAAGCCCAATCGTCACCGGCCATGAACTCCTACTTCCAGCTGTCGCCTGAAGATCAAGCTATACAAGACCTGGAGCATAGCTCTGCCGCTCAACAGGCACAGGATGGAATCGACGTCGACTCGGGCACCGACGGGCAATCAGTTTCCGATGCAGGCTACGAAACCGACTCGATAGGCACCGGAACGACTTCCCTCGCATCGTCAATCAGAAACTATGCATTTGAGAATGGCAGGAGATATCATAGGTTTCGAGAGGGCGCATATAACTTCCCGAACGACGACAGCGAGCAGGAGAGAGAGGATATGAAGCATGCGATGGTGGTCAACTTGTGTCAGGAGTTGCACTATGCGCCAATTGGGTCGAATCCTCAGAATATATTGGACTTGGGGACGGGGACGGGGATCTGGGCGATCGAGAGTAAGTCTACGCTCCGCCCACCATAGCCGTGGCAGATTCTAATAGCTCTTTGTCTAGTGGGGGAAATATATCCAAGTGCTGCCGTCATGGGGGTGGACTTGAGCCCCATCCAACCGAGATGGCTTCCACCGAATGTGAGGTTCATGGTAGACGATGTCGAAAGTGAATGGTTGAAGCCGGCCAACTATTATGATTATGTGCATGGCCGGAATACAGTTATGGCTATCAAAAACTGGCCGAAACTTATGGCGACGGTGCTTGAGTATGGTTTTGCTATTTGCTCCAGACCCGTTTACTGAATCTATGGAATGGGCACTAATTATTGGTTTGTATAGTCACCTGAAGCCAGGAGGCTGGTTTGAGCTCCAAGAAATCTACCACTTCCCTCAGTGTCATGACAACAGCATGCCGGTCGATAACATGGTCGCACAATACTGGGAGTTTGTCGCCCAAGGTCTCGCCAATTTGGGCGTCAACTTCAAGGCGACCCTCTTATTAACAGATATGATGCACGAGGCGGGTTTCACAAACGTTTCGACACGAGTCTTCCACGTACCTATTGGAGTATGGCCCAAAAACAAAGTGCTCAAGCAAGTCGGGCTGTACTGGAGAACAATATTGATGGATGGCCTAGAGCCTATTGCTTTAGGTCCTTTCACAAGAGGCCTAGGATGGTCCAAGGCACAAGTCGATGTTTATCTCGTCGAAGTTCGGAAAGCATATATGGATAATTCGGTGCATAGTCATATGCCACTGTATATTATATGCGGGCAAAAGCCCATGTGAAAGGACGGGAAATTTGAGCTCTCCAAGATATACATGCTAGATATGAAGTTGGCGTCTTTTGGTAATATGGACGGATCTGCATGGGATGGTGTGTTTAGTCTCGGGCTTGACAGTGAGTATTCCAGAGCACTGTGCGCATGATTCACATGAGCAACAGCCAGGAGTTTGGGAGTGGAAAAACGAGATCACGATTTTTAATGACCCCTTGACGGCTGTCTGTTGTTCAACGACGCACTATATGGAGGAAGCGGCCAGCTCGCGCAGCATTACAAATATAGGCCGGAAAAGTCAAATTACCTAGGTTAATACTACCTCTACATCACTGATACATCTCAGTATGTGAAAGAAACAAATTACCTTTCAGATTCCTTTGTTTACTTTTACGATACTATCTCCCAATCCTACCACCCTATCCGATTCCTGTTGTGCCATTTCAAAGTTGTTGCGCTTTCTCGCTTTCTCATGGGACTACTGTGCTTCACAAAACCGCAGCCCTATATTATATCTTACAGTTGGACAAGATTGGATTGAGTTCACCGCACACCGCCATCGTACTAGACATAGCCAGTACTCCAAGTCCTCTGTGTCGCCGTTACACGTTACAGAAGGGTCGAGACTTATATGTCGTCCACCGGATGTACCAGGTTGTGCGGGATAGAGTTCCTACCTATGTAATCACCTTGGTGGGTCATATTGATATAATTGGGCAGATGCAGACGATGTTACCTCACACAGCTTACTAGCTAAGTAGCCCCTATAAGCATATGTTTCGTTCTCAAATATAGATTACTTATCGATAGCTAATCCTTGATACTATTATTGCCGCCCAAGGTTTATAGCGATGTTTTCCAACGGCAGCTTATCTTCAAACTTACTTTACATCTATTTAAGTGTATGAGAGTAGCTAAGATATAGCTAATATTACGTAGGCAGGTCACCCCATATACAGCCGTAGGCCACTATTGCGAGGATCTCTCAAGTCACAACCCAATTCATTCTAATTATTTCCTGCCTGCATCAAAGTTTTGCCCCCCAGGCCTCCAGTCGTGGTCTTTTTAAGGACGGAACAACCACCTCTACCGGCCTCGTGAACAGTGAAGGGGCGGTGCTTTACCATCGCGAGAAGAGAGTAATTAACTCTCTATAAAGCTAGAGATTTGTTGTGATCGATGCGGCTATAAAATTATCTAGCTATAAACCATAAAGTTGTAAAACACAAAGTCGAAAGTCATCCTAGCTACTATTTAATCTACAATATTGCAATTACTTCCTTCCTAATTAGAAGTGCTCAATCTTAACCTCGCTGAAAAGAGAATCCTCACCAAGTTAACCGAATGGCGGGGTGTACGACAAAGAGTTTACTGTTGGTTGCTGATGCTGTCTAAGGTACACCGAGGTTATACGCAATGACTTGGCAATCCTCAAAATACATACGGTAGACAGATAATGATGCGGGTGGCTCCTCCGCGGATTAGACAGACATCAAGGTGTGGAATATGGTGGAAGTCAAAGCAAGAAACCTGCCCGGTTCATCAGCAGAATCGCAGATACCTCGTTACTTTGGAATTGGATCAACGTTAACATTGGCTGTGTGTAGTACGAGGTACGGTACATGGCCGCCACGTAATTTTCGCCAGTCCCGCATGGGAGCCGACGCCACGAATCTGGGATGTAAGCCGCCTCCCGCAAGCATCTCCAGAACACCCGCTGAAGAAATTGGCCAACCGAGCAGTTGGGAATCTGGGATATATCGGCAATATCACGAGTTGGAACTCTGCCGGTTTCCCCACGGCCGGTTGAAGCTTTTCGGGATTGGACCAGGAGACCCAATTTCTGCAGCACAGTCCCTTTTCGATAGTTCCTTTCGGAGACGTGGTTTCCGGACCCGAACCCGTGGACGGTTGCAATCGCGTTGCACGACATGGATGAGGATATCGTGAGTTGGTACTTCGTACATCGCACGGAGTACGGGGTACTCGCTGTAGTGTACTTTGTTCTGTGCTCCATATCGGTTCGATACTGATACTCCGCAATCATTAGAGGGAATCGCAGCCACGAGGCCGCTACCACCGTCCTGAGCTTGCCTCGCCAGGATAGCATTGGTAGGCTCAGCAGGTGTCCATGGCCAGAAAGGTCGGCGGATTTCCCCACGGCGGGTTTGGCACGTTGATGCCACATTGATGCCACACCACACATTATTGCCACCGGCTCTGCCTCCTGTCGGGTTAAAGAACCGAATTTCGGGGCACGGTGCAGGGGAGTTGTTTAATGGGTCTAATGAAATGATGGCTTCCCAACGCCTGCACCTGGGGTAGGATCCTAGAGGTCTCTGCGCGGTTGCCATCACGCCAGTAGCGTGATTGCCATCGGCCACGGTCCCCCATTCGTTTTCCTCCTCCTTCATCCTGGCGGCGGTGAATATTTCAGCTCGTCAAGTCTTGTAATCTGTCTGATTATTTACGATCTGTCATTCACATACTACATCTCGAGGAGGAAAAGCGGGGGATAACTGCTGTGGCTGGAAACATTGACAGGGCTCTGATATCCGCTAGGAACCGCGCAACTCAGAAACAGACATCTGGACTCTCGAGACACAAAAAGTGGGGTCCCCAAGGTCTACTTCGTAGTGAATGGAACTGGGGCTTGACCGCTGCAAAGGAACCTCGAACCTCGAGGTGAGAAAGGCACAACACAGGCCTCGGGAGTCGGGTTGAGGAATATAAACTCTCGGAACTGCAAGGATCAAGCAACCAGCCAGCAAACGACCCTTGGAGCTGTTATTCACTGTTTCCTTGCTTGTCTTGGAAACGCATCACTCGGTTCAGAGACCCAAGTACAACCTCTGAAGATACAGTCCACCAACCAAACCGCCATCCGCACTCGCGACCAAGATGGCAACAATGGGCAAGTTATGGGACAGATTTAGCGGGGGTTTGGCACGTAATGGGAGCAAACGCAAGAGAGAAAGCCGCGGTGTTTCTGAGATGTCTTCACCATTCGCCAAAGAGCCCGAGCTGGATACTGGAGACGAAACTGGATCTTCAAATGTTGCCACTGCGAATGGTGTCAACTCCGCTGAGGAAGCCAAGCCCTCGACGCCGGGTATGGTAGAATTGGCCGCCATTATTACCAGAGAGACGGAGAAGCTAGACGAGTATATCAAGAAAAGCGGAAATCCTGTCCCATCATTCGACGTTGATGCTCCTCTGGATTTCCCAAGTTTACCTGAGGACATCAAGAAGGCCAGGGAGGAGATTGTCAGGGCGACGAAGGAACTGGGTGATTTGGCGACCGGCCCGAGAGAGGGTGTGAGATGGATGGCCTGGGATGTGAGTTTTCTTCAGCTTCCTCTAATAAAACTCACTGACGACTAGTGAAGCATAACAATTCTCTCTCTCTCCACGCCATATATCATTATCAGATTGGTACAGTATCCCCTTTTGGTATATTACTCCATCCTAACATTTCCCAGCAAAATCATTTCCCGTCCATGAAACGGCAACCTACACCCAAATCGCTGAAAAGGCCGGCTTGGATGAGGTCAATGTCCGCCGTTTCATTCGCCATGCAATGACAAACAGAATATTCAGGGAGGTAAATCCCGACGTGGTAGCTCATACCGCAGCCAGCCGAGTGCTCGCGGAGGATGCCGTGATGAATGACTGGGTTGGGTTTTGCACTGGTGACATTTGGCCTGTAAGTCTTTCTCATCCCTCTTATAGCTCGGATAGCCATCCACACCATGCGCCAACTTCCGAAACCTCTCTCTTTCTACTGGTTGTTTTCCTCCTCTAAAATCATTTTAGGCAGCATCAAAAGTAGTCACTGCGTTAGATGAGTACCCATCAGCCTCGGAGCCCACACAAACCGGCTTTTGTGTCTCAAACAACACCACAAATAAAGAACCCATGTTTGTGACCTTCGGCAAAGATCCCTCACGCGCAAAGCGTATGGGAGGCGCCATGACCTCCCTTACCGGCGGTGAAGGCTACGAAGTATCTTATCTCCTTGACAGCTACGACTGGACCTCACTCAATACCTCTCAAGGTACCATCGTCGACGTTGGCGGCTCTCATGGGTTTGTCTGCATCGATCTCGCCAAGCGATTTTCCGACCTTCGGTTTGTCGTACAAGATCTCCCCAAAACCGTGGCCTCGGCGCCGACATTAGAAGGCGATCTTGCATCCCGCATATCTTTTCAGGCGTACGATTTTTTCACCCCACAGCCCGTCAAGGGTGCTGATGTGTATTTATTCCGCTGGATTTTCCACAACCACTCGGACAAATACGCCGCACTTATCCTGAAGAATCTCATCCCGGCTCTCAAAAAGGGCTCCAAGATCTTGATTAATGATCACTGTCTCCAGGACGGATATGGTATGGAGAAGAGTCTGTGGGACGAGAAAATTATTCGGTCCATGGATTTGGTTATGCTAACGTTGCTTAATGCGAGAGAGAGAAATGCAGCCGAGTACAAAGCGCTGTTTGAGGGTGTTCATAGCAGCCTTCGGTTTAACGGCGTCAAGAGAATCGAGGGGTGTAGGATGTGCATTGTCGAAGCGGTCTGGGAGGGTGAGGATTATGGTGGGGTCGTGGAGGCTACGGAGGAAGGTGCCAATTAGCATTAGAATGATCAGTGAAAGGTAGAGGCCAGTGAGGAAGCATAGAGCAAGTGCATATTATGGCTTTTTTGTATATGTTGTACAGTACAGTAGTTATTTCACTTTCCATTACTCAAATAACTCTAATGAGATCTATAGCCTTCTCAAACTAATCAGATGTTTTTCAGTCAAACTATCTGATTCCAATGAGTCCCGTTGCCACCAGCTCCCTCCATCTCACCATTACATACCTATGTGTCGCAGTACCATGATATTATTCCGTTCCTCTACTTCATTTGCAAGCCTTACCTAATAGCATGCCGCTTGTTACCAAGTCAGATACCTGGGTGACTTCTTCACCACCTACTCGTTCCATCTGCGATGCATTAGAACACGATGAGTACGATGTCTGATATTTAGTGACATTTTTTAGAGAGGTCTCGAGTTACAAAATTGCATGCCAGTGCAGTACTGGCTTGCTCTTAAGAGAAACCACAAATGCACAGAATGTTGAATCAAAGCATGAGCTCACGAAAAAGAGGAACATTACATGAATCTTGGTATTGTATGGCTACTCCAAGCCAGGTCAAGCGCCCATCTCAAAGAGTCATAGGACTCACACCTGAAACTGAAAATCAACAGAACTCGCATTTCTCACTCGGGATTGCCCGCGTCGGATACATACTAAACCCAGACGAAGCAAACCCTCCGGACTGGCCAAAATTATTCTGGACGTCATTCTCCTGGCCCCGGATATCGTCGTAGCTGAATATCCAAGTGCCGTTATCCACGCATGGCTTGGGATGTCCTCGCTTACTAGGGGGTTTTTAGTCTTTTATTTCCATACTTTTTCCATTTCCATGGTTCAAGTGACAAGGTTTATGAGATGAGGGGTAGGTGAGAAGTGAGAACGGGGATATAAAAAAAGGGCTGCTCACAGGCTGCAGTCGCCATAGGTGTGTGTAACATTCAATGTGAATCCACATCCACCATTGGGGAATAATCCAAATGTGACGTTAGGATTCGCGCAGGGGGCCTTGTAGGGTGCGCCATCGAGAGCGAAGATGTAGGTTGTGGGGTTATAGTAGGCACATGATGTATTGAAGCCTTGTGGCGCTAGTGTGGGAGTATCCGAAATGTTTAAATTCCAGCTAAAAATGATTTAATTAGTACATAGTATGGTTGTCTTATTAACTACGAGGGACTTTTTGGAGGGTGGGGGGGGAGGAGNGGGGGGATACAAAGAGGGGGCCCATGAGGCAGATTTCGCTGGGGGGTACTTACAAGCCGCCAGTCCCATGCCGAATGTTCCCTATAGTCACTGATGAGACGTACCAGGGAACCGGGACCATGAATTGGGAGAAAACAAGGCCTACGAGCGCTGAGACCTCGAAGAGAGAAACGAGTTGCATTTTGGTAGCAGGACCTAGATGTCTTATGTACCTACGTACAGAGTATTGGAGATGACTAGGAATATCTGCGATACCGAGTGATGGATATGAGTGTATTTATACATGAAAGCATAAAATCAGAATAGCAGTTACTGGCCGAGTACACGGGATCTCATATGTAGTACGAGAATAGTTTGCTGTTTTCCAAAGTAACATTTACTGCAAGGTTTCTTCCATGGAATACGAGGGTTGATCGTCGTGTGTTACATCAACTTATGCATATACGAATATAAGCTTTAACTAGTCAAGCACATGCCGGGAACATATCCAGGACCTAAGAGCTTACGCAGACCGTTGTGTTTTTCAGCTCTGTTTAGAGAGCTAATTGTGTACCTCCTACGTAGCACAATCATTCCAATAGGTGATTTGTTTGGCCGTTCAGTCCAAATCTGGAGAGTTATTTATCCGGTCTTACTCGAACCAGTTGACATCATACGAGATGTGTTGATCCAGCTCCGTCGGCTAGCCCTCTTTGTCAATAGGACTCTCGAATTTTGGCCATATGCTGTCATGTGGAGACTGCAGAGTATCGGCTTGCAACTTGATCGACGAAATTTCGTGCCGGTTTCGTGGCTTACGACGTATGATTTCGGGGTGTCGATTTGTAGGTTCTCGGCACGGGAGAGATAGCACACTTACCCATTTCTAGGCCGACTGATGAATTCCGAACGGGTCATTCATCCTTATCTTTTCATCAAAGCAAATTCTTTCCTCATATTTCCGTCCTGGAGACATTTCGAATACTCATCTGACCGCCTGCGAAGCAAGAACGTCAAAATCGATACTGTGCATTTCAAAAAGATAGTATATATATCCTATTAACTATACGTTTATATAAGTTGGAGCAATGAAGCTTACCTCTTGCCTATTGAATTCCGTTAAATATGATCTGAATTCATTTGATTCCTCTAGAGAACATCCCCGCTGTGAGGTATGAGAGATTCTTCAGCTTTGCAGATATATCCTCATTATCCGTAAAATCTGCTCGCTGGTAGGGGAGTATGTGCGAGATATGAATCGATGGTGTTCCGAGACGGACTCTTGTTGGATGCATTGTTGGGACGATTCTCGTATTTGCGACGCCAAATACCTTTGCTTTGTGCAACAACATCCATGGCGCACACCATGATGATGGTATATACAATTCATGTCCCAGCAATAGCAAAATCATCTTAGATTCTACCACTAAATGATTGTAGTAACAATACAGACCATTGCAAATATTGCTTCGAAGATAAAGTCCTCGATTCATACACCCTTGGAAGAGTAGTTGTTGTAGGAAAACGAAAGTCATAGCCAAGAGTGACTTAGCGGACGCAAGACTCCTGAAAACAAGAACTCTCGAAGTAAACTTCTTTGGCGCCCCTTTTGTTCCTCCCCGGCGACTGCACGAGGGAGGGCATAATATGAGAATGGGCGTTGGAAAATAAGACCGGAGATGGAAACTCTACACTCGTATAAAATACGAATACGAGTACGAGTACCTTTACACATTAAATTCACATCGCGATGCAACGAGTCGAGTCACTCTGCTCCTCCTTCCCAATCACCGTCCTCGTGTCTACGGTCTCTGTGTGATAGTCGAGACTTCCATCCGTTCCCCTAATAACGAAATTATCGTATCTTGCCAGTGCAACCTCTTTTGCTCTTCTTACACTCAGGTCCAATCTGCTGTACTCTATCTCCAACAGCCTTCTTCCTTGCCTCGTCTTCATGCTCAACCTTGCCCCGTCTCCTTTCCCTGGAATATTCAAGCTTTGGTATTGCAGCCATGCGGTTTCGAGTTCAGCGATAATTGCGGGCGTCAGCAAGTTGCTATCTCGTATCCAGAGCTCGGGGAGGGCTGGCGAAAGCTTCCAGTACCACTCAGGACTTGTCTTGTCGTAGAGAGGTGATTTGGAGTGTCGAAACTTGAAATTCTTGCTGCTTGAGAGTGGCGGCAGATGGATAGATTGACCTACGCGATCAGCCATTTTTGCATACAAGACTTCCTGTAGATGGTAGAGAGTGAGGGTTGCAAGGCGCAAATACTGATCTAACTGGAAAAAATAAACTGTTACCGCGTTTTCTATTGACAAGCTTGTTCTACCATCAAAATAACGGTGATTCACTCCTCGGCCAGGGATAGCAATCCCCATTCACAAACTAATCAATTTGACGCAATCGAAAAGATTGCTTGCCAAACAACTCCAGTTGGTGTTTCCCCAGGCTTGGACACCTGTTAAGTATTGAGAAGCGTGATTTGTGGGAGATGTTGCTGAGCTGAGAGTGTATAATTCAAAGCTTGATTGCTGCTCTGGCGGGCTGGAGTGTTGAACCCGTGCTCGCCGCGTTTAAGCTTCTCCTTGGACAGCTCGCTTTGCTCTTTTGAGTGGACAGCACTATGTTCTCCTAACATTGGGCAAGTATGCCGCTCCCTGCTAACCAACTCGGAACCTACCTAGCTTGAGACTATGATATTGTTATAGGTTTTACGCTTGATTGGTTTGTGCTCGCTTGGTTTTTCAAAGGAGGCCCTATCCACTACCCAAATTGTGTAAGGTAGCTTCAAGTTCAAGTGAATGGCAGTGTTCTGTTTTATAATTCAGCAGTGACTTGCATTATTCGGGGTTAAAGTCTATTGTTTCCCTGTTTGCTCCTTGGGTGGTGTAAATCTTGACGGTGCAATGTTTTGTGACTTGACGAGTGGGAATTTCGCATAGACTTGGAATGTTCATTTACGTGGTACCATGCCTATTTAATCGGTTATTAATCGAGAAATTTCTTTCAAAAATCCCAATACAATTTATGTTTCTGTGTATCTTCAGGAAATTTCATGATTTGATAGGCCAGTGCAACAGCTAGCAGCTCGTGCCAGATAGCCACAAATAGGGCCAGGGGCGTGTTTCAAACTAACTAAAAGTAGGATATACGCCACGTGAATTATACCCACCATTCACACTTTTAGATAGAGCACCATCCGAATATCCTCTCAAGCTGATCCTATTTGGCATTGGCTATGCAACTTGAAACAGCTAAGTTTAAACTCCGTAGGATTCTATTACCCAGATCGCTACAACATCCCGCTGCCCGCATTTGACGGATCCACCACTCATTTCCGAAAGTTGGGAGTACGAAGTGCAACGTCGCCCAGTAATAATAGGATTCAGGGACACAACAAGTAAGCTCGCATTTGTGGAGATTCCCTGCTATGAAACGAGGCTGTGGTTTTCCTTGTCGCTGATGCACGATCTTACCTCTTCAATCTTAGCCCCAGCCGAGGCTCAGTATATATATCTCCAGAAATGTTTTGTGTACGGAGTAGTTGTTGCCCCCAATTATTTTGGCATACACAAGGTTCACCAATACTGATATCTAATATCCAACATCTGCAGTTCTTATCTTTGTTCAAACCAGAAGTTAATCAGCAAACCATGTCTCCACAGATATCAGCACTGTCAACAATCATACTCCTTGGATGTGCAATTAGTAGGGCCACTGCTGCACTAGATCCCACGTGTGCACCAGGAGGAAATTTTGACCTCTCAAAATGGAACCTTCAACTGCCCATCGGATCCACAGGAAGCCCGACCACAATCAAGAGCACTGATCTGCAAGGCTGTTCCGGCTACCAAGATCCAGGACACAAATACTTCTTCACGGAAAGCGGTGACGGGGCGCTAGTCATGCAAGTCCCAGGCTCGCCATCCTCCTCCGACTGCGTCACCACCAAGAATAGTTTACACTGCCGGACTGAGCTACGCGAAAGCAATCCCTCGAGCTGGGACCCGAACGCTGCGAAGAACAGACTGAAAGCCACGGTCGCAGTTACAGTTGCGGATGATAGCAAACGGGGGACGGTAGTCGGACAAATCCATATCGATGACAGCATATCCACAAAACCAGTATGTGAGTTGTACTACAACGCGCAAGGAGTCCTCACCATGGGAGTTGAGAAGACGCGAGCGGGAGGAGACTCCAATTTCACCACTATTGCGACAGTACCGGTTGGCACGACTTTCTCCTATGAAATCAGATATGAGACGAATGTTCTCAGTGTGTCTGTCAATGGTGGCGCGATGAAGGTGCTGGAGACTTTCGACTTGGATGCGCCCAAGAGTTATTTCAAGGTGGGGAATTATAATCAGGGCAACAGTCCGAGCGACGTGCACGTTTTTGCTATTTCTGTAGAGCATTGAGATGTACAATTTGAAGAATTGGTGATGTGCTCTTGTTTTAAGATTGCTGAGTATTACTGAGATTTGTATCTTGAGATATTATCTCTCAAAAGCGTTGCATTCAAAATCGGGCAAGTAGCCTTGGCAGATATCTACTATACAGAGGAACTCCGCAGAACCGAGAGGCCCAGCTTCCTAGAGCACGAGATTTAAAAAACAAAAGTCTTATGAATAAAGCGCTGCCAACCACATTTTACTTTCAACCCAAATCATATGTGCTCTGTTCCGAACAACCACACAAAAGTCCCATATTCTTGCTAAGGCACAGGATCGGTTCCCAAGTAGAGGACAGGTTGGGAATTATTTGTACCTGGCATCCCACCACTACTAGAACATGACCTGCATCGACTTCGACGGCCTCCGAAATAAAAGGTTGACGAGGAAGTGATCAACTCTCTTTGGAGCTAGACATTCAAACTGAATTAGCATTGCCTTGCACAAGATATTCAAAAATGACCATATTTACTTCATAGTAGAATGTTCCCGCCTCAAGTTGAGATCCGTGGGATTCGAAATTGTTATTCTGGTGATTTTGGTGTGTTTGGCAACGGAATTCTCGAGTTGGAGGTTCGGATTGTGCATCTTGAAGTCTTAGTGAGCCCTCGGTCTATAAATGATATTTTACTCACCTTTTATCTGGCGAGAGACCTTGTGGCGACGGGCCATTTGAATCAAGTATCTGACAGCGGGCATACACATTATTAGGATCGCGGCTAGGCCAATCATCGCTTCAGAAGATAACATCACGGAGTGTGCCAGACGACGGCAATTATAAATGCACAAAGGGAAATGCAGAGTTGAGAATTGTCATCTTTACTAAAGCGGGTGCATCGTCCTGATAAATAATGGGATAATTCTTGGGATTGACTCTCCACAGATTTTGGTCCTCAAAGTCACTATTCAATCTTCAAGTTTTGGATTTTTAGATTTTTAGGATATCACCAGATTTTGGATACCAGGTCGGGACCAGGTTCGGATTTTCCGTCCGCCTTCTGAGGATGTCGGTGATGCAACATGCATTGCATCGCGGGCCAGCTAGCTAATATTCCAATCACACTGAAACATACACGCAGAACACGGCCTCGATTTCGGATTGCCAGCAACCAACGCCATGCCCGACTCTACTCGGCTCAGGCCCAATCAACACCACCAGATTTTGGCCATTTGCATTTCCGGCAGTGGCTGTGTTTCTGGCGGCAAACTATGCCCAACCACAGAGAATAATCGCACAGAGTCAACGTTCAATGTAAGGCTGCCGGGCAAACGAAATGCATGCCCGACTCAGCACCACCAGATTTTGGACACACTCTGGACAGACTTTGGACACCGCTAAAGTAAGGCACCGAGGCTGTAGGCCATTCCCAGCCTTCTATCGAGAACCTGTACAATCCGCCAACCAGCATTTTAAACTCCTACATATTCCCCCAACGCCCGTCCCGAGTACTGAACCACCTTTTGGGAGACCTAGATTATGTTGTTCAGTTTCTGCATGTGCCTGCCACAAAAATGTTCATACCATCAACCGAAGGGTGCTCGACTGAGGATCGATGGGAAGTCCATCGGGAGACAATATGCAAGCTGTTTCTCGAGGAGAAGAAAACGTTGAAGGAAGTTCGAAGCATCATGGCTTTACAAAATTTCCATGCATCGTAAGAAACTACCATTTCGTCTTGGCCCCTTGCTTACCCTGCCATCAGGGAATGGAAATTCGAATCGAAATTGAGAGACAGCTGGGGCTTGTCGAAGAAGTTAAAGAAAACCGATTGGCCGGTTATCAAGCACCACCTCTCGAAAAGAGCCAGACAAAACAAGAGAAGCGAAATATTGTTACATGGTATCCGCATTCCCCAGCACAAAGTTCGTAAAGAAGTCAATCGGAACCGTGCCAACGCTGTTCATTTGCAAAGGGGTAAGCTCTCTGAGGTCTACGGCTTTAAGAAACCGTTATTGACTTTCGAGTAGTTGGAAGCCCAATATTAACAAATGGGGTTTCTATTCGAACACCACCCGCTAGTCCTAACCTATCAATTCGCGCCCTAGGCAAGTCCAGTACGGCAAGCCCAGGAGCTATAGCCAAAAGGCCATCCTATATAAAGCCGCCAAGTCCTCAGATCATTCCACGGAGTCTTTTAGGCGTGGAATTTGCCAATAACAATGGCCATGTATCTTACTGTGGCCCCTCGGTTCAGAATCAACGTAGGTGACTCGTTGTCAGAGCTTGAATACCAAGGCTAATTGGATTTAGGTCAAATGACAACTCAAGGGCTTGATTACTATGCCACCAACTTTGCAGCTCTACCCAGCTCTCAAGCTTCACAGGCGCTTAGTTTCTCATATGTATCTCAGGATGGCGAGATATTGGACGGATATGAACACATGAGCACTCTCTCGGAAGTGTGGCTCCCAATTTTCCTACACAATACCCCATGGCATCAGTTCCAGGAGATGGCAACAACTTTGTTTGGGAGCCGAAACTTAGCATGGGCGACCTATCCGCTCTCCGCACATCTCTCAGGGGAAAATTTACATCCGGATGAAAGACGACAGTTCTTATATGCACTGCTTCCTTCTGCCGTCCGAGGAACGGATTTTACACCGGAACTGGGCTCCATGATGCAGACTCTAATTCCCGAACGGACTTGTGGAAACCTTTCCCTGACAATCCAACGACTGTTAGACCCTACGAAGAAATGCTCTGTTGCTCGAATTGGAGAATTGGCCGTGTTCCTCATCTCGAACAACATCTTGAACTCGTCGTCGGATAGAAGTGAATTTGTACATTGGATCATGAAGTACAATGCAGCAGATTTCTTTCGACGACTATTTCAGATGAAAACACCAACAGTTCAAGCAGCTTCAATCCGGCTCTTTGAAAGCATAGCCCGCCATGGAAGTGCATCAGCCTTGCAACTCCTCATTGATTCAGGCGCTGATACAAGTATCCTTGCCGGGGCTAAAGGTTTCAAATTTTTGGAATACGCGGTTTGGAGAGGGGAATTAGACATTTCAAGGCTATTAATAGAGATTGGCGCAGATGTAGACCCTCGTTCTGATGTCTCACCTGATAGTCTTGATACACCGCTCATTCGTGCAGCAATGCACCATGACATCGGTATGTTAAGGTGCCTTCTAAATAAAGGCGCCGACCCGGACTATATGCACTATCTTACCGGTGATACGGCGCTATCAGCGGCCGTAAGAGAAGAGGCCCCAGATTGTATCAAAGCTCTACTCAAAGCAGGGGCAGACGTTGGAAAGGCCAGCATAGGCCAAGAAAACGTCCTAGACTGGACGTATTTGCGAAGCAAAACGGAGATATACCGAATACTTCTATCCTCGAGCCGCAGAGCGCCGACATCTTTGGCCCTGGAGGGAATAATTTCAGCTGCAAAAGTAGGGACTCCTACCCTATCTCAGTATCCTGAGGGTACGACTGAATCGAACGACTGCCAAACTAGACTTTTGGAGTACTCTTTATGCGAGGCAGTGAGATATCCGAATCACTCTATAGCAGTTAAACCTCTTCTGGACCTTGGCGTAGATCCAAATACTAGCGTCGTCTTCCGCAGTGGCCGATGTATTCCTCTATGCATAGCCGCTAAGAGAAATGATATAGATATGGCATCGCTTTTGCTGCAATCGGGTGCAGATATCGACAAACGGGGTGTTCTGTCCGCAGCAGCCAAGGATGCTAACTGCGTCGAATTTGTCGACTTCCTTGTTAAGCATGGAGCAAATATAAAATCGTACGGGGCAGAAGCCCTGGCTGCAGCCGTGGAAGGTGACAATATTGCCGGTATCAGGCTCTTACTTCAATCGGGGGCGGATATAAATGAGGCTAAGCATCAGGGTTGTTCTGCTATTCAACATGCGGCAAAAAAAGGCAACCTCAACACCCTTGAGTACTTGATTAGGGAGGGTGCCAACGTAAATGGGCCACCATGCAAGCATCGTGGGTTTACTGCCCTTCACTATGCTGTGCAAAGGTGTGATATTAGCGTCGTCAGACTCCTGTTAAAAGCAGGTGCGCAAGTTGTTCCTCCACCCCAGGCACAAGTGAGCAAAACCTTGTTGGAAGTATGCGCTCGTAGTAGCTACGTTTCCCTGAAATATTTGACTACAGGAACTGTATCTTGTCAATCGGATATCCTCAAGCTTCTTCTAGACCTAGGGGCCCAGGTTACACATCCAGGAATAGAACGAGGACACGTGAGCTGGGATTCGGCATTATCTAGTGCCATTCGGTTTTGCCCAGATGATTATTTAGTTCACCGCTTGCTGGATTTCCCCGGAATCGACGTTAATCAGATAGGCAATGCTCCCAATACACGGTCACCAATACAAGCTGCAGCAGCAGTCGGAAGATTTGATTTCGTCAAGGAGCTCCTGGCTAGAGGGGCAAACTTGAATGCTCCTCCTGGGCAAAAATTCGGAAGAACTGCTCTTCAAGCCGCATGCAGTACTGAATTTGCAGATATCGGCCTCATTATGTTCCTTTTAGGGCAGAAAGCAGATGTCAACGCTGCAGCAGGTCCCGAGGGTGGTGTAACCGCGATTCAAGCTGCCGCAATTCAAGGACATATAAAAGTAGTTCTTCTGCTTCTCGATCATGGGGCTGATGTTAACGCCAATCCCAGCAAAGAGGATGGGAGAATGGCTCTTGATGGAGCCGCGGAACATGGCCGCTTGGACATGGTTCAGTTTCTCCTGAATATCCGGGCAAAGAGCTGCAAAGCAGGTGAGACTGGATATGATGGAGCTATAGAGTTGGCCGAAATGAGACGTCATTACGCAGTAGCAGATGTACTAAGATCTCACTCCAAGAGCCGTCGGGGGTAGCGCCCGTAATGGAAAACGATCGTTGAAAGTCATTTTAGGTGGCCTCTTCGTACAATCACTCTGCACGGCCAGTCCCTTTCCTTTCGACTCCTAGGTCTTGTTTAGCTAAGAGGGCAGCTTTTCCGAATTCAATTACAGCTATTCGCTCTATCATACCTTGCAATATACTTAGGGGTATTTTGCCAACTGTTAAGATGGAAATAAGTTGAGGTGAAACGCGGTGATACAGCAGCCAAATTACTACCCATCCTTTACATATATCCATATACAAGTGGAACTTACCTCCCACTCTGTTACCCTAATCAATCAACTCTTTCTACCTACTTTGATGCCACATTTTCCGTAACAAGATAACTTAAATAAGTTGTAAGGTTTACTGGATTCCTCTGCCCCCCAAACACTTATATACACTATCAAACGCAGTTCCGTACTCTGTCCAACTCAACGCTGCAATTCGTTCACCCCTTTCACCGCAGGTACAGGTATCAACCGTACAATATAATATTGGGCAAGATCATCTTTGCTTAGGCATGCAGCAGCCAATCAATCAAATAGTAGGAAAGCTATTTAATCTTCCGTATCAAGAGCATCATGTATCTAAAGCATCATATATGCAAATACCGCAGTGCACCTACACGCAACTAGCCTCATCCTAGCGGAAAAGCAACGTCTATATTTCCAACTTCACCTATTAGAATTCCATAAGCCGGAGAAACACAACACCCACACCTTAAACCCCTTTATCTACAAACCCCATCTATAAAAGCAACAACCCCTATCCGCTTCCCTTTCTCTCTACCCACAAAAATCGCACCCCAACCATCACATAATCACATAATCACACACCCCTTAGACCTCGGCGGCAAATCTGGGGCATCCCTCCACGTAGGATGGCTCAACAAGCTATCATCAATAGTAAACCCCCACTTAAACGGATTCCGCTCTCCCTTCCGCCTTGCCAGTCCGCGGACTTTAGTATCGCTTCTCCGCCAGGCAGCCGGGCCTTTACTTCTTCGTTGTTGTTGACCGGTGAGGAAGCGTGGTTGGGATCTGCCGGAGGCGATAGACTGGGAGCGGTATGTACGAGAGGGTGGCGGTGGTGCGTTTGGGTTGAAGCCCCCCGACGGTGGCCCGGGGCGGTTGCTCATTGTGGTTTCTGGGAGGAGATGGTGGATGTAGTTGTGGGGAGAGATATGAGGTTAGGACGAGTTATCTTCTCCCTGGTGCGATGTGTGGAGGTTCAAGAGATCCAGATACCGCTATAAGTCCGTCATCCCTATAAGAAAAGAGTCCAAAGAGTAAGAAAATAGCACATATATACATTTCCCCCCTCCTTCCATTCACCACAGAATCTACCCATTCCCCCATAGCATCCTACCACAACACGATTACTCGCCACATTCTAATCACGCATCAAGCGAGGATTAAAAACACGAGCTTTTATATGCATCAGGGTGAACAGCGGCAAGTCAATTGAATCACATGGAGACTGCCGTTATGCCTGAGCGAGAAGTAGAAGAAGTTTAGGGCAAACAGCAGGGAGATTATGGATCACGTTTATGATGAATCATATACTCTTATATGGTAAGAGAAAGGTAAACCATAAGTTAACAGGTTCCGAGAAAGAAAACTCAAACGAATTAGTACTTGAGATAGGAGGCAACGCGATTAATCATCACACTCCATCCACATCCTATTCACATACTAGTCGAGGATCGAGACACAGGTGTTGGTATGAAGTAAGCATCGAAAGAACTATCTAAGTTCCATTCAAAGAAAACCCTATCAGTACACTCGCACAAGCAGACTCATACAAGGCGAATAAAAGTAAATAGCCGTGGGCCACATATACTCTTATACCGCATGAGTAGGGTGGGCCGCTGGTATAAGTAGACGAGAAAGAGAGCTTTGAATGGAAAAGTAAGGGTTGGGAATGGGGTGCGGGTGGAGTGGTATAAGGACGCTGTGAAGGGGAGAGATATGATATATTGGGTCGGAGGGAGAGGAGGAGAAGGAAGAGAGTGAGGGGGGGAATAGAGAATGGGAAGGGGAGAGGACATGGGAAAATGAAAAATAGAAGCGAGGTGGATATGGAAGTGTGGTGAGGAAGGGGTGTTAAAAGAAAGCCGGGAAACTTAGAGGGGAAGTAAGAGGTCGCAAGAGCCTTGCTCTAAGATTCTCTCACCATGAGATTATATCATACCAATCTTGTACACAAACCACTACACCACCGCCAACCACCCACAAACAGCGGACAGAAATCTCAAATCAAAACCAAGCACACACACGTCGATGGGAAATATTTTGCTTTTATCTATCTACCTGCTATCTCATTTCTGCCATTTCTGCCATGTTCGCTATTGCCATCCATTTGCTATGCTACCAACCCCTCCTCCCCCCAAAGCACCCTTGCAGAGAAAAAAGCAAAAAGAGAATTCATTTCAACGTCCATCAGTCGTCATAATCACATCTTTTTTTCTGTAAAAAAAAAAAAAGGGAAAGAGCAACACATACACATGAGAATGAAAAGATAAATATAGTAGAGGTTGGCCAGCAAACGCTATTTTAATAAGACAAGTTAACCGCCGAGATAGAGAGGGCTATGATTGATGATTGATGATGTTCATGATATTGAGGGTCTCGTGAGAGAGAGGGGGTGGCGTGGGGATCGTTGAGGGTCGTGAGATGAATAGGGTGAGTGAGTGTTCAGAAAGCGAGGTTGGAGGAAGTGAGAGGGGGAGGCTACGGAGGTCGGATCATGGCCAGAGTGAAAGAATCAATCAAGGCTCATCCTCCCTGCCCTTCCCCTTGGACCTCTCGTTCCACCTCCTCTTCCCAACTCTCGTCTCAAAATGTGGAGCGGTAGCAATACCTTTCCCAAGTCCTTCCATAGTCGAGCGGACTTTATTACGATATGAGTCCACTATACGAAATCAGCGAACCCATCCTTCATCCTCACGAAAAAGAAAAAAAGGGAATACTCACGAGCTTTCTGCAGAAACACAGTCTTATCTGCAAACACTCTGCTCTGATGCCAAGTCATCCGATATCCCAGATCATTCAAGCGGACTTCTTTAGCACGAACGCTCTTCATCATCCGGGGGGCTTGGACTTCTCCTTCACCCCCATCAGGCAATGGCACACTGACAGCCATACGTCCGCGGCTTCGTCGACCGGCCTTTGCACCTCCAGTAGGTTCCACCTCGTCACCGTCATCGAAGTCATCGCTCTCGAAGAAACGACTGCCGGTAGCACTTGGAGGGGGACTTTGCATTTCCAGTGGGAACCAGCTGCGTGGATAAACCGAGTTGCTCTTCCTGAAAGAATCTGGGATTTCCTTGATGTCAACAGTATCAAGGGTAACTCTCACACGTACTCTACCACCCTTTCCCGGGTCGTCGACGAGGATGAACTTCCTCTTCTTCGCCTCCGGGATATCGCCGAACAGGGAGAGACGCGCTTCTTCATCGAGCTCGACCTTGGCATGCGATCGCGAGGCGGCAATAGGCGCAACGTGTGACGGGTGTGGAGCCGGCTGATGTTGATTATGGATCGAAGGTGGCATCGAGGATCCTCCTGCGCCGAGCGCTGGGGGTGGGTAGGCCGAGTAGGCGGGGTAGACGTGAGCTTGGCGGACATCGTCAGGGCTCTGGGTAGGAGGGCCATTCGGAGGTTGATGGTGGTGGAGTTGGCCATCGATATATTCATCGTTGTCACCTAATCAAAAGACGAAGGATCAAATTAGCCTTTCACTTTAGCCGGTAAGCGATCAAGCAAAAGACACGAATGATGACGGGAAGCAGTGCGATAAGAGGTGAACATGATTTGTAGGGTATAGATGTGTAACGCCAGGTGAGCAGCAAAGGTGCAATATGTATTATACAGGAAGCCGAAACATTGATCTTTCAGACCCGTACAAATTTATGGCTCAAAAATCCCAAATTTCCCTCCCGTTCAACAGGTATATGCGCATGGAGAGTATCATAACACGATAATAATAATATAATCACAACACAGCATCACATCTGGTGAAACATACCGACTTCCTCGCCTTGGGTGCTGCCATCAGGGTGATTGTGGTGGTGATGGAGCTGGGAGTTACCCATCCCACCTCCCATGCTGGGCTTGGGCATGCTTCCTGCACCGCTTGGCCCCATGTTGGGAGCTGGCGGCATCCCTGTCGGGCCCGTTGGGCCAGCCATGTGAGGAGGGTGTGTCGCGACCTGAGCAGCCTTGCGATTGTTGATCTTGGCCATTCGCCGGACGCGTCGACTCCGCAGCCGGGGATCTTGGTTGCTGTTGCGCCAACTATCTACTGCTCGCTGAATCAATCCTCTCTTTCCACGCAGACATGGATTCAGCTCTGCCAAAGCCCAGCCAACTGTGTTACACTCGGTCTCGTACACCAACCGGTTCCCGCGGTACTGATCCTTGCTGCAACAAGCGCGCGGATACACGCAATTCTCCGTCTTGAATTCGGGGCTCAGCGTCTCGACGTTCACCGATTCCACGTCGCATCGGATCGTGTATTCCATCTTGACGCGATCTCGCGAATACTCGAACGCGATCCATTGCACGCCATTGTTATCTTGTCGCACGACTAATGGGGTAGTTGCCGGAATTGGGCCAGGCGCCGCATTTGGATTGACACCGTTTCCAGCACCAGGCATATTGTTCTGCTGTATTTGGGATCCATTGGCTTGATGCTGAGGCGGGCCCAGAGGAGCGGCCGGGCGATTTTGCATCTGGGGCACATGGGGCTCCATCTTTGGTCTGGGGCTGCCGGTGATCGCCTGTTGTGGGTGCTGTGCTGGATGCTGCTGCATCTGGTGCTGGTTCTGACTGTGCGACATGAGCAGATTTGGCTGTGAAGTCATCGATTGATGATGCTGCTGTTGCTGCTGCTGGGGGTGAGGCGCGTATGGAGATGGTCCCCCCTGAGCGGCCATTGGCGGCGGATACTGCTGTTGAGGCGCGGCATAGTACATTTGAGGATTCTGCTGCAACTGCGACGGCGGCGCGCCATAGAGGTGTCGCTGGTCGTGTGCCGATGGCGACGCGACTGACGCTGGAGAATTTGACTGCGGCGTATGGTATGAGATTGGGGGGTAAGGACGCGACATCTGGGTAGCTGCCATGATATCTGGGGTTTCTGGAGCTGTAGATTTAGGTTAGCATTCGAACCAGGCAAAAAATACCAAAATGCAGTGGAAGTTACGCGCTGCTTACCTGCAGATGAATATGTACCCGACGCGCTTGGGGTGCTATATGGGCTTGGGTGTGCCCCGTAGTACGGCAAGTCCTGAGGATGCTGTCCAGCTGGCCCTGGGGCGCTCTGGGTGGCGTATTGGGGCAGGCCGTGAGCGGGCGGGTATGGGTTGGAGTGCTGCGGTTGCGATGGAGGAGCTTGTTGCTGCTGATGGTGCTGTTGATGCACTATGCTCGAGGGACGCGGCTGCTGGAGGTGATGCGGAGGCGGACCCTGCTGGGTGTGGTGGGGATGATGCTGCATGGAGGACGACGATTAGCAACAACTCTCAAGCCGCGCGATGATAAGACAATGCAATGGCAAAAAGGTAATAACCATTTGGGGTTGGGAAGAAGCAAGTCGCGTCGCGATGTTTATTTTGACACTTCGGGTGTATGAAAGAGTGCGGTCGATCCTTGCGACGAGGGTGCGCGTGCCACTGCAGCAGGGCGGCACCTAGAGAGAGTTCGATCCGCTTTTTGCTTTGGAGCGTAGTCCGTAGCGGCTCTCAGAAAGCACGAGTGAGCGCGAAGTAAAGAAGCTCGTAGGGAAGAGTATGCTTGCTTTGCTTGGGGGTGCGAATGGAAGAAAAGACTGGGGAGGGGGGTGCTTGTGCTTGTTTGTGATGGTGCTTGTGCTGGTGCTCGTGCTGTGCGGTGGGGGTGGGTAACAGAGAGAAAAAAAAAGGCGAGGGTGTACCACTGTATAATAGATGCCTTGCTCCTATTTTTACGAGAGATCTCGATCTTCAGACTGATGAACCAGGAATAATGACACAAGCGACAAAAGGCAATGTCCGACGTTCTTTCGCGATTGCAGCCGGGGGAAAACGGCGATTTTTGAGGGAACAAGAGTGACGAGCGATTTGCCAAGGGCCAAGGCTCCAGAAGCTTTCTGGATATGGGGGGATTTGCTGATATGGGTAAGGGACTGGTCGCAAAAAGAAGGGCCAGTTCCACTCCACAGACACAGACCACGGAGAATATAAGCGAAAGGGGATAGACAGCAGGAGAGATCGGAGCGAGGATGAGAGCAGGATAAAAGACGACGAGGATGTGGTGAACAGACTTTTTGGAGGTTGCCAGGATGCCCGGAAGGCCAGGATTTGCAAGCGCAGGAGGAGAGTAGGGGTGAGGGAGGTGGAAGGATTCGCGAATAAAATGAAAGCCAGGGAGAGAGGGTTTGTGTACGTAGTATGGTAGCAATGAGGTAGCAATGTAGTATGTAGTATACCCGGATATGCGTGTGCTGGGTGGTGTTGGGGTGTTGGTTGTTAGATTGTTGCTGGACTGGTCTGGGGGGGGTTGCGCAGGACGAGGGTGGAGGTCGAGGTGGAGTGTAGGGGGGAAGGGGTGGAAGGGGAAGGGTGGAAGTGCAAGTGGTGGAGGGACCAGCGGCGAGTAAGTAAAGAAAAAGTAGGTTGCGGCGAGTGACGGAAGCTGGGAAGCTGTTGCTGTTGCGCGGGCGTGGGTGTGCCGCATGGGAGAAACGTGACCCGGTTTTATATATTTATAAAGTGGCGACGCCGTGCAGTGGGGCCCGGCGGGGCGGAGGGCGGCGGAACGGCAGGGAAGCGGGCGGCCACTGGCCAATCGCGCAGGGGGATGACTCGAAACCCCGGCGCGGCCTAGCCGCAAAGGGGAATGGAGCGAGCCGTTTCGACTGCCCGGAGCGCAAGGATGTCCTGGGACTAGCGCCGCTGGGAGCAGGAGAGCTGCTTCCTTATTTCCAGCTTCCTGCTTTTGCTAGGCAGCACTATGCCACGAACTAACGGCGCTCCGTGCTTCGTACTTCGTACACTGAGTTGCGATTCCGTCGCACAGCACACACCGTACACCCACAACTCGCGCGAGGGAATGACGCGGTGGGCTAGCGCTGGCTAGTGGGTGTAACGGGGAGGCCACTTTGCCCGTTTCCCGCCTAGACCGAATGCTCTGCTAGACTCGGTCGGGACTAGGCTGTTCCTGACTCTCGCTGCTCTCTCTCCGGTGGACTTTGAACTTTCAGAGTTTGCAGGGGCGGCGGCGAGTACGAAGGGGCGCAGTACAGGGAGTTTCGAAGGAGGTGGAATCGCTGCGTTGCGGCGCTGTGGCAAGCAAGCCATGGGCTGGGCTGCTGGCCACACAAACACAAGCAACCAGCAGCCAGCACGGAGCAGAGAGCAGTAGTAGTACGTACTGTAACTGTACAGTGCACCGCCAGTGTCTACCAACTGGCAGCTCCGCGACTGATACCGAGTCTTCTCATTTCCACTGCCCGGCCAATCCTGCACTGGCAGGTATCAGCCGCGCAGTCGCTGCGCAAACGGCTTGTTTCTCCCTCTGGGCGATCACCGCTCCACTGCCACTTAGGGCCTGAACAGTTGGTCCGGCGCTCGCTGGAGCCTGTAGGCCCCGTACTCAGTGGCCCAGCATACGAGCGCACACTGGTGCACTCCATCCCGGCGCGCAATCCATGGTGAAACAGGTCCACCAACTCCACCCTCCACCCACTCCACCACCACAACAGGGCCTCGGCATGGGCGCTCAATCTTCTGGAAGCCATCGAAGCTACTTCGACGCGCCCCCCATCGGTGCCAACAATCCCACCTCGAGTTACGCAACAAACTTGTGTTGCCAGAGCCCGGAACAACGCGATAATAGCAATTTGTCCAAAAAAAAAAAAAGACTAACAAGTAACAAGGTGTGCGCGAAGGGGAAAACACTCTTTTTTTTGCTTCTTGCAACTTACGTGATCTCCTGCCACGGGCACTCCAGGCTCCTCCTTGTATCCGGCGCTCTGACGGTGGGCCATTTCCACGAATGCGACCAAGTCGGACTGCAGCACTCCATGTTAGCCATGATCATCAACCATCAACCCCTTCAGCCACACCCGGACCAGCCACATCGACGCCGTTGTGATGCGATGCGACGCGATGGGATGGGATGTAATTTTGGCCCAGGACCATCCAAACATCGACAATCATGCCAGGCCCGGCCTTGCACGCATCCCTGCGCTGTCAAAGGATACCTGGACCAAGCCTCCAGGGAGAGGCGGGACGGTGGGGTTTGTCTCAACGTACCTATGCGATGGATCGGTATCTTGCTGGCAACACACAATTGATTCGACCGCGACTCGAAACGATGCGTTTGTAAATCGTGGATGAAACGTGTAATGTAAACACAACCGATCTGCTTTAGTCCCGGGTTAGCAGCTGCTCGGATTTTTGATTGCCAAGCCGAGTCTCAATCATCTAATGCGATCGCCGAAACGCATGAATGGTGCATCGTAGGACAGAAATAGATCGCATTCCAAAACTTGAGATCCCCGAGTCGATCGTTGGTATCGAGGGACAGGGGCCACGCAAATTGGGGGAGATGAATCGATGCGCTGGATGCACGAGGGGCTTTCCAAGTTTCTTTTATTAGAAACAAAAAAAAATATCATGGCCGAACTTTCCAAACCACAGATACTGGTCTATTTCCCGGAACAGCCCCTCTGAGCACCCGATTAAATTGCAGCGTGGTAGGAGAAGAGAACGACATGTCCCACAATCGGGGATGCTCGCAGATGTAGAGTGACGCAAACAATGGGGACATCCGACCCTGACAGAATAACGCCCCTCGACACTGATCGAGGGCGCTGCATGGCGAAGCCTGCAAACCGGCAAGGTTGGGTGGCACACAACAGTGAACCGTGATGTTGGCCACAGCGAACAGCGCTGTATGTCGCCGCGTGTGGGCCCTGAGGGAAGCCCACGTTTTCTCGCGAGCCCTAAGCTGGGCCAGCGCTCTGGCATACAAGTACATGTATGTACCAACGCCCCAACTATCGGGCGCGTTCCACAAAAAGAATTCGGACTCGAAGAAAAGACGTCGCAAGAGACTTACTTTTGAAAAGGGCTCAAAGCGGATATCTTTTTTATTCCTGTATTCGCAGATTTTTCCTATGATGACCCGTTAGCATGCTGCGCAGAAGAAAACGCTGGAGGCAGTAGACAAAGTCAGAAAAGCTCGCAGCGGGACAGTCCAAGTCCATGCGCGCGCAAAGGAAAGCTGCATACAAAATTGGCTCAGCTGATGGCGAGTGCAGCGCGCTTACAGCAGCAGCAGTAGAGGGCAAGGGATGACGCAACGACAAGCTGCAACGAGGCTGAAATCTGGAGGCTTTCAACGAAGGCCGTTCGTTGTCTGTGGAAGACCAGGTAGGGAGTGAGCTGGTGTGTCGTGGGGCTTGGAGACATAATATACAGGCATGGGTGCTTGATTGATGAACAGGAGACCAGGGCCGAACACCCTCCACGCAGCCAAGCGGTGCAGGCTTCGGCACATTAATTAAGGAGATGATGGGTTGCAGCCACCGCAGGGGAGACGCTGGTCATGCAACAGCCCCTTGGGCCAGGGTTGGCCACATCGCTTACTCCGTCCTCAACGGCGCGGCGTGGGGAGCAACAAGGATGGGACAACGCCATTCGCAAGATATCGAAAAACGCGCAGATAGAGTATGGAAACGGACATCGAGCGTAGAACGAACGTACCTGGAATGATGGGGTGGTAGGCACAGATTATTGCGCGCAGCTTATGTGGGCTGAAGCTGCCACAGGTCGATCGACGCAGAATAACTTCCTGTTATAGGCATCAGTCATCAGCCTATACCAAGACAAGAAGGCATCGTATCTCTTACCAATGGGAGCTTCCTTTTGCTTGCGAAACGAGCTGATGGGGTTCTTGTACCACGATATCTGAGTAATTCTCTGGAGCTCCGATCGAGTGACAAATATAGAGTTTGACGAGATCGTGAGGTCGCTAACTGGATGGACAATAAAAGCAGTCCTCCGGAGCGTGCGGGATCAACGAGCACTCGGTTTCCTTCGCAAAGGTCCGACTGAATTTGAATTCGTGTGACGGGCACCGGGGCGTCGCAATCCGAAATTGAACTCTGATAATAGCTCGACTTTCGATATATATTGTCTGCCGATCGCAGATTTTTGTGCGCCCTTCTTCAAACTCCCTATCCGATGCTCGTCAGGGTTATCGAGTCCCAAGTCCAGTAGACCGGATCAAAATCCTCGTCAACCGCGGTGTAATGATTCGTTTGGGCGCCGGGTTCTGCGAAGGATAGCTGCTGCGGCTCGGTCGCCAGCGGGATATGTGTACGTGGGAGGCAGTGGTCGGGATGTAGGATGGTCGAGTCTGGGGCGCACAAAGTCAGCATTGTACATCCCGACGCTTATTAGATTTCAGCTAGAAGGCTCAGCACCGAGGCAGTAAATAGAGTAAGGCTGG